TGTTGTGTGGTGTTGTGTGGTGTTGTGTGGTGTTGTGTGGTGTTGTGTGGTGTTGTGTGGTGTTGTGTGGTGTTGTGTGGTGTTGTGTGGTGTTGTGTGGTATGGTTGTTGATAGGGGTGTTAACATGGATTACAATAGGGAGATAGATAGAGAGATGGATCGGGAGACGGATAGGGAGGGGCTAGGGAGATTGCTAGGGAGGTAGATAGAGACATAGGTACGGAGATGGATAGTCAAGTAAGCGTATGCGGTGCAGTGTAGTGTGGAACATGGACGTGGTAAGGAGCGGTTCGGTCGGGTGATATGCAACATTAACGTAAGGAGCTTACCCCACAATACAAGCGACTCGCAGGCTATAGTAGATAGACTAGGGATGGAAGGGAGCAGAGGTGGTGCTATTGCTGCTACTGCTGCTGCTGCTGCTCTAGCCAATGGACTAAACCGGAACGTCATAAATCCATACTCCAGAGCACTCTCCGGCCCCCTCTCCTCCTACGTAGCTGCTATCTCCTAGGATTTTATATATCTATCTCTCGAAGATCCGTCTCGTTACCCTATATTAGTGCACTGTATTAGCGTAGGACTGCCCAAAGGTCTCACGAGAAGTCACTAGGGGTTGCTAGGTACTAGTAGGTAGGTATTACTCCCTCTAGCAGATGGGTATCGTTCGGGGATTGAAGCTGGAATATGGTGCGATTTCGGTTTGAGATCGACTAAGCATGCGCGTGGCTTATTGTATGAAGTTAGCTACGGGCGGTGCAAGGCGGAGGGTGGATTTATTAAAAGCTACATAAGTAGTAATGTGCGAGTATACGAAGATAATAGGCAGAAAATTAGATTTTGGTGTGGACTGGTATTGATGCCGGAAGCGGGAACAGGGGCTATGGATTGTAATGCTGTATTCTGCGAGTATTTTATTGCGGAGATTGTGACTACGTTCAAGGTGTAGAGAGATGTGCAATGGGTGGTGTTTAAGATAAATGATTAATTTACGCCTAGGAGATAAGAGAGCAGGAATGTATGTGATAATAATGCGTCTGATCTTGAGAGAAGATCTCTATTAGGAGTTTCGTATCATAGACGACCGCTACCAGCAAGGAGAGAAGGCCAAGTAGTGGACAAGTACTACCCCTGGTAGGACGATGGAGACACATAGGGAGGTAATATAGCACTAGTAATGTTGCATGACAGACAGACTAAGTCGACAATAAGATGTGTCCGTTCCTATATCCTTGCTATTAAATCTTAAACAACTAGTGACTTTCAAACAGCCTAGTCACTTAGTAGATATGCTCTTGTTAGGAAACTAAGTAGCATTTAAGAGCTGTGCACGGAATACTAGATATAGCAATTTTCAAGTCTAAATAAATCGAAATAAACGTTCGATCTAGTATCATGCCTATTCCTATTGGGACTAAAAGATTATATCCTAGGTAGGTTGCTAAATTCAAAATATTTAGACTTGGAATAACTATATGCTAGTATTGTATACACGATCTTTGAAAGCTACCTATTCTTCCCAATAAGAGAATAGAATAGCTAATAAGTATTTTAATTGACTTAAGAAACTCGAATGTAAAGGAAGAAAACAAGCTTTTCGAAAAATAGGAAATCGAAGGAACATGGCTATACGTGTAGACTTAGCCTGACATACTCTGCATTCTTGACTAAATGCTTAGAACACTCATTAAATAGCTGATAATCATAGAGAAATCCAGAATCAACATTGATGACAACATATCACGTGCTACATGGTCCTCTTATCCTAATGTTACTGACACACTAGGGGCATACAGGGTTTTGTATCATCGTATATCTAACAATAGTATGTAAGCAGCACGTAGAGCTCTATAAAGTATGTCTCGAACAGCATATTCTGTGTTTTCACACCAGTAGAGAAGTCTACGAAATGTTCAAAACTTGGAGGTTTGGTACAGACTCTGCCGAAAGGGGTGTACATTGTTATAGGGGTTGTGCTTTCAGCAAGTTCAGTTGTCTATGATAGCATCCGTTTCAGGAGTAAACTCTACTCACAGTAGGTAGACTAGGCAAATAATGATATCGTCCTGATATTATGAGCTCCTGATGATAGAGATATGGACGGTGAAATCGTCAATATCGAGCACTTCCGTTGTAAGCTTAGTACTATTAGATTCATATGGGGTAGGCCTCCTTGGGGGTCACGATGTAGGAATTGCCAGCAAGTCAACCCCTAGACTTTCGAATCAGAGCTACACATGTCTTCCGCCTACGTCAAGACTCCAGGTACAAAGTCCTTGTAAGAGAATTCTAAGACGTGTATGACCGCATATCCTCTCGCACTCATCATTGCATGATCATTCTACTAAAGTGACAGTAGATTGTTATCTTTCATTGTACTTTCTTAACACTCAGCTCGAGATTGACCCCCATAGTCAGCGAGTTCGCCTGAACGAACATGCTTAATTCCAACGCTGACGCACCTCCCGATTGTAAGTCTAGGCTTACCGGCAGACATGACGGCCTGGGCGGCTATTAGATTCACAAATAACCTCTATCTAGATATACTACCGTGACTGCTATTAGGATAGTACTAGAACTAGACTAAACATCTTATATGAGCACTCGACGATTTACACGCTACAATTATATTATGAGATTGACATCTATATAAATATTCGACATGAAAATGTCAGAAAGTCATTGTTCCATTGAGTAGTGGAGCACGAATATTACTAGACGAGGCTCTGCTAAGTAGTGATGGCTCATTACTAATTGAGTAATTGATTACTGATTCCATAAATGACTAACGATTGTATAAGTGAACAATCATTGTGTGACGGATGAATAATTGTGTCACATTGTACCAATGATTACCGGTTGGATCATTGGAAGTTAAGTGATTAGCGGGTTCACAGCTGATGACTGTATTATTGCCTACCTCTACTTGCCCGGGAAGAAACCCCTGCCTTTTTCAAGGCAACGTCGGATGCTACCTCCTCGAACACGGCAGTGAATGGCAAAGCTATTTCAAACGCAGTGACTGGGATTTTGACTCATGCGACTACGGGTAATTATTCTAATAGTCTGGCTTTGTTTAGGGCTTATGATAATAACGGCAAGTCCCGCAATTCGTAAGACTTGGCGTTGGCCAATGCGGTACTCCAGGGCCGCTCGTTAAACTTGCTAGATACGATGGATTGAGTCGGCCCTTCTCAGGGGCTACTGGATCTCGTAGGATTGCATCTAGATCTGTCTTGTCTGACAGTGGGGGCGAGTATCAACAGCAGCAGTGTTGTTGTATATCTTTGTATGAGCTATGTACAGCAGCCTGATAAGTATATTGATCCTCTATATAAAACTGTCTATCATGTCTATCGTTTGTATTCTATAAATCAGCAAAATACTTTTAAAACTTCAACTATAGCTTTTGATACCATAAGGTGTTAATACCGCTCACCAAGCTCGTCAGCCCAGAGAACAAAATCAGTGCTCCATAGCCACTTCCATACCCGCCAATGACTGCCCCTTTCCACGGCATGTCCTTTGTGAGAGCTTCGCTTAGTGGTCCAGAAACGATATTGCCAACTCCTCGCCCGACACACAATAATGAATACACCATTAGTGTGTCAACATACCCAAAACCACGCTCCTCGCCCCGACGGGCCGTCTCTCGCATGACTGCAGGCCATACGGCGGGCCAGCTGCCTGAAAATAGACCAAAGAGGATGCTGAATGTATATAGTGTTGCTATATGAGTGGTAAGACCCCATACTATCAAGGCCGCAATCGTGCTGCCAAGCGAGGATACCAAGATACAGGTGCGCGAAGTGAAACGGTCAGTGAAGTGGCCCATAAGTATGAGGCCGATAGTTGCACTTATGTTGAATATCATGAGTGATACCGTGGCTGGCCAGGCTGATGCACCAAGAATCTCGCGAGCATAGGTTGGTAGATAGATTCCTGGGAGATAGTATCCCGCGCCCTGGATCGTGTTTGCTAGTTGGTTCATCAGAAAGAACCGGGAGCGCAGAGCACGCGGGTTCCAAAATGGTCTTGTGAGAGTTGCCGCCGGGGGTAGACGTGGCTTGACGAAATAGGCTGCAGTGAGTCCGATACCTGCATGAATTCCCGCCCAGATGCGCATCGTGGTAGCGAAGCCCACGTTATTGAGCATGGCACGTAGCATGAGGGGAATAAAGACTCCTCCGAATCCAGCGCCAGAGCCGAATATGCCAAATGCGAGGCCTTTGCGTTTGTCGAACCATTGGTCAATATAGACCAGGCATGGACAGAATGCCAGGCCGCCAGCGAGCCCGAGTATCACACCTTGTGTACCAATCAGTTGGGGAATTTTGGTACAGAAAGAGGATGCAATGTTCGATATTAGCGCGAGAAAGACACCGAACGTCGCCATCCAGCGGGCCCATTGGGGATAGTGGCGGCATAATGGAAGGAATATCGGGGTAGTGAGGAAGAGAATGCCCTTTCACAAATTTAGCTGCAAGTTTGAGATATGCTGGGCAAGAATGCCTACGGTCGTGAGGACACCAATCACAGAACTATTGGATGAGGATGATGCAAAAGGCTCATTTACGGCGTAGAAGTCCTGGAAAACACCATACGAGAAGCCATAGCCTGCATGCAATGTCAAGTTCGGTGCTGCGCACATAAAAGACGGGATATCACACAGGATCAACTTACCTAATATCATGACCTCAATGGTGAAGACCGCGAGGAGGCACAACCAAGCATCTTTTCCGGTATCAACAGGTGGTAAAGTGGAGTAATCGAAGCCCTCGATGCCATTGTTCGGTACACTCTCGCTCTCCCCGAACTGATGCTCAGCATCCACAATAGTAGACTGGGATGCCTTCGAAGCATTGTTCGTCGACGTGCTTGAGGCAATACGTACATCATGCAGGTATATTGAGCTGTGGGATTTATCCTCGCTAGGTCGGTACACCATTGTGAGAGTGGCGTTTTTGCGGCGTGCGTATTAGATGAGTGTAGGCGCTACAGAAAGCAAATGCAATGCAATGCAGATGCAATGCAGATCCTAAGGAAAAGCAAAAGAAAGGGCGGTCAACAGGTAATAAAGCAGCTGCGTGCGGGTGAAGCCCCCAACATCTCGACAAAGCAGATTGGCTGACAAGGAGTACGAGAAATAGACGAGCCAAAAGTGGACCAAGTGATTCGGAGAAGTCGGAAAGCAAAACATTTGCATACGGACTAGCGGGCTCAAGACTCGGACCATGACCCGAACGGCTGGGAGTAAACAGACTCGGAAGTGGGTCCGGATGCTCATGCTAGTACTAGCTTAGAGAAGCCCAACGCGTACCGCGGGACGCCCTAAGAAAGCCACGCCGTCGTCACCCCACTCCCGGCCTATATGCCGCCATACATAGCGGGTGCCTAACGCAAGTCATCAATAGCGCCAGTGGAACCAACTACTGTATAGGCAAAAAATCACCACGAGATTTATAGCTGCGGGAAACAAAAATTGAAAACTCAAACTCACATCATCAGACATATCAGGCGTGGCGAAGTAATCATTTAGTGTGTGCCCCTTCTCAAAAGAGTGATTACGGACATTTACAAGCCCCTGTTATAGACTCGCTGACGAAACTCAACAACCCGTCAGACGGCAGTTTTAATTTTCGGTCTTTTCGCCGAGCATGCAGTATCAATAAAAAAAGTCAACACGGTGGCATGGATGTGCATGTGCCGTGTTTGTGCAGACAGTCATTCGCTTACACACGGCTCTTGGTGTAACCCCACAAGGCGTGATCACAAATGTTTAGCAGAATTACGCAAGCCTGTTGTACTTGGACTAATCTTTAAGTATCCAATCACTCACTGCCCCCTGTACGAAGCCCTTCATTTTGCCAAAGCCCTCCGGAACAGTGCACACAACTTTTCAAACGACTCGTCCGAGATCTGATAATGAAAGACCAGTCTCTCTGGGATCACACCACCCAACTTCAGCCCATATTCCTCCTTTGCTAACTTAAAGAAACCTTCCATGTCTACCCCTGATCCTTCGTAGTCCAGCCATACCATATTTGTCTCCCTGCGCTCCAAAAGCTTACCCCCAAGTTCGGTCCATAATTCGGATGCCCGTTGCGCTTTGTCCTGGGCAGCCTTCATCTTGCCGCCAAATAGAACATCATCAATCGCGACTCGTGCCGGCGCTGCAATAACACCCGATGCCCTGGTCCCACCACCGAGTAGTTTTCGGCTCCATTTGGCTCTAGCAATGAAGTCTTTCTTTCCAATGACCATACTGCCGAGTGGTGCGCCAAGACCCTTGGTAAAGCACACCTGGATACTATCAAAACACTTGCCGATTTCTTCGAGTGATCCGGCACCTGCTGCAACAGCCTCCCATAGCCGGGCCCCGTCCAGATGCATATGGATTCCCCGTTCCCGTGCCCAGTTCGAGATGGCCTGGATGTCGCTCAGCGGCAGAATGCGTCCTTCCATGGGATTCTCAAGTGCAATTACGCGCGTAGGACAGTCGTACATGGTATTCCGTAGCGTGGCAAATCTCTGAACATCTGCAAGCGTGAGATGGTGCTCATTCGCAGGTACTACGCTTCGGACGAGCGTGCCGCAGATTCCAGACGGTCCACCGCCCTCGAAGTGCATTATGTGGCCGCGATAGTCACACAGAATCGAGTGCGGTGGATTGCCTAGGGCAGTCCGTAAGGATACTTGGTTACCCATCGTACCTAGAGGGTCGTAAGCACGTGATCGAACATGGTAAGAATTGTGATAGTACCAGTCGGGACTAACAAAGCACTCTCGTGTCCTAAAAGGCCTGCAACATAGTCTTGCAAGTCGTTTGTTGTAGCGTCTTCGTCATTGTCACCGTCGTCGAGTGTCGTACGGATAATGGCTTCTAGCATAGGAAGGGTCGGTTTGGTGTAAAAATCGGATATGAAATTGTTGGAGCTCTCGCGACAGTGAGCCCACGCGATAGAGGAGAGGTCTAGCTGATTTTGGGGCTCAGGTTGTGGTGCCTGTTTTGGCTGGGCTGCTTTTTCATTGTCAATGGCCTCAAGAACTGTTTCTGTAACAGTTGCATGGTTCTTCTCGGAACCAGCTGTCTTGGTGAAGACAAAGTCTTCCACTGCGTTGTCAAGTGTGATTCCGGGTGCCATTGTGAGATTTTTATGAGCAAGCGTAATAGGGCTTGGTAGTGTTTCACGAACTGGATGGCCATGTGTGGGGACAAGCGTAGTTATATTAGTTTGCGGTTGCAGAACCTTAGAAGGGCGCTTGATAGATGATGGCCTGTGGAGGATCGGGTTTCCAACTTCGTAAAAATGAGACAAAATTCCGACTCGGAATTGTTTTTTATGGCAGTCGGGTTCCGAATATGGCATCACAACCACGTGGCAGCGTGCCATGTATTATAATTGGCGACGATCGAAAGTAGTGGAGCTGGCAGTGCAGATCTTGCTAAGAGAAAATTTATACATTGAGAAGAGGTCATTCTTAGAAAAGAAAAAGCTGCGCTGTTAGATTCTACGCCACTAAACTACCTACTTGGGGACCGTATCACGTCCTATTGGTGATCAAATGAAAACTGATTGTCACAAGAACGCCAGACTCGAATACTTACCAGCCGGCATGACTAGGGCGAATTGGTCCACTATGACCAGCATAATACTCTATATCGTTTGCGTACTAGTAAATAGAAAAGAGTCCCCATCAAGATGACGGACTCCGAGATATGCCCCGTTATCGTGCTCGCAGAATGCCAGATTTAGGAACTAAACAACCGAAAGAAAGCACACAAATGGAAAATCAGACCTCCGATATCCTTGAACCTTATTCTCGGAATGTCTTACTCACCATATATTAGCATATACCCCCATGATACTCGTCTGACTCTATAGTTTTTTTTTAAAACGCCCCTCAGGCTGATCTCGTAACTCCTATATTTTGAACGGCATCGATGGATACGAAAATTTGCCGCATAATTGGAGCGTAATCTATTGTAAGTGGTGCTGATCACGCTGGTTCGTGCTGATATTCAACATTCATAGCACATCAACTCCAGATGACAAAGTTTTGACCTACCCTCAATGTCGGATACATGCTCTAGTAGAGCTCAGGAGGGCGTAGGAGACGAGTTCAATGCTACAGATGATGCAACCACACTGGGGCTTTGCCTTCATCATCTGATAGACCAGGTAATTAAGACGAATTCAGAGAATGTCGCCGCAATTTGTGGCGACCAAAAATTATCTTATGCGGAGCTCGGGGCTCTCGTGGACCGATATGCTAGCATACTAGAACAACATAGTGTCAAGCGTGGCGATCTTGTCGGCATCGTGCTCGATCGGTCTCTTATGCTTGTCGTCGTACTGCTGGCTGTTTTGAAAGCTGGTGCCGCATATGTCCCCATCGATCCAACTTTTCCCCAGGATCGTATTCATCATATGCTGGAAGATGCAGACCCAAAACTCGTGGTCGTTGAAGCATCTACAGAGAGCTCAATGTCTTTCTGGCGCGGACCTGCCCTGAATATCGACACTGTTGAAAAGAAGCTTCCGCATTCTACTACTGCTTCAGACAGTCATGTGGACCCTGATGATCTCGCGTATGTGATATACACGTCAGGTTCGACCGGAAAACCAAAAGGGGTCGAGATCAGTCACGAGGCATTGTGCAACTTGTTGCTCGGGATAAAGAGCACGTCCGGACCTGGATGTCGAGCATCGGACCGACTCCTCGCCGTAACAACAATCTCTTTTGATATCGCCATGCTAGAAATCTTTCTCCCGTTGATCTGCGGTGCGACTGTGGTTGTTGCCCAGAAGGCAGAAACGAGGGATCCACGCGCGCTAATGAGTATGATCAAGCGCCATAGTATTACAATAATGCAGGCCACGCCTGCTACTTGGCAAATGATCCTCGAGTCTGGCTGGCATAGCGATGTCCATCTTTCCACGATCATATGTGGTGGTGAAGCACTGCCTCAAAAACTTGCAAATCGATTGCTCTCGTGCGCGGAATCTGTATGGAACGTTTACGGCCCTACGGAAGCGACTGTCTGGGCCAGCATGTGGCGAGTGTGTCCAGACCAGCCTGTAGTGATCGGAAGGCCAATCAATAATTATCGACTTTATGTGTTGGATAACAATGACCTCTCTAGGGTTCCTATTGGTACCGAGGGCGAATTGTTCATTGGTGGCGCTAGTCTGGCTAGAGGATACCACAAAAAGCCTGAGATAACCCAAGAGCGGTTCATACATAATCCGTTCCACCCGGGCTTGATGTATCGTACAGGAGACCTAGCACGTTTCGACTCATTGGATTCCCTACGCGTTTTGGGGCGTGCCGATGGTCAAGTCAAGATTCGCGGTTTCAGGATCGAGGTTGGAGATATCGAAGCCGCCATCACCGATCATGACGACATTGCAGAAGCTGTAGTGAATGCTCAACAGGGGAGACTCGTGGCTTACTGTATTCGCAAACAGAAAACACAAACGAAGAACGGGTGCGAAGACTCACGGAGCATTGAGACTTTCTTACGACCTTTCCTAAAATCGCGACTGCCAGAATACATGATGCCGGCGTTCTATCTAGAACTGAAGGAATTCCCGATGACCCCGAACAAAAAGATCGATCGCAAAGCTCTCCCAGTACACACCGAAGTTGTTAAGCCGCAAGCAATGAGTCAGCAACCACAGACGGGGTTGGAAAGTAGTATTCGGCTCATCTGGTCAGAAGTCCTCGGCCATGATCGCATAACGACGGAAGCGAATTTCTTCGAAATCGGAGGAGATAGCATTCGGGTAATCAAGGTTCAGAAGGCACTGGAGCAGCTACTCGATCGAATATTGTCTCCCGCGATTCTATTCGAGCACTTCACTATCAAAGCGCTTGTGGAATTTCTGCACGGCACTTCAGTAGTTGAGCCAGATCGCGGACTGTCGACGAATCACATAACAGCCGACGAAAGTATAGCCATAGTTTCTATGGCTTGCCAGCTCCCGGGAGGAGTGACCAGCCCTCAGGAGTTCTGGGATCTCCTTGAGCGAGGCGCTGACGTCATCACAAGCGTTCCGAAGGATCGATGGGACGCCGAGGAACTATATAGCGCTGGATTATCGTACTGTCGCCGAGGCGGGTTTCTCGATTCCGTAGACGAATTCGACGCCCCCTTTTTTGGGATCTCACCGCGTGAGGCCCGATCCTTAGATCCTACTCAACGCATTGGCCTCGAGACGTGTTGGGAAGGGCTAGAGCGTGCAGGCTATACGGCAGGTCAACTACGTGGCAGTAACACGGGTGTATATATGGGAGTGTGCACCATCTCCGCCCACAACTCCTCAGTGCCAAGCTTAGGAGAGCTCGATGGATACGCCATTACTGGTACTGCGGGTAGTACACTTTCCGGCCGAGTTTCGTACGCATTTGGTCTCGAAGGTCCAAACATGACTATTGATACTGCGTGCTCTTCGTCGCTTGTCACAACGCATCTAGCATGCAATGCTCTACGACAAGGAGAATGTGACTTAGCGATATCAGGCGGCATAAGTCTACTTCTCAGTCCAGCCATGCATGTCGAGTTCAGCCGACTTAATGGTATGTCAATAGACGGCAGGTGCCGCGCATTCGCGAACGATAACTCGGGTACTGGCTGGTCTGAAGGGTGTACAGTTGTCGTTTTGAAAAGACTCAGCGATGCTATGCGTGATAAGGATCATATTCATGCAGTCATACGAGGAACAGCTGTCAATCATGGCGGTAGAAGTGCCCCTGGCCTGACAGTTCCAAGTGGCAAAGCGCAGCAACGGCTTATTCAGACAGCCTTACAGGCGTCACGGCTATCACCAGGCGATATTGACTTGGTCGAAGCCCATGGGACGGGCACCCGACTCGGCGATCCAATTGAAGGGGTAGCTCTGGCAGGTGTCTATGGCGGCAGTCGATCAGTAGACGACGAACCGCTCTGGGTCGGCAGTTGTAAAAGCTCGTTTGGTCATACGCAAGCTGCAGCTGGTCTGGCTGGTGTAATAAAAGTCGTTATGGCCATGAAGAACAATAAGATCCCTCAAACCTTACACGCTACAAAGCCCACTCAAGCAGTCGACTGGGAGGGCTCCCGCATGGCGCTGGTGCAGGAGGCACAGCCCTGGCATCCTCGACTTAAGCGGGCCCGGCGAGCAGGAGTGTCAGCTTTTGGAATATCAGGGACCAATGCCCATGTTGTGGTGGAGGAGCCTCCACGACAGATACCTGATCATCAGTTGGATCAAGATGATGGAGACAGTGATGTGGAAGCTACGGAGCTGCCACATTACCAGTCATTGGAATCGAGACGAAGCGTAGCAATGCCTTTTCTCCTATCAGGACATACTGAAGTATCGCTGGCCCAACAGGCTGAAAAACTCAAACAACATATCTCTGCCCATGGGCAGGGTCCCAATTTCCGCTTGAGAGACATTGCTTTCTCCCTCGCTACTACACGTACGCTGTTTGGGAGACGCGATATAGTCTGGGCTAAAAATCGGACCACGCTGATCAGTGGACTTGACTCAATAGCACAAACTTCGTCCGCATCCATACCAGCAACCTCGACCTCACGCCTTGCAATGCTCTTCACCGGTCAAGGAAGTCAAGCTTGTGGTATGGGCAAGGGCCTCTACGAAGCCTACCCCATTTTCCGAGTGGCGCTCGATGAAATTGTGGCTCGATTTTCTGGACTTGATGTGCCGTTGCTCGAGGTTATGCACGCTCCAAGCGGAAGTGAAGCGGCATCCTTGCTGCAGCGTACTGACTATGCGCAACCAGCATTGTTTTCGCTCGGAGTGGCCTTGTGGTCCTTATGGAAAAGCTGGGGTGTAGTTCCAGACGTACTTTGTGGCCACTCGGTTGGCGAGCTAGTTGCAGCACACGTCGCTGGAGTACTGAGCCTGACTGACGCATGTATTTTAGTGGAAGCTCGTGGCCGCTTGATGCAAGCTGTGCCCATGCAAGGAGCAATGGTCTCTCTTCAGGCCAGCTGGGAGGAGGTGGAGAAGGCAATCGATGCACTGGAATTGAATGGACAGATTGACATCGCTGGACGAAATACGCCGATGCAAACGGTAGCTTCAGGAGATATTAGTGCTGTCGAGCGGATTGCTTCGTATTTTGCTGGCTACGAACGGAAGACCAAGCTGCTTGACGTATCGAAGGCCTTCCATTCGCACCACATGGATACAATACTGACCGCTTTCCGATCGGTGGCTGAGAATGTGGAATTCAAGAGACCACAGTTGCCCATTGTCAGCACTCTAACAGGGAGGCTTTGCGAGCCAGGCGAGATGGAGACACCCGACTACTGGGTCCAACAAATCCGCCAAGCTGTTCGCTTCACTGATGCGGTCCAGACGTTATTCTTGCAGGATACGACAAGTTTTGTTGAACTGGGACCTCGACCGATCTTAGCCGGCATGGGCGCAGCATGCCTTGAGAATGAGCAGACCATCACCTGGTTACCATCAATAATACACGGCAAGGATGAAGCCACAACTATACAACGTAGTCTGACCGAGTTGCATAAGAAAGACATATCCATTGACTGGACTGGATACTTTGGCTCCATAAAAGGTTGCCAGCGTGTAGAATTACCAACGTATGCCTTCCATAAGGAGCGATATCCACCTTTACGCAAGAACACTCTATCACCACCAGATGGACATCAAGGTCTAAGCATGAACGCCATCAAGGCGCAAGACATGAACGACCCTCCAGACGCGAGCATTGAGCCACGTGCGACCGAGCTCGCAATTACATGGAAGGAGTCCAGTAGCAAGGGAACTATAACTGCAGACCCGTCAAAATTGACAGGTACTTGGGGGATGATCCGATCGAACTACAGCGGCCCACTGTCGATGAAGATCATGGATGGTCTTCTACAAAATGGCCTATCGGTTCGCTGGGTTGACCTTCAGGATATCAACACATGGACCGACCTATCTGGGCTTCTATGCGTATGGGAGCCTCAGGTCGAAAATGACGTTGATCACGTGGAACAACTCACCACAGAGGCTTTCGCTCAGTTGCAGGCGATCATCAGAGCGCAGCTAGCACAGCCTCTACTATGGGTCACTCTCAACGCGGTTGATACAGGTTCAGGTGAAATAGAGCTTCCGGGTTTGCATTCGTCAACTCTCTGGGGACTAATGCGAACTGCACGGAACGAACACACCGAGCTGAGTCTCCGCTTGGTAGATCTAGACATCAACTTGGCGGCTGATACCAGCCTGGTGAAAGCACTAGCCATGATCAACGAGCCTGAATGCGCTGTACGACACAGCGGGATCTTGCTACCAAGATTAGAAAACGTGAATATCACTTCCAGGGGAGCGCAACTGCTCCGCACAGATGGAGCGGTCATTATCACTGGAGGTCTTGGAAGTCTTGGTCGCCGTGTCGCCATGTGGCTTGCCATCTCCCACAATATACGAGATATAGTGTTGCTATCCCGTCGGGGAACGGACACACCGGGAACAGACAGCTTCGTCAAAGAGCTTGCCGATGCTGGTGCTCAGGCCACGGTATTGTCTTGCGACATCGCTTCTCGTGAAAGTGTGGATAATGCCATCTCCTTGTTCACTGCACTGCGACCATTACGTGGAGTGGTTCATACGGCCGGTCTGTTGGACGATGGAGCCCTCCAAGACTTGACTCCGGAACGTATCAATCGAGTCCTTGGGCCCAAAGTTCATGGCGCCTGGAATCTGCACCAATCTACTCAAGGGCTAGATTTGGACATGTTTTTGATATTCTCTTCCATATCAGGTATCATTGGAAATCCCGGACAGTCTTCTTACGCCGCGGCCAACACATTCCTTGATGCGCTAGCGTACTTCCGCCGGTCTCAAAGACTTCCAGGAACCTCAGTAGCTTACGGCCCTTGGGCAGGCGGTGGTATGGCAGAAAAACTCAGTAAATTAGGTCTCGCACGCTGGCAACGCATGGGTTTCAATATGATCCAGTCGGACGAAAGCCTGCAGCTTACCGAGAACGCTATACGCAGCGGTCGCCCACTTGCGGCGGTGGCTGTACTTGATCCAGGTCGATTACATAGGTTCCTCTCCAATGATCTGGACGAAAGATCGACTCTTTTGAGCCTGCTCCAAGGCCAGAAAGGACGCAAAGTCCCGCCAAAAGACCTCAAGAACAAGAAAGAAGATCTTCGAAGTATGCTGAAGCAAAGTGCTGTCACTGAGCAAGGGGAGATTGTTCTCACTACGGTGAAGGCGACCGTTGCCAGAATATTAGGAATCGCGCATAGCGGGGATGTGGACAGCGATCGCGCCTTGCAAGATATTGGCATAGACTCGTTGACAGCAGTGCAGGTGCGGAATCATCTGGAGAAGTCGACGGGCTTGAAATTGAATGCCAGGATTGCCTTTCAATATCCAAATCTCCGGGCCCTGAGTAAATTTCTTCTCACCAGCCTACAAGAAGACATGATGGATTCAGACGATTCGAGCACTGGCGATATTTCGACACCTCCGACTTCCGTGAAATCCGAGTCGATTGCACCGAGTATTGATATAGCTGCAATCAAAAAAGGCTATCTGGACCCAACTCTTAAATTTAGATCTACGGAACCCACTAAGCCACCCAATGCCGTATTTGTCACAGGGGCCACAGGTTTCGTGGGTGCTTTCATTGCGGCAGAGCTCTTGAGCATGGGCATTTCTGTTCATTGTCTCGTGCGCGCTGGTTCCGACCAGGCTGCTAGACAACGGCTACTCGATTCTTTAGCAGCCCATGATTTGTGGAAACCCAGTTTTGAGCCACTTCTTCATGCGATTGTCGGGGATATGTCACAACCACTGTTTGGGTTACCAGATGAACAATTCCAGTATTTGACAGAGACTATTGATTCAATCTGCCATTCAGGTGGTCTTGTAGACTGGGTTCGTCCACTTGACGACTATCTCGGTCCAAACATTGTTAGTACCCATGAGATACTACGTTTAGCATCACAAGGTCGGGAGAAAACAGTGCACTTCATCTCCACCATGTCTACTCTGCCAGTGTATATGGGCCTCGAGCTGGTAGAAGGGGACGGAGAATATGGCTATGCTACTTCAAAGTATACAGCTGAACGGATGGTTGCAGCTGCACGCTGGCGTGGAGCCAACGCATCTGTCTACCGGTTGCCGTTCGTCACAGCCTCGACTGAAAGCGGCTGCTTTCGGTTGGACCGGGGTGATTTTATGCACAGCTTCATCTCTGGTTGTCTTGAAATGGGATTCTTCCCCTCGCTGGACGGAGCAGATCTCGCAGCAGTCCTGCCTGTAGACTATTTGGCTACAACCATCGTCACAAAGATGACGCAAGATTTTGAAAGCGTTGGCAAGGATTACGACTTTGCGAATGCAAATCCTCTTAGCTTCAATGCGTTCTGGAAGTTATTGAGTCTGGCCAGTGCTGGGCAAGAAATCGTGCCATTCGTTGAGTGGCGAGAACGGGCATTTGCTCATGTTGCGTCCCATCGAGAATCCCCACTTGCTCGTATTATGGCTTTGATTGATGGGGTAAAGGACGAGAAGAATGCAGTGGCATTCGTCACTGGCCCCATGGTTGGCCCAGAAGTGCTTGGAGGCAAAATCTATCCGGTGCCAGAGATAGACGAGCGAGTGGCCAGGAATTATGTGACTCGGATTACAATCAACAGTCGAGGGTTCAAAACGGGCGTCTGAGAGCGTTTAGTGTGTTCATCAAAAAGTTTCTTTACCTTGATATCACGTCAGACCGCAAGTGTACGCCGTTTCCAAGTAATTGCAATTAAGTTAAACGACTGACGAAGAACTTAATACATGTTCGTGGCCGAAAATTTATCCAGGATCTAGGTTGCAACAGATAGTGGGCATGCAAATGACAGATGGAAGGCTGGGAGAGCAACAAGCCCGTGATAGAAATCAAACGTCCTTAACAAACGGGCGGACAAATGAAAGAATGAAAGCATCTATGAGTGATGCATATCTGAGAGGGGGGTAGATGGATTATGTAAGCAGAAGACGCGTCGGAGGTCTCTACTAGTAGCTTAAGCTACTGAGACGCGCCGCGCTAATTCTCATTCGACTAGCTTAGATTGTATAAAGCTCATGAACGTCACTAGTGGTGCGTGAGCACTCTTCTCGACCTTGGAATCAAGCGCTGGGTCTCCTTTTCATATATGGTCAGACAATCATCAATAACGGAGAGTACCTCCAACAGCCTCAACGTTGAATTCATGACCTGCCTTGAGGGGCTGAGGAAGGGGAAAAGTATAATAGAAACACGAGGGCATGATGTCTTTTGGTAGCCGTTCAAGCTGGAACTTGAATGATAGTCTAGTCGAGACCTGTTCAGATCTAGATTTTGGTCAGAACTCCGAAGATGGAGAGGCTCTCTGAAAATTAGACGCCGTTACATTTGCCTAACCGACATCTAGCACGAACGTCTCGCTATGGGCAGGAAGGCATAACCAAGCATCTGAGCGAACATGGTGTAGCAGTTCCGAACGGTTCCTATTATGTTACAGATCAACAAGAGCTTTGGTCAAACAAGTCACTGTCATCTTCCCGGCCTTAGCTGCTAAGTCTTTGACTCATTGCAAAAGCGAGAACGTAATGGTTGGGTCGGACGATTCAAACTGGCAAGAGCTAAAGTGTTCTTGATGGTAATATTTGGCTTCGATATTGGTAGCATTTACCGAGTGGGTGATACGGAATTCCGAGTGCCACAAAGAGCTGAGCATTCCAGAATCGCCGCTTGCCGACGTGTTCTAAATGCGGCAGAAACCTGCTCGTTTCCGAACGAGTCGGACAAACTCGCAGGTATGAAAACCTTCAAAGTAAGTCTTGGATTCTAAGAAGACGTGAGCGTGTCCTCTACCAGATCATTAACCAAGCGAGACTGAATGTTTATGCATCGGCCCTATGGTTACTCAAACGCATTACCTCATTGAGCATAGCGGGCCAACGAAAAGTCTCACTGCAAGTCGGTCCAATTCCCAACGACGGGCCAGGGTCAGACCATACATGCATTTACGCCATACCCGACCAGCTAAAACCATAGAGTTTGCTGCTGCAGAGGTACGTGTCGCTGCATATTTTCATCGGGCGAAGAATTTGAACCCGTATTGTATTCAGAGCAATGTAGGCCACGAAGACATCAAGGCCCACACTGCTACCTTATTAAATCAGATCGCAGCGATCGCGCACGGAATAGCTTCTTGTCAACAAATCCTTCACTGCGGCGGCTCATCAACGCGAATGTGCAGATGAGACGCGGCGAGGAAGGTGTTATTGGAGCGGAAACATGTCCCGCTACCAGCCTCTCCACTCGTGGCTTGACTAGTCTGCTGCTGAAAGATGCTCAGAATTCCCATGCCATGCAGCTGCACCTCTTTCCAAAAAGCATCAAAGAAGCTGATCACTCCAATACACAGGTGCCGACAATCACGTCATCTGAAAACACTTACCTAAGAGCATTTTACCTAAGAGCGCTTACCTGATTACTCGCCGAGCAGGCATGAGCGAATTGTCTTCCACAGCAAAGATCGCTCGCATTGAATCACTAATGTCAAAGGATAGGGGGTCGATACTAATCATTCGCTGCCCAAACTTAAGCCGAAGTTGCCACCGCCGCCCTACATGGGCGTAGCCATGGGTGCATTGCTCGAAAGACCAAAGAAACGTATACCGCATGGTATGCTGAATATGTGCAATACCACACCGCTACATCCCGCATAGTGTTCGAAGCTTGGAGGGACAGCATGGTCACCAAATACCATGATTGGTAAGATTGAAACAAGCAACGAAAGAGTGCTGCAGGGTCCCGCGGAGCCCCTGTGGACGAACCAGAAAACAGGGTTTACCCTCTGCACGCTCGACGACATCACGGCTCCGATATGGCAAATTACTCACATCTTTGGGAACGATATATACTCCGGTACCCGAAGAATCAACATCACGATACGCAATGTCCATAGGTGACAACACTCGGCTTCGCGCCTCGTGCGAGCGCTGTAGGGGCCAAAAGCTCCGGTGTCTTCCTACATCTGACTCTACGCCGGGCGCACCTTGTCAACGATGCATCAAGGCCAAGACTGCAGAATCCTGTGTCTTCATTCCTCGCTCGCGCGCACCACGGCCCGCACGCTCAAGAGCATCATCCAGCGATATCTCAAGATGCAAGGATTCGACCACAGAAACGGCACTTCCTGGAACGAGTGTGTTCGCATTGACGCCGAACCCCAGCCCAGATTGTTTTGAGGCTTATCAATCATTCACATCAACACCTACTCACGGGACAGCGCAGTTGTTCAACTCGGACGAAGCATACGCCGCGCCACCAGGCTCCACCGATCTTGTGTCAACATATTGGGAAGCTAATTTAGGAGGTCTATTGGCACAAGACTCCTGGAATGAGTCAATGCTTATGGACAGCGACCCTTCATCGTTAGAATGTTCCCAGCCAGCCGAATCTCCTATTGAAGACCCTGCGAGGGCAGAGACAAGCGACTCTGTTGGTTCTCCGCCGAAATCATGGCCATTGGACGGGAACTCAATTGATCTGGAATCTACAACCGACAATGAGCAACAAGACGGAAGCGTGGATCCTCTTCTGCATCTCACCAACCTTCTTGCCGAGATGTACCGATACGAGCAGCAACTTGCACGACTCCCAGTAAAGGATGCGCTGGAATACCCCGTTGGTGATGCTCTGTACTTCTCTCAGCTGTTCCGAAGTATCCTTTTGCCCACGGGAATACTATCTCAAGAAAGTGCTATATCCGCACTAAGCACTCCAACGATTCTGCTAGTCCTGTCCTGTTTTGTGACGCTCTATCGAATATATACATTCATTTTTCGCCATTTCGTCACTTCGTTATCGCAAGATCCTAGCCTCAATCAACCACTTAACCGTCTTGCGGAAACCCGTTCTTATCGCGGACTTCGCCTCGCCCAACTGCATAAAGTATGTTTCTGCTCTCACGGCGAGTTGATTAAAAGTGCAGCCCTTCTGCTCCTTGAATCACTTGGGGAAACGGAAGACCTCCTGGAGATTCCTGTCGACGCACGAGCCACGACAGTGCGGGGCGGCTCATCGACAGCATCTCCAAACTCGACACGAGGCACTCAAAATAGTGGTGAAAGCTTAACTACAGAGCAGGGATCGCCTTTTATGGCGAAGAGCGAAGTCTTTTATCACGCCGTTGGATTGCATGCAAAGGATTTACAGAGGCAAGTTGAGCAACTCATGGACATGTTCAAAAGGATGTCAGTGCGAGCGAGGGAGCACTGCAGGGCTCTCTAAGATTACAAAAGTTTATAGATCAATGTGCCTAAGACTACAGCTATCATTGTACAAGCTCTGAATGTATACACACCTTCGTACATCTGGCGAACTAGTATGTGAAAACACGAGTGTTTCCGACATCAGATCTAGGCATGTTCGGTTGATGTTATTGATGCAAAGACTCCGGTCATATTTTCCAGCCAACATAGGCGCCTCAGAAATAGTGGCCAGCTTGTTGCACCGCGGCTTACTGTTACTACCGTACCAAGTCCCAATGAGGCAAGGCCGTTCGCTCTAATATTACCCCGCGACTATGGAACGGACCGTCTGAAAGCGTGCGGAGATTAATTATCCGATCACAGCTGCCGACCGAGCCTCTAACACTAGAAGACCAGTAGCACCTTGAAGTTCACCGTAGCTAATCATGTTAAACTCGGTCTCTAAGCTAGCCGGATCAGCTATGTAGACCCTTCTCTAAATAAATAGCTTATGCCTAATAAGATAAATAGATGACAGAAAAAGCTCTGATGATTGGAGTATCTTATTAATATATTAGTAAGTAAGAAAGCACACTAAATACTTCTAATTATTACCAGGTAACGTTTATTAATATTGATTATCTTATCAATCAGCTATCGCGATTAGCCCAAGCTTCGCTCGCTCTTAACAATTACGCAGACAAGTTTATTCCTTCTTATGGCGCATGATGACGACAAAAGGATCTCAAAGGGTGGCGAGCGATTCAGCCAGTTTTAAGTACGTGGTATGAGGCCCTTCCGAAAGTCTGTGGCTTTCTAGGCAACAACGTAACATAATTCTCTCATCTACAGGGCGAAGACTGGAGCTGTCGCTTGATATTTGAATTCGCTGACTGCAGCTCTGGGAAATAGTAGGTTGTTTCACAAGAATGCCAGCAGTAAGCTGTTGGGATGTGTCAGGAATGTTGGGTCCTGTGCGGTACGCTGTTCAACACGATTGTATATCTCAGGGACAAAGCGGTCGGACACACAAGCCTGATCCGATGTGGCGACTTTTTTTAACATTCCATCCATCAGAAGCACACTAGAGCCGGAATGTGACACGAAGAAGCTAAGAGCTTTGTCCACATTGGAACTGAACGTTGGACATCACCTAAGGAATGCTTCTCGAGCAGGAGTTGCAATATCGAATATGATGATATTGAACGATCGATACTTGTACTGCTATCTTGGAATGGAAGAGCTTCCCGATACCGGTTGATACGGTCTATGATCTAACAAAAGATCACAAAATTATGACACCTGCTAGAATCAGTATATAATGCAGTCAGAAGAGTTGAACGATCTATACCGCTGGATCCCAAGTCTCCTTAACATCTTCAACAGTTTGTGCCGACATTAGCAAGCTACTCTACATATCTTCGTATCTCTTCCTGCCTGGACCATGTCAGACAGAAGCTCATCCACACCGCCTGAGTGGCTGATGCCTTCAGAGGAAAGGCACAGTGAGTGGACGTCGGCGTCCCTCGACGTTCTCGAAGAAACGATCGCAAATTTGATTGAGAGACTTACCAACAAAACCCAGCCTGACAAGATCCAGAAAATCAATCGCATACAGGAGGAAGAGGACGAGTTTGGACAGTATCATATGCCACTCTCCAATCCTGACGACATACCCCTACAGCGAGAGATCAACGCGCAATGGGATACGGTCCGCACTTGTCTCCTACCGAACGGTCAGGACGAGGGGTTTCTCCATGAGAGATTGCAGACCATTCTGACAAAGATGCGTGCGCGGGGTAGCGATCTTCTGGGAGATGGTACCGAAATAGAGCAGCTTATCTTCATATGGTATGCTGTTGTCTGTCTACTGCAAGATATCAATGCTGGTAAGCTTTCTTATATATCAGCGGAAGCCCTACCTCACACCTTACTAGAAAATTATCTCCATGGGAGAGATGGCGATGATGACATTAACTATGACAAGGCTTCACCATTTTACAAATACCCAGATGTTTCTCTATTCAGCAAGATCGATGGCGCATGGGCGGCTTTGGATCGCGGAATTATGAATCTTCTGAGCGGGATAAACGCAGAGAGGAGCCCGGCAGAACTCCCCGGCTGGAACCGCATGGCTACTCATTTCCATCGCGGGTCTGTACTGGCGGACCTCGTGTACTGGAACCCAGACGAAGAGTTTGATCGAGACACCCATCACATGAACATTATGGCGGAACCGATGAACAACACACTTGGTCCACGATCTCGTCTATGCTACGAACTTATTGTTGCCTATGAGTGGCGTGGCTACTATCCAGATAGGAAGATGAACACCATCCGCCTCCTGGAAGCGAAACTTGACTCCGGTAAAGATGCAAATTCTGACAAGGTGAGCTCGCTTAGTAGCACACCAGAGTCTCTTGATCTCTCGGAAGGATCGCCGCCATCAGTAGCAGAGGAGGAGGAGGAGTGATGCTGTATGACATTCTCTGTCTGCTGAAAGCTGTGCTGGTCAAAGTTTCAGACAAACAGATATTCAAAATGGACGAGGAACGTCTGCTAGCTCAGACCTAAAGCTAGCTTTAGGAGTTTCGATACTATTTGAGGAGACATGATGTTATCAAAATTCGATGCTTGAGCACATCATCTTGGAGCTAACATGGAGTGAATCTTCGTAAAGTATGTGCTAGAAGCTATATCTGGCAGGTAGCCAACAGAACAAAATCCCGCAGTCCCGTAGTGGAGTTTCTTCCCACGGACTGTTTCGCAAGGGAGAACGACACCTAAAAACATTGACACTCTATTTCATAACATAGCCAGGAGGTTAGAACGCTCAAAGTATGAAATATAACATGATTTCGACAGTCAATTGACTAAGATATGACCGTAAAAGGCCTTGATGCCGCGTCAACCATAAGGTATGTATAGTGATAACAATTTGTGAAAGCTACATTCTCTAGTTATTTTCAGGCTATATCCAGTTCATGGAAATATGCGATAATGTGCTGGGTGTCGTTTCCATGATACTGCTAGTCAAAGGATGTCATAGTACGTTGAGTAGTCTAGTCAATCCTTTAGTTATCTTAACCTAACATGATTAGTAGTAAAGGAAGATGATAGCTTAGACTCGAAGACCATGATCAAAACATAATCACTAAGACACAAGGTTGAGACCTTAATTTTGGGTATAGCCAGCAGCGCTGGCGAAGGAATCATCATTGTGGTATTCGAAATCAAAGAACTTTTCTCGTTACCAACCGCTGAACCCCCCTCACTGGGGTAGAGAGTCCACCTCTCCCACCCCTTCACTCCCACCTCACCCTCTTCGCCGCCCTCTCCCCATCGGGGCCTCCATCCACTTCCACCTCTCTCTTCCTCTTCCTCCCCCCCTCTTCACCACGCCTCTCTTCCACCAACTCCTCCCCCACCTCCGTCAGCGGGCTCATCGGCGGGCTCTCCAGCACCGCCTCACCCCTTCTCTCCTCACCCCCAACCTCCAAAGCCCACGTCCTCTCCGGATGAGGACATCTGACATCCAGACTCCTCGTCCCCACCCTACCCTTCTCCCCCACCCTCACCCCACTGAACCCCCGACCGACACCCAACCATGTCTCCTGCTTGAGCAAGCCGCGCATCAAGAGTTCCACATGGCCGAGGCGGCCGGGAGCCAGCTGCACCGACGGATCCACCGGGACGCCGAAGCTGGTGCGGTCGAGCCAGCAGTATGCGCCACTGGCGCCAGCAGAAAACCAGAAGAACTCCATCTTGTCGTTGTTGATGATGAGTACGGGACCAGCCCGTACTCCCTCCTCTGTCATGACGCGCTTGGTATACGCGTGCAGCTCGTTGTCGGTGGTGTCGGGGCACCACAGAGCGCGCACTTGCGGCGGGGAGGCAATGGCGAGCACCAGGGCCCAGAAGGAGGAAATGTCGCTGGGACCAGCCCAGGACGGCGCAACGAGAGAGGGGTTGTAGTGCTTGATGTGGTATTCGTAGATCTGGTCGGCGGGAATGGTCGTTTTCTTGTGCTTTTTGGTGAGGCGTACCCGGACGGGGTGCTCAAGGTTTCCCTTGGCCTCGATACTGAAGCCGGCGGCGGCGGTGAAGAAGTGGTGGAGGATCTGGCTGACGACCACGCAGGTATCCTCACAGAGATCGGCATATGAGACCGTCCGGGGGTACCGGTAGGCCATGCACCACTGCTTGAAGAGGGCAGTGGCGGAGGCAATGAAGAGGGCCAACTGGGAGATTCGTGCTGGGAACATGATGGTAGTGAAGGATTTGATCTTGCTGATTGTTTGTTCTGACGATTCGGCGCGTTGGATATGAGAGATGTCGACTTGATGAAGGCAAGAAGTGTGAAAAAGTGCAAGCTTGCGAGATGAAAGTTGATGTTTGACAGCAGCGGATCAGGTTTGTAGACAAAGAAGAAAAACTTGTGTAGAGGCAGGGTGAAGCTGTATTTATATGCAAGCAAGAGGCCTACGCTATTCACCACAGCTCAATTCTATATAATTTCCATTGACATGATGCCCTATTGAGAACTCGTGTGAGTTAGGAGGTGAAACCGTATTCACGGAGACGAAGTGAACAGGGATTTCATTGCGTGAATTTTGTGAACAATGCGAAAGACTCCATGGTATGTATCGAGTAGCCTAAACGAGACGAAAACACACCTTCAATAGAGATTTTCCTATTCAGAAGCTCGGCGACTATCACTTGGCAGATTGCCTCGCATATGACAATCTTTTCAGTGATAACGTTGTCTCAATGACTCTTAGTTGAATTGAGCTGGTTCTCCTTACGAGCTTATGTGCACGAAGAAAGGCCGGGAGAGCGCACTACAATAGTGTTGTGTACCAATACGTAGACGTGAAAGTAAAGTGTGCCACAAATCAGGAGGCGGGTGCCACTATTCTGACCATGTTATCAAAGCTCACATGCGATGATTCTGGCCACCTCCTGACGGTGGATGGAAATCAAGCGGGATGAAATTGGGCCCTGGTAATTCAAGTTAAGAATTCGACCGCATTTAATCACCTCGTCGGAGCGGATATCATCTCTAGGTAGAGTCGAGGTCGTCGACCACATTGAGAGTAGAACTTCAATCTGCTGACATTGATATATCTCGTGCAGCGATCCCAGTCTCGGCTTTCTTCGCTCTCTCTTTTGCACGCTTCTTCAATTGTTTCTTTCTATTTTCCGCGCTCTTCTTCTCCCTTAAATATTGTTCTTTCTCTTGCGCTGCTCTCTTAGCTTCCTCTTCCTTCATTAGTTTCGCCTTTTGTTTTGCACGAAGCGCAATGCGAGCCTTCTTGGATGGACGTCTCCTCCTCTGCAATTCACTCATATGTATTTTGGTACCAAGTATAGTTTCGGGGATTACAGTGTGGACCCTCCAGGGCAGCGCGCAACCCGCCCATCTCGCATGTGAGCGATCGAGAACTTCCTCTCCAGACACAGCTGCTAGAGCCAGCCTTATTTGGTCTTGTGCCGACGGTGACTCTGCAAGATAGTAACTCAAAGGCCTTTCGGGTTGTACGAACCCTGGTTCCCCACCTGGTGGTGAGGGGGAGCGGAGATCAATTTTCGTAGGTGCACTTTGCGATGCGAACAAGCGTAATTCAGTGTCTTCGATGTCATCACCAACGTCTACCGCTGAGAATGCAGGAGGTGTATCTAGAATTTCTATATCTTCTATGGCACCGAATCGCTTATTCAAGAGTTCTCGAAACGTGTTGGTTGCACAATTATCGTGATCTGGAGACGGCGATCGAGAGGATTCGGCGGAGCGCAGGGCGTCGCGTCCAACGCTGAAAATGTTTAGCTTTGGCTATTCATACGATTGCAGTAGCTGCTCATACACTTGTAGATCCGCTTGATCAGTCATCTTTACCTCACTGCGCCTACATTGTTTTGGGGTGTCATATTCAGGCGATACTTTTTCGCGGTAATTAGGTCGAGATCGTCTGTCAGGTCAGTGGCTTAGCAAGTTTTAGTCAGCAAAGGTCTCTTAGGTAGGTCACTCAGGTGGAACCCTTCTGGAAGCCCTCGAGCACTCCATGCACAACATGAGCGTGCGGCTGAAGAAGTCGGTGCTGTGGCTTGCTCAAGTAGCCTATGGCTGTCACGAGGAGCCAATCTCGACTTGAACGAAGGTCTAGACTCTGCCCGCTATGTGCCATGGCCCTTTGAAATTCTTGTATAGATATAACGTGAAAGGTCACTGCAAGCCGTCTGGCGCGGCTAGCTTTCCTCTCACGGAAAGTCTCCAAGTCAAATATGAGACTTTTGCGCGTTAAGGACTGGCTATTCGAGGACGGGACACCTGATCGAAAGTATGCAATTCTATCACACACATGGATCCAAGAAGCAAGCGAAGAAGTCTACTATCCAGATATACGTGATATAGCTCTGCGCAGTGATGAGGAAAATGCTCTCCTCAAAGGTCGACGAGGATGGAGTAAGGTCAGCAACACCGTCGCTCAAGCCGTACGTGATGGGCTCGAGTACGTCTGGATCGACACATGCTGCATCGACCAGAAGAATCCTACCGAACTGACCACTTCGATCAACTCCATGTTCGAGTGGTACGCCAAAGCAACCGTCTGTTACGTCTATCTCGAAGACGTTTTCAAGACGGCAACGCCTAGTCAGATAGACTTCTCAAAAGCCCGCTGGTCCACTCGGGGCTGGACACTACAGGAGCTCATTGCTCCGAAATCAGTCATCTTCTTCGATGCTACATGGGACCTGCTGAGCACACGTGCAGACTCTGCCTGTGATCTTTCTCGGGTAACAAGTATAGACGAGGAAGTCCTGCGTGATGGCCCAAATAATCTTTCTGCGTACAGTGTAGCCAAGAGAATGTCGTGGGCAGCTGGCAGGTGTACTTCTCGCCCAGAAGATCGAGCGTACTCTTTGTTTGGAATCTTTGGAATCACGATGCCGACACATTATGGTGAGGGTGGTAAGAACGCTTTTGTCCGTCTCCAGGAGGAAATTATCAAGTATTCAGACGACCAATCATTGTTTGCGTGGAACGACGCGTCGCCCTCGCTGCAAGCAGGTGGACAGGGACTTCTGGGATACCCAGGAAGTGGTATAGCTTTACTCCTGGCTCCATCGCCAGACCACTTTGAAGGCAGAGGACACATCATCCGAAATACGTCTTCAGCACCTACGGCGTTCTATATGAGTAACCGTGGGCTAGAGATAGATCTTCCCGGTTACCGCACGTTTGACTTTTGGCAGGAGACCAAAGCGCATGACCGTTATAGGGTCCTTCTGGACTGTCGGTCGGTCAACAGTCCTTTTTCAGTATTCCTTTTGAATCTTCAACCATCCGGTCCAGAGGAATATTGTGTTGTTCCTACCCCTGAAGGCCGCTGTACTGAAGTTGATTGGTCCGAGTTCCGAAAGAAGGAGAAAGTGGAAAAGCCTCCCCGGCGCAAAATCGTAATTCGACGAGAGGCAGATCTAGCGCCAGCTCTTGGACAAGTTGAACAGCTAATTGGGGCTACGAAACCTATGCGACACACAAAATTACGCCTTGAGCTACCTTCGTGGACAAGACGTCATCAGTCACAATCAGGTACGCCACCTCCGGAGGCTTGGATTCACTCAGCATACCCGCAAGCATTTTGGAACAAAGAACTGAAATTCTGTCAACCTGTTTCGGATCCGGGTGATCGCAGAGCCCTACGTATGGATGCACATTTGAGGGTCCCTCACATCGATAGAAATAACGTAGCATCCACATATGATGTACATGTTATGTTTAAATATGGTCCAGATACGCGCCAGACTTTTGCTGATGTTCACGGGATTGAAGCATCTATGGATGGCAATTATCAGATTCTTCCTGCCGTGCGTATCGCTGCGCATGCATGTGATGACAGAGACACCCAAATGTTGCAACATCAAGGGGAACCTCCGGATACAGGCCACGAAAATGCGGCTGGTGCTACCATGATTCGCTTCAAAGAAGATCCTTTAATACACAGTCTTCCATTGACAAAATTCGTATGGGCCAACAATAAATTGGCATTCAGGGTCACCCTCAATAAGGACGATGTACTTAGCGAGTCATTCTGGGTGGCCAAAGTGGACACCATAGATTGCAGCACATTATGGCCGTACATATGGTATACTCTTTTGGTCCCTCTCATGCATGGCTGCTTCCTGGTAATCTTTGGCTGGGACATTTCCAATATCCTCATGAACGACACCATCTGGGACTCATTCATCTCCTCGAATTTCAACTATTCTATAACGTCAATGGTCAATCTCTATGGCATCTTCAACCTACCCGTGGGTCGCACTCCTCTGGTTTGGTTTCGAAGTTGTTTGGTCTACATTAGTGCACCTTTACTGGCAGCACACATAAACAACAATAATACGACTCGAATCTATTATCGAATGTGGAATACTACACCAAAAGCCCTTGCTGGCGTGGACCCGCTCTACAAACACATTCGTGCCTCATTCGGCACCAGCATCATGTACCGACAATGGGAGCTTACAAGCTTTTTCACATACGTCATGGCCTTCTCTCAAACAAGCATGACCTGGAGAGAAGGGTTGATCGATGTCTTATGGGTTACGCTTCTACGAGACGGCATACTTGTCGTCGCGCAGCCTAGGCTGCTGCGTGCAGGCCGCATTGTGGTAGCATGGCTTCTAATGAGCTTTTATGAGCGTCCTGAATGGCAAATATGGGTCAGAGATCATATCTACGGCGTCGTATGCGTCGCTTGGTTTCTCGGGATCGTACTTGGTGCGCTAGGAAGAGAACGGCTGAAGTAGTTATGATCCATTTCTACACTGTAGACTCTTCACACAAGCCGTCCATGTCCGCGCCAGGATTTCTGATGCTGTATACAAGACGTACATGATCTAGATACCAATGACTCATATGTTCACACATAATCCTGTGGAATCTCATGCATGCTAGATGCTAGACGTCACCATCAAGAATTGCCTCCACTATAAGCAGAGTCCCACGAACTCCAACAAAGCGAGCTCATGTGCATTTCGACAACAGCCACTTACTAAGAGTGAGGCAGGTCAAGGTCCATTAGCGATCTGACATGAAAGTACCAAGTGCGTGTTCAGGCTTCAGCGGAAATTGACGCCACGAAGTCTGAGGAACGACTATAGAGTCTCGGCCAAGCCTCTCCACCTACCCTTCCGGTATAATTGACGCTGTTTGCATATACTTAGTGTAGCTCTTGACGTCCTTCACGGCTTCCCCTCCTGATGTATATCACATCGTACAACTAGGAACTTCCTGAGACATGTTCCTGCATGTCGTATTCTCTAGCATGGTTCATATGAACCTTTCACCCCAATTCAGAGATGGTGGGTGGACTTCTGGTGATGCTCATCGCGAAAATTCTGGGAATTGCAGCTGAATAATGATATCATCCCCAAAGAAAGGTGTAACAAGAAATGGCGTGGCTAATCTCTGCCATGACCGTTGAGACTGAGTGGAAATGATTACGAAGTAGCGGATGAAGGTGATAGCGCCTGGTAGTTCGAAATATCGTGACGCTGATAAAAACTTCCACGAGATAGTATTGGTAGATCTAGTGGATAGAATGAAGGAAAGACACAAGAGATTCATAGATGCACAGAATGCGTCGGGGCTTGTGTTTCTAGCGTGATAAGAGACACTAAATATCTAGCAAACCTACAGTGCGATAAACTCTCTGCTTCGGATGATGCAATTGGGCGTCGAGTATCGCACGTAGCTCTAGTCGTTCTGGTTGTTTATGCTGGCAGATATCATGGGCACAGATGATGATTCCACTGGTCGTTAGGTGAAGGTCACCCGGGGAATCTGCGCGTCATTCTGCCCTGATCCTGCAGAGGTGCTCTATGGGAGAAGTTCCAGCTGTTCACGTGTCCTAGAAACTGTGTAAGTACTCAAGGGTAGGGTCAAAGTGCCGAATTATTAGTCTGATGTTGTACAAAATGTGACATTCTTCTTGCTACTCGATCTAAGAGAATTTCTGGTATTTGCGGAGATGCACAGGTGTGACATTTTCCGGTGTTCCTGGAATGGTCTTCTCCAGGTTCTATACATTGCGTCAGTTTGCATGTTAATAGTAGGGAAAATGTCATGATCTTACCAGCTTATCGAATACACATTTGTTGAATGGCCTCTCTTGCGCTCGGCAATGCCATAGCTGTTGATTGTTGTTCTCTAGGCAGTCCCAGTGCTTTTTGAACTCTTCCAAGCAGTTTTTGTTTATATCTTCCAGTCTACAGGAGTCACAGTCAGCGATCGATGTTCGTCTCCTTGTATGTTTGTACAGGCCTGCTTACACGCTCGCAGCGCATCTTGTGACCTTTCTTCCCTCTTTCATGCATTCGAGCTCTCCGCGGCCGTTTGACTCAGTCTTGCACTGCATATAGTCATCATTGTATGCTTTGCATCGTGCTCCAATGAAGAAGGCAGCCGACATCAATGGTGCCGAGCTCGCACCGATCTCTTTGACCTTGGGGATATCATCGGGGAGAGGGGTGGTGTCATATAGTGACGTTTTATTGAACCTGGTGGGGCTTAGCGAACAATTGACTTTGGGAAATAAATATGATCGCGTACCTTGGGACGCGTGTCGACATTGTGGTAGTCGTTGGGCATTTACGTCCTGGGAGACCGATGGCAGTCTCGAGAGGTGAGGTTGGACATGGAGCTTGAACAAGACGCAGGATCCATCTCCTTGCTTGTGATTGGTGCGCTGCAAGCTCGCGCAGATCAGGAACATCGCCAGCTAGAACAAACAATCATTTCAGATTCATCTGCACGCGACGCATCGACACCACATAATGACACCACGCTGATGCGCACAGAAGGGTTCTTCTCTGGACGCTATTTGCCTCGTTGTTACTGGACCTGAAAATCGCCAAGTATACATCGAAGTCCTTCGCGTTCGACCTCATAATTCAGCTATACAATGTTCGGAGCGTCTGCGGCGAAGCCGAACCCTTTCGGCGGCTTTGGGGCTTCTACTCAGCAGCAGCCTGCACAGCAATCCACTGGTCTCTTTGGATCATTAGGAGCTTCACAGCAACAAAACCAGCAGCAGCCTCGTCCCAGCTTGTTCGGCGGTCTTGGGCAATCGCAACAACAACAACAACAACAACAACAACAACAACAACAACAACAACAACAACAACAACAACAGCAGCAGCAGCAGCAGCAACAGCCTACCCCACAGCAACAAGCAAGCTTGTATGCGTCACAATTTGGCGGATCACAGCTTGGAAACTCGACATCGCAATTACCAAAACTAGGACAAAGTGCCATTTGGGAGCCACCGCAGCAAGGCCCAAGTAAGAGTAGTCTACAATGATATGAAAGAGTCGTGCTAATGAGTGTTTCAGGAGAGAAGTCTGTACCAGAACAGCTGTCCACAATCTTGGAGAAATGGCACCCAGAATCGCCAAATTGCCTATTTCAATACTATTTTTACAATAACGTAGATCCGCGTGTAGTGCCCTTCTATACACCAGGTCCTGGTGAAGATGAGCGAAAATGGGAGGAGGCGCTTTCGAAGAAGCCAAGCGAAGGTTCAATACCCGTACTCGCGAAGGGCTTTAAGGAAGTGGGCACGCGTCTCTCTCTGCAGTCATCGACTGTTCAAGCCCTCCAAGTACGTCTCCATGAGATCAACAATAGCTTGAATATGATGATGCAGAAGCATGAGCTAGAATGGACGGTCAAGATCGCCGAAGCGAAGAGGAGGCACATAGCATTGAGTCAGCGTGCACTGGCCCTTGCGACCAAGGTGCAGGTTCTTCGCAATCGAGGATACGCTATGGAGAGTAGTGAGGAAGAGCTGAGGAAGAAATTGATTGAGCTAGAGAAGAAGGCCTTTGATCCGGTAGCCAGCGGTCGTCAAGAAGAGATCTGGGCAAGACTTTCAACCCTCAGGCAACAAGCCCAGTGGCTCCAGTCAGAGTCGGAGAAGTTGGGAAACCAGGTCTCAGATGGGGATAATGGTGTGGACCCTGATAAGATGAAGCAAGTCGAGAAGGTCGGTCCAAATTCGTTTTCCCCAACCGAATCTGACTAACATCAGTAGATATTGAAAGACTATAAGTCACAACTGGATCATCTGGAGAAGGAGGTTGGATCTTTGAAGTTAGAGTTTGAGGATTGGCAGGGCAAGTCACAAAACAGTCTGAATGGCAGGTAGCCACTATCGCCCTAAGATTGCGCTCTATTATGTATAAATAGCTGCAGTGTACAATTGCGGGAATTATGAACCTGAAATGCTTCCAGTGTCTCGAAGCATCCTATATAGTACAAGTGAGGTCATGAAGTCTATGATACATGGAAGGACCTTGGACTGCGATTCATCGATGCTCGACGTAAGAAGCGTTCGCGTGTGGCATCTATACTAATTTTCGGACGTAGTCGATGACGAACGGGGCTTTCACAAGCATGATTAGTACTGAAAGACAAGAGCGCAACAGTGTAACTTACAGAGGTAGAGAGCGAAGCACGTACTCAGGGCGAACTTGAGTTCATTCGAGGCGGCTTCTTCTTGAGCTTTGAGCTCCGCCTGGCTTGGTGCTGGTGGTGCTACAAGATATTAGAGATCAACAGAGAAGAGCCTGTCATATAACTCACGTCCTCCGAACATCTTTAGTATTGACGTTGTTGTTATGATGAGTTTGAATATACAGTGACAGCAAGAAATCTTCTGGTGCTGGCAACCAGGGTCTAGCAGTTGATCGGTTAAACCGCGGCAATAGTGCATGTCCAGCGCGTTCCTTCTAAGGTTTCAAACAGCCAGTAGTCCTAAGCAACTCTCCTCGCGATAGAACATCAAGCTCTCACCAACCCGAGCGCTTGTTCCAACTTTCTATCGACTATCTTGATTCCAGTACTGAAAATACCCCGGAACATAGCAAACATGGATGACATCCAGACACCTCCCGACGACGCGACAGTCCAAACTCCTGTCATGCCAGAAGGCAATGCGGACCCTGGCGACCCTCTGGGGCCTGACGTAGAGGAGGAGAACAACCCCGATGCACCTGAGGTTTTCCCGCAAGAAGACGTTGAACTTACTGGAGAGAATGAAGTCGACAAGGATGGCGAAGATTCTGACAACGAGTCCGTTCTTTCTGATGTAGACGAGGCACAGTTTGAAGACTTCAACCCTGCAGACATTGCTATCGAGGATCAACCGGTGGCTCTTGATGACGACCTTCTTGGTCAGATCAAGGTCAGTAAAAGGAAGAGAGGTGAAGATGGCGAAGGTGGAGTACAAAAGAAGAAGAAGGAGGGCAGGCGAGAGAAGCCCAAGAATAGGAAGAAAAGAGATGAGGACCACTTCAGTGGCGGTGAGGAGCTTGAAGGGAAGAGGTCCAGGAAAAAGGACAGGGTTCGGGCTGCTACACCAGTGGAGGATGATACAAATCTCACGCCAGAGGAGCGTACGTATAGCCTTTACTAAATGCCTTCAATAGTGACTAAGTTCTTATGCAGGACGCCGGAGAGCTTTGGACAGAGCCATGGACGAAGCGCAGAGGAAACCGAAGGTACGCAGGAAGAAGGACGGCATCGACCTTGAAGCTATGGCAGATGCCGAGATCGAAGATATGCGCAAGAGAATGACCGATGCTGCCGCCAATGATGCAGAGGACCGCAAACATGGTAGACCTGCAATGCGGAAGTTGAAGCTACTTCCGGAGGTGGTGTCTCTCCTTAACAAAAATACTTTGCAGAACTCTCTCGTTGACCCGGACCTCAATTTGCTCCAAGCTGTTTGCTTCTTCCTAGAACCCCTACACGACGGCAGTCTCCCTGCGTATAACATTCAACGCGAGCTCTTTGATGCTCTTGGCAAGCTTCCAATCACAAAGGATGCTTTGACTGCTTCTGGAATCGGTAAAGTGGTCTACTTCTACACTAAGACCAAGCGTGCCGAACCTGGTATTAAAAGACACGCGGAGAAGCTTGTAGCCGATTGGACAAGACCTATCTTGAGACGCAACGATGATTATCGCAAGAAGGATGTTGCTCAGGCAGATTATGACCCAACGCGCCTACCTATTCGGAACTCACAATCAAACTCTCAAGCCGCGATTGCTGCTGCAGCTAGAGCTAGAGCTCTCGCCGCACCTGCTCGCTCGAACCGTGCCAGGGTAGAGACAGAGCATATGAGCTATACCATTGCACCTAGGTCTAATGTCGTCGGTTCAGATGTGAAACAAAGTCGCAACCCCTTCACGCTGAAATTGAACCGAGGAAAAGGTGTCAAAAGATAGTTTAAATACACCGGCTCAAGTAATACCGGCATATTCAAAGGTATCGCGACTGGCAATGATGCATTGAATGATTACGGATCATCTTTGGCGTTAACATCATTAAGGGGGGCTAAAGCGTTCATCAACTACATTCGGGTGTACTTCAGACAAAGAAAAACCCGTATACTTCACATTATTATTGTATAGTTCACTCACTCTCGGCTAATGGTGTAGTATCTACCTTCGTCGGCCTCGTCTCTCCCGCCATAGTTGCACCTTCAAACCGTATCTTGTTCCTCACACTTCCAAGACCAGTGATCCTCACTTCTACCTCGTCCTCATGGGTCAGGTATTTCGGCTCAGGCTTGAAACCAAATCCAACGCCCGAAGGAGTTCCCGTCATTACCACAGTCCCAGCTTCGATTGTCGTACCTTGACTGATGAAGCTGAGGATAGTCGTCACGTCGAATAACATATCGTCCGTCCCTGTGTCTTGCCGTAGCTCACCGTTCACAAAGGTCTGCAATCGCAGGTCATCCGCAGACTTGAGAATCGAGGGTGACACGATTACCGGTCCGAGCGGCGCGTACTTATCAAAGCCTTTGCTGAAACCCCATTGGGGTACGCTGCCGGCGTAGGCAGGATCGCGTTGCCATGCACGGTTTGAAATGTCGTTCCCCACGAGATAGCCGGCGATATATGACAGTGCGTCTTCTCTAGGAATATCTTTTGCCGTGCGACCAACAACAAAACACTGAAGGGTTAGAAGATGGGATCGAGGATATCTGTGCTTGCAGCAAAACTTACAAGTTCACCTTCATAATCTGTGCTATCAGTGTGCGCCACTGGCGGTATTGGGATAGTCTCGTTCCACTGCGCAATAGACGGTGATCCTTTTATGAAAATTGAAGGATATGGAGGCGCCGTTCGACCACCCTCCTTGACTATTGCAACCGTCAGTTCAAGCTTACCATCAAATGTCCACGGGCAACACTGTACTGTGCTTCATATAATTCAAACCGACGCATCTAACAATTGGTACATCCTTCGGCGTGAGTGGACTAAGCAGTTCTTTGACAAACTTCGTGACGCCTTTCTCCGGTGTGAGACCACTTTCGCTGAATGTAGTTCCACTCAAAACCGTAGCTTCAAGCCTACCGGCTTCGTACAGCGGGATGACTTCATCGCCGGAGTTAACAATGGGCTCGCCGTAGCGTTCGATGTCGTCTTCGTCAACGAAGCGTATCAGACGCGTCCACGCAGGCATAGCAGGAACGTCTGGTTTCTCTGGGCTGGGATGAGTGATGAGAGGGTACTCTCTTCGCAATTGAGACTTCGTATGAATGTTCGTAATGGAAATGAAATTGATATACGTGAGGAAATTTAGGAGTCACGAAGTTGCAACGCACCTCAGCAGACTCAGGCTCAACAGACCTAGAATTTCCAGCACGACCATTATCAACTCCAATACTCACGCCCCTTTTATAAGCTGTATTACAGTCCGGAAAGCGGGTCGCGTGGGCGGTTTGGTAGGGATATACACAGGTCCCTTTTTTGTGGTACGGGTGTAGAGCGGGGAGGCACCGGAAACTATTTTGGGCACCTCTTTCACTTGGCAGGTGCCAGATGGCTTTAGATGCCTAAGGCAGGTATACAAACAAGTATCATGATTGTCTATCGCATGAGAACTTGGTGGACTCAACAACCACGTCGCTACACATCGGTCAAAAACATGAGAGAACTACCAGCGCTTCGGTGGCGGCACCAAATTTGTGTAGTCTCAAGCCGCCTATTAGTAACTAAGTAGTAAACCCACGATGATTTGCCCTGATGTCTTCCAGATCAAAACCAAGGATCTCAGAAGAGCGCAGTCGCTGAAACAGTGAGGTGCGGCCACAAGACTGTACGGATCGATATGTATGCAAAGGGCGGCGTACGGGAAGTGCAAGTGCTGCCCACCAGAGTGGTGGCCTGTGGCACTGGAAGTTCAGCCAGTTGACACAAAGGATGGTACCATATTCATGGGATCCAAGTTCAAACGCAGGCTCTTGGGTTACAACGTAATACAAAATATAGCCAACAAGCGTTGATTGTGAGTCCAAGATCTAGTAAGTACCTGTCTAGACTCGCTGCTCTTGTGGCGCCCTTTCTTGTACTGTCTGGTGATGGATGTATTGCGTCCACAATACCAATAGTGCCAACTCCATATCATTTAATACCATGCCAACCCATACCAACTCGAAGAGAATTCCGATGTGCCGTCTCAGCATTATTCTGCTGTGTGTCTCCTGGCTAGCAATGGTTCCATAGTCAAGAGATCCGCTGAATGAGGTACTGATGATTGTGCTTGAATCCGAAGTCCAGTTTGACTCATGAAGATGATCTGGAGCGTGGCTCTCAGTCACGCTACCTAGGAATAGCTCGATAGTGCCCGACATCTTCGTAAAATCTAGGACAAACTCAAAGTCATCTCGGTCGGCTGAGACTTTAGTACAGGCCACAAGCGTGACCAGAGCCAGAACGATTTTGAACACAGCGCTAGGATTCATACTGAAGCATCCATTAGGTAGCCGTAGCTACTTTGAGTACGAAACTGACGGTTCCGACTCGCCGGTGTGTTTACAGAGACTTCGCTGAGCTTCGTGGGCGAGCTTACAGGGTGAAGCAGGGCTTGAGATGGATATAAGAGATCGGGGCTATCCAACTCTCCAACTATCACTGTAATATCCGCCACTACTTGGACGTTGTACTTCTATATTGTCAATGTTCTGGGTGTTGTTAATATTGTACATTCTGGAAGATCTTCAACGATACAAAGTAAACAAATTTTCCAATTGTTGAAGAAGAAGTGAGGCTTATGACCGCATGCTCAGTCGAAGAGAAATGACTCTGCAAATCAGCGCGTACTGCACCTGGCGCTGTGAAAAGGTGATATGATGTGTGAAACGGTGTAAAAGTAGACGCGTTGAGGTGGGTGTAGACTTTATACGTTAGTCGGCGAAAAGTGGGGCTTCCATGGATGGATATTCTAAACAAAACAAGGCTGGCGCTTGCTAGCTTCGACATGCATTCAGATCCACTTTGACACCTTCACACGCGTATACTAGCGACGTCAGGCACCCCAATATAGCATTAAAAAGTCACATACTGAGAATTATGCTCTCTCTTCCTCTCATTACACCCCACGAAGTCGGTATGTACCTTGTACATAACCAACCGGCACTAAACAAGCCTACAGGACCTCAACATCTGGCACACGAACCCATCGCACCGCCCTATCCAGACCTTAGAGCATACAGATAACCCACAAGCGCATGCCCCGCCTCAGCATTCGCGCCGAGCGCAAGCGAACCCTCGCTCCATGTTGTCCCTGCTAGCTGCCGACGAAAACCTCATCGAACAACGTAAGCAGAATGTCAGGCGCTTTGGCGCCAGCTGGATACGGCCGCCAGGCATAGCGAAGACCTACCAGGCGTCCATGGATGAGTTAGCCGAGCGCGAGGAGCAAGAGCTGCTCGCCCGTAGAGAGCAAGCAATGCTGGAGCTTGCCAATGCCGCTGAGGCAGAAGCGCAGCGCGCAGAGGCCGAGATAGCGGCGGAAGAAGCCAATGAGGTTGACCGGGATCTAGATGAGGATGTGCCCGAGGCGGACGAGGAACCTGATCTCGACGACGACATACCAGAAGCAGACAGTGATAGTGATGATGGTGAGGGAGAAATGACTTTCAACGAGGAAAGCTTCATAGAGGGTAGCATGGTTCAAGCCGATGTGGAGCAGATATTGGAGATGGAGGAAGGCGCCTCGATGATGCACGGTGGCCACGATCTGGACGACGATATACCAGAGGCCGGAAGTTATCAACACACGGACACGGAGGCAGAGGATTCGAGCGAGCTTGCGCCTATGGATGAAGGGAGCAGCAGAGTCATTGGCAACCCAAATGTAAATTTCAACAGGAGCTTCAGGAGTCAAGGCGAGAGTTCGCTTTTCGGAGGTAGCTCGTTTCTTGGTAGCAGTCCAGTTGCAGGTCGCGGTGGCGCAGGCAATCTGTTCAGCAGGGCACAACAACAACAAGCGAGACAGCAGTCAAGACAAGCCTGAAAATATTATGATACCCAGTAAGCGCGATACAGCGCTAAGCTAAATGCAACGCCCGCCTCAATCTGCACTGTTATATGTACAGCAATATTGTGCTCTTAACCTTCCATACTGACCTGTAGAATGCAGTTTCAAAGTGTTGTGAACCTCTATCAGAATAACCACACGTACCAGAATAACAAAGACACAGCTGCGAAGAACATTAGCCATACCCTCCAGCCAACACCAGTCTTATCTGCCATGCGCAGCATCCTGTTCATGGTGCCTCTTAATCGTTGTCTCGTTCCTTCGAAAGACTCATTCATCTTCTCAGCAAGTGCACTCGAGTCTCGAATCTCGTCTCCGATGGCCATCGTCAGCTAGATGCATAGTCAGTTTGTGTAGGCAATCCTAGAGACACCTGGGGCAGACTCACGTCTTTCAGCATCTTTACCCGTGCTCCCATGCCCTCCATCTGATCATTATTTTGACTTTCTAGCTCGTCCAGTACTGCAGAACTGTACTGCCCTCTTGAATTCGGCGTCGCTGATCTGAACTGTTGCTGCCCTGCGGCTAAGCCTCCATTTGCCCCGGGATATGCCGAGAATGCTCCTCCAGCAGGCGCACTGCTATTTGCCGGAAGTCCATATCCATAGCCACCGTTCGACACATGTTTCCCGCCTGGTGACTGCGAGCCTGCACGCTCATCGTATGCGCCGAATAAGGAGGATCTGGACGAGCGTTCGTGGAGATTGGAATTGAATCTACATGCTTTGTTAGCAGACAGATACACTGCTCGGATACCACATCACTTGCCTTGAGGCCATGGTGCTATCGTTGCAAAGGAGTCATGATCATGTGTGGGTGTTTACTTTACCAAAAGTTATTGCGGAGCAGCATTCGTAAGTGGAAACGGTGGCCGATGCGATGCATCCTTGAGATTTGGGGGCACGTGCACCCGTGTTGCGCGCTGAGTAGCCGTTGCGTCATTGGCCCGTGGCTGCGATCGGGAATCTTGAAAGCTCCAATTCACAACCAACATCTTCAGAGGTGACAAAAGGCAAAGGTCTTTTGCTAGACGACCATGATGAGTGCATGAGGGCTACGCTACCGGGATGATAGTTATAAATTGTTGACATCTCAACTTCCGCAACATGTACGCCCATGTCAAGCCTTGGAGGCATCTGCCTAGGCGCGCAGGAACTTGTTTGCGATCTACGCCAGGTCTTGCTGGTACGAGGTATGGATACATTTACCCTATTTCATATTCACATCTTGACAGCAACAGGTCCCAGCTATGGCAACAGAAGCTGCGCGCTGCTAGTGGGGACGCGACACTTGAAGCCGGAGAGAATGAGAGTGGACATATCAGCCAATCTCCTAGCGAGGGAATCTTCTTTTTTGAGAGTAAGCATACTATGGACGTAGACGGAACGTAACTGACGTGGATCTAAGACGTATATCCGCTGCGATTGCAATGGCTTCTCAAAGTACCTTTTTCAGGGGAGAGGGTCATGACTAACAACATGGGCAAGCTTCAGAATCTGGCAATTGCCGCTGCCGACCCTGTCAAGGTCGTCAACAAGGCCTATAAGAACTCCTCGCCATTGACAGTCACAGAGGTTCTTCCGCGATTAAAGGAAGGTGGTGCCTTTGTCAAGTTCACGCATGATCCCAGCCAGAGCCGCCAGGAAATCGAGGAAACTCTGGAGAAGTACCTACGCGAGAACCAGACGAAGCCCTGGTGGAACCCATTTGCACGTATTCAAGCTAGCTTAGTCCGGGGGAAACCGTGGGTAGAAGATCTGTATCGTCTGCCAACGACCAGACTTAGAGTAGAATTTCTTCCTACTTCACCGGGAGAGGCAGCGGCAGAGCTCACACAAGAAGACTTGTATTCGTTCTTTCGGCCATATGGCAAGCTTCTTGACATTGTATCTCAGGAATCAGACTCCAAAGTTGCTCCTCGATTTGCACTGGTCGATTTCACTTCTCGCAGACATGCGATCATGGCACGAAACTGCATGCATGGTTATGTCGTTGATGAAGCACAAGGAGGGGGGAAGCTTGGGACCATACTACGTTTATCATACCAGAAACGTATCAAAGCTCATTGGATCCGGGACTGGCTCTTGAACCACCCAAGAATTGTGATACCGGCCGCCGTTGCTTTACTCACTGGTATATCTATTGTAGTGTTTGACCCGTAAGTGAGACCTCCGTTCCCTAAGCATTAACTAACGTAGTCAGTCTTCGGACTTTCTCAATTAAAGTCCACATCACTCGTGCTTTCCATATCGAGGACAATAAGCTGTTCAAGTGGTTCAAGACACAGGCTAACGACCTCATATCATTCCACCATAAAGCCGAAAATGATGGTATGGAAGCCATATGGGACGATCGCAAGACAAACATAGACCAACTCAAGACCTGGCTCATGGAGTCTGCCGATACATTCATCATTGTGCAGGGCCCACGTGGCTCTGGGAAAAGGGAGCTCATTATCGATCAAGCGCTCCAACATAAAAAGAACAAGCTCATCATCGATTGCAAGCCCATCCAAGAAGCACATGGTGATAGTGCCACCATTAGGGCCGCAGCGGCCGAAGTTGGCTACCGACCCGTCTTCTCTTGGATGAACAGCATCAGCGGCATGATTGATCTCGCAGCCCAAGGTGCAGCTGGAGTCAAGACCGGTTTCTCTGAAACACTGGACAATCAGCTTGCCAAGATTTGGAACAATACTGCTTCAGCTCTCCGTCAAATCGCCCTTGACAATCGCCATCGCGATGACAGTGATAAGGCGCTTGGCGACGACGAATGGCTGGAAGCTCACCCTGAAAAACGACCTGTTGTTGTCATTGACAATTTCCTGCACAAGAGCCAGGAGAACAATGTCGTCTACGACAAGATCGCAGAATGGTAAGTCCTCTCCATGACCTCAGTCCCCCAACATTCTCACGTAACTCACAGGGCTGCACAACTCTCCACCTCCAATATTGCCCATGTTATCTTCCTCACAAACGACGTCTCTTTTTCTAAATCCCTCAGCAAAGCCCTTCCTGACCGTGTCTTCCGCCAAATCTCCCTCAGCGACTGCAGTCCCGAAGTCGCCAAACGCTACGTCATCTCCCACATCAACGCCGACCAAGCCTCAAGCCAGAAACCCACGTCCGACTCCGCCGCAGCCGCCGCAGACGAAGACGAAGACGCCGAAAAGCCCCTCACCCCAGCCCAACGCCGCAAAGACCTCGCCGAACTCGACGAATGCATCTCCTATCTCGGCGGCCGCCTCACCGACCTCGAGTTTCTCGGCCGCCGCATCAAAGCCGGCGAAACACCCAAGAAAGCCGTCCAGGAAATGATCGAGCAGAGCGCCAGCGAGATCCTCAAAATGTACCTCATCGGCGTCGACGACAACGCCGCCCGCGCCTGGAGCCCCGAGCAGGCCTGGCTGCTCGTCAGCCAACTTGCCCGCCACGCCACGCTCCGCTACAACGAAGTCCTCCTCGCAGACACCTACAACAAGAGTCCCGCCGGCGGCGAATCCGCCCTCCAAGCCCTCGAACAGGCCGAGCTCATCACCATCCTCAGCGCAAACGGTCGCCCGCACAGCATCATGCCCGGCAAGCCCATCTACCACTCTGCATTCCAGCGCCTGACCGCCGACACCGTACTGCGCAGCAAACTCGATCTCGCCACGCTGACCCAGCAGACCAAGATCGAAAGCGCTAATATCGACAAGTACGAGGCTGAGCTGCGGCTCTTGAGCGACGTCGCGAGACAGCAGCAGTTGCCGCAGCAGTTGGGCTCGCGCGTGCAGTGGTTGTTGGAGAAGGTGGCGGCGTGTCAGGGGAAGATTGAGCGGTACGAGAGGGAGAGTGCGGCGTTGAAGAAGGTTTTGGTGACGGAGTATTAAGTAGATTTAGGGGGGTTGTGTAATTAATTAATAGTGTGACTGCCTGTATTATACCCTCCTCTATACTTCGATCTAGATATATTCATGCCTGATGGAGAATCTATACCTCAGGAATCAACTTCGAGCAGAGTTAGGTGTCTGAGTGACTGATTGACTTACTGATGGAAGGACGACACACCGGAAGGCGAGTTGGCACATTAGTACTCCACATCCACAAAACTCAGTGCATACATCAGTCACACACCCAAGCCAAACCAGACCAAGTGTGTTCAACTCGGCGTCATTTGATCTGATCTTCGATTTCGATTGGACTCATCCTACAACTACCCAACAACAAACAACAAAACCAAAAAAACAACCGCATTCCGACCCAAGACTACCTGTCCATTTCCACGCAGATATATGTATCCCAGTCCCAGCCTGATCCCAGCCTAGCGCGCGCCAAACAGCCGTAGGCAAAAATCTCCCCTTGAATTTCCCACCTGAACGAACCCCCAATATACGCCTATAAAACATCCAAGCGCTCATTTAAGGCGACATAAACATGTGAAATATGAAAATATGAAAATGGAAAATAGGAAACACGGGGCCGATTGAGCCCCGGGAAGACCTTGAGGTCTGCAGTCTAGCGAAGGTATCAGTAGTAGTGGTATTTACACATGTATGGATGTGGCCGTAATGTCGTATCGTTCTCAGACTATCAGGTCTGGACGGGTGGTGGCGGTGGTGGTGGTAGTGGAGGTGATGTTGGATATGGATAAAATGGCTCAAAAAATGGCGCGCTGCCGCTAAAAACCGAGGACGAAAAAACTTTTTGACGTCGAGCGAGAGGAAGAAGTAAGTTACGAGAGAGACAAGAGAAGTTGTTGAGCGAGGTTGTTGGGGTGGAGATATTCTCAACCACACTGGCCTGGGTCTGTGTTTTTACGTTAGCCAAAAGATGCGGTATTTCTTCTTGGTGGTACTGTTGTTGTTATGGTTGGGAATGATTGATGGGATGCAGCTTACACTTTCGGGCAGTCAAGGGCTGCGGGAATAGTCCGTTTGCAAGGAGATCTTGCATGTCCCACTCTGGTGCACTCTCCGTCTTCCACGTCCAGAATATCCAGCCCGTGGCCTTCTCGTACGCGTCCAGTTGAGCCTCGATGAACCGTCCGATGTTGTACTTGTCGTCGTTGCTGAGCCCGGCGACGGTTCCTGTGTACTTTCCATCACACGAGCCGACATGCGACGATCCGGCCAAGGTACCGTCGTAACGAGCACCCTTTCCAAGTCCGTTGAGCCACTTTGCACAGTCGGTGATACCGCCGGTGAATTCACCAGCGATGGTCCACTTTCCGGTGCTTGCCATCTGTCTGCCAAAGTCACAGGCAGTTGCGATGTGAGCGTTTGGGTCCATGGAGACTTGGCTTTGGTCGAAAATCTCGTAGTGGTGAGTGTCAAGCAAAAGATTCCACATGCCGGAACCCCAGTTGCCCCAGGATGTCACCCCTTGGAAGGCATCGTGGAAGGTGATGGCCACATTGTTATCTCTGAGATTACCCCATCCGTCCATGTAGAATTGGCGGACTGTGTCCATGTTCAGATTTGGGCCAAGGGGCTCGTTGAGGAGTTCGATGGCAGAAACGGCGGGATGATTAGCGTGATCATCTCGAATCTTGTTCAGTACGCTGATGGTGGTTGCAATAGTGTTTCCTTGAGTCCAGCCGATAGCGCCCAAGCGACCGCTGTTGTCGAAGCCATTCTGCGATTCAGGAGCACCGTGGAGGTCAATCATAACCTTGAGGCCTGCAGCTTGCGCCCAGTCGAGAGCTTCACCAAGCTTCTGATAGGCACCCTGCACGTATGGGTCTCCATCCTGTTTCTGCACGGCCCAGTAGCCAATTGGTATCCTCACGTGATTCAGGCCTGCTTTTGCGATTTGGCTGAAGTCGTCCTGAGTGATCCACGAGTTCCAATGCGCGCTGAGACGTCGGTATGCCTCGTCGTAGCCCAAGGTCCGGGTTAGAGTGTATTCGTCTTTCACACTGTTGCCATCTGCCCAGTCGTTGAACATAGATGGCGTGATCCATGGCTCAAGCACAAACCAGCCGCCGAGGTTTACACCTCGAACTTTCTGATTGTTATAGTCGAATTTCAACGAACCTTGACGTTTCTCGGTTCTAGATCTAAGCATCAGTATGGAAGACATTCATGTGGCTGGTGATCAACTCACGGAGCGGCTATGCTGGAAGACGCAAAAAGCGCCACAGCGAGCGTAGACAACAACCTTGATACCATACTGGCGAACTTGATGTGACGTGTCTGGTTAATTGGTTTGTGTCACTGTAGAAGAGAAGTTGAGTAGCGAATCTGTAGAATCATGTGCTTTGAAATGGCGAGCAGAGACGATTATGGATATACCCGGGAGGGCATTAGGACAATATAAAGAGTTGCTTTGGGTAGCATCGATGAGCGGAGTGATAGTGCGTTGTTGATCCCATGATATTCGGAGAAAAACAAGGTGCAGCAAAACTGGGACCGAATCGGCCAGCTACTAAGATGGTGAGCAGCAAGGTCAGTAGCCAATTGCAACGCACCGTGAAGCTGGACGAGGAAAGGAATGGTAGAATGGGATGAGCACGAGGCGTTTTTCGACGTAGATCTCAGGCAGCTACAGCACAGGCAAACCTGGCAGAGTGCTGTTCACGGGCAGGCCTCAGAGCAGCCGAAGTACGGACGAAGGCCATTGAGGCAGTCGACGATGCAGATCTGCACGTTATGCTAGACACAGCAACCTCAGGTACGAGTGGATGATTCGCCCGACGTGGCCAAGCTATGACGGCGGACGGACAAGGTAGATTGTTTCGAGTATAGATCATCAGAGTTTTGCCCAGTGAATGGTGACTGCAATCATCGTGGTCCGGCTTCATAATCATCGTCATCATCATCATCAGGCTTCTTCGTGTCGATGCTTCGTCTCTGTCTTCTTCAAGACCCTTCCAGCGTTTGAACCACCCCCGCATCTGGTAGGGCTCAAGTGCTGTCACGCTGACCATGAATTAGCACGTTTTGCGCCTCTCGTGATGGTCGATCACGAACATCTTACCCAGACTGTAGGCTCCATGCGTGCTGCTCCACCGTGATAGACAGCGGGGGAAATCCTGGCGGGCCCAAGAACCAGTCACCAAGATGGATCACTCATGTATGACCTCTGTCCGTGCTTGCATTTGCTTGTTTACACCGTATATTGACCGGACGGCACTTTCTCATGCAGTTTACTGGTAGTCATTGTGGTGCGGTCAATAGGTAGAGGTGTTGTAGTTGTAATTAGTTGTCGTTGCAGTTGCACAACTGAGACGAAGAAAAGTGCCAGGGCAACTACGCCTCTACAGTAGCCCTAGCAGCCACAACCCTCCCCATACAGGCGGTGCATGTGGTGCCAACCTAGCCGCTAAATAGCTAGCAAAGGGCACCAAACACGCCCCCGCAAACCCCCGGCCGCCCGCAAAAAGGCAGCTTTGGTAGCGAGTCGCCCCAGCACTTAGCAATCCGGTGCCATGGGTTCGCAGTGTATCACAGACAGCACAACACACCAAAACCCACTCACAGCTGTCCACGAGCACGCCCAACCGTCATAACATTCCATACATCTTTCCATCCACCCATCACACGACACAAACTTCCCCCAGGTTGATCGTCCACTAACTGCTACTATAGCATGCTGGCAAGTCAGCACTCAGTCCGGGGGATGTGAAATGACGTTGATACAAGAGTGCTGCCATGTTTTCTTTTTGCGCATGCCATCTGACATGGTGGCTGTTTGCGTCATGCCGTAGGTAGCTTTGGCATCGGCATGTTTCTTTGCGGTGCATTGCATGAGTGACGGGCGTGAGTGAGTGAGTCGTCTTACGTGCGCACTACCGTCGCGTGAGCGGGCTTCGTTCCGAGTGTGTTATCGGATATGTCGCGTGCGTGGTGTATCCAGGGGATCGCCCGAGCGACTATGGTTCCCCAAGTACCTGTGTAATTATAAAAGTTGTGTTCGACGCTGTCCGACCATACAAGCAGCCTCATTCATTGACTCTTTTCGTCGTCTGGCAACATGGATAGCCAATATCGGAGCATATCCAAACGTAGCAAACACTAGACTCGGAAACATATGCTTACTGCATTTGTTGGCATTACCGTGACTCTAACGTGAGCTTACGCGAAAGACTGCTACTGTACAGCCATCCATAAGTGGGGTTCGTTGTTATGTACGTGAGAATAACATTTCATAAAAACAAGCATCTCGCACATCCATGCGCTTCTCGTACTCCATCAAACGGACCCTAAAAGACTGGCTATGTGTTGTTCATCAGTCATATGCAAGATTGGAAACAGGTAGTCCGCAATACCGTCTCATGATACAAGAAAAGATCCCCAACTCCTCATGAAGTGCTTCCGTCTAACATTCCCGTGGATGAGAGTTGCGCTCACCGCCGAGGAAAAAGCGCAAGCAAATGTGCCGGCACATATATCATCTCACCACCAAGCAGTCTTATGATTCTGCATTCACTTCATCAGTCATCCCATTTAGAGCCCCATAGTTGCCAGGTTGATCTTGTTCTTCTGAATCAGCGCTTCCAAGACCGCCTATTCCACCTCCTAAGCCAGCTCCCAGCCGTCCACTTTCATCTTCTTCACCCATTCCATCAACATCGGGCCAAAATCGTTCCGCAAGCCAGCAAATCTGCTTGAACACTTCCTCGCACCGCAGCATCTCTTCTTTACCATTCGATACTGTCGCATTGGCAAGTTCATCTGCGAGTCCACGCGTGGCTTCTACGAACTTTGCGAATGCGGGCGACGTCCAATTGGGGATGAAGGCCTGGTGAAGGGCGACAACGTGTGTTTCGGTCGAGGGAGTACTGAGAGAATGGGAGAAATTCGCGGCGTACATCCATGCAGTGCGATAACACTGGAGCAAGATTAGACGACTGGGACGTGGTAAAGCTTTGGTAGACATACATGTTCAGTGCCCCATAGGACGATCATACCCTCGAGCAAGGAAGCGCTGGAGCTGCTTGCGCTTACAAACAGATCTAAGTATGCTCTTGTGATGTGGTTTGGTGGGGTATCGGTGACCTGCAGTCCGTATTTTGATACCGTGATCTCGAAGAAGCTCATTTCTCGTCTGATATTATTCAAGGCCGAAATGAGGAGATCCATGGTACGGTACATTGGATGGAATTGTGAGTTTTGGACCTGGGGAAGTCTGATCTTCGCGAGGAGCTGGCCGATGAAGCGTATGTATCCACGTGCATAATGTCCGTCTTGTACAAGCCACTGGTTCAGTGGTGCAGCTGCGAGCGTACCGCAACCAGCATGGGATAAGAAAGGCTGCTGCGTGGCCGATGTGAACTCCGACTGGTAGGACGCGAGGAGGTGACTCGTCAAGGAAGGAGAGGGTTGCGGAGGACCAGCCGACGGTTGCGTGTGCTGTTGTGATAGACCACTTTGCATCATCAGGGAATCGCGATTGCGCTTATTCTGGTTTGGTCCACGTCGATTGACGTGAAGGTTTGGATTTGGATGCGTGCCATTGAGTATGCCTGGGCCCGGAGGCCGTGTAGGTATTTCGGTGCCGCCATTGCTGTTCGTAGGATTGATCGTTGCTAGGTGCGCAAGCGCTTCTGGAGACTGGAGGTAGCTCTGACATTCTTGTAGATGCTCGATCTGGCGTGTGGTGTTTTTTGCGCGAACATAGCCACAGTGACGACAACGAACTTTATTACACTGAAGAGAGTTAGTGTGCAATTGCGATCGTGCGCGAAGAAGTTGAATTCGAGTACTCGAATCATGTTGTTGACTTACCTTGCTTGGCGTGTCGCTGTCATGAAATTCTTCATACGCACGACGGATGTCGGGGTTCGCGTGTCTTCCCATGGCGATCGCGAGCCAAGTTTGAAATCTTACTGTATCGTGAAGCCGGAAGTTGTAATGTTGGGTTACGAATAGGTAAAGGGTGGGATGTGGCCTGATTTGTATGAGTAATCACGCGTTTTACCTTTTTCATCGTAACGCTAAGCCTTTTTTTCGTGTCCGCGTAACCTAATCATGTACAATCATCAGCTGATCATAGAAACGCGTTATCCTGAAAGGTACAATCATCAACTGCGCCCCAGAGGTTCGCATCAATGAGTGGCTAGCATCTTATCTATATCCCCTCTGCACAGGACAAGAGGATTCTACTTCTTAAACCTCTAAATGGTAGTCTACAGGGCAGAAAAGTTGGCTCGAAGGGATAAGATGGATTCCTCCTACTATAGATAAGATTGTGGACTAATTGATATTGAAGAGATAGGCAAGAACAGGATGTAGCTAATGATCACCCACATTGACTGGCAATAGTATAGTATCCAAAATTGCTAAGCGGTGTGTCAGCTCATGCGTGTATAGAATCGGTATGCCTTTTTGAGGTTTTCAAGGGCTCCATAATACCTACATGTCAGCAATTTACTGAAGCTAGCCCGAAAACTTTCCCGGTGATATGACTCAAGGAAAGCTGGAACTTGTGGGGCCACTAGGTTTTCACTTCTTCCTCGCTGTCCTCACACGAACCGCCGTACGATCCTTTGTCTCGAGTTCAAAATGGTAACGGAATGAGATTGCTGTTACACTGCACGTGGAGAAAGCATAAGCCGTTAACCTAGAGAGGAACCATAGCGCGATGACTATCCCTCGGTCTAAGACGCCATGTAATAGCACCTTAGACAGGCAAACTGAAATGGTGCGGTGTGTTATCTAGAAGATGTATGCGTGTACGCAGATGACTGGAGCGCATGTGAATCAATCCATCTAGTGATATTTGACTGCACCAGCGCCTGCCATTATTCCATATATGAGCGTGCACATGCACACCGAACCATCAGTAAGTCCGGAGAGGACATTACAAAAGCATTGTGTCGCATTTATGGCCCATGCACCCAGATTGTGGACCTGACAGCCCGGGAGGTGGAGCAGAGCAGGCTTCTCGAAGGCTTCCGGAAAAGTGCTGCTCAGAATCTCCGAGATCAATCGAGGACGACATTCATATACAGAGCTAGGTTTTCGAGGTCGCTCCTTCAGCTCAGATGTATATGTCTGTGATTATCCAGGATGGAGGCGACACGTAGATCTTGATGCTGCACCACCATTACTACCGGCTCTTGCTCCACAAATGTGATACTTCGCCACAAAGATAAACCTCAACTACAGGTGGAGTTGGGCTAGCATTGAGTTGCCTAATAATACCCATTTAATTTGTCAGTTCAGAACACTGGGCAACCATATGTTCTCCCACAACAGCATCGTAATCGATTCAATGTTTGTCGTAGCCTATTCAAGCACAAGATCCTTCATGAGAATTTTTTGATCGAACAATACAGCGCCATGATCGGTATCGGGCAAGTCTCGTCAGCGCGCGGCCTTAAAAAGAGGATCAGAGTTCGGGATCCTCAAGGCTGTCCGTACTCAGGGGTCATTTTCACGTGTAAAATGAGCTGGCCGTTATTCGATAACAGTATCTCGAGCTGCTGGTAGCTTTGCGGCTGCTCCGTGCCGACATGGGTAGTAGATCCTTGTCCATCCCACCCTCAGTGGCTCCATGAGCGCCCTGAAAGAGACATCGTACTGTTCCCCTCCGACCTGGATGCGGCGTGCTGATTAGGGCGGCGGCGCCAGAGCCTGAGCGTAGTCGTGGCGTCTTTACGAGTAAAGAGAGGTACGATGGACGAGATAGTGCGCTGTTTGTTTGGTGTTTGTAGGTTGTCGCTGAGTGTACCTAAGAATGACTCGTCTGGGGCTCCTAACGACGTTGCTCGAAGAGCGGTCTGTGAGCGGGTAATTGGTCCACTCACCTGCTCGTTCCGGGCACGCCATAGCATGTAAATTTCATTTTTTTCTGCGCGTCTTACACGCACATCCGCTGCCGCCTCGACACCACCATCCCGATCCCCAACAGCTTTTATCTACTCCTCACTTCTTCCTTTCTTCTCTTCATGATGTCCTCGCCTTCCACTCAGACACATCCTTCAAACACGATTCCCTCCACCTCCGCCCATCCTTCATCGTCAACCATCGACCCCACTACTCAAGATGCCCCGCGAGGACAGTCCACCACCACCACCACCAGCTCCCCCGAACTCTCCAGTCTTAAGATAAAGCTAAAAAATGCCCTTCGTCAATTCCCAGACTTTCCTGAGCCTGGCATTCTCTTTGAGGATATCATGCCTATTTTCGCTGACCCGATCTTGCACGAGTCGCTCATCAAAGCTCTGGAGCTACACATCACACAACACTTTGGAGAGCAAAGGCCTGAAGTAATCGTTGGCCTAGATGCACGAGGTTTTCTATTTGGGCCGTCATTAGCGCTGCGGTTAGGAGCTGCGTTCGTTCCCGTTCGTAAGAGAGGCAAGCTTCCCGGTCCCACCGTGACTGCTAGTTACAAGAAAGAGTATGGAGAGGATTTCTTCCAAATGCAAAGTGACGGAGTCAAGACCGGCCAGCGTGTGCTCGTGGTGGACGACATAATAGCCACGGGTAGGTCCTGCATTTCAATCATGAAGTACAACTCGAACATACTAACTGTCGAATTAGGTGGCTCCGCAGCCGCAGCAGGCTCACTGGTTAAGCAGCTTGGAGGCACTCTTCTGGGCTACGTCTTTATTCTTGAGCTAGACTTCTTGAAAGGTCGCGATAAGCTCGATGCTCCAGCCATTACTCTATTGTCCGGTCAAACCGAGAGCAGCAAATAATACCCATGCATTGAGGAAGTAATGTCTTTTGACTAGACGTCTATCATTCTCACCCACTATTCGACGAATCCACGATTGATATTGCATATTTCCTTGCGCATTCGGCGTTCTTCAAAATAAGTTTTAATGATAGTTTCGGCCTTTAAACATATAGAAGATCGCGTTCTTCAACGAGCAGGCATTTTTTCACCCCGGTCCTGCGTATAAAGATACCAAACCCAACAGCCCATGTACATTTCCACACGTCGATCAAAAGTTTGAGATTCAGACCACTATTAATGCCGACATCGGGAAGCGCATTAGTGTTTCGCATATCCGCGGCGATTCGCGGGGAGTCCCGTTCGACCCCACCACGTACCTCAACCCTAATTTTGGTGACAAGCTCACGAGAGGTCCCTTGGCTAGCTCAAAACAAAATCTAAGAGTTATAAATCTCGCACTCTTATCTTGTTCCTTCCTCATGCAATTGCCGACCTGCTGCGCCATATCTTCTACTGTACGGCTCTTCTCTCCAATCCGACGACAATTTGCCCGGGTACCTCTGCCATATCCATCATCCAATCACACTTACCGAACAACCACATACAAAATGGCTGAGATGAAGAAGGTCTTCTCTGCTGAGGCAGCACCACGTATGCGTTCCTCAATCCTCATACGGTAGCCAAGCTAACCAATTGACCAGCTGCCGGCCCATACGTACGCTCCTCCGTACTTTCTTCCCTGCCCTCGTCCAGCCTCAGTCCCTATCATGATGATCTGACTCACAACCCCAACAGTCCCAAGCCATAATTGTCGGCCCCACAATCTTCCTCTCGGGCCAAATCCCCATGGACTCCACGGGAAAGATCGTCGAGGGCAGCATTGGCGACCTCACCACCGCTTGCGTCGCCAACATCAAGGCCATCCTCAAAGAAGCAGGCTCCGACATCTCCAAAGTCATCAAGGTACATCCTGTCCTCCTCCTCCTCCCATGCCCACCCCGTAGACACAAACACAAAGAGACACACACATAAAGCACAAGAAATACATACACAGCAGCCCCAACAAAACGCACAAAAAACTAACATACCTCGACTACTACAGACCACAGTCTTCCTCGACGACATGGCCAATTTCGCCGCCATGAACGCGTCGTACGAGACGCACTTTACGCACAAGCCCGCGCGCAGCTGCGTCGCTGTCAAGACCCTGCCTAAGAATGTGCCGGTGGAGATTGAGTGCATTGCCATGGTGTAAAAATGCGCATTTTTCTTTTGGGAGGGAGCCGAGGGACGAGAAGGGGTGGGGGGAAATGTGGAGCTCGGACATGATGTTATCATCCCACTGCATCCCATCCCATGAATCCCACCAGGTCCACGGCTACGTTCGTGCACTTCGAAAACATGTTCTGACGGCTTGCTGCTTCGGTTGGTAGCAAAGTAGAATTGAGAAAAAAAAGTCGCATATAGATAGACTAGCTACCTCACATGATGATCATGTTACAAATTGAAACAATGAAAAGTAATTGGCTTTCTGCTGCGTTCTGAAGTAGAGAGGTCTTGATCACTTCTTTTGCTATGATTGATTGATTGATTGATTCTGATTTGCGGTAGGTATTGGGGGCCATGGAGGTTATAGATTGGTATGATTAGGTCCTCTGAGAACTATAATAAAGCATGACACATGTTTACTTACTGTAGTCACATTTATAGAATACCTGAATGATACCTGCCAAATGCCCCCACTTTCATTCATCCGTCCAGTGATAGTGCCCCACCAGAACAAAAAGAAGCCGCATCCTGAGGCCGCACTTGTTCCCCCAGATTAGTCTGTGATAAGTCAACTGTCGGGATATTCTATCAATCTATGGCAAGGTGGCGGAGTGGTTAACGCGTGTGACTCGAATATTCCTATCCGGCATCACATTCCTTCGGGAGCGCAGGTTCGAGTCCTGCCCTTGTCGTTTTGCAATTTTGAGTCATTTATCGTAGCCGTGGCCCGTTCTGATACAAAACTCTATTTCATCGTACTCTTTTTACTCTTACTTTACTTGAACTATATATATAACTATATATAGGGTGAAATACATCAGCCAGCCCAATTTTGCACCAAGACACAAAGAAGTTCATGCAAATGATTATATGATCATAGTGTTACGGTCGTAGCCATTTTTGGAGAGCTCATATGAATCCCCACCTGGGAATGCCCAAAAAAATACGGTATAAGGAAAGCGTGACAGTCCGGCAGACTAGAAGAATATTATACAACGAGCAGCTTTACAAAAAAAGCCCTCTTCCATGATCCGCGCGGGATCACACATTCCTCTCCCTCTCATCCGAGACCCACCTCGAGTTTTAAAGGCAGGTCTAGAAGCGCTATGAATCGACGGAAATCTCCAAAGGCACACTGACGTAATGGGGGAGATTTCACACGACAAAATAATAATAACGGAAGTGTATGTCCACGCCTACGCCTGAGATAACGCCTCGTCCTGTACCAGGGTTGCACCTCAAAATGCCCGACTTGCCCGACTTGATCAGAAGTATGTAGCGCCATTTTGAAAGATTTCAGGAACTCTCGCGCTTCCTCTTCATCACTGCAATATCATCCTCTGCCCCTGGCGTTGCTCATGAAACATTGTTCGGAAACGCTCAGCACAGACCGCCAGTAGCAGCCAGGTCGGGCTTACTTTGAACCCAGCGGAATGGTACCGTCTGCTGGCGGTCGCAGTGCTCTTTGTCCTCACACTCGGTCATGTGCCAGAGTTCAACGTTCGAAAGAGCCTCCTTGATGGTTTTGGCCTCAGCGTTGGTAAATTTGGTATTTGTGGTCGAGCAGCTGGCCGGGACGTAGAAGCGAGAACTGTCGCAAAGGCCGGTAGGTGCCTTAGCAGGTGCTGCACGCTTTTCGGGGCTGGCTTTGCCTTGGAAGAGACCCGAGGTTGGTTGAGCTTCAGCAGCGTATGCAGCGCTCGGATGTAAGGCCTCCTCGGAGGCCTTCGCCTTTTGGTCGTTCGTATTTGTGGCAGATCCCTTCCCAAGGCTACCCTTACAGAGAGTAGACACTTCGAACTTTGCGCGTTTCAAAGTAAGGCTTTCGGGCCATGTCGCAGGAACGAAAATATCATTAGCAGGTAATGATGGCTTCTGTTGGGACCAAGCTGCGCTCGCGGTGCGAGAGTTTTCGTTGGCACGAACGAAGACATCGCCAAATGGAGTGGCCTGGATGAGATCGGCATTGCCGTTCTTACTGGATGCTTCCTGTACAAATGTCTGCACGGGACTGACATACGAATTTCCGAGCTGAGCAAAGTGAACATTGAAGTTGAGACCAAGTAGCGTATGAAGAAGGTCGGCTGGGTTGACCGTCTGAGCGTCGTAGGTAGGAACATTGAGCTCGATACAAAGCTCTAGCGCAGCCTTGTCTGTCGGTGCAACGATGTATTGGGTGACACCACCAAAACGTACCAAAGAATGGATGGTATTGAGAAGCATATCGCCGAAGAGCCAGGAATCGTTCTTCTCTAGGCTGAACGGGATGACGGTGATGCTACGTTCAACATTGTCAGAGGCAGTGTCGATGTTGCCCAAGGATGAAATAAGTTCATCCAGATCGTTCTGAACCTTGGGCCACTTGAAAACTGGGGTCCCAGGAGCAAGGAGATGCGGGGCTGAGAGTGCGTGAAGCGGCGTAAGCCATTTTTGCATGAAAACGTTACCTTCCATTGTCTCCTTGACCATATAGCTCATTTCTTTTGTAAAGTCCATCTTCGCCTTGTAGTTAAGGAGTTGTTTCATCCTGCAGGTATCAGCAAGAGTGCCCTCCAGATCATTCTTGCGACCATCTATGTGGACCTGGTCTTTGGACACAAGATCGGCAACATCTTGAACAGAAAAGGCCGTTCCAGTGCCAAGATTGACCACGTTGCCGTGCAGATCCTGGGATTGCTGAGACAAGATCAGACCGTTTACAATGTCCGAAACGTGGATAAAGTCTCTGTAGTGGGAACCATCGCCCTCGATGGTCAGTTGCTTGCCGTCGGCTGCCTGCTTCGCGAAAACACCAGTGACAATGGCATAAGCGCCGGTGCTGGGCTGGCGAGGACCGTAAACCATGAAGAAGCGTGTCGAAATGGTCTGTACGGAGAACAGACGATCAAACATCTGCATTTGGAGTTCTCCCTCGTATTTACTAGCAGCATAAGGAGTGAGGAAGTCGGGAGCTTGTTCCTCGCTATGGGGAGGCTTGTTGTTGCCGTAGTAGGTGGAAGAAGCAGCGTAGATGACCTTCTTGATATCACCCTTTGCACGAACGGCATTGAGAACATTCCAGGTTCCGAGCGCATTCACCTCAACGCAGAAACGAGCCATTTCAGGGTTTTTGAGCGAGGGTACTACCTTGGACATGGCAGCCAAATGATAGACGTAGTCTACTCCCTTGACAGCCCGCTCCAACGCTTTTGGATCCATAATGTCACCAAAGACAAACTCAATGCGATTGTCGTCCAGAGGAACATTGCGTAGGAAGCCGGTGTAGAGACTGTCAAACACACGGACTTTGTAACCAAGATCGAGCAGTCGGTCCACCAGATTTGAACCGATGAAGCCAGCTCCTCCAGTGACAAGCACCCATGTTCCATCAGTTTTTTGTGGTGAAGTCCCGCCATCCTTCAGAGCTACTTGGACACATGGGTCGTGAGCCTTCTCACCCGAGGCGGGTGCTTTGTCAATATTGTCATAGGTATGATCGAATGTGGGATCGGTTGAGGAATTCGGTGATTTGGTGGTCTCGCTTGTTGATGGAATATGAGGTCTGAAGGGAGGAAAGCGGTTGTGGAGGCCCGTGGACGAGGCCGTGAAAATGAGGATCAGAACGAAGATGACTGCAACGAATAGGACCGCTCGTATCTGTATCCGCCGGTGGCCAATCATCATAGTGGACATTTTATTCCCAGTATAGAGAATCTTAGTATGGAGCGTAAGTGAGGCGATCGGGAAGCTTTGTAGATAGTGTGTTCAGAGGGAGGATGAGGATACAGGCGCAGTAGAGAAAGGCGCGTAAGAAGCTGTTGGCGAAGAAAGCGAAGGATTACAGGCGTGGAGGATTTTCCGGACAGCCAAGGTAGAAGAGACACGCCGGGAGGATTGGCGATGTACTCGTCAAAGGACTGCAACGAAGTGAGAATGCGGCAAGGCAAAAAGAGAGGAGGTGGGTGAGACAGAGAATGAGTGCAACGGATGAAAAAGTGAAGATGAAGATCAAGTCACGAGAACGATAGGGGGAAAGTTTAGGGGAGCCAGATGAGGAGATGGATGTGGACGGGCAGCCAACCAGACCTAGCGCGGCTGTCTCTCTCTGCTCTCCAGCTAGTGGACTGGGCCTGAATAGCTAGGTGCCTCCCTGTTCCGAGAAATCCTCCTCTACTAATGGGTGACTTGGCTTCTACTACTATATTGCTGCACCCGCACGCACCGCAAGCCAAAAAATTATATATATGAGCTGCTCTTGAGCTTTTGAGTCTCATTCAATTTTGCAGAGAACGAAACAGCCCCTTGATAGTTGGCCGCTCTCCCTGTCCGTTTCCAGGGGTTCTACGAGACCTGCAACCTGCGGAAATCGCCACTTGGATAGATGGAATAATAATAGATGCTGACTGGACACATCGATTCAAGTTGGCGTCCGGAACGTCCACAAATCAATCCACTGTTCCCACCTCATGCCCGATAGTAGTAATACAGAGAGTTTCTCTCCATCAGGCCTCGTCGTACACCTGCTACGAACAACGAAACATCTTCTTGACATATCGAGCGTTGCACACTGCGCCGCAACTACTTAGGTGCCACCTCCATGCTGGATGCTGGATACTGGATGGCGGATGACAGTTGCTGCAGGATACACTGATTGGTACAATAGAATACAGCCGCTGCGCTTCAGCTTATCTTACTGGATGGATATGCTCCCCCTGCCGGAGGCTTATGTGTATTACCTTGCATCAAGTCGGCATGAGTCGACGAAACATTAGGGTTGGCTGGCCCTCTCGACGAGACTCTAAGCAGACATGCCTTCTTCGAGTCTTCTTCGAGAGATCGCTGTTATAACACAACGGTATGACAGGATACGGAATTACGAATAGGGGGCACCAGGACTCAGATGGCTTTCATCTTCAAGCTCTGGACTCTGCTGTGGGTGCAGGAGGCGTCGGATCGTCGGCTGATTTAGCCCTAAATTGAGCGTCTCGATCACTGACCCCTCTATTTCTTTCTGAATGTGGACCTAGTGTCTGTCATTTTATGTGATGCTTCACCCTTCACCCTTGCTGTGGGGGCATCAGCAGCCTTCGTACCTTTCTTACTACGCATTCATCAGCTCGACTGATAAGCCTGACTGCCTTACCACACTCCCCTCCAACTTGGACTTCTTTCACTCCTGCCACTTTTCATCATTCCAATCTCTCAATCTCCCCAACTTTTGCATGCGCTGTCGTCTTACCCCCACAATCCCGTCCTGAGATGCCTTACCGCGCGCCAGAGTACAGGTGCCGCTAACTTTGTTGAATCGGCCGCAGAAAGAGACGACGAGTGCAGAAAGCGAAATTTAAGAGTACTGGACTGCCCTTTCCTCAACCATCTTTCCTTCACCATCCGACAGCTTTCGACAGCGCACGGCTCGATATGGAACGAGAGCCAGTCATGAAGGCGGAAGTCAGCACCTTCGACGATGGGGACCAACAACACGATGACGTCCACGGCGATGTGGTCAAGCCTCCTCGCGCCTCGCTGGAGATGGAACAATCACATCATACTGCATATTCACAATTACATGAATGGGCAGGGCAATCGTCACATTGGTATAGGTCACAGAGTATGCGGTCGCGCTCATCCACCATCATTATTGCGGTTGCGGCCCTCTTCCTCGTTGTATACGGGACCTTCCACGCCGCCTCCAGTCCTTTACCTTACACAACCTCATACGACGGGGCATTCGCTCCCATGTACGATGCACTGATAGCAGAGCCTGGCATGTTCCCATTGGACCTCCAAGCCGCCGTGCCGGCCGACATATGCGTAATCTGCAATTGCACCATGGCTCCCAAGCTCTACGAGCCTTCAGCCGCCTACTCGTTCATACCAGCAAGACCGCTTCAAAAGCACATATGGCCAGGAAAAAATCAGGCGGACGTGAATGAATTTATGCGTCAGACAATTCTGGACATGTACTGTGCGCAGCAGCACTTGGACAAAGCACAGGCGTTAAAGCTATTACGCCGGTCGCTCCACAACCTTCCCGATATGATGACCTGGTCACTCGGATCGCTGGAATTGAGAAAGCCCACCATTTACATGACGACGGCAACTTCGCCAAATGGAAAGTCAGGGCCGCAGAGACAACAGTACTTTCGGCGGCACGGACGTGCGCTCCGTGCGTGGATGGATAAAGAAGCCAAGGCAGCGCAAAAGACAGGGTTCCAAGTTATCTGGATCGTGGCCGAGGATGACACAGACATCGATCCCATCGTCTCGCAGACGCTGCGTCGCGCTGGCGTGCCATACGTATACTTTGCGTACGGTCTGACCAAAGCGTATGGGAATGCGCAGAAGAACGCCGTCCTCCAGGTTGCATATTCTCTTAGCCGTCCGCAGCCACGCGGTCTGCTTGGGCACGGTCCCGTCTACGGCCTCGACGACGACAACAAGATCCTCCCGGAACTCCTGACGCTCATGACTAAGCTCGTTCGCGTTGGGGTGTTTCCGGTCGGCAACCTGCGCGCAGGGGACTGGGAAAAACCGACCATCGACGACGGCGTCGTCACCGGCACCGACTCGCCGTGGCAGCGCAAGTTTTCGCTTGACTATGGGGCCTTTGCGTTCAACAGCACGATGCTTGGGACGATGATTTCAGGCCCCTCGTTCTGGAAGCACACTGGGTATGGCGGCGAGGACCAGTTTGTGGCGCAGATGGCGGGTAGCATGCGCGACATGGAGCCGTTGTGTGGGCAGAACAAGGAGCAGGACTGCCATTTCGTCTGGCACAATCAGGAACTAACAGAGCTGGAGCGGATGACGGACGACGAGGAGGTTGCGTACGTAGAGGCGTTTGGCGCAGAGAAGCTGTTCCGGGAGCTGGGCTATGTGGAGGAGAGTGAAGAGCCTCCGCCAGCGCGTTGAGCTTGCTCTTGTTGGTCAGTAGTAATGTATGAGACGCGGGAAAAACAATTGTACAGCATGGGCCACGGCGTTTTACTTCTTTGAACTCTCGTTGCAGCAAGGCGGGCGCTGTCATGTTTGAGTAAATTCTTTGGATGGGGATATTAGATACTCTTCGCGTTTATGATCGTCAACCTGCTTCCAGGTTGGCTTCACATGGAGTCATGGATGCTACCTTAGTGTTATATATCCACACACACACGCACACGCATACACACAGCAGCCAGGAGTCGCGCCTATTAACTAGACTATGATATCTTCGCTTTGTCGTCTTCATACAGACAGACAGACAGACATACTTGTGCAGACTAATTGGTGCAAACCGGTACTTGACACTCGCATCGCGCAATCGCCAAGGAGGGAGGCGGCACCTCATGCAGGTGAAGTCACTGGCCTGCCTGCCTGCCTCGCGTCGCGTCGCCTGGCCTGAATTTCTGAAACGGCACTTGTGAGTCTATGTACCTGAGGTACCTAACTAAGTACTGGTCACAGACGGGGGCTAAGTAAGGTACTTGTGCTGTACATGTAATTAGTTCACAATTCTCTCTACGAATTGATTACTGCAGTACAGTAATTACCTACCTACCACTAAACCTTTGTTTGGTACGTAGGTATCTTACGTATTTGGAACTCTTCATGATGACTACCCAAGTTAGTATATTAGTACCTCTTACCAATTGCGACTGATTAATAGATGAAACTCGAAAACGTGCCATACTATCCAAACCTCTTCTCATATTCCATTAATTCACTGGACTGCTCTTTCTGAGTCGTTTCCTCAAAAGAAATGGAGGCTGTGCTGTGGTGGTCACCCTCCATTTACGCCTATGTTGCCGGAATTATGTCGGCTGCTGACAGTCACCCTACCCAGGGGGGTCCTGGCGTGCTCAATGAGTGCTTCGACTGCACTGACTGCAACGCGATACAAACTACAGGTAATTACGTGCTAATTGAGCAAATTGATGATAGCATACAGGCGCGATACGACACAATACGACGTGAGGCGACGCGACGCGACGCGGACAGCCAAGACGAAACCAAGCCAAGCCGTTGCTGAATGAGCCCCGCTTGAACCTTGGGTTTGGGAGTACTGCAGCCCCAGAAATAGGCAATACTGTTGTGTAGGTGGGACTTCTAATATATAATTACTTAGTACGAAGAAAGACACGAAAGCGAAAGCAAGAATGAAAGAAAAGGGACAACGGGGGAGCCTGGTGCGGGCAGTTCCCTCAGGACCTCACACACCCGGAGGCTATGGGCCAGGGTTAGGGCCAGACTCCTGGGTGTGGGAAATTAGCTTTTCGGGGGGGGGGAGTACGGTACGTTGGGGTGGGTAGTGCGGGCGAATGGCGGGTGGGAGGGGGAACAGAGGTTTATGTATGGTTTACTGCCGTCACCAGTACTACTGCAACGTTTAGGGGAATTTGTTTTGGTTTTTTTTGGTTTTCTTGCGCTGAGCTGCGGGATACGAGATGTGATATATGTGGATGGCGGGATTATAGTTCTTGGGAGGTGGGATGTGGCTGCTGCGGCATAGGTCTAGTTTATACCGCAGGACAATTATTCTTAGTGGAGTGGGATGGATGAATGAATGAGTGAGTGAGTGAATGAATCAAGACGACACTGGGATCACACAAAGTGGCAGCGAGCGAGCGGCACGGGGCGGATCGTAATTTTAGTATGAATCAACTGGGATGTGTGATTGATTGGTATCGATAGAAGAAAAAAAGCTCCTAGTTGTGATGAGGTGGTGTGAGGCTTTGATGTTATTGATGACGCGTAGAGAGAGTATGTCTGTGAGTGAGTGAGGTATGGCGGCATGTGAGAAGAAGGAAAAGGACGTTGGGAAGTCCGAACCTGGCCGGTAGGGTGATTGATGGTAATCTGCCGATTTGGTGTGCTGCGGCGCAATTCATTTGCGGAAAAGGGCCCGGCGTCGGCGTGGGCGTCGCAGGTTACATTGCGGTGACTGGGTGCCGGCCGCGCCATGCTGGCTGGCGGCGGTATTTTCATTATTGTGCGTTTGGAGATGGCTTGATGGCGGCGCTGGATTGGGGAGAGGGTGTGGTGGTGGTGGTAGGCGAGGCAGAATGGGGCGGCATTGAATTATTGACGGGCTGAACGATGGCTTGCTTGAGAGTGCGATGACTATGATGTGCGGCTGCGACGGTAGAGGTGAGGTTGCAATTGTGAAGCGTCTGAGCACAAGGTTAGTAACAGTTCCTAGACAGAATTGCGACATTTTGTGGTGGAGAATGAGACTCCTGTGCGTTGTGGTCGTTGTCTGGTCTGGCCTGAGAAGAGAGGATATTCGCTTCTTCCTCAGGCAGCAACCAGGCACCAGGCACCAGGCACCAGGCACCACAAATTTAGACGAGCGCACGCTAGCAACACGACAATCTTAAACGGGGCTCCACTTGCACGCCGTAATCACCAAATTCGCCGGATTCTGGGGATTCTGCACGCGCTGATTGGCTCGTGGCGCCTTCCTTCCTCCAACCTTGGAAGTCGCGCAGGCTGGTTACGCTGGTTGGGGCTTGCCTACATGAGGTAGAGCGTGCAGCTTGTCATCCTCGGTCGCTCCTTCCTGTAATAACAATTACTCTTGACCCATGACCCATGACTGTCCAGCCCTTTACACCCCTGATCCCTGTTCAGTCTACGCCGCCAGACATCAGCCCGTTAAGACGGCCACGATGCCCACGATGCACTGCCCCAGTCACCTCTTCTTCGTCTTCTCACTCCATCTCAGCTCACAGTAGGCTATCTTATATCAAGAGGCATTTGTGCTTCATCCACTCTTTGACTCCATCTCTCACGGCTTCCTTGCCCAGTCACTCTTTACTTGACTCTCTTATCAACCCTTTCAAGCATCTCCTCCACTTTCCACCTGTCTCACTTCCTCACAACAATTCAGTCAGAATGTTCTCCAAGACTTCAATTGCTGCTTTCTTCGTCTCTGGCCTTGCTGCCATTGCCAGCGCCCAGGTTCACGCTGTTGGCGACGTTCCCAATGGCAACTCCATCGGCCACCCGGAACTCGCTGAGGTATGTTGCTCCTGCGCGAACCACCCTGTACATATCCACTAACAACCGACCAGCAAGTCACCCTCAACAAGGCGTTCACCATCACCTGGCAGCCCAGCTCGCCTGGCCCGGTAACGCTCTGGCTCTGCATCGGTCAGTCCACCAACTGCGTGCTTCAAGACTCGCCCATCGCCATCTCCGCGCCGAACACCGGCTCCTTCATCTGGACGCCCACACTCGCGCAGTTCCCCAAGCTTGTTCCCACCGTTGGCTCCGGCTACGGCATTCAGCTCGTCGATGAGTCCGACCCGCGCATCTTCCAATACTCTACCCAGTTCGGCTTCACCTTCCCAGACGCTCCTGCAACCATCACGCTCAGCTCTGCAAGCGACGCTCCTACTCCTTCACCCGTCGAGCCCGTCCCTGAGTCGTATGTCGATTCGTATGTCGAGCCATCCGCGGAGCCCACTGTTGAGCCGTCTGTCGAGTACACTACTGTGCCGTGCAGTGCTACTGTCTCCTCCAACGCCCCCTTCCCTACCACTTGGTGGGCTCCTACCGGAAACGGCCCCGCCCCGACCATCATTCAGCCCACCGGCCCAGTTGGTGTGCCCACCAGCTTGTACACCTCTGTCTCAACCCCCGTGTACACTCCCCTTCCCGCTCCCACCGGTGCGGCTGGAAAGGTCACCGCTGGCATGGGTGCCGTAGCAGCCGTCGTGCTCGCCGCCATCGCCCTGTAAACAGCTTGAGCTTGTTGCGCGCGTGTGTTGTACATGAAACACAGGAGGAATGAAAGGAAACGGAAGAGGAAACCCAAATACGTCGCGCCAAAGTTTACAGCCTAAACGTACCAACGTCTGCCATGTCTTTGTCTGGTCTGCTTCTGTGGATAGAAATACCCCCTATTTGTTCATGTATCTTAATGTCTTCTACCATCATGATTTGTATCGCTTGATACCTATCGTTTTTTTCTCTTGTTGCGTATGTGCGCGCGCCGTTGTAGATGCAATATGACGTTATGTCTTTCACCTTGTGTTGTGTCGTGTAGTGAGTGTCGTTGACATGCTCGAGCCCACTGCATGCCCTGTTTTGGCGAAGATCAGCCCCCTTCGATAGACGGCCGCCCTGGGGAACCCCGGCCCCGCATTCATGCGTCGATCGTCTCCATCCGGCATGTATAGCCGTTTTGCACTAAATATATTCCTCGACAGCAGTACATGTCTGTAATGCTGCACAGCCAATATGCATGTACCTGTCTGCTCTGCTATACATAGTAGTCATCATGCGAAGGACACCTACGCTGAGCCTATGCTCCGCTTTCTTGCATAGATACAAGGTCGAAGTATATGTGCAACTGGTAATTAGTTGTTTGTTTTTGCTCGTGTGCATGTCGATGGTGTTTTGTGGGGTGCTGGGATGTAGATACTGTGGATAGTATTGGTACTGTGGATACTGTGGATACTGTAGATACTGTAGATACTGTAGATACTGTAGATACTGTGGATACTACATATACACACTACAAGACCAGCCACGCAACACAGATTCGATAGCTAGACACAGCTCCTTACGCAAGCATCATCAACAACAACGAATGCTTTCCCACGTGCTAACCCATTGAACAAGAAGAGCAAGTAAGCAAGTTAAGCCACACCAATGAAAGAATCCGTGGTCGTGTTGTAGCATTGCATATCATAGCAAAGTGAAGATACAGGTATGGTCAAGTGGAAGTCAACCCCTGACTTCCTTCATCGGTACAGAAAGGACTGGGTTTGTCTTCTTTTGTTCTTGTTTTTAACTGCGAGATGGAAGTAGCGCACTTGATGGCGGTGTAGTCTTTTTTATATGGGCTGGGAAGGGCAGGGGGGGTTGAGCGTGGAGTTATAGTCTTTGCGCTTGAAGCTGATGTGCTCGGAGTTGCTAGTTTCTCGGGTGATCTTTTGGGCGTGTTTGGTCAGGATGTTGGGGAAGTGCGGACATGGCAGGTAGGTTGTTAGAAAGCGGATATGGGTAGGTGTATAAGAAGCTTCTCCTTGCTTCATTCTGTTTGCTAGCGAGTGTACACCCACGCTCGAGATACATCTGGTACCGAACTAAATCGTGTGTTGTGATAGTGGGCACAAGCTTTCACTAAGGGAGGTGGTGTTTTCGGTATTATGGGGTTGATTACTGTATAAAGGGCCAATGGAGTATCTATGGAATTGGAGTGTCCTGTAGGTTCTGGGGATATATATATATGTGTGGCGAGAGAGGCTGTGTGGCGTGGTGGGTGGTGCGTTATCAGTGGGGAAGTGTAGAATCCGGGTATGTACTAGACCGCACAGTGAATGATTGTCTCGCAAAATGCCGGGTATTGCATGCATCCACTATCCATGCCTGTCGCATATATACATATTCCTTGGTCCTTCCGGTCATGTCTTTTCCACACGAGTTCATGTTAGATTGGCATTAGAGTATACGACCGTGTGGCTTTGTTCTTGAGGATCAAATAGAGCTGTATGGGAGGAGAAAGTCTGGTTGTCGATTGGTGTGTACCTTTGGTGCTGATTATCGTTGATGAGAAGTGGTGATGAATGGGCGTGCGAGGATGTGATTGTGCAAGCAAAATTCACTGTGGTAGCTCTTGGGAGCGCTGGCACCAGCGTGTCTATGACACTTATTAGGTACTGGATTGGATATCTATATCCAATGATATCTGTTCCCTTGCCTAAGAACTGGTGAGGAGAATGTTGTTACGTTTGCTTCGTTTACTTAGATAGAGATAAGTGCAAGTGCTTGGAATGGAATGGAATCGTGCTTGGCAGTGGTGTTCACTATCATCAGACAGTCAGGCTAGTGGTTACCAATATGCATACCTGTTAATGACAAGCTGTGATACACAACACCTAGCTTATGAGTGTTACATCAAACGAGAAGAGCTTGATAACATCCACTGTCATAAGGATGTCCAGAACAGTTCCATACCATCATTCCAAGCTGCAAAGTCTCCTTCATCAAGCGAGGCTTCACCAATTACTCTCGCTGAAGGAGGAACCTTCCTCCTAAACGCTGGAGCACCTACACAAAGATGCATACGCTGGAATCGAATCGATGTGCTCTCGCAGCACGTTTTGCATTGCTAAGCGATGATAATCATCGATGGTAGCACAGAGACCGTGCTAATGACGGACATCATCAACACTACTGATGGAGACTACCCTGGAGTATGCACATCAGGCGACTTGACGGAAGGTTTAGGGCACGCAATGGAAGAGACATCGAAGAACGTAAGCGGTTGTGGGTGCGTCGAGAGCCAGCCATAATATTGCTGTGCTTATGGATTGGAGGTACTGCTGAGCTTGGTGAAGAGTTTGTCTGGTGGAGGGTGGGCGCTTTGTACATTCTTCTCGATGCCGGTTAGTACTAGACTATGAAATGACGGGTCTGCACGTTATCTCAGTTTTGACTTATTCATGGACTTGCATATTTACTGTATCAATGCGTACACAAACACAACCATGCTGGTCCTGTATAAAATGGTCAAGTTATAAGAGCATAACGCCATGGAATTCTTCCCCTCGTGCATTTCCTATTCGCAACCCTCAGAGTTCGGCCATTCTAGCATTGCATTGGCTCAATAACGCGAGTATGTCTGCACGTAATCAGCGTGTTATCCAATATCACTTGGTGCTCGTGGTGATCATCAGTGACAGCTACTGACCAAAATCATCGTGGTCCGAACGAGACGAACGCATGATGTTTTCAGGTCGCGAGTATTCAGGTCGCAAAAAGGAGCACAGACATCGGATATTCGTTGTGCACGATAAAGAACAAAGGAGAGAGGAAGAATGAGACTAGGTGGATGATATAAATATTGCTATGCCGGGTAATTATGTACCTGTGTGAAGCGTGGTCTAACGCGTCGGGCAGCTCTAACCCCTGACGACATTAACAATCACAATCACGACTATGCTGGCTTTACGACATTATCAAGCAGATCCGGTGAAAGAAAACAAGGATCTGATCCCGTTATAGTTTGGCCTGGAGAATGCCGGGCCGGTGTAGGTAATCGGGAGGTGCCCCTATACACTATGCGTACAGCGGCAGTGTTGACATTCTTGGTTTGTGAAGCGCTATTACCGGGTTGAAGTGCACTGTCTGTATATAATCAAAAATAGGACGACCAACACATTGATTGAAGTCAAATCCTTGGAAAATCTTCCGTACAACTGTCAAGGAAGGCCAGCAGGACTTAGTGCGTCGGCGGAATGGGAGAACAGTATGCCGACTGAATAGTAGCAGGATGGTACATAAATTCCAGTCCTCTCATCGACGGTAGCGCCGATCCATGTCTTGGTAGCCATGTAGGTTTGGAGCTCGATGCAAGACAGGTAAAATATACAAGTTCACACCGTCATCAGTGCCACATAGCTCTTACATGTGAAGCATATTGCTGTCTCGATAGCGACGGAAATGGTATAAGTTCGCCAAGTGCAAAGTTTCTACACTACCTGGAGCTCTTTCGTTTGCCGTTAACGGAATTCTTGTCATAGTTGGCGTCTCAGTACTGATGGGAAAAATCGTACATCTTGTAAGCCGTTATCATCTCCTGTACCGAGTTCAAGCGTAAAAGGCGGCAAATTCTCCTTAGGGAACGAAGACGAACAGAGTGTGTAGATATGGTACGTGACAGTGTCTTCCGAGGTAGACGGAGCAACAGAAATTGTTTCACATGCTATATTGATACACCTGAAGTGTCTGCAGAAGGAAGCTGCACACTTCGTGAACTCTTGCAAAAGCCATTGTCTTGAGCCTAGACCTGTACAATGAGGATTCAAAGACCAAGAGTGGGTACTGTTCGGTCCATTAGTAGTACTCTGTGGCCAAAAAGCAAGTATGAGACTGTGGGGTCACACCACACGCTGACATGACTCTCAGGTTTCGATAAGGTGACAATGCGAAGCCGTTTCCTCACCCTTGCTAAATGACGGCTGATCAAGCATGCAGCACCAAGCAGCGAGACCGCTGTTGGTTTGAAACAGCGCTGCATCTCACTGATATGTGAGGCTCGACGTGATCTGCATTTGAGGCACAAAGCCGACCCCTGGCCCCGATTGATTCAGGAACGTTGCTTGGCCCATTGGTGCTACTCGAGACGACTGGGATAGAGGGTAGTAAAGCTATTGCTAATCGATGATAGTGACGTTGGTGGAGACCAAAATAGCTCTGTGCTGCGGAGCACGCTCCCGTCTATTTCTAGTCAAATATCGGACCGATCCATGCCCAACCGAGGGAGTAGGAATGTTTGGAGGAAGGGATAACGCCTTGGAAAGCTGTTTGATTGTCTTTGTTGAACATCCCTTGTTTCGTTTACATCATGTCCCAAAATTCCTTCACCAGATGGCATCCTCCAGAGTACCGAAGGAAAGCTTGGACCGCCGGCTTCTCTTCGGATGGATTCTCTGATCCACGCAAATGTCGAGCTTCGAGCACGTCTTACATAGCTATGAAGTACAATTTGCTTCATCGAGCAAGTGTCTGCATGTGAGAAACTGAGACACAACTCATCCCCTTCGTTCTCGTACCCGTCCTTAAGCTAGCAAATGTCGATCCGCGATTATTGTCCATGGACCATGCTAGTATTTCCTTTATTCTCGTGGGCTTCTTCGCCATGTAAGTGGACATGGCAATAAGGTCAAGGACTTAACAATGCCTTTGACCACCTCGTACACCCTTCCGCGACGGAATAGCAACTCCTTGTCTGGGCTCGAAGGAACACTTAGCCAGTGCACACAATACGCCACCAGGATTGCGGGGCTATTACGAGAGATATTGCGAATCTCTCAGGCTGGGTCCTTCCGATGCTAATCTCGGAAATGCCTACTGAACCCCCAGATGAGCTATTACAAGTAGCAACAGTTGCAGGTGTTCTCTGGTCATGAAACTTTATCAGGGTCCGATCATGACTGCCATTGAATTGCTCACGCATCATGCCATGCTTAGGTCAGAACAATCCAACGGGAAGGGAAGGGAACATCCACTCGGCTGTACCGTCATCGAACAGCTACTGTTCGCTCTGAATTCTGTACCAAGTACCGTGGAACTTGGGAAGTTCGAATTCCACGAAGACACAAATCTAGTCCTGCGACTTCTTCCAGTGGTGTATTGGCTTAATCCGGAAGGTTGTACTGCCGCAAGGGAGGCTTTCAGTTCGATGCACATCCACCACATGATTCAACTTCCCCACGCGCACTCAGCAGTATCAAAAGAACCCTAGTAATCCAGAAGCTCGTGGTAAAGTTTTGCAAGGGGTACGGTGTCAGGCTTCGGACTGCGCCGCGATCGTGACACAATTGGCCAGAAGTATAGCCACAAGAATGCCCTTTGCAAGCGATGGCCATGGAACACTCAAGGTGTTCTCGCGCTCATACCTGATCGTGGGCAAGATTTGCCTATTTCGACCATTGTATTCCGCATTTTTGAACGAGGGATCGTGGGCTTACGAGATGCACCTGTGCAAATTTGTCGCCTTGTCTTCTGGTTATCTCGTAAAATCACAAACCTCATCGATGTTGACAGCATTCCGCTGGCTAGAGATAAAGACCACAGCGCGAAATGCCGCAAAATGAGAGGTCAACGTATTTGCCGGCTTGCGGTGAGATTGAGGCGTAGGTGTGTGTGTAAGCGCTCAAACAGGGGGCATTAGGGGCAGATGTAGCTCAAGGAAGACCAATTAAGGGAGTAGTCCCGAGCTCGTGTCCACGATAAGATGCAGCACAAGCCGCTAAATTGATTGCATCAGCTGTACGGCACAGCCCATAATGAGAGGAATTAACGACATTGGCTTGCTCTGGAAGGATCGCAAAGCAGCAAGATTACGCCAATGAGAGACGAGTGTGGCTTTTTGGTATCATTTCTCCCCCCGTCCGGGCTTATTTGCTCCACTGCGATGACGGCGACTTCCACCACCACCACCACACCAATGATCATGGCACAGAAAGCGCATAGAGTCCGACAATGCTGAGCAATAATGCCGACATCCCGATGTGAGAATACTGCGGATTTTGACCATTCTCTGAAGGATGATGACTGGCACTGACGATCAGATACTATCTATATCTCTTGACGGCGGGCGATTTTTCTGCTTACCGTTAGTGGGCAACCAACGGTCAAAGTGCTTGCAAGCTCCCCAAGCAAGGGACAGTAGTGGACACACCATGCTGCGGAGCGTGGGCGCAGGGCCTCTCTCTTCAGTTCTTCAGTACACATCCCTGTGCTCCACGCTGTATGTCGTCAAGCACCGGCCGCATCGTGCGCCGTGGAACTAGGCCTTGCCCGCTTTCGCTCTGCCCTGGTGTGCCGAAGGATTTCTATCCCGGCAACACCTGAAGCATAGCGACATGGGGAGTCGAAAGACATTGAACGCGAATTGAGGGCAGTGAAATGCAACCAGTCCTATCACTTGCTCGAGCTGCTTGCCTCGCCGGGGATCGGACGGCGAGATACAGAGGCAGACATTGCCATCTCCATGACAGTAATGCGCATTACTTGCGGCGCGAGAGATGTGCCTGAGAGTAAGACAACATCGTACCTACACAGAACGAGGTTTGCATCTATACGCACCCGGTCCATGTGGTCCCGCTGCCTCCTTCAACATGATAGGCGGAAAGCAAATGGCAAGGCTCCCACCTGTGATAGAGGCACATTCCAGATGGCGCATGAATCAAAGAAGATCAAATAAAACGTCGGATGGCTTTACGGGATTTTGAATTTCATGGGCCGGACGGCGGCGAAGGGTACGGGCCTTGTCCCGTCCTTGTGTCTATGACTTCACACAGTTCGCAGGCACAGCAAAAGCAACCCCCAACAGGTTCCTGGTACATTGGGGAGAATTATTTCCGGTCTATGAACAGAAGATACTGGAGCAATGCAGAGAGGTATAGCTGGCGTGTTTTGCAAGTGGCCGCCGGCTCACTCCCGAAGCATCCATCTGCTTCGGGACACACCGCAGATCTGAAAGGGCCGCACGACTAGTCCTACTGCTATTCTCACCTCTCGACTACTCCTTCTCCACCGCCCCCACCCCCCTCCCCCATGAGCCTCGCGCGCCACCCGAGCCGGTGGTGAGGTGCAAGGGAGTGCAAGGGCGCCTACATGCATGGATGCACGGCCTCCATGGGTACGCTGCTCACGACTAATTTCGTTCTGACCTTGAGATGCGTGTAGCTGGTTGGCTTGAAGGGCTAACCGTTTTGCCATGTTCACACTCTTCTAAACCGCTAATCCAGCCTGCATTTATGTAGTGATGAACCGCACGTCCAGAAGCATCCTTTATCAACTCCATAATCCTCCACGTCCCGTCCCGTCAATCATACAATGGCTTTGGTATTGAAAAGTCCTGTGGCTCCCTCCAATCTCGACAAACGTTGGTCCCCTCCAGCATTCGCAGAATCGACCTTTGTTGATTCGTCGTGCTGTCCCTCACTGGCACTGAACTCGCCAGTGTCGACTATGACCACTGACTCCCTCTCATCTGCATACCTACCTTCCACATCCGAAGATCCACAGCCTCTATCTACTGTCGTCGCCCACGACATGCAAAGTTCGGGTTGGTACAGCTCAGGAATACCAGCAAGCGTATGTCGAATTTGCCTACACTTGCTCTTCAACATTACTTACATCGACTAGACATACGAATTTAGCTTTGATAACACATACATCACCCCCTCTTTAGGCCCCTTCTCGCCTCCAGAGTATTCCAAAGCAGAAGGACTACCACATATCGACACCAGCAAAGTAGCAGAGTCGGCTTACAACTTTGGCTCATCGTACGATTCGACACTACCCCCAAGACCTCGAAGTAGCCCCAGTACCTTTAGCCCCACTTCTGGTCCTCGTATTGAAGACTTCCTTTGGCAACAACAGTCAAACGGTCTTGGTATTTCTCATCAGTCAAGCCCTCCCATGGACCCCCTTCACAACTACCCATATGGCCCTCGGACGCCTCGGCATCATACCGAGCCAGCTATACCTAGTGTAAATGATATTAATGCACCTCAGCCGAGGCGGACGTACATTCCTCTAGCACCGAACCCGTCCCAGCAGGCTCAGTCTCAGTCATCCAAGAAGCGGCACCGGGATTCGGAAGAACCCCATGATTCCCCAAACAAACGAAGAATACGCTCAGACTCTGCCACTGTTACACAGGAACTTACGGAAGAAGACAAGCTTCTACTAAAACTCAAGGACGAGGAGAGTCTACCATGGAAGGACATCGCGATGAGATTCCAAACGGACCTTGGCAAGACGTGTCAGATCCCAGCTCTTCAAATGCGTCTCAAGCGGCTGCGGGAGAGACTTCGGGTGTGGACCAACGCAGACGTTCAAGCCCTCCATCTAGCCCATGACTACTGGATACAAAGCAAATACGAGATTATCGCCTCCAAAGTATGTTATCTCGGTATCTGCTTGATGATGTTTACTAACATATACTAGATGATTGAATATGGAGCATCAGACCGATGGTCAGCACGACAATGTGCGCGAAAATGGGCAGACATTGATCCAGGCCCAACACCATACACAACTACCACTACTTCTTCCTACGAAAGCCCGATGCCACAGTATGCGACCAGTCCACCAACAGATGCGCACGCCTTCTTGCCATATATGCACATTCAGCAGTAATGTTCCCAAGCCAGTTACCCAACATTCAATATTTGAGTTCAGCCACGTACCTCCTATAGAGCTACATGGACAAAACAACTACACTGCATAGCAATTACCTTCTGGCCAACCACCATCCTCCACGGACCATCTCTTCTGGTATATGGCATTACAAAATTTCTACTTCGGATTTTGCCGGAGTTGTATATAAAGTTGATTACTTACGCATTGGGCATGGCGCAACATGTGATGATACCTCTTACCTGTACAATCTACCTGGGGCAGCATATAAAATATTACGATGACCGACGACGAAATGGGATTTTCGCGTAACGACGAGGATGAAGGGGCATACGATACCAATAGCATAACGCAAAAGCGTTGCGAGAATAACAAGACAATATTCTACGAACTATCTTTCCGCATTTTCTCTATCTAAACAGGTTATGAGTGCATGTGAGACATACTGATATGATTATACTATACCAAGACACTTCCTTGGTAGCTGCAAAGACACATAAGACAGATCAGGACAATGGGCCCAGCTTGCGCCACGATAATGGACAATGGCAATTCATGCGGCGATGCGCAGCAGGGGGCGGAGAACTGATTTGCTTGTAACCTAGGTATTCAATGGAGTCAGCGTCGGAACTTGCCTCGTACATAGCACAGAAGAAAAAATTGATCGAATCGCGACTATAGACACACGCATCATAGAGCCCACGGCCAGACCCAAATGCAGATCTCGAGATCATCGTCCTGGATTACAATCTCCTAATCCGTCTACACTACGCGTACTACGCGTAAACGACGGTCCGACGTATGCATATTTTAGCACGGGTATGTGTATTCGAAGGGTCGCTGAGATCGCAGCAGGTCTCCATTTTCCCTCCCACGCCCCCGCCACTCAGCGCAGTCAGACACACGTTTCAGAGAGTCCCAGGACGCTGCAAGCAGTGTAGAAAGCGGCAAGGGATTTGCGGGTGGATGCATAGAGCGATCGACCACGAAAGACTACTTGCGAGAGCGAGATCCCGGGTTGATGAGATAGCTGTACAACGGTAGACGAAAGAAGGGGGGCCAAAACGGTCTCTGACAGCCACATCTTGGTTTTAACTTATCAGATCGTCGGCCTCGTGCGCCGAAGCGAGAAAGGATGGTTAAGCTTGCGCGTGGCGCCAGGCCGCGCTGCTGGTACGGTGTGACTGTGATGGACGGTAGGGGATTGTGCTGCGCTGTGTATATACTACAGTTTTGCGTTGCGCTGGATTGGATCATCTATGAAATATGGATCGGCTACTTCCAGGGTGAGTTATTTGAGATTGAGATATGCCCTTGCTCAACGGTGAGCTGGGATAAGAATCAGGTAAGACACGTTTCACGACGATGTCATGTCTGCTCGCGAGTTGATCGAAAGCATCACATTTTCAGGGCTCTGTTCGAAAGGGTCACTATTTAAGGGCACTAGTAAGGGCCCGTTGTAACTCTAGACGGAGAGTTCAGTACCATTGCGGTGGAAGGGCCTCGAGTCAGTAGTCATCAACGTCACTTAACGTGCAAGAAGACAGGGCTTGCGATCCTTCAGCTTTCTCGCGTGTGTAGTTCCGCGGATTCCCTGGTAAGTTGTGTTTTGGGAAACAAGTGCGAGGCAGACTCAAAATTGAATGGACTTGATTTCTCAGCCTCGTCGATGATAGCATGCATGCCTTTGTTTCAGATGGTGTGTAATGCAAATGGTCCGCACAGCGCGCTGCTTTTTATATCTTGCTTGCCATTTCAAGAGTCTTGTCTGCACCTGCGTGGCTCTTGATACGTGTCAGTGGCTTGGGCAGAGTCAGTGGGTGAGGTTGATCAAAACTAAAGGTCCTGTGTCGGTAGCTGGCCAGCGGCTCAGAAAGTGCTAGTGATGTCCTGGAAGATAGTGTTAACTCATTAGAGGAATTCCTCCATATGTGGCGGCAGAAGCTTCGGGAGCGAGGAGAACGGATGATTGTGGTAAAAGAAACGTGCTGAAGAACATCTGCGGGCAAAGAAACAAGAGTGACGATCACTTCACGGCTATGCCCGTCTACTCATGCTTTGGCACCCGGATCTCTTCCACCTCGGCCGAGCCTTTGACACCCGTGCGGCGTGTATCTTCCGGCCCCCTCCCCTCCCCTTTCACTCAAGCTATTTCGGGCACTCCTAAGCCCGGTGCGTCGTCCTTAGCCACCCGAGGGCCGCTTTGCGTAGTTCTCGCACAAGATCATCGGAAACGTCATGGGAAGTGTGCCTCGAACACTGCAAAGTCACACGAATCCCCCAATGTATCACATCTCGAGCTTTGAGAATCTGAGGTCGAACATGCAAATTACACTCATAATGGAACAACTAGCAGCAACGCTTGCATGGCTATATCGAATCCTTCCATTGCCGTGCCGAAACGCGCTCAAGATGCTGCTTGGGACTCCCAGTCACGATCCGCTAACGTCCCATCCTGGCTGGGCAGGTGTTTACCCCATCTGCGGCAGGATTGCGTATCCAACTTTCTGTCTGGAGAGGTTTCACTCTACTCCACTTTCTCGCTTTATGGTAAATACAGCCTTTACAATCTCTGATTCGCCAAGTGGGAGTCTTCTGTTTACGTGTTGCTGTCAAAAATCCAGCCGAGCTAACTGGCGTGACGAACTTACCGGGTAGCTACATCATCCTAGACATGCATTCCGTAAGGGACGAGATCGTTTGCGAGGAAGAAGGCGAATGCGACGTTTGACACAGTGAGTGCGTGCCTACAGACATAACGGAGCAACTCTCCACGATCGGTAGAGCAACTTTTGTTAACCTCGATGTGGTTGCTCCGGCCTCTCGCTCATGCTCACTGCGCCGGATAAGCTGCATCCTACCCTGACTACAAGGGCTATCGACGACCATGAATAAATGCCTGGCGTTATCGCCGGCGAGTTCCTTCCCTAGCAACATCATTTCTGCGGAACACACATACATAGAAGCCATGTCAATCCTATGCTTGCGGACACCATTGCGTTTACCAAGGGTGCATTTTCTGGGGGTCATACATCGTGACTTTGGCCCACCCTGGTCGCCGATATCAAGACTCCACATTGCCGGGGTGGCTGGATCGCGCAAGTCGCTTTGTTAAAAGTGCGAGTACCGCTATGGGCTCGTTGCGAGACGAGAAGACATTAACGAATGATCGGAACTCCGTATCGCCGATGCTTATGTGGCCCATTCTCAGCACGCGAAGGGGCGGATGGCAGGGAGCTGGCGGCGTGCGCTTACAAGAAAGGAGAGTAAATCGCGAGGACGCCAGCGCCGCCTCCCGCATGGTTTGGCGGGAAAACGCGCAGTATCAGCAACGTCTGCGTCCGCGTCAGCCCTGCCCTGCCCCTGCGAAAGAAGGCTTGGCCATTCTTCTTGCTATTCTAGGGACAGACATTTCAAATACGTGGGACACGCGTGGATCATGGGTGGTTACTTTTATCTCTGGGGCGAAATGTGCGGGGATGTGTCCAAAAAGCGTTCCTGGTCGTGTTCTGCCAAAAGTTCCACCGAGGGCAGGGCTTGGGGGCCGTGAAACAACGAACTTGCATACCTACCTGCATTTCTTCCACGACGAACCATGATCCTACCATTGCGACGCTCATCCCAGTCGCGTGGCCGCCGGGTCATGTGGGATCTCCTCTCTGTAGGATTCCCATAGGAGTCTCATGATGTTCCACATTTGAGCGCTTTGAAGAGCTTGCAATCGACAAACATGAGTTAGTGGCCGAAACATTTCACCGAGAGTCTCAGATAACACAGGATAGCATGCTTTACAGCAGCTGGTTGACTAAACGAGGCCCAGCAAGGCCCAGAGACCAGCAAGCACTCTCTAAAAGACTCAAACAGGACGAAGTAACCGATTGTAGTTCCAGGGACTAAAGAGGACAAGTATAATGACTATATGTGATAGCGGTGCTACTATGGCTACTATATTGTACAATGTGTCCCAAAATGCCTAGATGTAATGGTTCAGGGTCAGTATCAGCCTCGTCTAGTGTCACGCTTCAGGGTGGTACAATGCTAGCAATTTTATTATTAGTGTTAGACGGGTAAGGATTCCGGGTACTGGTGCTGTGCATGGTGAATACAGCAGGGCTCTGGGTGTGGAGGATGTGTGCAGAAAGAAACGTCCCGTGTGGTAGTTCGTGATACAGTGGAGCTACAGATGAGCCGCGTAGGGGCTATAAATTGCAATACACGCAGGCTATAGATAGTTGTTAGTAGTTAGTCCAGGCTAGAATTGGACTATTTATTGCAACTTGAAAGCGGCAAGTTCCATTTCCAACTTTCTGAACGGTAGATGATTGCTCAGGAGACGAAGGAGTACATTATTCAATGTCTCGACCCGACATGTTTCTGCACGAATATTGAATATCGTGATTTGAGAATGGCAAGGCCATGGGATTCTTGCAAACCCTGGACATTCATATGATGATGAACGCCAATCTTAGACGCAACTGGAACGCAGGTGCGCGGTGGCCAGAAGAGACTTCCCAAATAGGCATAACGCTTCGATTGCTCCAGCCTAGTGTGAGAGCTTAACTCGAAGTCACTGGCTAGGCTCGTGCGCACACCAAGCGACAGGACGGCTGCGGCTGCATAGACCCGATGATGGCCCAGGCGGATCAAACGGCTGCTGGAAATGGTTCAACAGCGTTCGGTGTTCCTTCGTACTGTACTTCATCTTCTCTCCATCCCATGGGGTGATCCTCCACGCCCAAAAATACTTCTCGCTGCCTGTCGGATAAGGGTAGCCACTCATATAGAGAGGAACAGGAGAGACTTGGCTGCATTTTAGCATTCATTGTACGAGCCTACTATTCTACCTATTCTACTACTTAAGTGTATAACATTTTAGTGCATTGCGAAGCATCTATTACTCCTCAGTTCCACTTCTAGGCTCAGTCTGGTCATGTTCATGGACTTTTCAGAACCTAGCAACCCTTCACCGGTCTTCAGTTTTGCCCAGCCATCGGACCTTATGTGTGTTCCTTTTGTCGCGGCTCTTCAACATTTCTTATTTCCTTTGTTCATTCATCACACGGGCTTCAGTCACTTAGTACTCACATTTACGCCACATGGGTTTCAATTTGCCACCGCCACTACACATCAATCTTACTTTCTATACGTATTGGTCGGTCCTCTTATGCCTTGTCGCAAACGCAGTATCTGATTGTTGATCCGCAAAAGTACATATAAGTTTAACTATGGTTCTGTCTTACGCTTATACAGACAAACTAATCATTCCCATTCCGCCTTGGAGTAAGAGATCGGCCTGGTTCCGTGTGGGATGCGGCAGGATATTCGCAGACGATACCACGTGGCGCTGCCAATTGCGTGGACGAGGAACGGGATCCTACGCTGTGGCTTGACGCATAACGCCTCCCACGCTGTCCTTTGAAACCCGCCATCTGTGTAGCCAGTCCTGATGTTCGACCGTCTTTGCACTGCTTAGTCGGTACCAAGAACAGCAATTTCAACCTCTATGTCCACTTTGACATCTATTCGTTTAGGGGTGCCCCAAAGCGTACAGATCTTTCTACGTCTGACTTGCTCCTGACTCTTGGTACTCAAATGCTGGTCGAACTCTAGGCAGGTACTCATTATTGAATAACTCGGCGTTCATCGTGCTACCTTAGTCGCGATTTGACCGGTAATCTGCAGGATTGCAAAAGCTTGAAGCGGGATCTGCCCAGGACCACGCCATAAACCTGGTCAAGTGAAGCGATCGCTTGCATGACGGACTTTAGCGAGCAACCGAGAACATGTATAGAGCTGCAAAGGTTTTGTGATCTGAGGAGGCAGTTTCGGTCACCGTACTCCAAATGGAAAAATAGATGCGTGTTGTAATAACCGTGATACTAACAATATGGCTCAAGCACTACGATCATAGAAGCAGCTATTGATGCTACGTAGGGTACGAAAAATCTATTATCATGATAAGACCATGCGTCGCTTGGTATTGCAATAGTCTCGACTGTAGTTTATGCACATTAGCCCTCCTATAAAATGATATGGTATTCGGATGTCTACTAGATTTCAGTCGTTCTAGTCGTAATACACCATAACGATACAAAAGACCACTACGGACACTTTAGTTCAACTAGAATTCCAGATCCATTCGTATTAGTAAACACCCTCACTGAATGTTACATTTGAAAAGTGTTATAGACACGGCAATCCCGAGGCCCTGGAGGAGTGGTGTAATTACCTGACCAGTCTGTGTCTTTGGTACTATGTTGAGGGACCTGAGTATCAAGTGGAGACTATGTAGCTACGCCACACAACTGTCGCTGTCCGTACCAAGCAAACGCCGAACGTAATATACCGGTCTAACACAATCATTTATCCGTCTCGCATGGCATCGATAGACAATGTATCAAGAAAGTATTGACCTACAGCGGCTTGCTACAGCCGCATGCATTCTTCTGTTTCGAAATTGCATACTATAGCACGCCTCCCTTGCATTGGTGGAGATAGGCAATTCGTCAAGCTGCACACGTACATTGTATAAGATATCTACCCGAGTCACATTTTGCATGATTAGTGTGGGATTATACCATATCTTAAGCGCGTAATAGAAGTTTATTGACAGCGTTCTTTGGCCGGGTGGGTAGGGCAATAGAGATATCCACGCAATAGAGATATGCACCCAGCTCGTGACGGACCGTGGCGGCAGATGACGCGTGCAGGAACATTGGAGAAGGGCTATTGGGTGCGTGACAATATGGCATGCTCCAGGCTTGGGATTTATCGGCTAGGGCATGTGATCATCATGTAAGTGATTAGTATAGCAGAGTAGTAAGGAGATGATGGAGGAGGGCAGGAAGGGGATCTAGTGCTTGTGGATCCATTGAGACATATCTATAGGCTATAGCTTTACCTTTTACTCATCATTGGTAGTGGTCAATATGGAATCATAACGGGTCAGGAGCGGGTTGTCCGAACTATAGTAACGTTTTACACACTTATAGAGCTTTACCTAAGGTCAAAGTGCTTACCTATTTCAATGTCTAAGCTACGTTCTTCCTTGTTACATGATCACAGAAAGTAGCGCTGATCATCAAGATTCTCCCAATTATCTAGGGTGAAGTCACTAGGTATTGCGTGTAACTACTCGCTGATATCTAGACAGCAATATAGGGATTAGAAACTGTGTTTAGAGTTTTCCACCTGTAATATAGAATATAGGTCGATAGTAGAAGGTTCCAAGGTGATCGTACCAACAATGAATCTGGCTATCCAAATATTCAAACATCGGTTACTTCATTTTCAAAGTAGCACAGGAAACTCATAATCATTATAGGAGACCTTATCTGTAAGAGACTCTTTACTAGCATTTGATCTTTTGATCTTGGAGAATAGTACTGTTGAGTAGTCTAATGTACCTCTATTTAGTGAAGTTGAAAACCTTGTAGCTACAAAGTCGTGTTGGTTGGTCGACCTTGCGAAGCGGACTTCTGGGTGTCAGCCTTCAGAGTTGGCCCATGATAGTTGGTCCAACTGTATGTGCACCGGCCACACATGTTAAGCAACAGCGTTGCCTTTAAGTAGGAAGTATCTCCGTGTAAAAGAGGAAGTAACAAGCACGTCATTAGAACAAGGCATGGCTGTTTGAACGCCTGCCTGGCCAAGCAAGGGCATTTCCAGAACCCAGACAGCCCAGGTTGAGCCACCCTGCCCGCATGAACGAAGCGTCGTGGGTGTTGCTGCATGAGCAGTGTTTAGAGTGCTGACAACAACCTTTAGACTCGTCCCTGAATATTGCAGCACGAAGAATACTCGTAATCTGTTATTGAAAATACTTCTGCCCTATCTCTCCTCGGGAACAGATGCGTTTGTACGGAAATGCTCCTTGCTGGACTCACTATTCTATGCTGGGTTGTTGTAGCCTGATGGCACGGATTATACCAACTGTTCTTCCCGGGCACATTCGTGGAGAGCTAGAAAGCTAAACAAGTGTCGAAATGCTACCGATGAAGTCTTACAGTATAGTGCATAATGTATAACAGACGTGGCGTTGCTTAGATCTAGAGCTGAACTTCCCAGACATAAAAATGACGACCTGGAACATGGAAGGTCTGCTACGAGGGCAGGATAAGTGATATACAAGGCAAACTACTAGGCCCAGTGTCTCGGAGCTGGTCATTCTTCATTACTATCGTTGATGAAGAGCCCTGGCTGTGATACTTGTCTCTTATTGGTGGAATAAATCGTACGCGGGGTGAGCGACATCTACCTTCAATCTTACAGGGTGTAGGAACATCGTCCGTTCCTAACACGCATGGGTCGAGGAAGTAAGCAGTGAAGACCGGTAACAAGGCGTCATCTTGATCTTCAAACGAACGCAAATAACGCTTCATACGGAACGCCAACTAAGTTTAAGAATTCGCGCAAAATTTCTTCGTTTGGAAACTAGACTTGCTGATAGTCTCAAAAATGGCGACGGGACCTAGCAATGCCTTGAGTGACCTGTATCTCGTTAGAATAGCGTCGGACGGTCCTTCTTTACGATCGTAATCGTATCAGAAGTCGAGTGCAATTATGAGACCTTTCGTGTCACACACTGTAAAGTATGTATAATTCGAACTCTTGAACGGAATGCTGCTTCCAGATATGCCGCGTCATCAAGAACCAACTAATCGAGACCAGCTTAAGAGTAGACAAAACTAAAGCGTGACTCACTAGGGGTCATTCATATATACATATTCCTTTCTGCTCCATTAATGTTTCCTTGCCAATTACATTCCCGGCAGCAACTACAACACTTGAGTGACAATTTAATATGTGAAAGTTGCTCATCTTTGGATCTCTAGTACACCTCTTTGTGCTCCGAAGACCTGTCCATGTTGGCCAGGCTAGAGAAGAACACTATTGATTTCGCGTAGGCAGATCAGTCGTATTGTCTTCTTTGCTAATAAATAAGACTTCTACAATTGGACTGCATACATAATGACTCCTGCCGAAAGCATGAACCTCTGACTTGTTATAGTAATGTCTGAATAGAATGAGGCAAAGTACATATAGCGCTAGTGGAATATCATAAGGACTTATAAGATAAAAGCAAGTATTAGCATGATTAAGGTGCTGGTCAGAAAGACATTCGGACTAGGAAGTCACGAACAGGCCCCGGCTTTCGAGATTAGGTCGCCCAGCTTCATAAAGCTTCCTCTATGAATCAATGATAAGCCAAGGCCTTGAGCTACTGACATATCCCACATAATGGAACTGCATCTATATGATAATAGAAGACAGTCATGCACGCAAAGCTCGTAAAAAGTGTCCACTATCCATCTGACATGCTCGTAGTCACCAGCTTACAAATGATCTGCATGATTTACTTGTGTTGCATAAAGCTTGTTATTGCTTATGACGTCAGAAATCCATAAGAGTAACCATAGAAGACAAAAATCTATTTGATAAGCTGTGTTAGTTGTCTCGGACTATAAGTTGTTTGCTTCAAACCTATGAGTCTCACGCTATAGACAGTATGATGGACAAACTTCCAATCGATATCAGCAGCACTGACCATCGGCGTCAGCCAACTACCATAATCTAGATTCTGATATTGCAGTTATCGACTTGTCAATAGAACTTCCAGGAGGCTGTGCTTAGTAGAGTCACCCTGGAATGCTACGCTTGATCAATTATCAACGGTGTCTGATGCTCCCGAGGACCGAATAATATCTTCATCAACATATCACTTAAGATGATCCTGAAAAGCGACTGTGAGTTATTCAGGCTCTTGAAAGGCGAATTCTGAGACCTCTATCAGTGTCCTGTGGCCCCTTAGAGCTAGGTCACGGGTGTATTGATCATAGAGATCTCAGATCTCGTGCGTTTACTTATGATTAGTGATAATGCGATCTGATATATCAATAGTAATTACTGCAACCATCAGCACGGCAATGCTATCTATGCACTCAACTGGTGTTGTTGTCAGGGGTCCTACAGTATCTCCCGGAGTCAACGTTAATTACTCAGTGCTAGCGCTGGGTATTATAGCCCTTTTGTCATTTTGCTTCAATATTTTGCAGGGAGCTCTTTCGAGTAGGTGTTGAGTACAGTTCTCGCAATAAGACAATATGTGTGACTGAGCGCCGTGGAAGTAGTATAGCGTACAAAAGATGGACGGCAGTGGACGAAGACTCAAGTATGTACGAAGATCATGCATTCAAGCTCATGTATATTCATCTTCTCTGTCTCTCCTTCTTCATTATGGTTATAAAATTTAGAAAGTAGACACATGTAGCTATGAATGCAACGGCGCTTGTAATATAGTAAAGCTTAACCTACCGGCGTTCAAGGTTAGGCTACTCCAGCCTGTATGGTCCGTGCGTCTTCACCGACTCTGGATCAGCGGGACCTCTACTCGTCCTGTTCACCAAACCAGTCATCCACTGGAGATGTGACAGAATGACTGAGTCGACAGGGCACCAAAGGTATCGCACAATACCAAGTTTAACGCGTATCGTGCTAATCGACAAAGACTGATGAAACGAGCACGCAAAGCATGCACCGAGTGCCGGCAGCAGAAGGTGAGATTCTTGCTGACTAGTAATCAGCAGACGGATGACATTATGCAAGTTCGTAGTATACTGACGACGCTTAGGCAAAATGTGATGCATACCTCAACCAGGATGGGCCATGCACGCGGTGTGGGAAAATGAAGATACAATGCGTGATTAGCGATCCTTTCAAAAGAGAGCACAAGCGAAAGTACGTCACATGTTAATCAGTTTGCCTGCATCTTCACATTTTACACATATCTATACACGGCTCGACTCTGCTCGAGAACGCTTAACGCAATCTTATGATACCTTTTGATTGTTTAGCATCGTTTATTCACATCAAACAGACGCCTTTCGGAGCTAGAGAAAGAGACCGAGGCACTGAAACAACAGCTTGGCAATACAAGGGGCTCTGCAGAACTTACGAGTCCACGCACACAGACTTTCAGTAGTGGAGCGAGTGCATCTCCGTTGGGACCTCCGACATTCCAACCTCCTGTGGCAAACCAGGTTTCACTAGACTACAACAGCGGACCTTTGCATACCAACAGGTACCCGATACATACTCCGGTGCACACACCGGATCAATTAGCCAGAGGTACGTACGATCAGACTCTCGATGGAACCAAAGTTTCGGGCAATACACTTGACGAAATATTCATGATGTGAGTCAAGTGATAAAACGACAACCTGGCTATGTTGACCAGTTGTACAGGTATTTTGACCATTATCATCGATTTCTGAAAATTCTCGATCCATCCGTACCGCCGAATGCCTACTTCATGGAGTCACCTCTGCTTTTTTGGGCAGTCATCGGCACTGCATGCAGGACATATACGAAAGATCTTTCTCTGCTCTACTCCCTGGCACCAAAAGTTGTCAGTCTCGCTTTGACAACGCTGCAGAAGCAGCCGACAATACAGACCGTCAAAGCCTTACTGCTCCTCCTGACTTGGCCTTTTCCGAAGGGCGTGTATGATTCAGACGTAGCGTATCCTATGGCGGGAGCATTGCTTCATATTGCAATGCAGATTGGGCTGCATATTCCAGCTTCGTCTCAAGACTTTTCGAGGGTCAAGCTTAGGCTCACTGAAGCCGAAGTGGATGACCGTTGTGGGATCTGGGCTCGTGTGGTCATTGTGTATCATCGGTACGGGCATTCTACTGTGCATAGTCAGGGCATCAACCACTAATTCAACGTAGATGTGCAGCCTTTGTAGGTCAAAATCCCATGACCATTCTAGACAAAAGTCACGACCCTGAGCAGGTCTCCCATCTAACAGCGAGACTGTCTCCAAGTCTAAACTACGGGCTGACACTCCATCGAATTGAGGCGAGATGTTGTGACGCTCTCCTTGAAAATGGATTGCGAAAGCTACCACCCGAAAGAGAGCTCACACTAGATATCCTGCTCCGAGTTTTCGAGGGCCAGCTACACGACGTCGAGCACCAAGCACCCACGGAATTGACTCGAGTGAATTGGGCCATCTCTCGACTCACAATTCTCGTATTTCATTTCTACAAAGAGCCCAACGTCAAGGAAGCACCGGCGTTCACGCGTATCTACAACAGTGCTTGCCAGGTCATTGAGCTGATCAACGGCATGGACAAGAACAACCCCGGAACGTTGGCATATGCACCTCGACATCTCACCTTTGGGATCCTATTGGCTGCAACGTCAATTTTGCGATTACTGAAAAGTTGGTTTGCAAGGTACTTGGATGTTGACGTCGCCAGACAGAAGCTATTCTTCAGCCTCGACATGGCCAAGCTGCTCTCTCACGGGAACAAGGACGCCCAGACAAAGCTCATTCCCGTTGTCACACAACTCTGGAGTAGCGATAAGGCGTTTAAGAAGCCAGACGGGTCTGAGTTCTCCGCTCTGCGTATCAGAAGTCGACTGATCATGAGTCCGATCGCTGACACGCTGTGGTGGTGGAGAGAGGAGTTTGGCGGTCAGGCTGGGGCGTATCCACTCACTAATGAAGACGAATGTAAGAAGAATGCACCGAGTAAGTTCACAAATGACTGCTGGCTGTGTAGGTTAGTCATTGACAATATACAGTTCAATGCACATCTGGCAACGCAATACCTACCGCCGATACGGGCTCCACTCTACTCGAAGCTAATCCAGCTTTGACCACTTTCGACTGGATGCAACCATACTACTTCATGGACGACCAACTACTAGCGGAGTTTGGTTTCAACCTCGACAACCCCAGTGCAGGAGTATCGTCTATGGACAACTCATACGGCGCCTGGCCTGCAACTCCCGCTCTGAACGGATATAACATGAACACAGCAGGCTGAGCTATTACCTACTTCTGCATACCAAGAAACTACCTACGTATCCGTCAACACACCACTCGCATGCTCCATACAGAAGGTACTCATCCAACAACCTCCTTCACCCACCCCACAAACTGCTCATAGCCCCTCCTAAACCCATCCCTCCCCTCCTCCGAATCCAACTCTGCGCGCGACCCCATCCAGCCATGCCTCATATCCGGATACGTACACACCACACTCCCAGCCGGCCTATCCACCGCCTCAAACGCCCTCACATCCACCGCATCCTCATCCCGACTCGCCATCACCAAATGCGGCATCCGTAACCCACGCGCATCCCCCTCCGCCAACCGACTCGGATGCGCCTGCGCACTCGCCACAAACCCACCTGCCGTACCACTCCTCGTGCTATCATTATTGCTCGCTAGCACAACCACCTTGCCACCCCAGCATAGCCCTAGCGCCACAATGCTCGCGATATCCGGCTCCGAGGCCCGGATTTGCGCTGGCATGCTGGCCACGTGTGACGCGCACCGTGTGAGGTCGCCTTTGCCCGTGGGACCAAACATGTCACCGACAAGCTTCTGCTTCGCAGGCGTGTCAGCGGGGAAGAGCGCACGGTCCATGCCGCCGTCGAGTAGGTCCGGCATGAAGACGCGTGCAGGGAGTGCTGCAGCGATGAGATCCTGTTTGAGTGAATGAGTTAAGTCGTTCATTCGTTCGTCACAGTCCCTCAAAAGTGAGAAAAAAAACAAAAATACGACAATGAAGATCAAGATGAAGAATGAGAAAGGACCAGTGTAGGAAAAGAAAACACATACAGCGCCCTGCAGCGTCTGACTCGTAAAGCCAAACGCGTCGTAGACGAATACAACAGCCAAACTTGCGTCACGCGGGCCGGTTGTGTATGTCTTCATGCCGGCCATGTCTTCGTACGTGCCCTTTGGAGTGTACGCTCCGGGCGTCACGGGTGCGAGCGCGCAGCATGCTTTTGGAAGGGGCGAGTCGGAGGACATTGTTTACTTTGACCCGCTTTGTGCTGCTTTTGCTGCTACTACAGTGCGGTGGGCGTGGGTGATATTGGCTGACGATCTGTAGGGATCTGGCGGGTGTGCGTGAGTGGTTTTGCACTCTACTGGCTTTCTTATATAAAGACATGCTTTGGCTAGTGTTTTTATACACATAGCCGGAGACAGCCATAGATACAGGGTTGACGTCCGGGTAGATTGATCTATTTGAGCCGGCTCCGGCTTTAGACGTCATGTCGCCGGGGTGTTCCTGCTCATAAGCGCCAGCATGAAGCGCCACACCAATCAGAGCTCACGATTTGTCCATCTCGTCTACTCCTACAATGCACAACGTCAACCCTAATTACACACACACACATAATTACATACGCCCACACTAAAAGCGAGGATTTGGAAATAGATAGGACAGAAAAGCGTTAATGTTGATTGTCGCAGAAGGCTTTTGCGACGGGTATCATTACATCTGAGTACTGGTCGTAAGCATGTACAGGTAGACGTGCGCTGCCGTGTTGAAAAGCCATGTGAAGTAATGGCTTGTATGCATCCCTTGTATGCCGGCCAGCGCGCACAAAGGAATGCGTATGTCAGCACCATCATTCTTGGTCGAGATGTTGCTGTTCGGAGAGGTTGTCATCGGGCTCCGGTGTCACTGCCAAAGCTCCAGGTGTTGGCAACCAGCTGAAGAGGGCATGGTTGTTGTTGCCGTGTTCACCCACCAGTGGTTTCCGGGCACACCAAACACCACTTCGATACTGAGTTAGCGGTGGCTGATTGTACTCACACTCAGTCACTTACATTGATAGCACAAACCGTTCTTTACCATTGATATCTTTCCTGACTTCGGACAGCAGCACTTCGATTTCTGATCTTGACATTTTCAGGACTTTCGTGAACAGTGCCAGGGACGCGGCCTGCAAGAAATCAAACATGTTCTCCTTGACGTAGCAACCCAGCTTCCTGGCCTCCTTGTCTTTCGGCCAAGGCCCTATAGGCCACTTGTACTGATGCGCACGGATATCGACGAAGCCACAGTTTTGCAGGTGATCTGAGAATGATCTTGGTGCAGTCAAGTCGACTCCGATAAGCGAGGCCGCACGGATTAGCCTATTGCTCCAATCTAAGTATGGCGAGTCCTCAGGTGTGAGTAATGGATTTGAAACGCATCTTGGTGGGAAACATGCTTCTTGACATTCTATCCAGCCACCAGGTTTCAGATGTCTTCTTGGTTGTCAGTAGGAGTCTGCATTGAAAAAAAGGGGGGAAGAATGACAGGAAAGTCTGTTGGAAGATGCGAGACCAGTCTCTGATGCCAAAGCAAAGCATCCTCTCATGCACAAAATCGTATTGATCGTTGTATAGCCATTCCTTTTCGGCGTCATCAATGACGAAGGAACAGTTTGGCGGTACTCTAGGTCAAGTGAGCGAGACAGGGGGGTGGTTAGGGATGGGTGTAAATACTCGTTTGGTTGTATTGGACTGCAGCGTTTAGCTTCAAAACGGATGCAGCAAAGCCAAGGATCTCACCTCAAGTCTATTCCCACGACACTGGCCGAGGGGTGTTCATCGGCAAAGTCGATGGCCCATATGCCTGTGCCGCATCCCACATCGAGCACGCTCTGAACGTCATCGGGGATTGGCGATAGGTACAGAGCACCACCGAGCGTCAGGCGAAATGCATGGTGTTGTAGATCTGCTTTATGATAAGCGTGAGGCAAGTAGTTCTTGGAATGGTAGCACGAACCTAAACGCTCTGCCTCATTCTTGCCAGGGCCATGTGGGTTAGTGTCCGGATCTGAAAGCGGCACAAGGGATCGGAGGGACGCACGTCGTCATTAGGTAGCATATAGTCTAGACAAGGGTCAGTTGTGAAGGAGCACCGATTGAGACGAGTCAGATACGCACTCTCGGCTTCAAAAGCATGATAGCGACGGCCTAAAAGAGAATAAGATTGCTGTGTCAGGCTTGGCGATGCGGTGAAAGGGCGTACCTAGTTCGTATCTGTAGGCATATGCGCTGGAAGTAATGGAAGTAGTGGTGCTACACGATGTAGATCAGTGTTACATGGCAAGGTTTATGAGGGAGAGGAAGTGAGAGGAAGATGAAGCTCTTGAAGATGAAATGAAGCTGGATGCAGGGCAAGCAACGTACGGCGAATGCTGCTCACCAAGCGCCGAGTCCCGATCACTCTGGAATAGGGGACTTGTCAGCAGCCACAACAGAAGATATGCAGATATTGTCGCGACAGCAGCAGACTCACATCGTCGTTCATGAGCAGTGCAGTGCGGGCTTACGACTTTCCAGGTACCCAGGTACTATATCGTCGACGCAGGTGTGTGGACGAACGAGGACGGGAAGAAGGGCATCGGTCGACAATGAAAAGCAACGCTCATGAGGAGAGATGCTTTCTGCTTTGCTTTCTGCTTGCTGCCCTTGTCCTGGGCCGTTGCTAATTGATGACCTTGTCCTTGCTGATGGGTTACAACCTAATACTGTATCTTTCGGCCGAATAGAGAGCTTGTTGATCAGCATGCAGGTGGTTGCATGATATAATCATCATTTAGCAGTGCAGCCATGTCTATCGCAGTAGTGGACAGTAGCAGACAGGAGCACCTGTCAGCAGTCACCCCAGCTAAACCTAGGGGAGCAAGTACGCCGCGGTAGCTAGCAGTAGCGGCACCACCCAGCTAATTTAGCGAGCCTCGAGCGGACTAACGGGGCCAGTGAGCGCCCCCATTGCATCATTAACTTTTGCCAGCTGTCAAACCGCCGTCAAACAGGCCGGGTGCCGCCCAACAAACGAGGGGCACGCGGTCGGTTGAGGCCCCCCAGACTTCGTTTAGCCCGCCCGAGCCTGGGACCCTCGACTATCGACCCTGGACTCGCTGGACCCCTTGGACATGCTAAAGGACAGGCTTCCAAGTCGCAATGCCAGCCCTACGAGCCCTAGACCGTCGCGGCATATAATGCGGTATTGCCTGATGGGTATCACTTGAGAAGTCTTGACGCTCGGTTGTGGAAGAAGCGATATGGACATCCATACCCTCGGACATGCACGAGAGAGTGCGACACGCCAGGTCCAAGTCCCCGATTCGCAACTCTCGCAGTGCATAATTGCATACATATACATATATGTTGATGCAGTTCTCCACACCTGCATCATGCATCTCAAAGGAACGAACTATCACTGACTAGTATATAACAAGCGAGTATGGTGGAGGTGTAAAAGACGAGTGATCGATATATAAGAGCGTCACTTACAGTGCTGTCACCGTCACGATTCGGACTATGATTTTAATAGTACTAGACAAGTACTAAGACAAGTGACAACATTTTCATTTCGTCCGTGTCAATGGGTATAGGGGCCCAACCTACCCAATGCGCATGTGGCTAACATGTACCAACATACTGTATAGACAAGACTGTGGCTAAGGATATGTGTGGCTGTGGCTGGGCTGCGGCTCTGTCCAGAACGTGTCAATCTTGCACCACCTGGCCATGTGAGCTTCAGCTTCAGCCTCATCTCAAGCTTGTTCTCTGCAACACCAGCCGTCCTGTACAGAACAACGACATACCTTTGCTTCCTGTCTACTACTTCTGTAGCGAGACGAATTCTGTTGTACAACCTATATCCTTTCTTACGCCATACACCGGCTCCCCTCTTCGTCATATGGATCACTAGTCCCCTGCTTCACTTGCATCCCAACCAGTCCCCAACATGCCAGAGTTCAACGTCTTTCGCATCCTGGGCGATGCCACCCACGCAACCTCCAAGCTCATCCTGATATGGGCGATACATTCCAACCGCAGCGCCGAAGGTTGTTCTCTCTCGTCGCATTTGCTGCTTCCCTCATCAATCATGCTCACTCTCCACAGGCGTCTCGCTCCTCACCCAAATCCTTTACATCGTTGTCTTCGGTACCCGCTATCTCGATGTCTTCAAACCCCATCTGACCGACTGGCACTCCAAGTGGAATTTTGTCCTCAAGATCGCATACATCACTACCTCTTGCTACATCGTCTTCCTCATGATGCGCGTCTTTGCTCGAACGCGTGAGCGTGAGAAGGCGTGGAAGCTCGGCGGATACTCCTTCATCGGCTCCGCCGTAACAGCCCCTTTTATCTACATGATATTCAGTAAATTCGCAAAGGGTCACGGTATCCTTGAGGTATGTCGCCCAACGCCACCGTTGACTAACCAAAGCCCACTGACCAGCATTAGATCCTCTGGACATTCTCCGAAGAGCTCGAAGCGTTCTGCATACTCCCGCAGCTCGTTCTACTGCGTCAAACGACTGTGCCCACGGTGATCGACTCTTTCTACCTCGTCACGCTCGGCTCTTACCGCGCGCTCTACATCTTGAACTGGATCATGCGATACGCAAAAGAAGGCGATGTCAACCCGGTATCCTGGATCTTCGGCATTATTCAGGTCGCGTTCTACGTCGACTTTGCGTGGGTATACTGGACGAGACAGAGGGTGAAGCTACGTGCTGGGGGAGTTGTGGACTCGGAAGATTTGAGTAGGGGTTGGCTGATTGGCAAGCTTGTGGGCAATCGCAAGAGCGCAGACTTTGATGAGGATGAAGAGGCCCAATCCGATCCGGAGGCACAGACCGGGCCGCGACGCGCTGGACGCTGGGGTGCCAGAGGGATCTCGATCTCGGCGGATGACGGTGTTCATGATGTGCATAAAGATGCGGAGAGACAGCCGCTCGCAGACCCAGATGCTTTTGAGGACGAGAGCGACGGTGAAGCCGAACCAGCGACGAAACAGCAAGATCCAGTACCCGAAGTTGGCAGTGGCGCTGAGTGGCGAGAAGGAGATGGTAAATAGGAGGAACATCAGGAGTTCATGTTACATATACAATGTCTGGATCTGACACGATCATCTAGTCCAATATCTCACACCACATAGCAACACCTCAAAACACTCTCAACACGACCGCTTCCGTCAATCACTCTCATCCATGGCATCACATCTACCCGTCTAGTCCGTGATGACTGTCGGATCCCACGCACACGGCTCGTAGCAATCGAGCTCCAACGTCTCCATGTCCTCGTCACTAATCTCCCACCCAAACACGCCCGCATTTTCCTCTATTCGCTCCTTATTCACACTCTTTGGCAGCGGCACAAACCCCTTCTGCAAGCTCCATCGCACCAGCACCTGACTGGGCGTCTTTCCATACCTCTCCGCTAGCCGCACCAGCACCGGCTCCTCGTTCCTCGTCGCCCGCACCAGCGGCGCATATGCCTGCACTACAACACCTCTGCGCTGACACCACTCCACAATCTCCCGCCGTCCCAGCCAGGGATGCAGCTCCACCTGATTCACACTCAACACCCCGCCCGCACCACTGCCCTCCGCCGCCTCCCTCTCACGCATATACGCCTCCAACTCCTCCAAATGCCGCACCCCGTAATTACTCACCCCAATACTACGCACCTGCCCCGCCCGCACCGCCTCCACAAGCCCCGCCCACGCCCCCAACCGGCCCTCGCGCCCCCCATACGGCGCATGCACAAGGTACAAATCCACATACCCGAGCCCCGTGCGCTCCAGCGTCTCCGCAACGCTCTGCCGCGCTCCCGCGTAACTCGTCTTGTCCGGGGGGATCTTGGACGTGAAGAAGAGCTGCGATCGCGGGATGCCGCTGTTGTGCAGCGCTTCGGCGGCCGCGGCTTCGTTGGCGTAGGCGACGGCGCAGTCGATGTGGCGGTAGGAGTGCGAGAGGGCGTGGTGGACGGCGACTGCGGTGTCCTGGGCGGGTGTCTTGTAGACGCCGTAGCCGAGGAGGGGCATTTTGTGGCCTGAGAGGAGGGAGGCTGTGGATGTGTTTGTTAGCGGCGGCGATGGCGGCATTGTGTTGCGGGGCGTTTGTGCGGTTTGTGTTTGTGTTTGGGGTGTTTGTGCGTTTCTGCGTTTGGGCGTGCTTGCTTGTTGGGGTTTGGCAGGGGGTTGTTTCAGTGATTTCCGCGCGGAGCTTTGCAATATACAGGTAGACGACAATACGTAGGTAATTCGCTGGATGTAGCCTCAATTCGTCTCTCTTTGAAACGCAACAACCAACAACCACTGGCGCACCTTATATATGTACAGTATGTATCTGTACACAACACACATATAGCGCTCACCCAGACGAAAGTCAATAGGCGATAGGCGTTCGGCACTAAATGTTGGATGACGTACTCTGCTACCACAACACCTCTGTGACAACCAGTCGTGGTCTGATTTGGCCGGGCGAGTTGCATTTAGCGTTGTGCGCGCGGAATCTGGAGCCGGCGCTAAGAATGATCAAAGATAAAGGTGGAGACGGAGGACGGAGGCCGGATTTAAGGTTTCGCGGTTTGAATCTTGGCGGGTTTGTTTCAGAGGAGTGGATGAGGTGGGAATCATACTTTATAAAGTAAGATTATTTTATGGTGATAGAATAAGAGTGTTACTAAGAGAAAGTACTATATACTCTAGAGTCTGAATGTAGAAGGGATAAGAAGAAAAATAGATATCACTTTCCAAGCTTTCATTGTGTGTTTTAATAATTTTAAGTTACTCTAATTAGAACAATAATAGTCCTTTTAGTATCCCTTGATCCTAGTATTTAGTATTATAAGTTTCATCGATAGTATACATATTACAAAAATATTATCCATGAATTTACGGCTTTAGATGTGATTTCTAAGTGGAGTAAATTTATTACATTTTCATATAGGTCTAGATTTTCAAAGTCGTTATGAAAGGCTAAATATAGAGAGGTAGAATAATGACATGCGGAATGACCTATTGTTTCCAACTACTATTAACATAGGCGCAATAACAATACCTCGAATAAGTTGGCAACGTATTTTATGACCAAAGTGTTTCGAGCGCGTCTACCAGGACCTATTCGCCTGACTACAGACTTTCAATGTCGAATCTCAAGCTTGGACAGCTAGACATAGAGAGTCTGGAGGCTGTTAAGGGGTAACTTGGATGATACGTACCCAGTAAGCTTCCTGATCAGTGATGACAGGCTCCAAGCTCTTGCATATAGTCTGGTGCTACTTCGACTGCGCAACTCGTACTTTGACTGAGCGACATGTAGGTGCTGATGTTGGTATACCAAGCTATTGATGACAGGCACAATCGAGAAACGAGCAATGCTATCGTTAGAGTAGCAATCGGAGGCAACCAGCAAGGGTCAACACCCTTGAATCTGGTCATTAGCCGTCCAGGGCCTCCTGGTACCGATCGTACTGCGATTACATCTAGAAACCTTGGGAGCGCCGCAGAAGTACAAGTTCTGCCACGATTTATATAGTTCTTATGATATGAGTCTACTGAACCTAGAAACAGAAGCAGGGTCAAAGAGGATCTGTTCAGAGATGCAGTCAGTATGAAACTATATCTTTATTTACCAGGAGCAAATTGAGCTTATAGATGTAAAGCTTGTATAACTCTTATTTTTATTTTCTTCGACAATGTGGAACAGCTAATGTTATCTACGTATAGTAGGCTCTTGTTCGACTAAGTTGAAAGCACCTACGCTGTTATTTCGTCGGTTTCCATCTCATGCTATGAAGAACCCACTGTGCCGTGTCATAATATGAGGTATAGCTACCTACTCCGCCCCGCATCTTACTCATCCCAAGCACTCAGCTACACACGCACCTTGACTATGCAATAAAGATATCAGACTGTATCCATTCATTAGATCTATTCTCTGTCTCACTCTCCAAACTCTAGCTTTCTAGCTACAGTTCCCCTTCCGTATCCACGCTGCCCTCCTTCCCTCACTCTGTCATATGATGCCCACCACACCCCCCTCCCTCACGACACATATTGCCCATACAACAACACTTTTCCAAGCTCTGCTCGCTACCCCTGTGTTTTTGACTCAGGGCTTCACGGTGCTAAGCGCTGTGTTCTGGAACTATTACATCCCCATCGAAGATGCAACGCGAGCGCTCTTTGTGACGCTGATGGCGGGGCTGATCGTGGGTATTGTGCTTGTGCAGAGGAGGGCGAGCTTGCACGGGCATGGTGGTGCTCATAGCGAGTATATGGGCGGAGACCATGCCGGGCTGTACTTAGAACTCATCAAGAGCGTGGCAGCGACGGCGGTATGGGTGTGGTTATGTACAGATGCGTGTGTGGCGCGGGACGCGAATTATGGGGACGTGTGGTATCGAAGGGTGGTTACAACAGGGGGAAGTGCGGTGTTCTTGCTGTGAGTGTATGCGTGGGTGCGATGGGAAGGGGTGAGATGATGTTGTAGAGGCTGACGGACGGAATAGAGTTGTGTTTTATCCAATGGTAGTACACGCGTGGGTGCACAGGGGACAGGATTTGGAGAGGAATAGGGATGGAGATTGTAGTGAGAGGGAGCCATTGCTTAGAGATGGGCGGTAGAGCAGGAGTGAAGTATGTATACTACATTTCTGATTTAGGTGATGTTTAAAGTAACAAAGCTAACGGTTAACAGGCTAGGTAAAGATCATTTAGATTCTCAAGGGATATTCAAAGGAACACTCGAGAGCTTAGATATATTAATGACATGCATATACCGCCGAGACTCTCATAGTTTCATAAGGTCACTATATTTCCGAGGGATACTTGATGCGGCTTACCGATCTCAAGCAGCGTTCATTGTAGGACAGAAGTCTCGAAAGGGATGAACATACATCTCGCCCTGTCAGACTGGACTATAAGCGACATGTCCTACGTAGAACAGCAAAATAATAAATCAGCACCATGACGCAGGGGACTGCAACTTCATGCTATTCATTCATAGCCTGGTATACAAAGTGATCCTGGCACCGAGTACAGGGTGCCACTACCTGACTCCAGGGCATCTTCACTACTAGGATAGGACAGACCGCCGACATGCAGAGCCTCAACTTTAGATCTAAATAACAACTTAAGAATGGAGTTTGACACTTCAAACCTCAGCGCCATCGCCGCAGCAGACATCCAGCTCAAGACCATTCTCGCTCTCATCAGAGATATCCTCACAGCCATAGACCTTCACGCCATAAACAGAGTACCCGGTTCCCAACGCCTCAAGCACGATCCACGCTGGCAACAAGTCCTGCAAGATATCTCGACCATAACGACCCATCTCAGTAACAATGTCCTGAGGACGGATCAGCATAGAATTCATAAACTCAATTATCTGATCAGACTCCTACATTATATACTCGTATTTGGTAACCAATCGTGCTCTCGCGAATGTCTACATACTTATACCAAACGACATAGATAGCTGGATCAGCGAGTCCGACTTCGTGGGTTACAATATCATCAAGACTGGATATGGTCGCCACAGCACGATCCAGGAGGCGTTCATGACATTCCGCTTCGATCGAAAGGTTCCAGCGTCAAAGGCAGTCGAGAGTGCGCTCTCTATAAGCGAGCTTCGCACCATTGCTATCATCGATCTGCATTTCGAGGAAGTGTATCTCAACGGCGGCTATCGTTCTGAGTTACCGAAAGAGCTTACTGGGGCGGCGATACAGCTTGCGCAGGGAATTGTGGCGTAGGTTATCCTTCCATGGCATTGAAGTGGTATAAAATAGTTGACGAAGTAGCCGTAACTCTCATGGTACACCTATGGTCAACCAGAGGGTGGCTCAACGAAGTAGAGCCTGACCATGGGTCTACATGTTAGACCGATTTGTGAAAGATGCTCTGAAGTTGGCTGGGTCTGTATGGTGGGGCCTCTTCCATGAATACAAATGAGATCAATGGCAGTCATACGTATGTGGATATCCTCTCTGACACGAGCATAAATAAGACATAAGTGTTGGGTGGGAGAATTAAGAAGTGTATGCAATTGCCTTCAATCATCCTCAGAAGACGTCTTTGGAATTTTCTCGGTTTCCAAAGTCTTGAGTTGGCTGGATAAGAACTTTGAGGCGAGATAGCACTGAAGTTTCGATTATACGAAGTCTGGTTGAGACCATATCTCCTTTCTGGTACGTACCAAGCTGGCTTTACTCTTTGCGTCCCAATTTTTCCTTCCGTCATTGCTCTTTCCGGTCCCCATTTACTTTATCTATACCACCTTGTCTCCAGCAAAATCAGATATGGCAGTTGAAAACACGTTGGTTCATAGGACTATCTTCGCATTGTCTGTATGCCTGTATGAGGAGCCATCCTGGCGGGTTTCGATGAACATTGACCACATTACCTGTCTGAAAAAGCTACTGGTAACTACCATCTGAACAAGCGATAGAGACAGCAGTCAAGTGATTCAGTGCGTTCTAGTCAGTTCCGGCATCAAGTAATAGTCCAAGCGCTCATTAGAGCAGTCTTTCCGTCTCGCGTGATGACCTAAAATGATCCAGACTTTGCTTGCAGCGGAGTTTTCACAATAATTTCGTTGATGGGCCTCTTGCTTGAGCCACAATGCCAGCCCAATGCATCAGCTTCAGCAGCCACTTGAAATACTGTCTCTAATACTACTCTCCATTGAAACTGGCTTACCTCTTGCAGAGCGGTTCTTCGTCGAGGCTTTCTGGGCATCTCGTTGCCCATGCCGGACAATAGACTTCCGTATTTTGAATCTAATGTTTGATGGTACCGTGCTTTTACAGTTTTCCTGTGGGCTAAAACAACATATGAGACTCCCAATATTTTCACGTCAGGTCCAGAGGACTCCGAGATATTTACGTAGCGTCCTGTTCTGATCAGACTCCGTTGATATTCCTCTGAATATTCTAGATGCAACGAGGAAGACTATGTATCGTTAGGGTGACTTCAAACGGCTCCCCCTTTCTACTTCATGTCTGCGCCTTGACTGTACAAGGAACTAGTTCGTGAACGCCTAGGCATAATGTTCAGCGGTGACTGACAATCTTGTTTTGATGTCTGCTGCAGGATGAGCCGTGCCGACAAGAAGATGTTCACGTTTTAGCGTTCGCTCGTGGTCAGGTTGCTGCCTGCGCTTATCATGACAGACTAAGCCTTACCTCGGTACTAATATTACACGCAAAGTTCCATCAAATACGTAGCTGTCATTGGCTGAAATTCGCGTCGCGCTTTGCAGATGCTGCCTATGCCATCAAGGCCCAGAGTAGCTCATTCTGCATAAGGATGTCAACCCCCCACTACTAGAATACCAGTGCCATGTATCGACAACACAAGTCTGACACAGAACGATGCCCCCAACACTGGTTACCATCACTCCCGAGCTGCAGCTCTCGATTGTCGAACTCCTCTCCTTCCAAGATCATATCAATTTGAGCAGTACCTGTAAAGCCCTACGGTCTCTACTCGTCCCCTTCATATTCGCGAAGGTCCCCCTGAAAAACACAGAGGAAAGTGGGAAGGCCGTAAACGATTTCATCCAAGGCCCCTATGCCTCGCATATCAAATCCATCCATCTTAAATTCAACGCGCCCGGCCCCCAAGAATGGGTTGATCTGGAGTCAAACTACCCCGCGGACGATCAGAGTGTACTCGACGCCGTCATCCCCGAGTCTGTGGAGCAGGTTCTGTCCAATACGTCGCTTCTACCAGGTATTGATAGCCTAATCATCGAGGTACCGACCTGGACCGAAGCGGAGATGCGGACTGCATTCTATCTCTTCGACCTCGTAGAATCCGACACTGCAGTCATTGAAGACGAGCGTATTCATGCATGGCGAAGACTCATGGCGCGAACCTATGAGCTCGTTGCAGGGTTTGATACGATCCGACATCTTGAAATTCGCGAACATGTGCCAAAACTAGTGTCCACTTGGAATACGCCTGCTTTCCAGAAAATGCTGAGTGGACTGAAAAGTTTCACATTCACATTGCGTGGTGCGGAGAACGGAGCGGGATGGAATCTGGATACGTGTGTTGGCTGGGTCAGCACCACGGAAGCGTATGGACGATATCTATTCGATCATCTAATAAATATCGAGACGCTAGAGATTGAGAGCTGTAACGAGGCACCTTTGGGGCTAAAGTCTAACAGCGAAAGGTGGTTTGCAGAGTTCAAAGTTCAACCGTTCATCATGCCGAAACTTCGACATCTGACCCTGAAGTACGTCTTGCTGTGTCCTGAGCTGAGGGACCTGATATGCGCGCAGTCGGAGGTTTTAGAAACAGTCAAGTTGATCAACAGTGGTAGTGAGCCGCATGGGTATGATACGGAAGAGTCTCCAACTTGGGCAGAATTTCTGGATGCTATAGCAAAAGCTGCTCCTAAAAAGTTGCGAAGCTTCCAAATTGTGATTGAGCAGAGCTCAGATGAAAATAAGACTCCGCAGGATAATATTACGAGTAAAGAACATTTGGTATACTATTGCTGGGATACGAAGTATGGTAGTATGCCTGTGGATTATTGGGAGAGGCCACAGGACGATGATCAGCAACAGAAGGATGAAAACGCTTTCGATAAGCTCATGGCTATCGTCCAAGCGAATCATGGAAGGGATGCTCTAGAAAGCTGATCGCAGCCATTTTGAGCATTAAAGCTTTTTTGCCGAGGAGTTTCTTGCCATCAGAGGAGATTATGATCTACCTATGCAGCTTCGTCTTTCCTCGTCGTTCGGACCTTGACACTTCCATCTTGCAAACCAAAGTAAACTGCGACTGGCTTCTGTCCGCCGGTCAAACCAGCCCTAGTGGCTTCCACACCATCCATGCCGCAGAATAAGCCGACTTCTAGTACGCCAGTAATTTTCTTGATGGCGCGGCTGAGCTTCCCGACTTCCCATTTGCCATCAGTACCGTCTCCTCCATTTGGGTCTTTCGCGGCGTCACCTGTAGTCAATAGAGTGGGAAATGGAGCGTCGATGATGAAGAAGTATTGTTCGGTCCTAATCGGTCCAGCTTTTGCCATGTAGTCATCCCGTACGACCGGATTGGAACTGCCGAGAGCTTTGAGAGCTGCAATGACAGTGTACCTTGCGAGGGGAGCGACCTCAATCGGGATCGCAGGCCACTTTGTTAATAGCCGTGACTGATCCTTCCTATAGTCTGCAAGAACATTAGGTTAATTCGAATATTTCTGAAAGCAGATAAAATGATATACGTACCAGCGACACACACAAACTTTTTAGCTCGCTCCGCTACCAGCTTTTCTTGAAACAGACAGGCTCCACCTCCTTTGACACAGTTCAAGTCCTCGTCGACCTCATCTGCTCCATCGAATGCCACGTCCAGAACCTGATTAGTAGGCAACGAGTCGAAATCAATTGGTGTGAGTCCAGCGGCGAGAACAGCTTGCTTTGATTGATAGCCAGTTGGAACAAACTTGATATTTTGGTTGGTGGATGCTGCTTTGATCGCGTCCACCACGTATAGTATGGTCGTTCCGCTTCCGATGCCAACGTATCTTGCTTCAGGGTCGAAGTGCTCTTTCACCGCTTGCTCTGCGGCCTTACGTTTGGCCTGTTCGACTGTATCTGCCATTTTGGACGAGATGGTCCGGACGAAGACTTGAGATGGAAATGTACGTGACGTACAATGAAGTGTAATTGGTCGAATGGAGGAGCAGTGCAAGGTCACTCTTGCGGTTGATTTGGTTGAAGATATGCAGAGGAACAGACTTGACGATAGGTGCATTAATGGCACAGGAGCGGAGGGGCTCTTTTATAGGCCTTGTGAGACAAGTCCTGGTCTTTCTCACTGGCCGTTCGGGTGAGATAGACTGACTCAGAGCTGAACAACCTTGGGAGGACGAATTGTGATACTGCGACGTAGGCCGTTGCAACGAAGATTCTCCTCCGGAACTGACGGACAATGATTGCGCGCGGAGAAGGATCCTCAAAGTCGGAAACCGTTGATAGTTCCCACCGCTGGAACTGTCCGCCAGGGCGTGTCCCGGCGCATGCAGGATCACGATGGCTGCCCCGCAGTATTATGATATTGTTCAGGCGAGGGAGGGGCGTGATGTTCTATGGCGGCCTAAGGCAGAAGTAAGGCGGTCAAAATGTCGGTGTATGAATCTGCCGGCAGTTCTCTGGTCGTTCGTCGGAGCGTTGCCTACGTCTTCTCAAGAATGTAACTTCGGATCTTCTCTTCGACCTGGCCGACACGAAACTAGGGCCTTGGTGATTCCGCAGGATATGGAAAGTCCCACGCCGCCAATACTCCACGGGCCCACGTCCAAGGAGAAGAAGTGAGCTCCGAAATGCATTCGCCGCCTCGTTATCGCTGATGAACGCAGATATGACCGCCAGCTACGACTGTGGGCTGCCAGCGGTCAGGCTGCTCTCGAAGAATCACGACTTCTTCTCATAAACTCTGGCCCTGGTGTAGTTGGAATAGAAACATTAAAGAATCTAGTATTGCCAGGTCAGTGATCCTTCCGGATAGGCATCTGGCAGACGCATTGTTGACTGGTCAAGGTGTTGGTCATTTCACGATTCTCGACTCCGGCATAATCACTGAAGCTGATTTGGGTGTGAACTTCTTTCTCGAGGAGCAGCATCTGGGCGGTTATCGAGCAGAGCATACGTGCAATCTGCTCAAGGAACTGAATCCAGATGTCCAAGGGGACTTCATAACAGATGTTTGTCCAACGCAACTTGTAGCAGAGGAGTGCTGACGAGCAGCTAGCATATAGAGTCGTTCCTCTCCAATCAATTAGCTTTGAAGCCATACACGCTCATCATGGTCACATCTCCCGTAAAAGCCGAGATCCTTGCTCAAATATCATCACATGCGTCTACTACAGGAACTCCCATCTTCTACATACACTGTGTAGGTTTTTATGCACAATTTTCCGTTCATCTGTCACCTTCATTTCCCATTGTCGACACACATCCTGATCCGTTATCAACACAAGACCTTCGCCTACTTACCCCATGGCCTTCGCTATTAGATCTGGCGAGACGAAAGACGACAGGCCTAGAACAGATGAATGAGCATGACCATGGGCATGTACCTTATGTGCTACTGCTTCTCCACTATCTCGACCTCTGGAAAGCTGAACACGACGGACAGGCACCTGGCAATTATAAAGACAAGACTGCGTTCAGAGAGTCCGTCGCCAAGGGAGCACGTACCAACACACCGGAAGGGGGCGAGGAAAACTACGACGAGGCTGTTGCTGCGGTCTTGAAGTCTTTAAACCCACCATCTCTAGGCAGTGGCGTTAGGGAGGTGTTCGAGGCTGCGGAGTGCCAGAATCTCACTACCCAGTCTGCATCGTTCTGGATAATAGCGCACGCCATATCCACCTTCCACAAGACTCACTCAGCACTACCTCTACCAGGCTCTGTACCAGATATGAAGGCACAGTCCAAAGATTACATCGAGCTCCAGAACACATATAAGACTAAAGCGCGGCATGATATCGGTGAAGTCACGGAGAACGTCCGCGCCATCGAGAAGCAACTTGGTCGAACTTCACAAATCGAGGATAGCGAAATCGAAGCCTTTTGCAAAGGGGCAGCTCACATCAAATTGGTGCGTGGGCGGCCATTTCATATTATGATGCCGGGACAAATGCCAGCATGGGGAGATCGTGCCAAGTTCGCGGCTTTATCACTAACTGATCCTGACTCTCTCGTACTCCTGTACATTGCATTTCTTGCTTATGATTCATTCATATCATCTCACACAACTGGTGGTCTTGGTAGTGCCTCGGTAGTCCCCGGCGAAAACAATACAGAGAGCGACGTAGAGATGATGGCAAGTATGGCATATGCCATCACCGACGATCTGATACAACAGTCTGGTATAGCTATGTCAGCATCAGAACAAACCGTTGCTAAAGGCAAGATCGAGCAATACGTACGCGAACTGTAAGTCCTTAGCATACACTAAAGTCGAGTATTACTAATCTTACGATAGTGTTCGTGCCGGTGGCTCGGAGCTCCACAACATTTCGTCTCTTGCAGGAGGTCTTATTGCACAGGAAGTCATCAAAGTGGTTACCAAGCAGTACGTACCGGTAGACAATGTGTGTCTTTTCGATGGCATAATGAGCAAGAGCTCGGTCCTGCGACTGTAGTTTGATTAGTTACTCGGCATAGCCCAAGTATAGTAATCACGGCCAAATACACCCATGATGCATGCCCCCCCCCCCTTATGATGCACTGGGTCGCACCGCACTGTGTCCACCGAGTTGCCGGTAGGACTGCTTAGTTCGAGACAAGATGCGGGGTTATAACCCACAGCTACTAGCATTACTGATGGTTTATGCGATCGGGAGCTCCAGAGTCAAAAGCCTAATCGAAGATTATATATACGTCTAAGCTGCCGTCCATATGTCCGGGGACCTATCTTCATTCTCAACCTTTATCGCAGCGCTTTATTCCCTTGGACCCATCCCTTGCCCTTTTCTCACCTGGAACCTACTCCCACCCCAAGATGCCATTCTACATCATCCACCACTCCACTCCTCTCTCAAAACCACAGTGCGCCGCCATCGCGTCTCACATCACCACCACGCACTCGGAGCGCTTCACAGCCCCGCGCCACTTCGTGAACGTCAAGTTCGAATACCAAGACCCTGCCATCGAGCCACCCACATACGTAGGCGGCAAGCCAAGACGCACAAACTACATCTTCGCACATGTGCGCGACGGCGGCTCGCGCACAGCGGCGGATTTCAATGGCGTCGCGGCAGAAATAAGCCAGTTCTGGGATACCGAAATCGCGCCTCATCTAGCGCGTTCGACGGAGGAGGAGCGGGTGACTGGCAAGGGGGCGCATGTGCCGGAGGAGGAGCGGGAGGTGAGTTGTGTTGCATAGTGATTGGGAATCTGGGGGAGACGTGCTAATAAGAGTGTTAGCTGCATGCGGTTTTTATGCTAGGCGATATCGTGGGCGGGGTAGAAGCGGGATTTAGCATTCCCGCGGCCGGGGAGGATGTTGCTTGGATAAAGCAGAACTGGGCCACTATTGAGGAGAAGGCGAAAGGGGTGGATCCAGGACCAGGAGGAAAGGAAATGTGGGTGGAAATGATCGCGGAGGTTAAGGAGAGAAAGTTGATGTAATCCGACGGAGACAGAGCAAGAAGGAATGATCTTATGAGTACAGGCTGATAGTATAAGGAAGCCGGAACAAAATTTCAGAGCTCGTTGACAAGAGGAATTCAGATGTATTCGTGCTAATTCAACGCGTCTCGTCGTCTGTGATATTGTTTTCCAAATAAGAAGCAGGCATCTTCTATGTAATGAAATGGTCAACTCCCTATTACAACCTGCTTGGTGGCGGCCATTTCCCACGGTGTTCTCTTGGTGGTTCATCCTCAACATATGGCCTGCGATATTCGACCCTTTCGGGTTCATCATGGCGAGCTTCATAGTCGCGGCGGTAGGTGTATCGTTCACCTGTAGGGGTGTAGCGTGGTTCCTCATGAACTTTATATTGTTTTCTGTAGCTGACACGCTCGCTAGCAGGGGCATAGCGTGGTTCTTCCTGGACTTCATATTCCCTGCGGTAGGTGACGTTACGGGCCACGTTCTCGGTGACAATGTTGCCCTATTCCTTATTAGCTCTTATTAATCTAAGGCAGTCAAAATTCTGGTACCTCTGCGTCAACATATCTTCTCTCGTCGGTGGGTTGACCTAGGCCATGTCGCAGGAATTGGAAATCAGATTCGTCATGACTGTCGTAACCCTCGTCTTTGTGCCCGCCGCGACGATCGACTCTGACCTCCCGGTGAACATCGTATTCATAGCGTGGCCTCTCATCTCTATACTCGTACTCCTTCTTGACGTTGAAGTCGACATCAACCTCACGGGGCCTGTCATATTCGATATCTACCTCCCGCCGACTGTCATGTTCAACATGGACATCCACTTGTCGCCTGTCTGCTTTCTCTTCATGACGAGCCATTGGCTCCAGGCTTCCTAAGAACCCTATCACCTCCAATAGCGTTTGGTGCGCCGTCACAAGCTCAATTCTTGCATGAACCGCTTTATCACGATCATCCAACACCCAACGAAACCTATTCCGTATCCCAAAGCCCCAGCTCCCGCCATGTACATCTTTATCCACGCGCTTCGTATGCCTAACCAAGAATGCGACGCCCTTTTCCGTGTCCCTAATTGCGCCTTCAATCCAAGCTCTCTTCTCAGGGTTCGTGCTCAACGCATGCTTGATTTTGGGATGTGCGAGCAGGCGCGCAGTCTCGCGCAGGTCGAGCGAGGCGCGCTGGGCGACGGATACAAAAGCCTGGTTTTCGAGGTGCACTTCTTGGAGCTTCTTCGCATTGTGAAGGAATTCGCCGAACTTGTAGGTCCCGGCGATGACGCCCACTGCACTCCCGATACCAAGGGCCTCGAGGCCGAAATTGCCTTTATTGTGGTGCCCACCGTGGCGAGACATGGCGGTGAGGCGCGAGGGGAGATGCGATAAGGTAGGGCGAGTTTGCAGGTTTGGTTGAAGCGTTTGGCAGGTTCAATACGGAAGGAGACGTGGAGTAGTGCTCGGTAGGGGTTACGAAATTGCGGAGGCTGGGCCGTCTGTTGATGTCCGGCCGTAATAGGTATAGCTTGTTGTTGACGTGGACGTGCTAGCATGGATACTGTGATTTACGACGCCTCACCCTTGTACATCGCTCACACGTTGTCATTGTCTTCCAGGCTCCACTATAAGCAATTGAACGCGTATATACCTAGGGCTTGAAAATCTCTCGAGTGGACTGTGTGGAAGTCTGCTTTCATCCATACACACTAAGGCTACTGCAATGGAGAAGACGAGGATAGAACACTATGATATACCTTCACTAACAGGAGGCGATGGCTTGGCTACAAAAGGGCATGCTTTCACTTCTGCAATAAGGTATCATTTTTCATCTGTCATACGAGGTAGACATGTCTTCGATGTGCAGCATTTTACTGCCTTGCTCAAGAATAGCGTTCAATACTATGCGTCTCGGTCCTAAAGCCCTAAAGCCCGCTGTCTTACTGCCATATGAACTGATACGTTTGATCGAGCATCCATCGATCGGTCCATCGAAATCTAGTATCCAGCGAACCTTGTCCAGGAGCTGTGCTACAGTAAGCACTCGACGAAGATACTTGAAAGTCTTGTTGAGTATCGCAAGTGTGATGAGACCTATACTACCTCATTCGACGATAGCACAGAAAGCTGAGGAGACTGATCGTATGCCATGGTCAACATGTGTCATAAGAGGCTGAGATAAGGAGCCGTGTACGAGACTTCGCGACACCATCACCCTGTATTCTGGTAATTGTAATCAGAAGTCACATACGTGGTACCTTGATCATTGCTTATGACGTTTCCTCCTCTTCGAATGTTTCGTAGGTCAGAGAGACCGAGTATACAAGACAATGGTGCTTTGCAGTATAAAGAGAAGCACGTTTTTGCCTGAGGCATACATAAAATTTCTCGGTTAGGTACCTATTTTACACCAGTACAAGACTTGGTTCTCCTTACAATTGCCCGCAGATTGGAAAATACACCAACGACCCTAGAACCACCAGCCAAACTAGCTGAATAACATAATGCCGCGACCTAAACACCTTCTCCAAAAGACCGCGGAGATCACCGCGTCTCCACCAGACTCTCTGGCTGAAGACCACAAGATCGCGCGTGTTATCAAAGCGACAGGGAACAATCTCTACAGCGTCACTGTCCCTGCCTCCACGACTCCAATCCTCGTCGAGCTACCTTCCAAGTTTAGAAACCTAATTTGGATCAAACGAGGTGGCTACGTGGTGGTGGACACGACCGAGCGCGAGCGCGACAACAAAATATCAGGCGAGATCGTGAATGTGGTGCGAGAGCAGAAGGGCTGGATGAAGATGCCGTACTGGCCGAAGGAGTTTGTTGGTAGGGAAGAGGAAGAGGAGAGTGACGAGGAGGATAGCAGAGCCGGCAAGATGCCGAGTAGCGATGAAGAGGACTGAAATGATTCGGAATTGCTAAGAGTCCTTACCGCATTGACATATCACGACCATGCTCACTATAAAAGTATATACCCACACAAAGCACACTCTACTCTGTATGCTCGTGCGTAACATCTAAAACCTTTGGCTCACCTCGCGGCTGCCTTTTCACCCCTTCCCCTGTCGGCGTATCATACGCATCCACGCCCTCAAATTCCTTCCTGGTTCCCCACCACACACCACCAATTTGAACTCCGAGACTGGCCACCACTATCGCCGAACTCATATTCGTGCTCGGATACACGTTCCATGCCCACTCCTGTGCCGACCAAACCATATATCCTAGCACAGGATGCATTCCCGATTTCCATAGCAACAATGGCGTACACCATGCAGTCCACGAATAGAACTGATAGTGCAGGCTCCGCGCGAATAACATACCTACCGCATTCGCAGTCATGAGACTTGTTGCAATAAATTCTGGGCTAAGGCGCCGGTAGATCTTCTGTTGGTCGTGCGGACCGGCTGGCATTGCCCAGGACGCTTGGAGGAAGTCAAATAATGAGCGGCCAGAAGGGCGGATCCAGCGGACGAATGCGAAGACAGCGAGAACGGTGAGATGGGCCGCCAGTAAACCAATGGCGAAGGGGCGCGAGAGAAAGGTAGACTCGGGGACGAAACGCCAGTTTACGGTCCATTTGTACATGAAGACGCGCGATAGGTCGAAGGCACGTGTGAAATAGGAACGGGCGTCGGTGGAGAGGAACTGGTAGCCAAACAGAAGCTGGTTGGATGTTAATACTTCAGCCCGTAGATGCACAATGAGCTATGTTCGAGCTTTTGACACATACCTGCATCTGTCCAATAAGCATAAGCTGTGTCATAAGCCGTTCGCGACCCATAGCCATGAGTAGGACAAGCCCGAGCGTCGGCAACATAAGCAGCACACTCATCTTGACCCCCAGTGCACAGGAGAACAGCAGCGTACCAGTAGTCCACTGGCGTCTCTGGTATAAATTGATAGCAGCAAAGAGGAACAAGACCGCAAAGCAGTCATTGAACATCCGCAGCAAAAAAATGCTATGCAGCCTCTTTGACAGTACAAGCAAGGGAAGCACCCATGGTGGGACCTACATTTCATCAGCACGCGTCGTGTGAGACCCCAAACCATCCTTTCTCCTATATCTCCCGTGGTCGTATGCAATTGCTTTCATCACGTACCTTCGCCCTTCGATAAACATCCCCTGCGAGCCCTAGTCCCGCCAAATAAACACCCATGAAAATCCACTGTGCCCGCCTCACATCCTTCCCTTCATCAGTCAATTCGAAAAGTACCCGATACACATAAACGTGCAAGCCAGGGTATACCAGTGGTCCGGTATCGCCTTTAATGAATTCATAGTCGCGTTCGCCCGCAATGTATTGACGCACTTGTTGCATGTAAGACGACCAGTCAATTTCGGTGTCTACTGATCAGTCAGAATTTCTAAGGTCCGATCTTCACATTGGCTAAGCCTTGAGCCTTGGGTCGGCTTACAAGGCACATTCTTGATAACCAGCATGCAGAGCATGGCGTCGAGTATGAACAGCACAGGGAAGAGCCATTCCGTGTGCGTAGGATTGTAAAGGAGGTCCTTTATGTGGTACCGAAGCTTTTGGATTGAATTCATGATGAACTATCGTTGACAAGTTCCCGCCTGATGAGTATGTTTTTGGGGACGTGTCGAGGTTTTGTTACATATCTCAGGTCACGTGCATATGCGTTTCATCCAAGATAAGGAGATGGTATCGATAGCATTCAAAATTGGATCAATTGATGTAAGAAGCGCAACGTAAGCCAGTTTATGGAAGGGTTATTGCTTTGTTTGTAATATAGAGGTCTCATAGCAGTTTGTGATAGTGCCGAACGCTTTCGGCCGATCGTTTCAACATTGAAAGCATGAAATACCCAGTAAGACAGTTGTCATGGAATCTATAATTAGAAATCGTGGCCGTGAAGCCTGTTGGGCATATATTGGCTAATGCAGCGCGAACATACTCATGTACTCATGTAAAGCTCTTTACACAAATCTTGAAATCAATCCTATGCGCTAGGCACGCACTCCCTTGTGGGTAACGGTGTCTACAGACGAGTGAGTGGAGGCTGAAACTCAAGTCGTCCGAAGAAGTCGAAAGTGGTTTCTGCCATAACTATCACTACTAGTCAGTAGTTTTTTGCAATCATTGCATCGAGGAGATGTGTAGTCTCCTACCAAGTTTTCGGCCTCAACCGTACCAGCGGGCGTCACGATGATCACGGTCAGGCTCCTCGTTCTTGTGACGCTGCTGGGTCGCCGTGGAAGTATCGCAGGCGCAAATGCTGGAGCGGAACTAGTCAACATCCTTACGAATCATGGATCTTTCTCTTTAGCAGCGATAGTTTCCACTTGCCTTTGTCTTCTTTCCGAGCCCTCATAGAGCCACTGCTAGTCAGTTCGTTCAATGATCCGAGACTGGCAGTTGCTTGCATGGAGACTATGTCGCTCGATGTGGTATCAACTCACCTACGTACTGGTAAATGAAACAAACCTTTGACCAGATTGTTCTTTTATTAGTTGGATGGTCTCAAAGAATAATTTCTCGCATGGTAACAAATGTTCAGCTGGACCGAGCATTTGAGACTCGAACTATATGGCTTCGAACGGTATTTATCATGGTAGTGTCGAGACAATGGGGCGTGCAAGAAACCTCAACGTGGTCCACAATAATGGAGTCCGACCACTTTATACCTGCGACTACAACAGCTCTTCTGTCTGATGAAAGTCGGATACACTTCGCACCACCATAAATGAAAGTGCCATCAAACGTGAGGAAGATGGTCAGGGTGAGCTGCGCGTATAACGATAGTGCTGTGGAGTGTGGATCAATTCTGGTGATAACATGGTCTTTTGAGAAGTCGCTATTGCCCATTCAGGCCCGAATTGCTGGTTACCATTCAATGACTTGTGGGAGACGATGCGAAATGGACCTTTGGTCATTCCCACTCTGTATCTTTCAGTCTTTGCATCATATACTCGACTTCTACCTCTTTTGTCAAAGGAATAACATGGTCCTATACGCTGTCAAAGAGATGTACTCATATTTGGGGCAAGAGAATCTGACCTTATACATAGCAACGACAGCATCGACATTTATCTTGCTGGGTCTTAATTGATTGTCTGGGTCTGTGCCATAGGTCTTTGCTTTCAGCCTCAATCGTTCTAGTACTTTCACCTCGACGGCCGGTTTGGTGATGGCGATGTCTATGCCTTCGCGGTCTTCCGCCTTGATGAGCTTCACAAATTTCTCTGTTTCAGAACGAAATTTGGATTCGGCCACGAATTTCCCGAAGTGTATACGGCGCGACAGAGCTTGTAAGCATGCTACATCGCAGACAGCAGTAGACCCGAAGTTCTCTTTCGTCTCGCCTCTTTCTAGACGATGCTCACAAGCCGCAGGTAGAACATCCTTGATGTAGGATTCCTTAATTTGCGGATTGACGTTCACATTATTCGGATGTAGAATTTCGGGGTAGTTGACAGGCTGTAGGATGGGCTTTTGGAGATCGTTGGGGAAGAACGGGTATTCGTCTGGCGATTCGTAGCGGCGCACAATTGAATGGAGTTGCTCTTGGCCTCTCAAAATCCAGTCCATGAGCGACAGGTCGCTGTCCGGTATCTTGATACCACCAGGTTCATAAATAGTACGGTTCAGAGGGAATTGTACGCGCTCAATGAGGTGGAAAGTGATGGTATCTTCAAGTCGACTATAGTTGTTAATGGACGAGTAGTAGACTATGATACGCGGTACTTACATCAGTTGGAAACGAATGTTGTCAATATCAAGAGCTCGCGCAGCGTCTGACATGTCGAATTGATCTATGGCGGCATCCATGTTTGCGATACTGTTGTCAGTGAGAAGGCGGTGCGTCTGACAGACATTGAGGGTCGGAGTGGGGCTTTAAGTCTTATATAAGTCAGCGAACGCCGACTCACGATGGATGCGAAGTAGTATGGCGAACTCCGACGTCGGTCCTGTAGTGACCACTGGACTATATTGCGGGACGAAGAAATGGGAGTGAGATGGATCGGATCCCAAGGATTCGGTAGCTGCACTCCCTGGTCTGGGCTGCGGGACAGCTTGCGCACGAGGCACTAGCTTCGGGGCAAGCATCAGTCGAGCACAGTTGAAGACGACATCAACATCCTCCGCATTCATCTTCACGCGACAATCTTTCGTACGCGCAGTGATAGGCCACAGATCCTGCAGCATTCCGAGCATAATACTATGACACCTCCGTAGTCTTCTTTTCTATCACCGCTCGTTGCATTCATAACCTCTCGGATGGCCAGTCCGGAGGGTCGATCTGGCTCGTCAAGAGATCAATACATTCCTCCGGAAGATGACGATCCAGGTCTATTCAATGGCGTCAACGTAAGATACTTCTTCTTTCTGCCATACGACACTTTCCTAACATAATCTAGACCCGCCAAATCGAAACTTTCGGTCGCAAAGTTACTGCGACTGCAGGACATCTGATGGGCGGTCCCGAAGGAAGCTTCCATAATACCCTGACCGACGTCCATCGTGAGCTTCGCCGGCCTCTGATACAACGCTCTGTCTTCTCTTTCGCTCAGACTACTCCTCGTGACCTGGCTCGATCGAAGTTCATCCCATCGGAGATACAACAACGAGCTATATCGTCTCTACCTGATGCTCTTCTCTCCAACATCCCCCAAGACCACAACGCATACTCTCTCTTCCAAGGCTTCCAAGCGACACTGCCAGAAGATCCGGAATCGCCAAAAGTTCGGCATGGAAGACATAACTCTCGCGGGCGGAAACTTCTTGAAGGCTCGAGGGAGCAGCTGGACGATGGCCAGCCCATTTCACGACTGCGTAATGAGAAGACCAGTTTGAGCCATCGCCTCGAAATGCTGGAGGTTCGGAAAAGCATGTGCGCCACCGAGATCAGAGAAATCGACAACAAGATTTCAAATCTCAACACGATGCGGAAAATCGTTCTAGATCGACTCGCAGGATTGGAGCAAGATGAGATAGAGCTAGAGCATGACCTGAACGACGTGGATAATCGTATCGAGGACATGCAAGAGGAGATGGATGACGCCGCTGCTTTGGCTCAGAAGTCACCAGGTTCCAGTGCTGGGGGTGATATGCCCACAACATCGGGGGAATTCATGTCACAGTCTATCTACCAGAAACTACCAGAAACGACTCCGAAACCCAAGAAAAAACGACATGTACCGCGGCGAGTATCGACAATGATACTACATGAACACCTTGAGTCCGGATCAAAGATCAAGGATATGCAAGCGCATAATGATCTGATTACAGCCCTGGATTTTGACGCCCCGTTCGGCACCATGGTCACAGCTTCAATGGACGACACCGTCAGAGTGTGGGACCTAAATGCGGGACGGTGCATGGGCATGCTGGAAGGTCATCTCTCGTCGGTCAGGTGTCTACAAGTAGAGGAGAACATTGTCGCAACTGGATCGATGGATGCCTCTATACGATTGTGGGATCTCAGCCGAGCAGACTATGCACCGATGGAATCAGGAACGAGTAAAGATGGCAATCAAGATGAGGATGATGGACTAGTATTCGAGAATCCAGAAGATGAACCGCCCCCGCCTCCCCCGACGAGTATGCAAGACTGTCCGCTCTTCTCGCTAGAAGGACATGTGGCTGAAGTCACAGCTTTGTACCTGAGGGGCGACATGTTGGTCTCTGGATCATCAGACAAGACCTTGCGACAGTGGGATTTAGTGAAAGGCAGATGCGTTCAGACACTCGATGTGCTATGGGCGGCGGCGCAGGCTGCGACGACGATGGGTTCAAGTGAAGGCCAGTGGCGGCCAACGGGAAGGCAGTCTGATTCGTCAGCTGACTTCGTTGGTGCTTTGCAGTGCTTTGATGCCGCACTGGCGTGTGGAACAGCGGATGGCATCGTCAGACTTTGGGACCTGCGCAGTGGGCAGGTACATCGAAGCCTTGTTGGACACACTGGCCCTATCACTGCTCTGCAATTTGATGACGTTCATATGGTGACTGGCAGCAATGATCGAAGTATCAGAGTAAGTTTCTTTGCCCTTTGGTATCTATGGCCTCTTACCAGCGACAATAGATATGGGACCTCCGAACTGGATCGATATTCGATGCGTATGCATACGACAATCCTATCACCGGCATGGCGTTCGACGCGAAACAGATCGTTTCTGCAGCAGGTGAAGATGTGGTCAAGGTTTACGACAAGACCGACAGCCGGCAGTGGAACTGTGGCCCTGGTGTCTCCGAAACTGACGTTGCCGGACACCTTGCTGTCATCGAGCAGGTCCGCATCAAGGAAGGGTACATGGTTGAGGGTCGCAGAGACGGCATGGTCGGTGTTTGGTCGTGTTGATGATTTGCACGCACAGATTAAGCGCACATATACAACGAATCGTAGGATAGTCTTCCGCATTGTACGCTTAAATAGCGACTCGAACCTCTTAACTCCTTTCGCCCAGTCCTGTGTGACCCCTCCGAACGGGTAATTCGGCACGATGTCGGATACTACAAAACCTTTCGTCTGTACTTGACTGGGCACTGACAGCGGCAGCCTTCAGCGTCTTTCGGAAGCATTGCTAAAAATGGTAATTCTCTCCACCACATGGCAGATGATGCAGACGACACATCTCAAGATGTTTATGCGTGAGTTTATCGTTGTGGATTTATGACATCGTGGTACAGTCTTATCATTGACTCACGTCAGCACTATTAGTCTTTATTATCGTCTTCCACGGTCAAATCTTTGCTCTCCTCAATATTTCTACAAAATCCATTTGTCCTTTTAGTTCTCCATTATTGCTTTGGTTTGCCCATATTGATAAAACATACAGGATCTCACCATCATGTCATCTAACTCCATAGGAGCACATATCGATGTTGTCCCCTCATCATATCCCAAGCTCCAAACTCTCGAAGGCGCCCCGCTCGCTTTGAGCGTGCCCGCCACCACGAAGCAAATCTCCCCCATTCCTTCCGACACCATCAAACTCAACGCTATCACTGGGCGCACAGAATCCAACGGCTCACGAGTCACCCCAGTCTCCAGTTCCCACACCCCTAACGAACTCGAATCTGGCCGCCCATGTTCACCAAACGTACGCAATGTCGTCGAACAGATTCAAAGCTTCTCTAATCCGCCGATGAATCGCTGGCGCGTGTTTTGTACGTGTGCAATCTATTTCGGCAATGGCCTGACGGATAGTGGTACGTTATCATTGTCATTGTCATTGTCTGAAGTCTTGCGCATAGAAGATGGCAGGAGCTGATCTGTATGGTTAGCGCCCGGTGCACTGATTCCATATATGGAGAAGAGTTATGACATCGGGTATGCTATCGTGTCGTTGATTTTCGTAACCAACGCAGCTGGTTTCATCGCAGCCGCATTCTTCATTGATGCGCTGCATCAGCGCTTGGGCCGCGCAAAGACGCTGATGCTGTCTGAACTGATGATTATCGCGGGATATATACTCATTGGTGTGCGGCCACCATTTGCTGTCGTCGTTGCTAGCTACTTCCTCCTCGGTGCTGGCGCCGCGATCAACCTTGCCTTGAACAACGTGTTCTGTGCAAATCTTGCCAATTCAACTGTGATTCTTGGAGCAAGTCATGGTAGTTATGGCCTGGGAGGTACAATTGCGCCGATTGCTGCTACTGCTCTTGTGTCGAAAGATATCGTCTGGAGCAGGTTTTATCTCATCATTGTTGCTGTACGGGTTTTGATACTACCATTTGCCGGATGGGCGTTTGGGAATTACGAGAAGGAGGCGCCGAGTACGCTTCTTGAGAGATCTGCATATGGAGCGACGACCAGAGAGAGTAAAGTCGCAATGCTGAAGAGGGCGTTGCGAAATCGGGTCACGATTCTAGGTGCTCTTTTCATATTTGCGTACCAAGGTGCAGAGGTCAGTATTTCGGGCTGGGTAATCAGTTTCTTGATCAGTTATAGAGGTGGAGATCCTGGGAAGGTGGGATATGTTACGGCTGGATTCTGGGTATGTTTTCTTTTCCTATCTTGTTGATTGTTTTTCATAGTTATTCTAACTGTATCCTAGGCTGGGATCACCATCGGTCGCTTTGTACTCACACATCTCACGTCTCACATCGGAGATAAGGTCTCTGTGTATGGCCTTGTCGCTGGGACTACTGCACTGCAGATACTTGTCTGGCTCGTCCCGAATGTAATTTCCAATGCAGTTTTCGTATCGCTTCTTCGGCTATTGCTTGGACCTGTGTATCCTTGCGCACAGTCTATATTTAGCCACAGCCTGCCGCGGAGCATCCAAATGAGCAGTATAGGGTTGATCTCGAGCGCTGGAAGCTCGGGTGGAGCGGTTGCGCCGTTCATGACAGGCTTGCTGGCGCAGGCTAAAGGCACTTGGGTCCTACATCCGATCTGTGTGTCGTTGTTCGGGTGCATGGTGGTCTGTTGGTGGTGTTTGCCACGGGTTGAGAAAAGGGCTGTTTGAGCTGGATTCTGCAGCTGTAAGCGTGAACTTCGTGGTATTGGCATTGGTATTGCACTTACCAGCATACACAAGCGGCAGTGTAGGGCATTTGTGCGTTTTCCACGGGATATGGTTCGCCGTGTTTCGACCGAGGGTGGCCAAGTCGTGCATACATCGCGATTACAAAAGGTACATGGTTTGATTAGTTTTTTTGTCAGAATTTCAAGTTCGGGACACAGTCCAGCGGCAAATCAGGCAGCCATCAATTGCCCAAGGAAAAAGTCGTCCACATCTGGGGAGCACGATGCGAAAGTGTTCAGGGGAATACTCCCCTGTTCCGGAATTCGACTGTACGACGCCTTACCAGAGTCCCATCAATATTGGGCGCAATGCTAAGGGGTCCAGCAAGCTGCTCCACTATTTCAATCATTATAGACAGTCGATTCAAGCACGTGTTGTCACGAAGCTGCGGCGACTTTACTTATTACCAAACGAGCCCACGCGGCAAGGCCCTCTTTGTATTAGACCAATCCTGTAAATTTCCACATCATCGACGAGAGAAAAAGACTTGTGACCTCCCAGAGTACTTCGCCTGACCGAAGATGTCCACTAGTCGATACTCCATTTCTGGGTCGACGATTGATGTTCGAAAGGAGAGTTCCAGCAGAACACGGCGGCGATCTTGATAATGTGTCTGTAGCGTGGGTCGAGTGGTTGTGGAATGCGATTCGTATAGTCTTGTAGTCCTGAGAAATCTGTTGGCTATGCGAAGGGTGAAAGCATGTCGTGTTTGAGTTCTCAGGGTATCTGATTCTGAATCAGGATTTTGCAATATCTGGACCTTCTCTGGTGATCTAATATCAAGCTGGCGACCGAATCATAAGCGTCGTCTCCGGTACAATCGTTTGTTCTTGTTCCGTTCATACCTTCTCGAATCGAAGATATTTTGCTCGGAATAAGAGGTATGAGATTCACTTCCTCGTGACATAGTTTCAAGTTATGCTCGATTGCATCGCCTCAGTTGTACCTCAAAGAACACTTCTGATAGTTCACGTGTGTGCCGATATAACTTTGCAAGCATGCATGCTATGTGCATCAGTAGATAGTGTTACTATCAGGAGTGTCGAGCCAGGTGTCTATCAAGTATCAACGCAGTGCGCCAACGAGATACTGTTGCCCTAGTCGGATCTCGTCTTCCTCGTCCTAGGTTTTTTTATTCTTGTCTTCTTTATCTTAGTCTTCTCTATCCTTGTCGTTCTTATTTTCACTTTTTCGTTGAATTTTTCTTCATCGTCATTATCTTGTGTTCAGACAGGGAACAAAGCTGAACCGTGCCGCAAGGTTTACCCCACACACAGCGCAGCGCAGTTCACATCCCTAGGTCTTTTCTAGACTCTACATTACCAACATACGAACGTTGCTTTGCTCAGACTCCCTTGTCTTGAAAGGTAAAAGACAGTCTTATTTGAATATAAGATGACAGTAGGCGGGTTCTCTAGAAAGAAGCATTCAATTACTCACGCATGTTACTAGCCTATCGCTGCACTTCAAGCAGCTGCAATGCCCGAACTGTACAATTCAATGCCCTCCAGTCCACAAATAAATGTGCTGTATCTAGCCCCGGGACAAGAAATCATTAGCCCAGAACAACTTTGGGCATCAAATCCGGAGAGATTGGCTACAGGAACGGGCACACAGCTCGCAAAAATGTCTCCATCAATTTTAGTGAAATACGGTACCCATGTGTCTCTCATCGAAGCCAAGAACATGCTGTATGTGGCTGAAAAAACATCAATACCCATCCCGAAACTGTTTGCAGCATATGCATACGGGCCTCTGGACCGAGACGTTGACGACTTCGGAAGTGTCTATGATACGTATCTCTTTATGGAGTTTATCGAAGGCGAGGACCTAGGAAAGTCATGGGCAAAATACACCTCCGCTGAGAAGCAAATGATCTCAACAGACCTAAAGAAGCACATGACAGAGCTTCGTTCTCTCCCGGCACCGAATTACATCGGATCTGTACATGAGGGACCAGTCACTGATATTATGTTAGAGTGGTCTACAACCATCAGAGGTCAGTCTTTATACGCATATTAGCAATGTGACTGAATAGGAATCTAGGTCCGTTTAAAAGCGAACAAGACTTCAATAAAACGATTGTTGACACCTTTATCACCAAATCAAAAGGCCAGATCGGTCCCTACATCCGTGGCATGGTTAATGCATACAAGCATGGAATTGTCTTCACTCATGGCGACCTCAGACCTGATAATATTATCGCCAAGAACGGTCGTGTGGCAGCAATCATTGACTGGCAGATGTCAGGGTGGTACCCAGATTATTGGGAATTCGCCAAAGCGTTTTATATCGAACATTTCACTAATGACTGGGCATCATATCTACTAGGCGTTCTCACACCGTATTATGGTGAGCAGTTGATGTATGATCGATTGATGAGTGTATTATGGTAGCTAATAGTAAAGCTTCCAAGTTGTAATAGCTCATATAACTTATTGCTACTTAGGTTAAGAGCTCTTATAAACAGGACACTAATGGTTAAATATCCTCTCACTTTAGATAATCTAATATATATTATAATGAAGGTGTTTCTAGTGCCCTTGATAGAATATTAACAAAATGGACTACGCCTTTTATTTAACTTTCATATGTTATATACTATTGTTACTCCATATAGATAGTATTACGGAGTGTTAGAAGCTGCAACTAAAGGGTATAAAGAGGACTAGAGGTAGGTCTGTTATATAGCCTACTTCTAGCCTCTATATCTCTCTATCTCTCTAACATATATAACTCCAATCAACGAATCAATATTCTACAAACGACGTCTTATAGAGATCAGCAGGTACTGACTTCTAATTCAGGGTCGAGCATTTTAGTAATGAGAACGAGGTAACATGTATTCGCTCCTAGCTAAAGATGAGCGCAGGGATTGTCAGGTCGATAGCACCTAGTTCTACGGCATAATACTGGCTTAGCAAGTATGCAATGGAACACTCAGCTCCGAAAAACGTGAAACTTTGTAGTTGTTGAAACGAGAGATGAAAAGTGGTCGTGAAAAGGTCTTCGGAGCACGCTAGGCCTTTTGTATCGCAGCCCGCCGCCATGCCTGCACGCACGGTCCGGCGCCGGAATCAGGCTATGCGTCCAGGAACCGGACGTGTCCCTGTTTCTCCAACCATCGCTTCGGGTTGACATGCTCTCCCGGGGAACATCATCCTGACGAAGCTTGCCTACAAGGTCTTGCCTGCTAAACGCAAGGCAGTCTGTCTGGTCCTTAACATCCCCTACCACGGTCGCCTCTCACCAGACCAGTAGCCGCAACGTGTCAAGCTTCACTGACTCCCTTCACGTTTCGGACATGACCTCCTCGAAGGTGATCTCCTTGCGTTGTATATATGCATCTTGTTCTAGTAGCAATTAAGCGACATGCTTCTTCCGCAACTCTACTCGAATATTGCAACACAGCGTCTCTTGTGATTCGATCGAGTATTGAATCATAATAATGCCCCAGAGGTATAACTTGTGCAGTCTGTTACCGAGATGACGTGGTTACAAACGAAGCAATGCGTGGAACTCAAGTTTCTCCCAAGCATGGTGGGGAGAAAGAGTCACAGGTCTATCGCCATCCTATTCTGCATTATCGTAGCTTTCTTTGTATCAGCTTCATTGATGATACCATACCGGCACTCTTTGCAAATGTACAGGTCATTTTATCATCATGTTCCAACTCACTAACCTCGTCCAGGAACATTAATGCACACCATGATCTTGATGGAGAGTCTCATCAGAATGAATCCTCTTTTCCGGTCATTCCATTCGACGAAATGATTCGCCAACTATACGGGACGCGGAAGATTGATATGACGGCTTCATTATTCACCGATGAAGATGGTAAGGTGCATAGAATACCCGGGCGCCCTCGATTCAAGACTCCCCTAGGGAAGCGTCTGGTCATTCTCGATATCGACACAAGACCACTCGATGAAGAAGGTGAACTGTTTAGCTCCGTTGAGTGGGACTGGAAGAAGGTGCACCACTTGTCCGCCGGAATGGTGAGCCATTATATGTATTGTGCGCCTCGCATTACCCTATACAGACATCTTCACTAACCATGTCACAGCGATAATACATGGCTATGACTACCTAAACATCCGCTCGCCTGTGTACGAAGACCGACACCCCGCGTGGGGCAAGGTCCTCATGACCCAACACGCGCTCAAAGAGCACGACATCGTAGTATTCCTCGACAGTGACGCTATTTTGCGATACCCTGAGCTGCCCATGGAATGGCTAATGAACTACTGGAACATCAGAAAACAGACCCCGATCTCTATGTCCTCAGAGCCGAACCTCGATCGTGATAAAGACGACAAAGGCAACCCTGGACACAACAATGGTTTCATGATCGTGCAAAACATTGCTAAGACATACGAAATTTTCAAGAATTGGGCTGAGTGTCCAGAAGAAACTCGTTATGAGGGCTGCGAAAAGTGGAAATGGAAACATAACAGAGAACAAGATGCTTGGTCTAACTACCTCCGATACGAGTACGAGGAGGATGTTCAAGTGTTGCCTTGTATTGAGGCGAATGGATACCCGGAAGCTACGGAAACTGGGTGTACGGGAACCTTTTTACGACATCATTGGCTGCATAAAGAGTTGACAAAAGAAGTCTGGGCGGATAATATTATGGAGGCTTGGGCGCCAGCCATGCACAAGTATTTCTCGGATCATCAAAAGGATTATGTGCAGGACCTCAGGGGGAAGAAGCTGGTTGGCAGTGAGATCGTGTAGGCCTTGTAAGTTGTTGTATTATAATATAGACCAAAGCATTTCTGTAATGATTATGACTCTAATATTCTTCCTTGTTGGTATGTATGGGATCCTTCTATCCTCGAATACACTCATCGAACCTTGAAACCGACGTTCATTGGCGGCCGATGCCAGATCAATTTCATCTTCTGTCCTTGGATCCAATCTTTGCTGTCGCCAATGAGTTCCATATCGAACGTCCATAAAAGATACGCTAGTGTTGTACGTATCTCGAGGTATGCAACACTAATACTCATATCAGCTTTGATGGTCTTATCTGAGGGTTGGGACATACTTTTTTCCCAAGCATGCTCTTGGGCCAGTGGCGAATGGTTGCAAAGCTGCCTTATCATCGAATTTAAATTGATCTAGTGTCTCCGAGAGCCAGCGCTCAGGGGCGAAGAAAGTAGGTTCAGCGTAGTTAGCAGACACGCGGCCGATCACATGGTGATTTACATCGACTGAAGTCTATCATCATAATTGTTAGAACGCGTCAATGATAGCCAAAGGACCATGTCTTACATTTGGAGGCACTTCATAGCCACCAATCATTTCTGTGCGAGTAGTCCGTCGCGAAAAACGCTGGGCCCCTGAGTGGTGGATTCTAAATGTCTCAGAGATGACTGCGCCAAGATAGGGTAATTGCGCGAGTTTGACATTGTTAATCTCTTCAATCGACACAAATGCATCTCGAATCTCCTTCCGAGCTCTGTCATGGGCACTGGGATTTGTGAGAAGGTAATAGAGTATAGTCGACATCATACTCGCGGGCTCTTCTCCTCCAGCACCCACGAATAGCCGTGCCAAACCAAGAATCTCGTTCTCAGTTAGGCTATCGTTGTCTTTGCCTTCATCGACAAGGATCTATCATGATTTGTTAGTTGTGCTGCGTCCAGTGAAATCTACCATCATCTTACATAAGACATGAAGTCTTTCTTCGCATCAGTACCCTTCGCTCTCCTCCTATTCATTCTATCTTTTTGACCTTTTTCTTCCCCCTCCTGCAGCTCTTTTGCTTTGGGAAGACTGAACAAAAATTTCAGGAGCCACATCAGTGGTGCATAGTCCCAGCTTGTTAGTAAGATTGGATTGAGTTTGCTACCTTGATACAGATCCTTCAGTAATTGATTGGTCTCTCCGGTTCGCACGCCGTCAAAGCTTTCACCATACGTGAGATCTGTAATAATGTCAAATGACAGAAGATCAAAGTATTTACTCATATCGAAATGAGTCTCTGGGTCTACGTCGATAACGGAACGGATCTTCTGAACAAGACCATGAATATGAGACTGAATGAGAGGCTCCTGCTCCCGAAGTGCGGTCTCCGAAAAGGCGTGCGCGACGAGGCGGCGAAGACGGCTGTGTTCACCATCGTCTGAGCCAAACAGAGGCCAGTCAATAGGGACGTTTGGGAAGCGCTTGAAGTCTTTGGGAACTTGGCGACGATGTGAGTGGAAACCGTATATATCTGACATTCCACTTAGTACAGGTCGGTGAAAGACTGTCTATGCATACCTTTGTATGCTTGCGAACAAGTGAAGGATAGTTGATCAGGTCCGATACGAACAACCGGTCCATGTTTCTCATGAAGTTTTATGTAGTTGTGCGGTGCATGACCTTTGATTTGCTCGTAGTGGTATGGGAAATGGAATGCAGATCGATACCATGGTCCAGGAAACTTAGAAAGTGGATGGAAGTATATATTGTAGATTCGCTGTGCGGACGAGAGAAGAAAGTACTAAGTATAATGTAAGCTTATTTGTGTGAAAATGGAAGTGTTGTTACAGGTCGGAAGGAGCATACTAGAATAAGAATCCCTGTAAGGACTGTCAAAACGGACATAGACTGTAGTGCCTGTATATCGAGTAACATGTTGGCGAGGAGCAGCAGTTAGAAAGTGTGACATTTTCTGTCGTTGCGACGTACGTACCCTTTATATCATGCTAGTATCTTAAGCTGTCCAGATGTTCCAACAAACTTCTCAGATATTCTCGATTCTCGCGTGTTGACATTCGAATAGACCATGCCTAATCGGGCTTCATCGCGCGAAGGGCAAGGTGATATTTTGATTGACGTCATTGGCGCAAGCTAGACCTAGAACAGAGATAATCACGAATATAAAACTATCATTTCACTGGTAGATACTGCGAGCTATTCTTGTGTTGGGATCAGGCTGGGTTGATAGGCTGATTACGTTGTGCTATTTGGACCGTCAAAACGTGCCTAAGAAGTCTCATTTTCCAGCACCACCTCAATGATACCTTCAAGGTCGTCATCGAATGGACATTCCTGAACATCCAACACAGTCAGTCCCACTGATTCGACAAGGGTTCTCCAGTCAGATGCGGTTCGCTCCTTTGCTCCAAAGTTGGTCATCATTGTGAAGTCGGCTGCGGCAAACCAAGACGCGCATCCGACGGCAGGAAGTATAGCTTCATTGATTACCAGTTTCGAATAGCCTGGTTTCATGGCTTCCTTTATTCTCTTTAAGATCTTCCGGCAGTCATGATCTGGCCAGTCGTGAAATATGAGGTGCACGAAGTACACCCTTGCTCCTTGTTCTGTGTCAGTATTCAGCAACCTAATTTACAGATGAGTAAACCTACCTTTTATAGGCTGCTCAGCAAAGAAGTCATGGCTCATCGGCGTGATTCTCTCTGGAAAGTCAGCTGGAAGATGTTCGATTGTGCCAGGCAAGTCCTGTAAGACCAATGACCCTTCGATATGTGGGAACCTTTCTAACAACTTCATGGTATCATGGCCTTTACCACCGCCAATGTCAACCAGGAAAGCACCATCCTTAAATCCGTCTATGAGTCTGCTTTGCACATCGTACCAATCGGCCCAAAACTTCCTTGTAGATCGTATCACTCCCATGAAGTCGTTGAAGGCTGACATGCTTTCTGGGCATTCGTGAAGACTTTCAAACCAAGTAGACTTCGTCTTGTATGCCCATTGAAAGGTTGTGTCCTTGATATTTGTCGGACATTTGTAGCCCTTCTCCTTCAAGTAGCTTGATAGATGGCTCACTGACTCGGAGTCGCTAATCGCTTTCATGCCCCCTTCGATACCTGGCTCAGTCATCGCCTTGCTGTATTTTGTTGCGAGGTATACCTTCTCGCATGCTTCTTTCGCAAAGTCAAAGCTGCAGAGAAGTCGCATTAACCGAACTATAGTATCACAGTCACTCTCACTGTACTTTCTTCGTCTAATATGCTTACCTATCAGTAACTCTTCCGCATTTGTCTTCTCAGCAAGCTGCCGAGAGGTTACCGGCCCATTTGCGTCGCACAGAATATGAAAGATACGCAGATCTACGGCAATCCTCAAGGCTGCTCTTTCGCAATGTGCCTACAATGATTTGTCAAGGAAACCAGGAATCACACCCGAAGAAATATTTACCGTCTTCACCCACCACATCGCAACTTCTTCCGGCTTCTCCAGTGACTGAACTAGCGATTTTGCAGTTGCCAAAATGCTCTTGCGCAGAACTTCTGCGTCGCTATGCCTTGAGCTTGACATCAACTTGATACTCGCAGTTAGGTCGTTTGCGAGACGTTGCGGTTGCTGAAAATCCATGGTATCTATTGTGCTGGCCTGAGCTACGATCATTTTCGCGGTTGTCTTGAGGTCCTTTAAATTCAGTTCTCGGGGACAAAGCCTAATTACATATCAAATCTACGTCCATCGTCATTCTCTCCTCGACCTATCATTACTATGTTGCGGTCCTAGGGATGGCCTGAGCTAAATTCTGGTATGTGGGAGGAGCTTGGTGGGCGAGTCGGAATCTATCCTAGCCGGACGTTACACCGAGGTCACAATAGCGAAGCCTACGACCATACGCGATTTGGCAACCACGAAACATAGCTTAGATGATCATAGGTAGCATTGTGACCTCTACTGTGCTCTTACATCGAGTGATAGTTGGAGAAAGACCGAGAGCTGATGATCCGAGCAGGGTAGGCTGGTCTCCTGCCGGAACAAAGTTACTATCCAAGCTCATGCACACAATTATTATACTGATTTGCTGCAGTCAAGATTTCTCCTAGTGCTGGGGACTAATGTTCTTCCAGATCAAAGATGTGCAAGCTCAGAAATTATCTACATTCTACAAATCTTAATTGCTCCAGTGTTTCACACGAAAGGGTGATCACAGAGGTGCTGTTTTCCTGACGCGATGATGGTGTAGACGATATGCTCACTGCTAGTGATTATTAAACCCAGAGCTAATGTATTCATCAAATGTCAATGTCTTGTCCTTGCTCTCAAAGCACGCTTTGCTCAAGGTCAACATTGAGCGGAGGTACTGTGCAGTGTTTTCTACCGGTTCCAACTGCTGATGACATTGTTAAAGACTCTGCGTACACTTTTCTTAGAGGCGTATTACGTCAAGCGCTACTATAGTCTTTGGGATGTTCACATAGACTCTGCTATGCATAGAAAACACTCTGTAACTGAAGGATGTACCATTCACCTAGATCATTGCGTACATTCCCTGAGACCTATGGCGTTTGAACCTCACATGCAAGGCCTCAAAAGAGTCTAATAACCTCGTAGGACCAGTTGAATTCCAAAACTAGCTCTTTGATATGGTCAGCATTGCTTCTGAGTTGTCGTTGAAGAATGTGACAAAGACATAATGAAGGGCGAGCAATTACTTCAAGCGCATTTGCTAATATATCTGGGCGCAAGGTTTGACAGGTGAGCATGGTCGACTATGCAGTACGGAACTACTATTTCTTCGCTGTTCAATGTGGTAACATTTGTCGCGACTGGTGACGTATACGACGACCACGGCCTCCGGCAGACCGCCTATTCTTTTATGGCTAATTGCCATGCGAGTTGGATTCTATCATCTTGTTCGTAAGTATGATAGGGATTTGTGCGTCAGACGAAAGCATAGGACTTAGATAACGCTGTATCCATCGGGTCTGAAACACTAGATCAGCCATGACCATTTGGTATAACAATAGTGCACTAAAAGATTTGCAGGCGAATAGTAAAGGTTCCAGTGCTCGGAAGATCATTAGACTTTAACTCACTACAGTTCTAGCTGCCTTGGGAGTGCACTTGCCCACCATCCGTAATTGGTAGTTGTGATGGTCCAGGTGTCTATGTTGACGAGCCCCTGAGCTTCTTTTTAGCCAGCTCATACTGGCCATGGCGCCATAGATGATCTCAAAAGATACTATATCCTAAGCAAGCTGAAATCTAAGCGGAGAGCATGCAGCTATCAATGTGAGCTGCGATCTTTGGTCTTAGTCAGATTGCATCGGCGATGACGATATGAATGCCGGCTACGTCCTGTGGCCGTGCGAGCGCAAAGGTTTCCATCATTCATCAAGTAGCAAACGAGTTTGTGGAAAAGGATATAACGTAACATCATGTCTGGGTTTAGTCTTTGTGAATGTTTCTCGGGTTCGAAGAATACAGTAAGGTTATTCTTTCGCTTTCCCCGAATTCCGCGCCGCTGGGATTTACTCCAATCTTTTCACATACCCGCAATATTTCACCCATATTACCGGAATATGCACGATATGCATCATGCAGCCGTTCTTCTTCCCTAAAGAGACCCTGTCCGAACCCCCAGTGCTGCTTGGTGCCCATGCTTGCTGCGATGGCAGCTCCCGGAGTCGAGGTCATTCCTGCATGGAGCACATACTGGGATTTCTAATACGCGTAACAGGCTGCCTTTCTCCAGGAGCATATCATGAATGCATACGGCATCACGGCATCGCGTCTTCTCTGGAAGTCCAACTGGGCCGTGAATGATAGCATCGACGCCAGTGCAACTCTCCGTTCCCTCATCGACGATACCGGCGATATGCTCTTTGCGTTCCATATTCCTCCCGTTTTAAACCTGTCAACGCCACGAAGGCGGTAACAAAAACTCGCCTGGCGCACCTCTCTTGCACACTTGCTCCACATATATTCATGGGCTAGTGTCATGCGTACCGAAGCAAAAGTATTGTAGAGTACTTTCAGTACTGTTGATATGCAGCAGTGGTATGATCTGACACCAGATGGGGAAGGCTATTTTAATGAATATTTACGGTTGACAGGAGCCAAACTGGAAAGAGGCGTTGTATGGGGATACGTATGAGAGGTTGGTGCAAGCGAAGGAAATGGGTGGCGAGCTGGGAGGAGCCTGGGCTTGAGTGGTTGGGGGCACATACGAGTATAGACACTGTGTAACATGACCTTTTTCAATAGAAGTCGACAGGAGAAGACCCTGATGACATGCTTGTGAGCTTGGAAAGTTATGCTAGAGGTATTTACTCCGTTCCATATACAACATCCCGTTTCCCAGGACTATGGTACAATAAAATGTTTCCACCACGTTGTACAGCTTTTCCGAACGCCGTCCGCAATGCCTGAGATGTGCATCTATCTATATGATACACTCTAATGCCACGCCATTACATAAATACAGTCCATGAAAATTATTATCTACGAGAAGAAATACTCGCTCTGCTTCAGTCGCGCCACGTCGAAGTCGCCTTTCTGCGGTACGGGAGGGAAGCTCATGGGTGCCCACAAGGTGACAAAGGACAATCGAGTTGGACTTTTGGCTGCTTCTTCAGCGTCGCGAGGAAGTTGGGTCTCATCGTCGATGTCTGCTTCTTCGGAGACGGCAATTTCGCTTTCTGGATCATCGTGGAGATCTTCACTACAAGGCGCAGCGTCACCATCTCTATTAACGGTGAGGGTTGCTGCGTCTTCGTCAGAGAGCAGACCGACTTCATTATCCATATCAAGCCGTTTGTTGCCACCTAATGCAATGGCTTCAGCAGGAGCCGTGGGAACAGCCATGCCTGCCGCAATGCACTCTTCATAGATGCTTGTCGGGGTCATCATTTTCCGCCCCTCAGCCTGCTTGTTTGGGTCTTTAGATGTCAATAGGGCTGAACGTTTCCGTTCTGCAAGGAGCTCTTGTGTGGTGGCATGAAGGAGTCCAGTCTTGGGCCCCTTTTTAGCGCCATGCTTGGTTGCTCCTTTGCCTTTTTTAGTCGACTTCAGGGCTTCTTCTGACCTGAAGTCCTTGATCTTGCGTGCGATATCGGAGTCTGCTCGAATTGAAACCAGGCGCATGTGCGACCCATATCGAGCCTGGAACTCTTCTGCGAGACGTGTTATGATGTCCTCCGAATGCATTCTGACGAATGTGTCACGAAGCACAGTGTTCATCGTGGGTATATCAGCTGCATGTGTCCAGAAAGAGTCGTGCACGGCGGCGAATGTCAGTCCAAGTTCATCAGAACGTAGTGCTGACAGAAGCATGTGAGTTGCGTCCAAGGAATGAACAAAATTTGGTGGGAAACCTTGGACTTGTTTGCGCCTGTTGACTGGATCTGAGGCCGCGGAGTCGCGCAATCGAAGCTGTTGCAGAGCCGTCGAGACGATTTTCGTCTTGCAGTCGCGATAGGGCTGGACAACAGGCAACTTTAGAGGCGTCGTCCAGACTAGGGTCGACTGCTGCAGTTGGTCTTTCCATACTTTGGCAGGAAGGTTAGATCCTTGTGCCGATCTCGATTTACCTTTGCCACCACTGATATCGGCTTCCAATTGGTGCATCTGCTCCGGTGTCAAGGATGATGTAATACGGGAGGCACATTCTGCGAGCCAATGTTGAATATTTTGAGCGCCAGTGAACAAAGTTCCAAGCGCCCCGAAGATGGCGTTGGCAATCTCGAGGGCCATTCCCCGAATATTTGACCGTTCCTCTTCACTTGCATTAGGATTCAATTCCTCAAGCTGTTTTTGAACCTGCAATTTGGCGCCGAAAAACGTAACCCCATAAACATTTGTCATGACTGTTTGCTTGACGACTTTACGGGTGATCATGCCATCTGCAAGTTTCGCAAACTTGTGGCCCTCATCAGCTCGTCGTCGAATTTCCTTCTTAACCAAATCTGCTACACCTGTGTACACATCGGCCGGGCGATCGCCTGGCAGCAGATTGACCTGCGCAGCACCCGCCGCATCCCCACCAAGAGCAGCATAATGCTGCAGACCATTACAGGTACCATCTTGGTGCACAGGAAGATATGACACATACTTGGTTGGATCTGAAAGGTCCATGGCGTTTTTTATTTCAAAGCAGCAAGCGAGACATTGCCAGGGGTCTTCTGCTTTCAACCACCATCGTTTGCCGGTCAGAGGAGATACAGCCGAGTCATAAATATCGTCCAGATGATCCATGGCGAAACGCTCTCTGTCAGAGAGACTTGCCTTGTCGAATCCAGCCAGGTTAGCCATATGAATTTTCAACCACCGTAAGCCAACTTCCCCAAGCTCTTTTCCCTTTCCGAAAACTAGAAGCCCCCGTGCAGGATCAGCACCCATGTGATTTAGTAAAGGCGGAATCGGATATGCTCTGCCACGAAAGTCAACGTTATGCGGGTAGTAGAATGTGTGCTCGCGGAATGATCGCGCAATTTCGATCTGAAAATTTTGAAAGCACCGATTCGAGTGATAGCCTCCTTTGAGATCATCGAGACGTCGGACTTCTCTCATCCACTTTCGCCGTGCGAGGAGATCTGCGCCGGGACCTGGCTCAGGCGGATACGCGATATCTGATGATTCCGGCGCCAGACTTCCGAGTGCTTCTCCAGAGTTCCATGCGTCAATCATTACAGTCAACACAGACTTATTAATCCGCCATGGTGTCTTTCCGAGAACATCCAATCCCGCGAATACCATCGCAAGATCACCTTTTTTGGCGGCGGTATTAGCATACGTCATCTGAGTCTCGTCACGTGCTTTGAAGCGAATCATTTCGACAGGATATTTCAGGTATGCACCCTTCTTAAGGCCAGACCATTTCTTCGGCTCAGTAAGCATGGGTAGGTAGCCGATGAAGCTGGCGTGCACTGGCTCTGACCGTAGCTTCTGCAGAAGGATATGATGTGCTTCGATCTTCCCTGTTTTCTTACCAAGGGAATATGTGCTCGTGTGCGTGAACGCTGGCTGTGTACGAGATATCTTCTGTCCAGTCTCGGGATCTATCACTTGATTGTCGATCGTCGCAGAGGATATAAGCTTTTCCAAGAGAACTGCGCCAAGCTTCGCACGTACAACAAGTGAGAATTCTACGTCGTCTTGGTTGTCCTCCTGGGTTGCATTGGGTATAGTGTTCTTCTGGTGCCGCAGATTTAGAGCAACATATTTAGCCCGTTGATGTGCGGAGATGTTTGTTTGTGATCTGGAAGTGGCAACGGGTGATCTCTCCTTAGCTGCGGCGACAGCATGTTCCTGTTGCAAGTTCTTTGTCACTCTCATCGTTAACCAGACAAGTTGCATTCGTTTTGATGGGCCATCGCGTTGTTTAGGTGTGCTGAAAGCCTCCAAGATCGAGAGAATCGTGATTGCTGCGAGTTTGTCTGGTGCGAACAGTTCCATATATGGTCCGTAAATCTGTCGGTCCGCGTCGTTGCCATCTTTATTCGCCAGAGCAGTCCGTACCATTTTTAGCTCCGTGGTAAGTACTTCAGTAAGACTAGTGAACCATCGCGCCATCCAAGCATCAATGCTTCGGTTTGCTCCCACTTGTTTGACACCTAATTTGGAAAGCTTTTCTTGTTCCTTGCGCCACCTGTCCATGGCAATTTCCACAGTGGTTTCTTCCAGTTCAACCTGCCGTTCGTAGAGCTGCTCTTGGGTAAGGTTCGCTGTTGGGCCACCATAGCTACCGTCCAGTGTGGAAAGCGTTTTCTTGAGAGTACTCAACCCGAGACCTTTCTGCCGTGTTTCTCGGGCCTCCGCTACGTCTTGCTTTTCGACCTCGTGCATAGCCTCTGCTTCTTCTTCGGCAGTAATCGCATACTCATTAGGGTACCATGTCTCCAGGCACAGCCATTCTTCGATCGAGTACTCAGCCCCCATCACTTCAGCGTACATGTTGTGATTCCGCGCGTAGCTGACATATTCGTCCACGAACGTTTTCCTGTGAGATTCTGGGGCCGCTGCTATTGTAGCTCGAATCATGACATTGAGAGTCTTGGCGTTAGGCCGATCATGCTTATCGATAATTTGACGTTTATACCAATTCCTTATATCAGTATAATTGATAGGCGGATCATCAATCGACAAAGCTTTGAACAGGCCGTCTAGATAGATATTGTGTGCCTGTATCACTTCTGAAGAGCCCTGTGGTGCGGAGTCGCGTATACGTCCCACTACAATTGCCGCTCGGTCCAATCTTCCGACTCTTATGCTTGCGTATAGGTTTTGAAGAAGTTCGGGAGAGGTTCCACCAATGCCTTGTCGGTAATTGAGATTCCTTGATGGCGGAGGTAATGACACCACCAGAGGTGACTGAGGATCCCATCGATTCGTCGACGCAGCAAATTGGCTGTTATTCCACGAGAGTATATCGGCAGGCTGTGAAAATATAGAAGGCGGTGGATTGGCGAACGAAGAAGCTGTTACAAGTGGGCGAACATGAGACTTGTTCGGAAGAGAAAATCCTGATTTGGTGCGCCTCGTGTCTGTCGGAGATGACGTCGCGGCGGTCGCTGACTGATGACTACATCTCAAGAAGGCTGGATACAAAAACGATAGGGGTAGAACATTAGATGTATTGAGCGGACACGGCTTTCGAGCTGGACGCCGCTGTTTTCGCGCCGCTCGAACGAGCATGGCCAGTTACAGCATGTGCAAAATTAGCTATTAGACACTCGCGTCGACTGTAGAAACAGAGGGAGAGGCTGAGGGCGACGATAAAGCAGCTGAGGAAGGCGAAGATGAAGGAGTGTGGGTAGTAAGAGATGTTGACTTAGATGTTTATCGATGCCAACGAAGCTGCGGACGAAAAAAAGTTCGAGAGCTTCTTGGGTCGCCACTACACGCGACATCGTGCACGTGCCCTTCCGCAAACCTCAAGAATCAGGGGCTGGTTTGATGCCTCAGGCCGCCACATCCATGGGCCCCAGTAGCAAACATGCATCGCCTCTCTGCTGACCTCTTTTGAAAGCTCATGGGCTATCATGGATACCATTCCTTAGCATTCACCTTCGTAGATAACAATTGTTCTATGCCGAACCCGCCTATTTTGGGCACATCGTGCTTCGAATGCAAGGCTGAAACGAAGGCTTCATACACCTCACCAGGTTTACCACGACTATCAGGCCCCCCCTGCGCCGCTCATTACCCTCAGCATCTCTGGGGATACACGAGCTGACTCGGGGAACTCCAGTTCCTTCATATTACCGGTTGAATGACTTATAGAAAGAGGTGTCTGCTCTTTGACATACATCGCGTACCTATGAGGCGTGTCTCTGTAATTTTTCTAGGCCTATCATATACTGCATAAGATGTTACAGCCCTCTCGAGAAATCTCATCATAGAGCCTTTCAATGGTCGCGACTCATACGGCTGACCTAGTAGTGGCACAGATTCATGCCTTTTGTGCGATTGTCACTCGTAAGGCTATCATCACGGTCATCAATACATGCTCTGTCGCCAGCCTCGTCCCCATCGACTCGCTCTTCTCCTGCCAAATTCGCTCTTGATCATCTCGTGAAGTCATCCGACCGAGCTGTTATATGACCAATGCTGACCTGCAAGTTCGGAAGTGGCTTCTGAACGATCTAGAGTGCACTGTCGGAAGGGCTGCGATGTAGATCGTTGCGGAACTGTGTTGCTGTATGCCTCATACATCTCATTATAGTATTCTTGTGTTGCCTAATCAGAAATAGTAACAACACTTTTATTCCTGCGGACAGGGTTCGGCCATGCACAGTGCACAGCCTTAGACGACCGTGCCGTTTCATCCTAGCTAGGATACCGAACATAAATACGTTATGAATCCCCTCAACTTATCTCGATGCCGCAATCATCCTCCATATTCATGCCCCAGAGAATCGAAAGGCTACCAACGCTTGGAAGTACACACCACATTACCATGATGAAGGGCACTCAGCTGTTCATGCTTCTATTGGGGTCGATTTGTTGTACTTACGCCTCGCGGTCTGTGGGTGCAGATGTAACATCTCTGCTCGAGAACTCAGCTCATCCGAGAATCGAGCACCGTCTTGCAGCTGCATCGAAGTACTCACAGCTCAGCAGTCGCAGTGATCGCTTGGAGCTTGTGCATCGATGTGACCTCGACTACGCGTCTGGTATGCTTCCCGTCCATGCGATGCACCATAAATTTCTAATAACAATACAATGCTAGATTCGTATACGGGTGGACAGACTTCTCATTACGCTCGCGTAACATTAGGGTCTGAGAGGCCAATTCTGCTGCTTGAGCAAGTCGAGCATCTCCTTAGTCGCGTAGAATGCTCGGTGAGCACGATCACCATCGAACTGTCCCAATCGTTAGACATCGACGCTACCCGGAATGAGATTGCAAGGCTGAGTAATGGCTATATCATCACTTCCCATTCAAGCTGTAACGACCATGGAGAAAGAATGGCTTACAATGTCAAGTCTATCTCCCATGACCCCAATTTAACAACCACCTTCGAGGTCGAGGCCGCGTCCCTTGAGTCCTCATTTAGTCGGTTCACTGTCTCTCTTGCGAAAGGTCGTAAATCTCATATCCTTCGTCCGCATAGAGATCTACGGCGGCGTCAGGACCCATCTCAGACTGGCGTAAGGAGCTCAATTGAGCCAATGCCCACTGAGTCATCCACTCTCGTTCCCACCCCAACCAGAATCTCTGAAGACACCTCGGCTACTTTCCATTTGGACAAGACCATCACGGCCTCTTTAGGGCCATTTGAGAACAACGCTGGACAGCCGATTCCCATCACCGTTGGCTGCAAGAACTGCACCGTATACGGTGATATTGAATTAGACTGGGTGAACTTCGATTGGGATTGTGATGTTGACGAGCTGAGAGCAGATGACATTTCGCTTTCGGATTGTCTTCAGGGCGGTGAGGTGTCCATCAGTGCTAAGGGGCTAGGGGCGCGCATTGAGCTGGAGGCAAACTTGACCAATACTGCAAGGTGGTCATGGAAGTTATATGAATTCCCATTGGGTCTTGCGTACCAGGTAAGAGTCGTAGCTGCTCCTCAGTCTTCACCATCTAGGCTCGACTTGTATTTTCTGGATCTCAGTGGCACTTTTCTGATACCCAGCACAGATTCCCAAACTGGGTACCATTGGCCTGACCTACTCACCAACCATCATCGGTACTTATTCTCTCGATGGCAATGCCTCTGTCAGCACCGGTTTCGACATCACAGTACCTTCCGATTCGAATATGGTCATCGACTTCTCTGACTTATCAAACTCTAGTTCGAGAGGCTTCCAGGATACAGCTCTTACGCCTATCCCTTTCTCCTCAGAAGTCTCTCTACAGTCCCTAAGTTTTGGCCTTTCCCTACAACACCGCATCGGTTTTGGCATCTCCCTAGATCCACCAGGCTTTCCAGGACAAGTAGCTATCGGCGCAGGCGTATCTCTCGAGAACCCTCAGATGAGTCTCAACATTACACCGATCGCTGGACCTGTAGACGCCTCGTGCAAGCCCCTCGCGGGCAATACTGATGTCTCATCTGAAGACTCGAGTATCCTTGAGCGGGTCCTAAATCATACCTACTCGCTTAACCCTTCTATCGGGCTCTCGATCGATTTTGATGCTGAGTTCACGACAACCATCCCTCTCATAAGCCCTGAACCTCTTGGATACAATGTCTATAATCACAGCATGCCGATCGAAGACTGGGCAACATGTCTCAACTGGGACCAGAATAGTGGTACGTATGTTGATGCGCAACAAGTTTTCCAGACAGCGAAGCAGCAAGAAGAAGGTAACAGAGGAGGTAATGGGAACGCAGATAGTAATGGAGGAGGCGATGAAAATGCAGCAACATCAGTGGTTCATAGTATGTCTGGAATGTCTGTTTCAGTACAAAGTATGATTATGGCATGTATGGTTGTTTGTGGGTTTATGGTCTTGGGATAAGCCAACTTGGCGTGTATCAGTATTAGCTGGCTCTTCGAATACTTAGTTCTACCTTTCGGGTATGATTTTAGTCTCAGAAAAGAAAAACTACCTACGTTTGTTCCTATTATCGTAAATAGTACTATTTGCGGCGAGATTATTCCTTTCTTTCTGTGCTCTATGCAAGATTTTAGATGACTGATGTTTGGGATATACGTCATCAGTACTCCTGTATATATGAAATGAGAGTTCTATATCAGGAGAAAACCGTAATATCCCTACTGGGAACCATACTTTCCTGTTGAAGGAGCTAGATAGAACCGTTGGACTGCCTCATCTCTTTGCAATAAATTGACGGCTTGGGTGCTCTCGAGTCCCTTCAGAGAGGTCTTCTAAGGTCATCAATAGGTCTATAGTAAGATAGTACCTGTAAAATCTGTGTATGTCATTGATATTTGACGATACAAATGCAACAGAATCATTGATTATGATCTTCGATATCTGAAAGATGATCTTCTTTTGCGTTATAAATCAGTTCTTTTGCCGTGGTGTACACTTTCTGAGGTATTCTTAGTAGTGCAGATCCACGAAATGCCTCGTTAGGACTCACCACCTCAAGCTATCTAAAATGAGATAATCATGATAACTGCACTCTGGAATATATGCCTCCACATCATTGTAGTTGTATATCTTTTTAAAATGCTAGCTGGAATTTGAATATTGGTATTTGCAATGAGATGAACTTCAAGATGTGCAAGTTTCACAACGAAAAACGTTATTCATAGCAGGAGAGAATCAAGGTTACTTCTTTGGGATACAGAAGTTTAGGCTCTGTATCAAAGTGTAATAGATCTATAGGCTTAAGTGATATTAATGATCTTAGCTATTCTACGTAGGTAAACTCTGTAAAGTGCCTGCTATATAATGATATAGGTGCTCTCAAACACCTTATAATGAGTGTATCATACACATTTACACTAATCTAAGCTTTCTATTGCAGTACTATACCTAAAGAAGCAGCTATATTAATTCCAAATATGCATTACTTGATACATTAGAACCTCAATTACCTGTCCAGCATAGCTGTGTGATGCTGATTTTGGTGATGGAAGAGCACTGTATAGCTATCCTTTCACCAATAATAAATACTATTCTTCACCTCTATCTACTTCGAAAGTTCGACCCATCATGTGTATTCTTAGGTATACAGCAGAGGTAAATCAGCTTCAGCCTCATTGGGTGAGAATTAGGGACTGTTCAGCTCGCAGATAACTTTAGCCATTGCTCTTTTACACGTACTCGCTCGTTCCTACAGCCGAGAGTAGCTGTTACATTGCCCTCTTGGATGGGAAATTGTAGCCTTTAGCTTGTGAACGATCTCTGAATATCTCCTATGCTCACTGATATTCACGGTTTCACGATGAGAGTTAGTCATTGTAAGATGTTAGCAGAAGAAAAGGGTTTGCTTTTATGTATATTACAATGCCTGATTAACCTTCCAGTCTATCTAAGGAAGATGCGCACCAAACAGAAAAAAACCGCCAAACCCCTTTCTCTCCACCCAGTCTACATCATGCTGGGCCCCACTGGGCACCAGAGCCGCGGTCATAGGCGATTGATTTCGCCCAACACGGCGTCCACAAACTTTGCGCTTTGTGCGCGGTGCTCGGCAGCTTGCTCTGCAAGCGCGGCCACGTTCTCACGCTCTTTCTTGGCTATATTAGCCCGATTTTCCTTGTTCTTGCGGGCCATGTAGCCCTTTTGGTGCTCCTGGAGCACCAACACCTGCTCCTGCAGCTGCTTCACCTGATCCTCGAGAGCCTTGTTGATGGCGTCTTTCTCGTCGAGAAGGTCTTCCTTCTCGTACGCTTCATCCTCGTGCACCCGTATATAGTTGCGGAGGTGTTGATTCTCCTTATTGAGTATGTCAATCTGATCGCGGAGGAAGAGTATGTCGCCTTGTGCTTCCGGCAGTGTATCTGGGAGAGCTTCCTAGAAGGTATTAGCAGCGGAATGATGTGAGTAGCTGTAAGTCATACTTCGTTTTCGTCGGGACCATTGGCCCGCAGCTCCTCCTCTGCTTCCGCTTCTTCTATCATTCTATGAATCTCAGCTAGGGTCACTGTTAAAATAGTTAGCACTGAGTATAGGGAGGTAGGATCTGGCGTACTGGGACCATCTGCGACATTGTGAGAGACCACAGTCTCTTGCTCGTCGATGGTAGGGAGGCCAGCGGAGAGTTCATCGTTGATATTATCCATTTTAAGCTGGTAGAGATACTGGCGAGGTTCAGGGGTACCGCGTAAAGTGAGGATGTAGGTGAGAAGATGTTGAAGCTAAAGATCTTGTATGGAAAGCTAATATCTGCCCAGAAGAATTTGATGTGAGAGAAGAGTCGAGTTAGCTAGTGTTGCGTTGAAATACCTTGGAGCTGTGCAGGTCACGTTACTGACCTATAACGGTTTAGGCAAATTCATCACACGCTAGGTGAATTCACAGCTCTTTAGCCAGGAATCTCTTGGTATATCGACTTGGACCATACTATACAGCCCTCCCACCGCAATATTTTCTAACCATGAAAGACCTTGGACGTTGGTATTCCAGAGAAGACCCATTGGGCAGCAGTTCAGTCCCGCGCCACCGAAGGTCAGCCCCTGCTGCCACTGACAGGACGAGGTTCTGGACAGTCACAGCATGCTTTCTACGGCAGAGACCATTCGACTACGGCATACGCTGGCAAGAGAGAAATCAAGAGCGAGCTACCGCACTTATAGTCCATGCTTTTGTTCATTACTTCCATCATACGGAGGAAGGGGCTGGGGATTGAGCTGGAGGTTAACAAGAGAGCATGAAGGAGAGGTACAGCTGCGCAGTACCACATCGGCCGCAATGAGTTACTGGAGGCACGCCTAGATGAACTTGTTCAGATTATTCAGGAGTTGAGCGCAAATCTGGACGAGAAGAAGAAGAAGAAGGCACAGCTGGAGCAGCTGGAGCAAGTTTAGGAATGAGATCATCACATAAGTAGTGTACAAACACAACACTTGCGCACGCTAAGCAGTCCATTCGGTTCGTTCGTTGTTCGGCACACCAGAAATATAAATGCCGCATGGAATTAGCAATATCCTGTCAAAGAGGCGTCTAGAAAGATCAACGCGTTTGTGACAGATGTCACTGATATACGAAGATGCACTGAGACGCACACAAAACTCTTGTGGCCAGAATACGGCTGGAATCCAGTAGGAGGAGGTATAATACAGACACCATTGGACCGGGTATCACCTTCCTATGTCGAATGATAGAGTGCTGCAATAACTTGGTGGACGCAGTAATGGGTCTACACAATTGACAGTGCAGTTTCTAGAGGCTGAAATGGACGCCGGTGAAGATATATGGTACATGGAAAGAGTTGAGCTTGGAGTAATCTGGAATTACGCACCTACATCCAAGAAGCTTAAGTTATAATGAAGTTCTGTCTGAATAAGGGGCCAGCGTATAGCTATACAAATATCTCACTTCAAGACTCACAGGATCAATTGGCCGAGTGGGCCGAGTAGGCATAAGCCAGCCATGACGTAGCGAATATCGAAAAGATGGACGATTAAATGGACGATCACCTAGTATGTGTTGTCTAGGGTCTAGCATTTGCTAGAAGCATAGGGGCGCCTCATTCGTTGTGCGAAGCTTCGCGGTTGGCAACCATCAGAGGGCCCGCCAAGGCCAGAATTCGATATCCATGACTGAGAATTTATGATAAGACCTGTGTCCATATCCCTTTGTCAGATACATAGATACTAAGGTCTAATCATGGTGGCCGCTGTCGCATAGAAGTGCAGGTGATTGTGGGCGTAATCAACTGGACCAGTGATGAGTTCGAATTCAGCAGTATCCTCTACAGGCTCGTCATCTATGCACTCGCGACATGGATTTGTTACCATTGGTGAGTACAGTAGGTATGTATACATAGGTACATAATGATTGAAGATGCTCTAAGCTAGTTCAGTGATCCATATTCCGAGTACCCAGCTCTCTGACTATTCTTAGCTTCTGTCACCCTGATCTCTCTCCGCAGGTCCGCGGGTCTTCTATGATATGTTTTCATGGGTGTAACAGCTATGAGTCTGATCGATCTGATATTCGTGTACATAGAGGGTAGTGAGACCATGCGCAGCCGCCTGGCGGAAGTTCTCGTGTTTCATCATGTTTTCGTCCCCGCCATCTTGCGCTGTTTTACGATTTTGCTCTCCAGTCTCGTCTTCAGCTTTTTCTTGATGATCTGTTTATCACTCATATGTATAGCCCTGCTGACGATTCGCCACGATAGCTTCATCATTCAGCTCTTTTAACGACCTCGGCTTCGCTTTGGCGGTGTCCCACTTGTTCTCTCCTTGTCATGGTTGGCGCGTGGCAGGTTCAAACATGGACATCCCACGGAAGCCTCTGTGCTCTTGACTGTTTTCCATGGATGGACAATATTGCTTGCTCCTAACAGGTCTTGTAGCTAAAGAGATGTTAGAATGCTAGGTTCTCAGAATGTTTTGAACCATGGCTGATGTTGGTCCATTCTATGTCCATTGCAGAAACAAAACTGCATGTTTTGATGGGTAATATCGATGTGGACATATACCAACGTCGAAAAGAGCGTGATTCGCCGCTCAATATCCGAGACCAGTGATAACCGAGCATGTGGACTTTGTTAATGTTGCTAATGTACAGCGTGTATTCTTGGTCGAACAGCATACTGAATTTGAGTGCACGATTCTGAGCTACTGAAATTATTGAACACGACCAGCGCAAACTTTGTTGGACACGCGGTCTCATTTAAAATGAATCACCAGCTCTCCTACTTCACACACGGATTTCGTCCTTCCGCAACTTCGTTTGTACATTTTTACATAAGATGCCTTACATAGACACTCCTAAACAGCTTCAAACAGTCAGCAGGGACCAGTGACAAGCGCCATTGGCCAAGAGGTGATGCTTTAAGCTACCGAATACAGCAGTAAGGATCGATTCTCCTCCCCGAAGTGTAATGGCCAACCATGTATGCAGTCTCACAGGTCTATAGGTCGTGTTGCTAGTAGATGGCGGTCCGCATATCCTCGGTGAGACATTACCCAGCGGCAGTCAAGCATAGAATAAGCTGGCACTTTGGGTCTTTGATGACCTAGGTAAGTGGACCAAGTATCAATAACGCGGGCGTGCGCCGTGAAGTTGCGGCAGGTGTCGAGATACATTGGAACAAATACATGGAGCTTCTTGGTACTCTCCAACTGAGCGAAAAGTAGAACAGGATGTGTTTTAGACAAGTTTCTAAAATTTCAGTGTCACTCTTGCTTCGCAACCATTTCGTTGATTGTTGCCATTTCATCCTCAGAAAAGAACCTGACCAAGCCTTTGGTAAAATTCAGTCGATCACTTACCTTAGGAACAGGCAAGCCCTCATTCGCAAGTTGTATCCTAATATCTTTGGTCCGCTGCGCCTCATACGCGAATACGGCGACCGATGCTTTCATAAAGCCCAATCTAAGCTCTTTTTCAGACTGCTCAATCCCCCTCTGTATCGCTGCCGCCAGGCTGTCACGGCGACACTCCAACTGGCGACACTCCAACTGGCGACACTCCATATCGAACAACTCACAGGCCCACCCTTTCATGATCCTCTCTTGCAAAGCAGAGCCAGTGCTGTCAGGTTCTGGCGCCGCATATCCATTATCACAGTAGGCAAGCTTCTTGAGCAGGCGTTTGTGTTTACGCTGAATGTGTCCAATCTTAGACTCCAGAACATGGATCTTCCTCTCCGCCGCCGCATTCTCACGTATCAAACGCGTCTCACGACATCATTAGTAACGTTACAATGAAGCCGCTCCACGAAGAAACCTTACGATATGTATTGCATCAAGCTCATCAAGACTTTGCCAATGCTGCTTCCCCTCCAAGTCTTTCGTTACTGTCTCTTCCGGTTCAGAGAATGTTACCCTCCTCCTCGTACATCTCAACTCTCGCGTTACGACTGGTGGACATTTGTTGACAGCAGGGAGTGGAGTCATGCTAGTGGCATGGGAGGCCGGGGTGCTTGCCAAAACAGAAGTCAAGCACGATGTTCGACATACGCTCGAGACATAGCTGGAAGACATAGAGGTACCCGAGATTGTGGAGGGGCGTGGTGTTACCATTGAATGCCAAAGATTGTACAGGCAAGACCTATTAGAAGTGGAGAGATTGATACCAAATATTAAAGAGAGGACTTAGAAAAGGCAGGAAAGAAGAGGTCGATAACAGGCAGGCGCACGAAATGACGAGGGATGGAGCTCCGAAAAGGAAGAGGAGAGGACGAGTGAGCTCATGCGACAAGTCATATGCTATACGGGTAGTGGCGGTCATTCTGGCGCACCTTCCTGCCTGCTATGAAACCTTACAAGAGAGCATTAAGGCCGAGAGTAAGACAAATGAAGTAATCAACCGCTAGTATTGGAAGTCAATCATAGACTTGATTGATCTTTAGTATAGCGCTACCAATGGGATCCTTAGAGGACCTCGTAAATTGTGATAGCAATTTCGATACATGAAGTGCTAAAGAAACACCAGGCCCAACTATAATCTCCTGTTCTCTTTCCATGTGCCCTAGAATCAGTTTCCCAACGATGTGGGCCTCAGTACCAGTGATACTAGCCAAGTCAGCGCCTTCCTGCAGTTGAGATGTGAAACGTTCCTTTTGGAAACTGATGACTTACTAGAATTCTTATGCAAAGAGGGCGCAGACTGCATCCCATGGAGTTTGGACATACTCACGTGCAACGGGGTCCCATAAGTTGAAGGGAACATATACCTGATCGTTTGTTCTGACTGTATTGAGTTCGGTCGCAACCTCCTTGAACTGATCAAGATGCCAATTCTCTTTCGTCCTCTCTTGGTGAACAAACAGGGTCAGTTGTAGCGAGAGCCAGGTCTTGAGGTCGTAACTTTGTCTGAAGTTTGCGATAGCTTTGACAACCTGGATGAGTTGGCAGCAGTCACCAAGTGTTTCTCTTGCACGGTTTACTGCTGCCTCAGCGATAACAGCATCTGAGTCGTTCTCGTTCACGGACAACCATGCATAACAGGCAGCCGGTGATGCAAGGTCGTCTTCGTTTAGACATGGACCGCCCAAGTCATTCTTAAGACGGATCATGCCCTGTCTTAATAGATCCTCACAACCGGGAACCCCAATCTAGCAGTGTTCGTTAGTATCATAGTATTAATAAGAGTTGCGGACCAAGGTGTGTGCGGAAAGCTTAGCACGAAGTAAACAATATTATGGCTCGCAGCGTGGAGCTCAACACAGAAGGGAGAGACTCACCATGCCCTCAAGAAATGCCACACGTGCCTGCACCTGACGCTGGACAAAATTCCAGTTTGGAGCTGCATATTCGTCAGTGAATGCCGTGATGCTGTATCAATCTATCATGGTGTAGTACTAGGGTTCTTTGGGGGATGCTGCTGGCCATCGTTGTCAGACCCATGGTTGGAATCTGCTTGCTGAGTGTCGCTGGCCTGCGAATTCTCTGATTGTGGAGTATCTGTCAGCCTGAAATTACGGTGAGCAAACGCTGATCTGGGAGTCTATTACCCGTCTCGTGATGGTGATTGTCGGCGTGTGCGGACATGGTAGCGTGATAGATACTTGTTTATCTTCAGATTTCAGTGCAATGTTTTGCTGTGCGTTTTGTAAGGGGGACGAAGGGAAATATAGGCGAGCGAAAGATATGAAAACACTCGCACTAGGCCTATAACGTGCTAGTGAACAGTGTGTGTTCGGACAACCGGGACACAAAGTAGCCATGACAACCCCTGCGAAACCTGTCGATGGTGAATTTTAGGTTTCTTCTCTTTTTCTCGTCAGCCAAGGCTTTGAACTGTCGTCTTGCGACCGTATGGATATTCTACTGTACCCCTGAGCGGCCAGTGTCTTAAAGATCGAATTTATCCACTGCCCTAAGTCTCTGGCTACAATGGCCAAAGCCCAGTTCCCAGCGGACAAACAATATCTTGGAGTCCTTAATGCATCAAGCACGGCCACCTTCGCCCTTGTCTCTGCAATAGCCTCTCCAGTGAGGTTGCTTCCGCTCCACGAAGCCCTAACATCGCCCAGATGATATAAAAAGAAACCTTCGATTACAGACAGGTTTTGTACATTTGATACGATGATTGGAGGCTAAAGACATCATACCTGATACAGCGCCTTCGGTCCTTGATCAATTGACACATATTCAACTCTGCTCACGCGATCCCGCGGAGCAGTGCGGGTACACCATCCTGTCTTAAGCATTGTCATGGCTAGGTATTCAAGCACGAGCCAGCACTGAGAGCGAAACTACTGTAGCAGATGAAAGAGACGCAGGAGCAAGTTCTTCATGGGCGTCAGCCATTGCTCGGACCTCATGGACGATTGGCAAAGACAGGGATAAGAAGTTTTCAGGAGTCTAGCCGATCAAGCACAAAAGCAGTCGCCCGCCACACGGCATCGAAGGAGTGTGGAATTCGGACAAGATGGCAGTTCGAATTCGCCTGTGATGAAAAGATTGACTTCTTATATACAGAAAAAGCTATTGCACAATTGACAAGCGAGGTTCAGATGAGCGAGCACATGTCTGATTATACATCCTAGACAGTCGGCAAGTCAACGTGAGGGTTGAACGCTGGCCCGTACGTGCGGATACAATGATGGTCGCTCGTCGACTTGGGAGCTGTAGACACAATGGCAAGCAATGGGCTTGGTGGGCCAGACCGATTACTGGAATAAGGAAAGAAGAAGGAATTGGTTCCTAGTGAGTAGCATCCGCAATGGTAGCACTCTCGTTATGGAAGTCCACCAACACTTCTAGGGCCCAAGTTTCGACGACTTCTTGGCCGCGTGCACGTAGACCAATAATATATATATAGTAATATTGATATCCTGCTTTACGCATGCTCGTTCTTGGCTGCGAAGCCTCTCGCCTTGGGTCTTACCACGAGTCGAATCATAGAGCTTTACATGGGTAATGTGTGGAAGACGCTCCATCAGTAATATCCCTGAGATCATTTTGATTAGTTGTCTCTACTTAGCGCCCAGACAGCTGGCACTCCAATGATCTTACTATTGAGTCCTGTATGCACTGCATTCCTGCGGCAGACATCACGTAAAGTGCGATTGAAGATGGTTTGTGAGCTTGAAGAGCTCATTTGGCCTGTATGCCTTGTTCGGACTGAAGTTGACTAGATAAATCGTAGATAGCCTCTCCAAATCCTTCCTGCGCTAGTGACGCAAAGATGTCTATGAACCAGTGCTGTCGAGACTATGCCACACTTGAGGTTATGACACTCGCCCAACCCACTTAGACAAAGAGGTCGTCGCTGCGGACGGGAACAGCTGCTTCCTACATCATGGCTTTCGCATACAGCCCACCACGAATCTTGGTTTTTCCACCGCTGTACACGCTTCATGTGATCAATTTAGCTCTGGATGTGGCGTTTTATGTGACGAACACAGGATGCTCACACCTCAGATCTGCGCCCTAATCGACCTGAGCTCCGGCTCTGTAAAGACAGTCTCCAAATCATCACATAAAACCTCACTTTCCGTCGCCTCGCCGTTCTGATTCGGATCTCTCCTCCTCAAATCTTCTATAAACCCCCGGCAATTGGATTGGTACCTGAAAACACGCACACATGCGCCCTCAAACGCGCGCCTGGTATCCGCCATTACCCCCTTAAGGCGGTCTATCTCCGCGTTCTTGGAGGTCTGGATTGCCAAAGCGCGCTCATCGCCCGCACTATGCAAGAGACGGTCGCGTTCGACGCGCAACGCGGTGATTTCAGCTTCAAGTTGCTGGATCTGGCGGTATTTAGCGGCATCGTCGCGCGCTTTGGTGAGCATTTTGGCTTTGCTATCGTCTGCTTCGTCGCGCAGGGCGTCCATGAGTTGGCGCACTTCGATGTTCTCTTCCCTGATACGGTCGAATTCCTCCCGAGTGAAAGGCGGGTCGGGAGCGTTTGGATCGTGGTAAGTGGATGAGGTGGGCGCCTTGCCTTTCTGACGGGGCGTATATCTCGCTTTCTTGGGTGAGTGATCGTTGGGGTCTTTGCGGGGACAGCCGCGTTTGCGTTTGCCGGTTGGAGTGGATTCGGTGGAGTTTTGTGGACTGCGTGCGGGATCTTGTACTGAGGGTGGAATGGGGGTCTGGAGAGGACGGTCGAGTCGATCGGCGAGATCATCAGTGATGACTTGTCGTGATGTGTTTTCTAGCTCTTCTGAGACTGGTTTTGCCGGCTGATTCATAGGTATCGAAGAACTGGCATCACGTGTCGGTTGGGCAATATAAGGGCCACGGCCACCGTTCGCGTCACGTCTTTTCAACCCCATCTCTGTACGGAGTCTCCTGACAGATCCTTTTGACATTGGATATCCCTCGTCCTTGAGGATTTTGGTCATGTCATCGTCAAGAAGTCCCTCATCCCAAAACCCTTGGATTCGATCCTTGATCTCGTCTGTTTGCACTTTTCTTCTGTGCTTGTAGATACCCCAGTCTCTCAGACGACGTTTGATTGAACGGTCTGGGACAGTGATGCCGTGCTTCTCTTGTAAGTAGACCATGAGCTGGGAGACAGTGGTGTTATCAGTATACAAGGCGATAATTTCGGTCTGGTAGTTATCCAGATAGTCATATTTTCGCGGTCTACCCATTGAGCTGGCTTGGTTGGTCCGCTTTATTAAAGGTCAGGGGAAAGGAAAACGGAAATGTGACAAAGAAGTGACAAAAAGGGATGGAATTATTGGGTTGTTATTAGGTGCGGTAGTCGACACAGGCGAAACGCGCAAAATGGAGTAATTAGAGATTTGGCCCGTCTGTGAGTAATGGCTGACTAGGGCTGCGCACGGTTCACTTTTCCTATTCACATGACGCAATGCGTAATTAGAGACTAGATAAGTTGCACGCCTGGGATTGGAATACGACCCATCTGTACCAGAAGGGAGTGCACGTCGTGCAAGCATAAGATTGGAAGAAGGCAGCAATATACATTCGCTACAAGCGCCTAGCATGCATTACAAAACCGTCATGGTACATACAATTTTGAATACGCAGAAACTGTCGTTCGACAACACACACATTGTGTGAAATTCCTTGTCGCAAGTCCTACTCTACAATCATCACACAGGCTCAGACAACTGCAAGGCCACATGAGTACAGTTCTCGGACTCGCCTGGCACACGACGCATTGCGGCCCCCCAGATCCCATGCCCTCAGCACCGGCTGCCCATGATCCGCTCTCGCCGTTGAGTCTCGCCTTCGAGGCGTCTGAGTGGGAACGCCGCTCCAGCAGGAATGTCTCAAGCGCGCGTTCCTCCTCTTCCGGTGTGCGATCCGCCGTCGAATAACCCACAGACGAAGTGAGAATGCGCGAGCGCTCCTGCGCTACAGCTTTGCGATGTTGCAATCGCGTTAGGGGTTTGCTGCTGCGGAGGTGCGAAGCAAGGAGACGGGCTTCCTCTTGCTGCAAAGGGGTAGTAGGGTCGAGGAGAGTGGCGAGATGCGTTGAGTCGAGCAGATCGTCGAAGATAGGGGTACTATCTCTGGATTGAGGACAGGGATTACTTTGAGTTGGTGTGCGTCGGCCGTCTTCAGGTTCAGATTCGACCCAGTCGATTTCACTAGCATCAGTGGTCGAAATAATGCTAGTGAGGTCATCGTCATCATAAACGGCGGCTTCAAAGTCGCCGCTCGAATCAATATTGCCCCACCATCCACCAGTCTTCCACCAGTCGTACAAATATGAGTCTAGTCGCTGTTCGACGTCTGCCCCATTTTGTTGCTGATGATATCTCCGTCTTGACTCGAGTTCAACGTCGACTTCGTCATCATCAGGAATACCAAGGCTACCATCCGGTTGCACAACCCAGAACTGAAGCGTGTCGGGGTGTGTACCAGTAGGTCGTTGCTGGCTCTTCGGAGCGAGCGTACTCAGACTGATACTTTCTGGTCCTATCACTCGCGACAGCCAGCGTGGCCTATACGGTAACCTCAGCGTTTGTAGAGTCGAGAGTGTGGCACGCGCGGCAAGACCTATGATCAGCCAGACTAGCCCAGTGAGAAACTGAAAAGCTAAGACCCATCTCGAGCGACGTTGGACAAAACCTACACCATGCTCTCGCCCGATCACTGTGTTGTTGGCCGTGCCTTGTCGCCCCCGTGCTTTTCTCTCACGGCTGTAACCGGAAACATGCCCTATCCCCACTGAGCCAGTTGCATCATTTAAAGATACGACACCATCAGCAATCGAGTCTTCAACAAGTTCCACGGGTATGCACTCAATGCTGCGCTGCAAGCCTTTGCGTTCCCTCACGAACTCTTTTATTCTCTTCTCTTCTAGCCACGTTGAGGAATGGACAGCGACCTTAGTGCCTTCATTCAAATAGACTGCTTCACTCGCAGCCGTAAGTACGGTGAATCCTATCTTCAGCAAGGCAGTATAAAAGTCCTCGTTCCAATTGATACGGATAGCCGGTGTAGCGCGTAGATAAACGTTAACTTGGAGATTGCTGTACGCTGCTGAGATACGTGCAGATACGCGAGCGATGAAGCCTTCAGGCCCATCCTCGACCGGAGGAAGAGCAATTGCTGTAAGCAACATCGCCATACCATAGATTACAGCACATCCAAACATTCCTATAAATATTAATAGATGCGGAATGAACCCAACAATGCAAACGGTCGGAAAACGTAAGATCCCGGTATCAAGTGTTGACTGGTGAACTCCAGACACAGCCCGGGAAAAGCTCCACATGAAGACACCCAGGTAAGACAGTCCCCAGATACCAGTATTCACAAGGCGTAACTTGGTCCGGAGCCCAGCCACAGCTAAGACATTACTACTGAGATGACTCAGGCTTGATATCAGTGAAATTACCAGGACTTCGGATGGAACATTGGTAGCCTGTAATAACGCGGATCGTGTGACTGTCTTGATCGTGGTGTCCAGGGGACTTGACGCTGAAGATGCGGCCTTGGCGGCCCTGGCCGCATATTTGATGAACGGTCGGGTGATTGTAGCCTCAGCTTCCGCGAAGGCGAGAGAATGCTCAAAAATGGTCATGCCAGTCTCTGGCATGGGAGTACGGCCTTGAAGGGAGCAAGCAAGCGTCTCGATGAACTGGCTCAAACCAAGGGAACAGAACAACGGCCACAATAACTTCATGGAGCCCGCAGCCCGAAGCGTCTCTCCGCCCTTGGGTAGCATGTTCACTGCATCACACGACGCCATTTCATCTTCCCAGAACAACAGAGCTGAGCTGAGCCAATGCAGAAATCCTCCCTCGGCCGCATAATCGATCTCAAGAGTCTGACCTTCTTTCCCGTATTGCATGGAGGGCCAGTGGGGCGATGTTTGACAGCGTAATGCTTGTAGAATCCGAACAATTTGAAATAGAAAGGTTGCGATCGGTATGAGATATAATGAGAGGCGTAGATACCACCGAAGATTCAACGGGACACGAGAGGAAGCGTAGAACTGTGTTCGATTCAAAACAATGGCCTGCGACGCGTTAGTAGAGTCTTGACGATTATTGAATTATGACCACACTGTAATGACTGTTGCCAACGCCCACTTCGACATCAAGTAGGAGAAGATCCCGCCGAAGCTACGAATACTGGTCATACTGAAAGGGCTCGCAGTATCTAACGTGGTGCCAGATGTCGTTGGACTGGCGGTTGCAGAGGCTATGCTATTTTGCACGAACTGCCCCAGGCTTGTCATGATAGCGGAGTGATTAGTATCGGGTGCTGTCGGATCCGCAATCATACTTCCGCCACTCCGCGCTTTGCCGATGATAGCATCGAGCTGTTCCGGGAGATATATCAAGGCAAACTCACCAGCGCGTTGCGCAAGTCGGGGAACCGCGAGCAAAAGGTCCAAGGACGACCGGGTGAGCGTGGAGTTGGAGAGCGACTGGATGTGATCCATTTTCTTCACGATTAAGTGTTGTTGTCGGGAATATCGTGGTCAGAGGCCTGAGCGGAGGCCTGCAGGTAATGCATGGCCTTAACAGCAGATTGTGTTCATGTTTGTGATAGGGAAGTGGTGTTTGTAGAGAACCTTAGAACGCACGATGAGCATCCCTCTCAAGCCGGGCCCGTCGGCGTCCACGTAAGTCACCCGACGATTATCCTTTAGGTAAGGCCCTCCCTGCACAGGCGGGCAGGCCCGGCAAGGCCAACCTGGAGGTTTAATTAGCGTTTCGCTTAAGTCATTATCATCAACGAGTTGAAGTTCACAGAACATATCCAGACATCTTCCAAACACGTACGATTGAGGTATTGTGACAACATGGCCGATACATCACAAACCACCGAGCCATCATCCAGCACCAGCGTTAATCAACCATCGTCAACAGCTTCATCACCACTACTATCGGCACAACCCACATGCGCAACATGCATTAAGACGCCCGATTCACTCAAAGAATGCATCAAATGCCACAGCGTGTCTTACTGCAACAAAGACTGCCAGAAGGCGCATTTCAAGGTACACAAGAAGGTGTGTGCAGGACTTGCACAAGAGTACAGTAAGCACAATGAACCAAAGATGGCGCGGTCGACGGTGAGCACGAAGGCAGCGAGGGATCGAGGGCTGCAAAAGTGGCAGGTGAGTAGTATGCAGATAGAGGAAATGGGGGAATGGTTATGGCTAAATGATGGGATAGTTCGATACGTGAGGGGAGCAAGCGAGCGAAGTGAGTTGATGGGAGGAGCGACAGGCTATGCCAAAGATGCATCCGAAGGCGTTCTACATACAGTAAGATGGGCTACTTCTCCTCTATATAATGCATCGCTTGAATTCACATGTTGCAAGTTGAAGCTTGAGTTGAATTTCCGAGACTGGGCCGAGCGCCTGTTCCATGCCTGTGGGATATTAGGGAATGCGAGTGTTTCAAGATTTCCTTTCCGGTGTTCAGTAAGTTAACGGCTAATACGAGGCTCTGATTGGACCGGGCCGAAAAGGATTAGTTTTGCGGGGTGCATTGGTGTCTGTCTACTGAGAGGGTATGACGTGAAGTCAGTAGGAATGATTTGAGCCCAGTCCTTCCAAAGGGAAACAATGGAGAAGAAAGGCGCCTCAATTGGCCCAGTTTATCTTATGCGAAAATTGCGTAATATCACGAGGCAGAGATGGAGACAGAAAATGGTTGGATCCGTGCATGTGGATAAATTTTTCATCCACGGAGTAGCTCGAATCTGCGGGGCCCTAGGCGGTGTGTGGATCTTCCGCTTTCTGACCAATCACCAACCGCCTCTCATACAAGCCGGCATCGCTTCTGGCAAATCCATCCTCTGTGACTCTCACTTCCATCATTTGACATTTGACTCAAGCTTCCCTCTCTCGCTCTCTCGCTCTCCCTCTCTCTCTTTCTCACCATCTAAAGCCCTGTTTGCCTAATCACACCTCTCTTCAACCACCAAACTCACAATGTGTCCTCCAGTTGAAGATACACCCACGAACGGCACGAATGGCCACGCCAACGGTATCAATGGCACCAATGGCTCTCACGATGGTTTCACTCCCATCAAGACGCGCGAGAACCCGCACCCTCACGCTTCGCCTTACCGACCCGTAGGAGACTTTCTGTCCAACATTAGTCGCTTCAAGATTATTGAATCAACTCTGCGTGAGGGCGAGCAATTCGCAAAGTGAGATTATTCCTCACACAACACAACAGTCCGAGTTCGGTCGCTAACGATTCTTCGTTAGCTCATACTTTGACACCGAGGCCAAGATCAAGGTTAGCATTTCTGACCCGCTCCAAAGGTCCAACGATGGGCGTAGGCGTGTCTATGAGGGGTGTATGGCTGACGAACATTATGGTAGATTGCTAAAGCCCTGGATGAGTTTGGTGTTGATTGTCAGTCACCTTGTCGGATTCACATGCAATACATCTGACAATAGTCTAGATATTGAATTGACATCGCCTGCTGCTAGCGAGCAATCGCGCAAAGACTGCGAGGCTATCGCCAAGCTTGGCTTGAAGGTGAGCCGTTCGCTCGTACCGTCGTAGAAATATTCATGCTAATCCTATCGACAGGCCAAAATTCTTACACATGTACGGTGTCATATGGTCAGTCATACCCTTTTTCTACTCCGACAGACCTCTAAACTCGAGTCAGGACGATGCGCGCATCGCTTGCGATACTGGCGTCGACGGCCTCGATATCGTCATTGGAACTTCGAGTTTCCTGAGAGAGCACAGTCATGGCAAAGACATGACATATATTAAGAACACTGCACTGGAGGTCATCGCATACGTGAAGAGCCGAGGATTGGAAGTCCGTTTCTCATCTGAGGATTCTTTCCGTAGTGACTTGGTCGATCTCTTGAGTCTTTACAGCGCTGTCGACAAGGTCGGTGTGAATCGCGTAGGCATCGCTGACACCGTTGGATGTGCGTCTCCTCGTCAAGTCTATGACCTTGTCCGGACTCTCCGTGGTGTCGTCAGTTGTGACATTGAGACACATTTCCACGATGACACTGGATGCGCTATCGCCAACGCTTATTGTGCTTTGGAGGCTGGTGCTACTCACATTGATACTTCAGTTCTGGGTATTGGCGAGCGAAATGGTATCACTCCACTTGGAGGTCTCATGGCCCGCATGATTGCTGCGGACCGTGACTACGTCGTCGGAAAATATAACCTGAAGAAACTCAAGGAGATTGAAGACCTTGTGGCCGACCTGGTCGAGGTCAATGTTCCCTTCAAGTAGGATTACTGTCACATCATTGCAACCTTCACTGATCGTGTGGTTTAGTAATCCCGTCACCGGCTTCTGTGCTTTCACACACAAGGCTGGTATTCACGCTAAGGCTATCCTCAACAATCCCTCAACGTACGAAATCATCAACCCAGCAGATTTCGGTATGTCAAGATATGTTCACTTCGCTAGCCGTCTCACCGGGTGGAACGCCATCAAGTCTAGAGCGGACCAACTTGGTATCCAGATGACCGACGAGCAATACAAGGCAGTCACTGCAAAGATCAAGGCTTTGGCCGACGTTCGCAAGATTGCTGTCGACGACACGGACTCCATCATTCGAACCTTCCACTTTAATCTCCACAACAAGTCCGAGAAGCCATTGCTCGCTGGTCTTAGCGCCGAAGAGCAGAAGAAATTTGAGCAAGCTGAAAGAGAATTGAACAGTGTACCAGAAAAGAGAGAGCTGGACAGTGCCGTTGATGCACAAGCAGAGGTTCCTGCGGCCAAGAAGACTAAGACTCAGGCCGTTTCATAGACCGTCCTAAGTGTAGAGAGGTCAGTTCATCATTGCGATACTAGACTATATCCGGCATCTATTGCATTTCCCGGGGTGAAGCAAAAGTTCCGAAGTTGATTTTCCGGCTTTCATTTCTCAGTGTTTCACGACGGCGTTGGCGTAGTTCTTGGGATGAACAGGAAAACGGTGCGACGCAGTCTGTTGAAGCAGAAACTAGATCACTCACCACGCTTTCCAGCATAATCAATAGACTTGTGTTGTGCATTCAAGCTACTTAGTATTGCCCCGTAAATCGTCGGCAAAAGTCAAAGCTCGGCCACTTTGCCGTTCTGGGCCGTGACCGGCCTCCTAGCTAGCCCCACTCTCCAGTTCTCGCAGCCCGGGGACGAAGGTGCATATATATAAAACAGTACTCTTTCGCACCCCGCCCAATCACTTTCCACAGCAACCTTATATCAAACATCAGAGCACTCATATAAACATGAGTGCCACAACAGTAGTTCAAACCGAAGGCATCACTGCTGATAACATCCTCCGCCTGTTTGGCAGCGATGTCAACACCACATTGATTGGCTCCGGGATACAACCCGGTGCGGCGAGAGATGCAGACTTGGACGGGTATGATGAAGAGCAGATTAGACTTATGGAAGAGGTGTGCATTGTGTTGGACGAGAACGATCTACCAATTGGTAGTGCAAGCAAAAAAGTTTGTGAGTGTAACCTCTCGCGCCGACGAGCGAAGGTCCAGTGGCGCGATGCAAGACCACAAGACGCTTGCTAATAACATGTCTGTCAGGCCATCTCATGAGCAACATTGAGAGAGGCCTACTTCATCGTGCCTTTTCTTGCTTCCTCTTCAATTCCAACAACGAACTGCTCCTGCAGCAACGTGCTACTGAGAAGATCACATTTCCGGATATGTGGACGAATACATGCTGTTCGCACCCACTGGGAATTCCCGGCGAGACTGGATCGAACCTACAAGACGCAATCATGGGCGTGAAACGTGCGGCGCAGCGAAAGCTGGATCAGGAGCTAGGGATCAAGAAAGAGCAGGTGCCGATTGAGAAATTCCAGTTTCTGACGAGGATACATTACAAGGCACCCAGTGACGGGAAGTGGGGGGAGCATGAGAGTGAGTAGGACGGGACGATTGTCAGATAAGACGGGAAGAGCACATTGTGCTAACGACAGGTAGTTGATTATATCTTGTTCATCAAGTCTGACGTCGATCTCGACATCAACCCGAATGAGGTCCGCGACACTACATACGTCTCTCCGGATAAGCTACGCACCATGTTCACAGACTCAGCGCTCAAATTTACGCCTTGGTTCAAGCTCATATGCGAGAGCATGCTGTTCAAGTGGTGGGACAGCTTGGACAATGGCCTCGAGAAATATCTGAATGAGACCGAAATCCGGAGAATGTAAGTGGATATCAGGAACAAGATATCTTGACTCAATCCAGTACTGGGGGAAAGTAAGCATGATTCGAGCGATGCGTGGACGTTTACATCTGGGCTACAGTTTGTACGTATGAATAGTACTGATCATGCTATCATCGAGTGCCGCCGCATCGGTATCTACTGAAGACATCATCAGACCACTTATAATGTGCTCGCCTTACGGCTGCGTGCAGGTGAGTAAGCATCGCTCCTCTTGCATTCGGGCATCTCATCGACTCCATACCAAATCAGAAGAGGTGAACTTGTGTGTGAGTATACTACACCTGTGCGTTATTCAGCCCGTTCGATCGCTGTGGCTCGCTCCAGAATGTCGGGTATATATGGAGTCTCCAACGTTGCCAGTTGTTCATATCCAATCAGCGTCGCTTCGCTCATTATTCCCACAACCATAATAGACATATAAGCTCATGTCCGCACCAGGCTATCGCGTGCCAAACTTAGCCTTCGCGCCAGCCCAATATGCGACTTTCTGCTATTCATAACTCTCGTGTAGGTCCAGGACTCTGGGGTCGTAAGTAGATAAAGCCAGGGTGAGATTCCAGGTGCACAGTCTAGGAGACTTACATACGCTTCAGCAAAGGTTTTTTCTTAGCTGACCCACGAGTCTCAGTCGCCCACCATTCTTCAGGGGAAATCGTCAATGATTCCCAAGATCACCCAGCTCCGTCATATGGACTTGTATTTCATGAAATTTTCAACAATGGAGTCTAAATCTGCTAAACTTTCGCACATACATACTATTGATATGTCGCGACCATCCACCATATTTTAGACCTTTAAATACTATCACCGAACCAAATGCCAGTGCGTCTGACGCTGGCGCACTCTAAATCAGCCCCGCCAATGTCGTATTCATATTCGCTTTCTACGCCTCAGTTCCTCTCTCCACTGCCGTCGTCTCTATATGACATGTTGAGCTTAGCGCAATTGAATATTTCCAATCGCTACCCACGGAGTCATGAAAACCTTTTGCTAAAGCGGCAAGCCTATTCGTTGCACATTGTCTTGTATCCAGGAGATGTACCTTTGGTTCAAATATCAGACAGTCTGCATGATTGAAGGAATTTTCTGAGTAGAATCATCTATCTTTACGGAAAAATATGTTGGAACAGAGCCAGGGAACCTCGGCAGTAGTATAGACTTGCCCAACCAGATCGCGAGCCTACAAAACACAAGTTATGACATCGGTCCCCGATCAACTGCGAGTATGGTAGCGCACATAGTTCACTTATAGCTTCTACTCGGCACGATGCATTGTTTCCTCCTGACAGGCTTAATTGAAATCAGGACATAAATTGAAAGACGAAAGAAAACTCGCAGATCCATTCTTCTCTGGCTTATACATGGTCCCCGTCATAGACCACCAGACATTACGCTAACATATCTTTCCCCAGATCCCATCTAGCAAGCACGAATCGCAAACGAGCGCTGAGAAGAGCACGTCTTCACCTGCTTGCAGCTCCCACTCGGGCATGCAACAGCTTGGCACTGCCCACCCTGCTGACTGTCCTGCGCCGACAAGGAAAACGGCGTCCCTGCCGCGTTGGACACATCGTAGTAGTTGACACCGTTAGTCACGGTATAGTCAAAGGAGATGGGCTTGGTGAAGTCGTTGCGGTTGTTCGAGAACTTGACGGCGTTGCCTGGAGTATATGGTCAGTTACAAGAATTTATTGGGACGCTGGATGTGAAGGGTGGCTACCTTGACGGCCGGTTTCAAGGTTTCCGGTCCATGTCTGGCCCTGGCGGATCTCGCTGATGGGACCGCTGTAGCCGTTTGCGTCGGGCTTGACGAAGATGGAGCCGCGGCAGTTGTTTGTAGCGACGATGTTGGCGCCGAGAGCGAAGGGGGCGAGGAGGGCTACGACGGCGGTGATGGTGAACTGCATTTTGAGTGTTGCTAAGATTGTTCCTTGGTATCGTTTGGGTGGATTCTGAGTGATGTCTTTGATGGCTAATTGGTGTGAGGAGTGAGTGCTTGATGATCGCAGGATTCTACTGCCAGGATGTAGACTCTTATATACAGAAAAATAGAAGCTTGAAGATCCACAGAGCTTGGGATGAGGCTATCTTGACCCGACAATGACACTAAATGGATCTATTGAAAACATCACACCCGCTCGGATCATGAGGTAGACTCTCAATGCTGTCATGGCGTGCCTAATCCGGAAGCCCAGAAAGCTGGCTATTAGCATATAAGCGATGTGACGTACGTGACGATATTTACCAATGTAGCATCGTGAGCATAGTCCCAAACATCGCGTCGGTGAGCACGCCGAGCCACATATAGTCATCTGTTACATGCTAGTATGGTCAAGCCTTGGTCCATTCAGCTGAAGCCTCCAGGAAAGTCTAGACACCCTTTCAAAGAAAAGTGCCTTGATAGTCATACGCGACCATCCATGAAGTAGTTGTGAACCATACCACCAGTTATTCCAATCTGCTGCCACACGTCTCCCCGTACCCAACGATTCTGGGTTGCCCATAACGAACCGCAAGGGTCCTTCTCTCCGCAAACTTTCCCCAGGCCAAGGTTCCGATGAACCGTTCCGGCCATCCTAGCGGTAGCCCTAACTATCCATCAACTGTTAGCTGCCGCTGTGCCGAAAGCGGGAAATGTCACCTGCTCTTCAGCCTCCAATAGTCCTGCGTCCGTAGCGAGGAGCGTCAATAATCCAGAGAATGGAGGACCCATGGACGTCATATTCCAGACCGATCTTGCGGTGTTTTTAGCGCTGCATTGGTCTAAATATATCTCTCTCCGCAGGCCACATCCGTTACTAGCAGTGCGGGAAAAGATTGTCGAGCACGTTACTAAATAATAAGTACATTCAATAGCAAATAATCGTCAGAAAAACCTAAGCGTAACTCGTCGTACATGAGGCTTGTGGGAAAGCAAGCAAACTTTGCCACCTCATATGACATTAATCACTCAGCAAAAAATACCAGATGCAGATCATGGCGAGTGGTAAACTACCTACCACGCTTAATTGTTAGATGTGTTCAACGACTACACCGTGTGTCTACCCTAAATCCAGATGGTCAGTCTGTCTGTAGGAGGTATCGAGGTCGTGAAGCGCGGCATTGCGGCATGGTCTTCTTTGGCGTGCACCAGCTGACTTTGACACAACGCCTTCAATAGTCAATATGTTTGCCAACACTCTGGTATGCTGCATACAATCCACTTGACCCTTCCTCAGATGTCCTTGCACAGTCGTACTTCACAAGTCTCACTGAGAGGCAGACTTGTCAGACCCGTCGAGTTCCTTGCTTGTTGTCAAATACAAATAAAAACTTCCGAAGAAGTTTATAGCATCTCATCACTTGCTACAGTCTAGTCAGAGGATATAATCAACATCAGAGACCTTTCTATGAGACTATCGACTTGCTCATGATCACTGCCGTTGCAGTGTCCGCACCTGCGCTCTCTTTGGCCATCTCCGAGTCCGGCACAACGATTAGGAACATGTGCGACACGGCTGCTGTTCTTTTCCATGCAGGAGGATTTTCTAGAGCTTCATCATGATCATCTATTCGCTCTGGAAAGCCTGACATGCATGCTTGAGTCTTTTAAATGCAGGCGATGGGGTTTCCTAAACTCTGGGTCAGTGGTTATGAGAAACGCAGATGCTTATCAGAATCGAGCGAGCATGAATAACAATAAGATAGTTCTATCCGACAAGTTGGTAATGATGGTAAAGGATCATAAGCAAGCATGATGTACTACTTCTCAGGAACCAATCTCATTGGCAAGGGAGATGCAGTCATTGCGATGCAGCGGTATGCTGACCTTCACAGGCTTTTGCCCGTAACATCCAAAATACTGCACTGTATGTTTTCGGGATTTGGTTGTCCAATGAGAACTTTTTGGTTACCACGACACGTGAGAGAGTCTTAAGGCCCCTCACAGTCAAGAGTCGCTCGATTAGATTTGCAGTAACACCTCGTATCTACCCATCGATGTCGTACACTGATGAGTTCAAGTCGATGTGTTCGCGAGCTACTCCATCAGTATACAACTAACAACCTGGGATCCATGAATGTTGTCCATAAGAAGTCAATGCTACTAGAGCCATTCATCATTCTGACCCAGTGTCTCACCGCTCCAATCTCCAATGCCTCTAAGAACCGTGGGGCTAGGAAGTCTTTATCATGACGTAGTAAGCTTATCGCCTGTAATAGCCCTCTTCTCAAAGTGTACAGACTTGGCAGTGGTGAGAGGGTCGGCCTGAGTGGAAATTACATATGAGTAACTGACCACATAAAGCTCTCTAGTCATTACGCCAGAGTGACACAAATCAACCAGACATCTGCAAGTACCACACGTTGACTACATAAAGTAGCTTATTTCAACTGTTTCTACTGATCACAGACTATACCATGAAATTGCAGCAAGTTGTTTCGAGGTGTCCAGATACGACGGGCATGCGGATGGTTTCACGATAGTCTCCACGGCTACTAGTACACGCTGACTGACGCGCTACACCGTAGAGTGACTCGAAGGAAGGCGCTTGACTTGAAGGAAGGCGCTTCGAGGGCATCAAGATCAGATGCTGGTGTTGCGTGTCAGCGTTTGTCGTCAGGAGTATATTGAACACACGAGTGTCCTTGTCCGGGAGTCATTTTAGACAATGATGAATGATATGCTCGAGTTTATCAGCTGATAGGGCCATCAGTAAAATTCAAATGGTACCTGAGCACTCTTTGAGGTAGATTGGTGGTTTGTCAAATGCCTATTTTGGCGTTGCGGTAGATCGGCTATGCATCACAGGAGCTTGATAGGTCAACTGTGAGAGATACGTGTTAGGTCGTAAAAGTGAATCTACGATGGGTCAATGTGTCGGCTATGTGTAGCCAGTATACGAGCTGCGCTGTATAGATTTGGCAATGATATGAACTCATGACTAATCGTGAGGGGTTTCCGAAAGCTGATTCAATTAATGTTCATTCATTATTATTCATTGTCGTCAGAAGTCGTACTTCATCGACATTCGCGATGCAATCATGACTACGCTTGTCTCCATGTCCGTGAGTCCTACAAGCAACCTGTGATCTTCATCCAAGTTGCAGCACACGCGTCAAGTGTCCATCGGATGGATCCTGAAGTGTCGCCGTATCAGCACAGTTGATGGCATGCTGAGGACGTCCAGCTCATCATTTCCACCCAGATGGAACCAGCGCATGCCGTCTATCCTACCAATTTGGATCCGCTGTCAGATTCACGCGGTTCAAATACCCTTCGTTGACAAGCGTCATGATGTTCTTTGGCATCAAGAATTGCAGCCCCAGCCCCTGCTGTCCAAACCAACCAGCGATAGCACCGCCTTGCACGGTCAGGTTCTTCGCCACGGTGTATACTCTGTAATTGTACGGATACATTGCACCCGGAGCCGCAGCGAGATTGGTCGGAGGCAAAGACCGCTGTGCATATGCTGCCCCAGCCGGAGACATGTAAGCACCGTACTCGCTACCGAAACGATCGAGGTAAGTGCCGGGCTCGAGTGTGTAGTTAAACATGGCCGGCACGCCTTCAGCAGTAAGAGCATAGCCGTCGTGTGGTGGATACACGAACTGGCCGGTCGATGCATTGGTCCATTTAGCTAGAAAGTCGCCCGGACAGAGGCCTCCGAAGCGGTGATATGTGCTGTCGATGCCGGCGATGCCTTCGAGAGGGAGCCCGGCAGGTAGAACGGAAGGGCCCAGTCGTGGGTCGCCGCAGATGTAGGCAGAGGCAGTCTCATCTTTGGTCGAATTGGTTCCGGCGCAGAAGTCCGGGCATCGAGTTGCAACGAGATCGGACTATTGGGTTCGTTAAGAGAACTGCCACGTATGGCATTAGGAGCACTTACATCGCGTGCCCGGAGTAGTGGTGCTGATTCCACCACAACCGCCAAGACCCATAGCAGTACTGGGAGACTGAGCATCATGACCGCAGACCAACAGCACAAGTGTAGAAATTATCTGGAGCTGATTATTGAGAAGGAGAACGTAGCTACCAACCTTTTTAAAGCTCGACGCTTTGTGCACAGGACTTCAACGGACGGTTAGCCCGTGCACAGCAAACACCTGCTTGAAGGTGGACACTGCATAAGCTCAACAAGCCTCCGTCTGTGTTCTTCACCTGAAGAGAGAGAATATTCCCACAAATATGGTCCGATCTGCAGATCTCCTCGGATCGATAGCCGTCGGAGTTGTACTAGTACCAACTTACATTTGCTCAATTGGTGATAGAAGCGGTTAGCGGTGTTCCTACTCATACATTGAGCTGCTTGCTGGCTTGCAGGTCTCGCAGCATCAATCTCAGCCACATCGATCATCGCCGTCTTGAGCAGCCAATCAGCACAGACTGGGACAAGCCAGCGCCATACTGATAGATGTAAACACTCTCGTCCTCAACAACAGTCCAGCTTCGCCAGCAATTGGTTGATACTCTCAACAGACCCATCATCATTAATCAATGTGACCTCACAACGAGCCTTCAAGTCGCGTGTATGTAGGCCGAGACACGTCTGACGTGTATTGTACCCTGATTCTCACAGTCCCTTTGGGAAATTCAGTACCATCGTCGCAGGCCCGCCTTCCTCCATCTTCCACTCGATGCGGGATATGCCAGGTTCGCGCAAGGCCCCATGCCGACGCGACTTGCTCTGTGACCCGGACCACTCTTTCGGGGACTTCAACACATCCGTTCACATTACCAGTTGCTGGATCCGTCGTCGGCCACACGACTTGGTGCTGTATACGTAGGACCATGTCCGTGTTCTCCTCGTAGTCCCCAGGCTCAAGAAACACAACCACCATCGGGAGACCAAAGTCATATCCATGGCTGCTGAAGGGTTCGCTTTGCTTGAATTCGGCTGAGAGCGGGAATGCTGTGATCCGTTGGAGGTCGTCTAGAACTGAGGATTCACACTCATAGCCGCTGAAGGCATTAGGAATATCGATAGTCTTCAAAAGAATCTCCCAGAGAACATCCGTTGATTGAGCGCAGCCATATGCGACATCGTCTGCTGTAGCATGGTCTTCCACATACCACAAAGCCCTGTCGGTGACGGCATGCTCGTCAATAAGAAGGAAACTGTTGTTTCGCCCAGCATTATTCTCAAGGCGTCGAATTTCACTATGCGACTTTCCGTGGTACTCTTGGATGTCTTGTATGAAAAGCTCTACTAATGGGTCGAACTTTGCGTTTGATCCTGTTTCGAAGTCGATGTGGATGTCGTTGAGTTGTTCGGGCGTCAAGTCGATCGTCACATAGGCATACAGGCGTTTCACCTCGGCCCATTGAGGCCCTATATAGACCATTGTGTGTCTGCTCATGTGAGAGCCGGCTGTGTTGTACTTGGTGTCATTCCAACTCACTATCAGGCCAACAGTCTAGGTATCCATTCAGCAACACTTGACGCAGAAGCACCTGAATCCGATCGGTATACCCCAAGATAATGTTCTGCTGTTGAATGAAGAGAAATCAAACTCGTAGTGGAAGACTGGTCGACAGTCCTAGATTCCTCCGTCACCATTACGTTCATGTTGCATGTTGCGGTATAGCTACCCGATGAGGCTAGCAAACGCTTGCAGTCGGCAACTATACCGATTGAGCCAATGGATGAGTTTACTATATGATGCTTCGAGCTTGGGCTCTTGTCCATCGACTGACAAGTGCTTCTCACCACCATCTACATGCCAGGAACGATCCTCATCACGGGCGCCGCATCCGGTCTCGGCCGCGCCTTTGTACAGCACTACGCATCGCAAACCCCTCCGCGTTCCATAATCGCTATAGACTCCAATGCGTCCCCAATAACACCCAGTCTCGCCGAAAAAACTGTTACATACCTAAAAGCAGACATCACCAGCCAATTTCAAGTCTCCAGCATCGCACAGCAACACCCATCCCAGCCCATCGATCTCCTGATCCACTGCGCCGGCATCCGCGGCCTCGTTCCCGCAATCGAAGAATCAAACCCCGGGGACGTCGCAGCTGCAGAGACGCTCGACGTCATGGACCACGCTACATTCAGCAGAACATTCGAAGTCAACACCTGGGGCACGTTCAACGTTGTGACCACTTTCCTGCCCCTGTTGAGGCGATCGCGGGATGCGAAGGTGGTGATTCTGAGTTCGCGTATGGGCAGTGTGGCTGCGAATAGGGCGGGTGGAGGGTATGCGTATAGGGCGAGCAAGGCGGCGTTGAATGCAGTGGTTAGGAGCTTCTCGATTGATGTGCCGGGTGTCACGTTTTGTTTGTTGCATCCTGGGAGGGTGGAGACGGGCTTGGTGAGGTGGAAGGAAGAGGGGGCGATTAGTGCCGAGGAGAGTGTGCGAGATTGTTTGAAGGTGATCGAGGCACTGGGAAGTGAGGATAGTGGGAGATTGGTTGATCGGTTTGGTGTTGATATTCCGTGGTGAAGATGTCGTGAGTACATCGAAATATTAAGAGGTATTAGATGTGGAGGTAGATTGATTGCGGGAGAAATGCGTGAAGGAGGCTGATGAATCCTATGCACTGGTCGACCTTGGTCTACTATGAGGGACTTCTTTGGCGGTCACTGACGGTCGCTGAAAACGGGAACTTTGCCTTCGACAGTGCGTCCGTACTCACGATGGAATCGTGATATCTTCTCACTCTATGGCTTGGAGCTTGATAATCAAAAAAAATATGCGTCTGCCACCAGTATCCATACGGCTGAGTAGCTAAAGCATTTGGGAACCGTATGTATACAAGATACCTCGAGATTATGCTCTGGACCCCCGGGGAACTGAGACAAAGGCATCCTCCAAGGCAGTGGGTTGATAGCCGCTTCAGTGTGATAACGTCACACAACACGTCTCACTCCCGCAATCCCAGCACAAACATGCCGAAATCATCCACATCCTCCGCCCACATCTCCGTCCGGCGATCCCTCTCCGCGTTTCCTGGCATAGCCAGCCAGGGTAACTCGCCCATCAAATACGGCTTCGCGCCCCATTTCCGCCGATCCAAACGCCACGCTCCAGCAAACTTCTCCTCGTTCTCCGCTTCCCACAGTGTTTTTGCCGCGGGCGCCTGCACGAAATCTAGTTCACGGCCATGAAACACAGGGAAGCTGTGTCTAACGCTCCATGCCCATGCCATCTGGTAAACAGCAATGATGGCACGGCGTTTAGCTTCAGTGAGCAACCATGTGTCCCAGCTCGGCAAGTCTCCGAGCTCGTCTTCCGCCTCTCCGCTCTCATGCGGCGACTCTGGGAGAAACAGGCCGGTTTTCGCGACTTGATATGCCACGTCCTGAAGATGCGCGAAAATCTCTCGTTCCTTCGCCACATCCCTTTCCACGACTTCGTCTGGCGGAAACAGCTTGATGATGGCGTACAGCAGAAACACTTGCAAGTCAATCACCATATCCCTGACGCTCCCAACCTGTCCCGCTGTGTATCTCTCGTGGAACTTTAGCATCTCACGCTCCGCTATGCGTGTCACGCCAGGGCGAGTTGCAGCTGTTGCGCTGGTCCATACCTTGGCGACGAGATAGAAGCCCATGAGGTCGAGTGGGATGCCGTCAGGGATTTGGCGTGGGTGGATGATGGGTGGGAGGTGCGTCTTGCTGGCCATGGTGCCGACCCAGGAGCGGTGGACGAGAAATATTTGGGTTGTGGAGTGGAGGGTGAGAGGGGTTGGGGAGGGCAATCGTGCGACGGGATACAGGAGAGATTGGTCACGGAGAGAGGGGAGAGCGCTGGAAGGCAACAGTGGCGAGGATCTTTGGATTACGGTATCAATGGAGGAGTCATTTGGCTGCTTGGGTTGAGCTGTTGGAAGAGCGATGTGATGGTCTTCAATCGAGGGAACCGGGTATTCTGATGGGGTTTTGGAGCTTGAAGACGAAGTTGGAGATGGGCTCCGTTCTGAGGCTGATGTTGGATAACTGCATGGTAATTCTCTAGCTGTGCACCTTGAGCACGAAGGTCGGCGGAGATTGCAACGTGCTTTTGCATTTGCGCAGTGACTGCACGATTTCTGACGTATTGGCACCGGCAAGTCAAGGACGCAACGTTTAGTATGTCGGGTCAGAGACGATTCTGGATACATTTAGACATGAAACATACGAGAAGCTAAATTGGACAAGTAGCGACTCACTCTGCGAGAAGAACTTTTTACATTTCTGGCATTGGTGCTCCGTTTCTATGCTTCGGACGCGGCCACTCATTATGGGATTTTATTTTCAGTCCGCGATCGGTACAACTTTCAAGAGACCCTAAGGCTCCTACAGAGCCGAACGTTTACATCGGCATTTGCTCTATATATGTTGCGGTGAGGTAGGATTCGAGGTTGATGTTGGTACTCGGAAGTCCGGGTACATACTCTGTGGTCTGACCGAGCGTGAGCTTGCTATTCTGCTTTTGTAAAAGTCAAAAAGGCTATACCCATTATGTCTACAGTAGGATGCAAGATCGTAGCCGTAGATCGACTTCGGCCTGTTTAGAGGATATGAATGCATTTGGGGGGGATATTGCGAGATTCGAGCTTCGCGCCATGGATTCCTCATGGATGCGAGAGGTTTGTGCTCTGCATCCATCATCTCACCTTTTTCGTGTAGCAAAGTACGAAATACTACCGATCTGCTTGGTTATTCTCCTCTATAAGCACTTCACCAGACCAATATATTGCCAAACACCTGGATGTTTGAAAAGGTCGCGGACTACCAGTTGAGAGCATGATTTGAAGGGCAGACGGCGGTTGCCTCAGGCAGCAATATCAGTTATGCTCACATGCTGTTGAGAAGGACCTGATATGGTGATAAGAAGAACCAGAATAGTCCACAGCGTGGTGTCTTCAGCAGTAAAAGATGAGCAAATTGATGTTTACCTTTGCAAACTGTTGGCATGTTCAGCCTTGCTGTGAGCTCGTGCTCTTACATGTCCACCTGCGCGGGGCCCATAACAAGCATGTGCCTGTTCTTATCGTTCGCTTCCAACGTAGTGGAGCATATCGTCATCATCCCCGTAGATAACCATGCACGTCTAGGTTTCCAAGATCTCCTTTTGCCTTTCTTTATGGTGTTGTCGAGTCACAAGGGGGAAGAAGATCCACCGACATGCTTCAATCGGTCCCAACGCTGCTATGTGTATCTACGTTCTGTCCCAGGGCGTAAGACGGCCACAGCGAAGTGGCTAATAACTGTATATTACATTCTAAGAAAAGGTGCGGGATTAGTCTCATGACGACGTGTCATCTGCTGTTCAGGAGAGACCTGATTCCCTGAGCCACCCCGGTCATCGCGACAAAGACGGGCCGTGCTGGAATATACCTGCATTGCATTTGGAACTACGCAACGGGAAGGGGAAAATGTCACCAGGGCGCCGTGCAGGGACAGGGACCGGGATAGACACAGACACCAGGTTGGCCACATGCACATGCACTTTCTGGTACAACTCCAGCCGTAATACTCAATACACATTCTTACTCCCTCGCATCTTGATAAATGCCAGATTCATCCTCCATGTCTCAGTTCCTCTCTCACCGTCTTTACTACTACCACTATTACTCTCATATTATTACGCTGTCTGATCTGCGCCTGGCCTCGCCCGCCTGTTCCCCCACCAAAGTGACGTACACTGTGCATCTCCCGCGCGTGATCACCGCCCGCTTTTCAAGCTTCTGCAACTAAAGACGCCTGCTCACCGCGCTATACTCAATTCCTTTACTCAAGCAGCGCCAACAACAGATACCGCTGCCCAGCAGTCTCGAGCCGCTCCGCTTATACATATAGCTGCCCGCGAGTCGAAGGCGGCTACGAGCCTCGCCACCGACTTGCTCTCGCTCGTCCGATTCCACGTCGGTCCTTGCGTGTCGCGCATGGCTCCGAGAAACAGATGTCGTTCCTGCAGATCCCTGTGTCAAGATTACACCCGGGGCATCAAGGCCATGAGAAGGTGATTGATGGGCAAACGCGCGTGGTGAGAAAGAGTCAGAGTCATGGAGGGCTACTCAACCCGTTGTTACGACTGGCTCAGAATCCAAGGAGCGCAGTTCAAGAATTATGGACTGCTGCCGAGGTCTGCGCTGAAAGCACGGATGAGCAGACCGCATTGAGTATAGACGACGAGAATCGGAAGCAATTGCTGCATGTAAAGTTGAAAGAGGTAAAGCATTATGATGTTCACTGCAAAGACCGTGCTCACATTCACACAAGGCAAAGACCTACAGCGAATGGCGCTCCGCTGCTTCGGAACTGGATAAGCTAGAGGGCAACAATGCGTGGAAAGAGGAAGAGGTGACTCGCGAATACAACTACGCACTTGTTAAGAGCCGCCTCCAGCAACTGGATGAAGCGAGGACGAACTGCGACACCAGGCGTATGCTGTTCCTGATACGTACATCTTTGACTCGTGGACTTGGTGGTATGGGGAGCTTGCAGCTGTATAAGCACTCACATATCGGAACAAAGACTTTGATCGAACGCTACATCGAATCAACCCTGAACACTCTGACGGCTTTGTTGGAGATTGCTGCCGCGAAAGGCGACGACGAGGTTGATCCGAGGCATCTCCTCGACCAGATTCTACAGGCCAGACAGTCGTTTGGCCGCAGCGCACTTCTGCTCTCTGGTGGCGGTACTTTTGGAATGAATCATGTTGGCGTGGTCAAGACGTTGTGGGAAGCAAAACTACTACCAAGAATCATATCCGGGGCATCTGCTGGCAGCATTGTGGCGGCTATTCTATGCTCAAGAACCGATGAAGAACTCCCAAGCGTTATTGACGAGTTCTGCTATGGCGAAATGGACGTTTTCGAGAGAGAGGGCGAAGAGGACGGCATCTTCCGGAAACTATCTAGATTCTTGAAGCATGGCTCCCTTTTCGACATTGGTAATCTCATCAGGGTGATGAAGAACCTCCTGGGAGACCTGACGTTCCAAGAAGCATACAACAGGACGAGAAGGATTCTCAACATTCCGGTATCGACGGCTAGTGTGTACGAGCTACCACGGCTCCTCAACTACATTACAGCGCCTAACGTCATAATATGGTCCGCCGTGTAAGTCCGATCCGGAAATGTTCACGTGCTTTTTGTTCTAACACAGTCAACAGCGCCGCGTCATGCTCCGTACCCCTCGTCTTCTCCGCCGCATCCCTCCTCTCGAAAGACCCCAGGACAGGCCTTGAGGTTCCATGGAACCCTTCGCCAGGCCGCTGGATCGACGGCTCCGTCGACAATGACCTCCCCATGACTCGCCTCGCCGAAATGTTCAACGTCAACCACTTTATTGTGTCCCAAGTAAATCCGCATGTCGTTCCCTTTGTCAACAATGAAGCATCCTCCTCCATCGCCGCCGCAATCACCACTGGGCCGTCCTGGCTTAATAGCATGGCTAATCTGGCCAAAGACGAAGCCTTGCACCGCATGCACGTCCTTACCGAGATGGGCGTCTTTCCAAACTACTTTACAAAGATCCGATCCGTGCTAAGCCAGCGCTATGCCGGCGACATTACCATATTCCCCGAGATCGACTTTGCGCAGGTCCCACAGGTGCTTGCGAACCCAACGACGGAGTTCATGCTCGCTGCTCTCCTCGGAGGGGAGAAGGCGACGTGGCCGAAGTTGGCTCGTGTCCAGAATCATTGCGCGATTGAACTCGCGCTGGATGCAGCAGTGCGCAGTCTGCGTGCTCGGGTCGCGTTCAGTCCTAGTCAGGTTGATCTGAGACAGAGTCTGCATGGATACATGCGACCGGCGCTGCAGAGTTCTAGTAGCCATATACACAAACGCGAGATCAAGAGGCGTATGTTGCCGGTCATCGTAACGCCTGCTGGGCCTGACGCGTTAGCACCTTTGACGACGCTGTCCACAGCCAAAGTCCCCCATCTCGCCGAGCCGGCAGCACCTGGACTGCGAAGAAACCGCGCCAACCAATCAATCCGACGACTCTCGCCGTCTCGCAGGAGCTTCCATCTGCAGCCAAGTAGCCCGGAGGATGGACTCGTTTCCTCATCACACGATGACGACGACGATACCGGACCCTCGCCATTCGACGACTACGACGATTACGACGACGACGAGATGCCCGACTCCGAATCCTCGTCGACAGAATCGCCTCCCGCCTCTCCTCTCCACCACCACCACAACGACACACATCTCTGGCCACCACCACCACCATCATCGTCATCGAGTCGCAGCCGCCACCTCTTCCCCTCTGCCAGCCAGCCCACAACCCCGCTGCTCCCACCGTCGCGCTCGTCATTTGGCCTCGGAAGTCCGCTCGCCATGACAAAAGCCAGTTCCACACATCTACATTCTCATCAGAATCAGAACCAGCTCCACACACCGATAACACCCCCACCGTGCGCAAGCCCATCGGCAGCCGAGCTGCGGTACAAACGCCTGTTCCACGACACCCCGGACCCAAGCCATGCAGACGTAATAGACAATGGTGACGCAGACACGAACGTCGAAGCAGCAGCCATCCTGGCAGACGCCAAGAAACCACCGAAAAGTAAATCCGCAGCTGCCTCCTCCTCTCGACCAGGTAGCAGACCAGGTAGCAGACCGCATAGTCGGCGGGGCAGTGTATCGCAGCAGTCTGGGGGGCCGCAACAGCAGCAGCAGCAGCACATTGGGAACATGAAGATGATGCAGTTGGACATTTCGGGCACGCGGGGCATGATGTTGCGGCGGAGACGGAGTGGGCTTTTTGGGTCCGGGTTGGGTTCTGGATTGGGGTTGGGGTTGGGTATAAAGGAGAATGGAAAGGATGGATAGATGATCCAAGTCGTGGACTGGAGTGGTGGTCTATGGACTTGGATGGTATGATGAAGGTGAAGATGATGAAGAAGATGACGATGATGATGGTTGTTGGCATGATTGATACCCCCCCGTTCGTTTTTGTTACAAGTCAGGCATGCGACGCACTTTTCGGTGCATTTCATTTTGTCAAAAGGTAGACATTACTCGGCCACGAGCATGCATTTGTTTTTTTAAGCGCATCGAGGTAGTGGTTAGTCTGAGATTACATCATCATTAGAAGATATAGGGAAGGAGCATCCATGCATATAGATGAGACGGCACCATCAACCACAGGCACTTTTAGCAGCAGCATTCATATCCAAGACACGATTCCACGTGAATTACAATGATATTTAGTCATCAGCTATGTAAAAAGGTGATTGAAAAAGTGGTCCGTGAACCATAAGTCCAGAGCGAAAATAGCTCTTGCGACGTCATGGTTGCATGCAAGAAATGTATGGCTCGTAATCAATCGTCGTCCTGGCTTGCTTTTCACGTCATTTCCATTACTATTTTTTTCCCTCATACGCTACATCGTTTGTTTGATACAAGCTGTGGAGACTCAAAGTCATTCACGAGTTCGATCACTTCGCCACATTCATGACGATTACAGCTTATAAAAGAGCGAATGAGCTACACATTGCAGCAATCGTTTAAGCACCATCTTCGTCATCGAGACGAAGGCGGCCCTCAGAGCTCAGGCCGTTGGACCAGAAAGTGCCGGAGAGGTCAACATTGGTCTCGGCAAGCTTGGCGTGGGTGATCAAGAGCCACAGGCCAAAGATGGGCTTGGCAAGCACGTCAAGGACAGCATAGGCAATGATCTCGCCGTCAACGGAGACGTTGCGGGCACCATCGGCAATTCCCCAAACACTACAAATGTCAGCTAAAACAACAGGTCCAAGCGTCTCAGTCACTTACATTGGGTAGGCGGTCCAGATGAGAATGGTAAAGCCAGCAATGGAGGAGTAGAACTTGCCAACGGCACCACCACGAGCAGCGGCAAGAGCGCGGCCATTGACAACAAGGTGCCAGATGATGACGAGGTAAGCAATGCAGGCAATGGTGTACCAGCCCCACTTCTGGGGAGTATCCTCAGCACCGAAAGCAGCGAAGAGACCGGTAAGAATCATGATCAGATCGGCGACAACGGTCATGAGAATGTGACCGCCGCTGAGACCGGCAAGGAAGGCAAGATCGAGGAGCAGGAGGGGAGTGGTCAAGCTCCAGTCAACATAGCGAGCCCAGAAAACTTGTCTGTCAATGTACTTGAAGGTATCGGGAGCGTGCTCGTGTTCAACGCGGACCTTGATGTGGTGGATGGCAACGCCGTGTCCGCTGGCCATGGCAAAGTAGGAGAGGGCGGCAATGATGGTGATGAGAGTGGTGATGACGTGGTAGAGGCGCTTGTTCTAGCGGAAAGGATCAGTTTGTGTAACAGTTGGAGAGGAGTAGTAGCGAGTGAGTGTCAGGACTGCTTACAAGAGGGACAGTCCATGACATGCCAGCAAAGACAGCAGAGGCGATGAGCATGATCACAAAGACGACCCAGAGAGTGACTTGGCCATCGTGATGAGCGACCTGGATATCAGGCTTGAAGGGGTCTACGGTGGGTAGAGAAGTCGGGATGGGCAGCGTGGTGGTGGGCACCAACAGCAGCGAAGTCTTCTTGAGAGCTTCGACGGGATCGACAATCATGATGGCGACGATGATTGATTGATAGATGGAAAGGATGGGTTGGTTGAAGGCGAGTGTGAGTGAATTCCAGCCCACAAAGAATGGAAGATGTAGTGTGGTGAAGAGGAAGAGCAGGTGGTGAGAGTGGAAGAGGGAGAGTGGAAGGTTTTATTGAAGGCGGAGTGGGTAAGAGGAAAGAGCTGGGAAGGCTGGAAGAGCTTGGACAGGCATTATATTACATAGGATACACGGGTATTACAGCATTACATAGCTCGATGGGGCATTTGAGGAGCAAGCAGGAGTCAAGGGCGGCAGAAGCAAGCTTTTGGCAGTTCTTTTTGTCCCAAAGAAGGCTAATTTGCATCTCGTGAGAGCGAGAGAGTCCGGCAGGTTTGGCAATTATGACCTCATCATCGATGATGCTGCTGAAGCTGCAAGCTGCGGGCAGTGGGGACATGATACATCGGGACAAGGGCAGTCTTGGTGCACGGTTGACGATGACTGGCCTGGAGCCTGGACTTCCCTTCTCTCATCTCTCAGCCAATTGCCAATACCCAGCGAGAAGAACTGCCCGTGGCGGCATGAAGATGAAAGGGATGTGGATGTGGAGGTGGATTGGGCACATCCTGGCCCCTGACCGCCGCCCTGATGGATCGGCCGTCTCTGGTTGGCTCCGACATGTGGACAGCAAGCTCGCAATCGCATTCTTGTGCTGCCATGTCACACATATCGACAATGCGTAGAAACGCCATCAGCAGTAGAGTCAGCCAGCCTAGATAATCCATTGTCTTGCCCTAATTGATATTCTCCATTCTCCTCTTACTACACAGACTTGCGGCATATATCAATGCTTGCGTCATGCCGTGCAATTGACAAGATTCGTCCGGACCAAGAGTGGCCGCGTTGCTCGTTGACGGCTACCAGCTGCCTAGCTAGCTATTACCAGGTGTATTAGTTGAGCAGAAAAAGGGCAGAATGCGGGGTCAAGCAGCCGCATCCATGCAGTGTGTGGTGTGTGTGTGCATCGTGCATGGATTACCCACCGCCCACTTCCTTCACCCATCATCGCCCATCGCCCATCGAACATCGAACATCCTCCATCGTCCATCGAGCATCGCGCATCGTCCCAGCGTGCAACATCAAGAGGCTGGCAGCGATACCTGCATCACGCGCTCCTATACCAAGCCTCCCCTTTCTGGCACAGCCGAGCAAGAACAGACAGATCACACCACAACAACTGACTGTCTCCTCTTGCGCACTCGACAATGCTACCTACCATCATCAGCCATTCCGACGGCATGAAATGAACCTCCTCTTCTTGCTCCTCCTTGTCACAAAGCTTATTCGCGATGGCAGAATCCAGATGCGTACCTGCAGTCACTTTACTCCTCCGCAATTGATGAACAAGTGAGGAAGAGGAGGAAGAGACAGAGGAAGAATAGAGGTTAGTAACAGGATTAGCGAGCATCCATCCCATGACCATGGCTTGCATGTCTGTCGCCCCACCGATCGGCGATAATTAGTGGACAGCTAATAATTACTGAGTGTAGTCTGGACAGCAAACCTTGCTAGACTAGCCAAGCTCTGAGTGAGTAGCTTACAGCACCGATCCATGGACTCAAGGTGGCAAGGCATCCACGTCTCAGCCTCATCTCGGCCTTGAGGCATCAACCAGGTATTGCTGCCTGTAGGCCTTGATGCCTGTGTGCCTGCTCACATTGCTGCCTTGGAGCCTGCGAGCCTCAGGCCTATCGGTGCCATGCGCCTCCCCCCACCCCGTCGCCGCCACAGATCTCGCATTACATACTCGACTCATCTCGACTCAACCCCCACTCCCGTAATCGCATGCTATACCTGTCTCCTCATTCGCCCTCACTTTCACCACCACTCCAATCCTCGTCTTCTTCCAATCGCTACCTCCGATCGACTTTTCTATTCTTTGCCTCGACGCCTCGCCGTTCGTTCAATACAATCCTCCCGGTACTAGGCGCGCAACTTTCAACTTCATGACTTCGTGGTTGTGATATGCCTGCGACAGCGTAAACTGCTGTACACTATCCCGAGTCTTCAAAACACCAAGAAATGCGCAACCGAAGCATGATGCCCTGCAGAAGCTGCATCTTCTCAACACCCTGAGGGATCCATCCGGATCTCATTTAGTGTGCCCAAGGAAGGCTAGCAATATAGCTTTCCGCCTATTCGCGCACTGCCCTGCACGGCCGAGCTGTCCATCATGGTACTCACCCTAACTAGGCATTTGGCTGTTTGGATTTTTCCATGGGCCGCCCTTCCAGCTTCTGAGTCCAGCGAGGTGCTCTCCGCCCTCTCCGCCGCTCTTTTATTTTCTACTTAAGCTTTCCAAGACTGCTGTTCTGCTTCTTCCCAAGCATAAGCCTTTCTTGTCCTAGCTTTGCCCTCCACTTCAATCCATCGTGCAGATTCTGCTCATTCGAGCCCCTTCTAGCACATACACACACGTACACCATGTCGAGCCTCGTCGACTTTGCCGCTCTGCTCGTCCGCCAGGACGCTGCTGATCCCACTTCCATCACCGAACCCGTCGAGGAGGCCGGTGGATGCGAGCCTGGAAATGAATATGACGGTCGTCTCGGCGTCCGCATCTCTGCAATCTTTGTGATCCTGGTTGGATCTCTCTTTGGTAAGATTGTTAAAATAAACGTCACTACTTTCTCTCACAGCTCTAACTCTTCCTAGGCGCATGGTTCCCTGTCTTCGCCCGGAGACACCAGTCCGTGGGCGTCCCGGAATCGGCCTTTTTCATCGCAAAGTACTTTGGCTCCGGTGTCATTATAGCCACAGCGTTCATCCATGTTAGTTTGTCCGTGTCCCATCGGCTCGGAGTCGATCACTGACAATATCATAGCTTCTCGCTCCTGCTAACGAGGCCCTCCTGAACCCCTGTCTCGAAGGCGAAACCATCGCGGCCTACCCCTGGGTCGAAGGTATTGCGCTCATGACCATCATGGTCATGTTCTTCATCGAACTCATGGTCATGCGCTACGCGAAATTCGGCACCGGCGACGCACACGCCCACGGCGCAACCCCAATCACCCACCCGCAAAAGGAAGACGACAACGACAACAACGGCGCCGCTGATTCCTCCTCCGTCCCCGGCACCGACCACCTCGGCCACGAGCACAGCCACGTCGCAAACAGCGAAATCGACTCGTCCTGGGAGGCAAAGGGCCTCATCCCGGAGTCCTACTCCGCCCAGCTCACCGCCATCTTCATCCTCGAGTTTGGCGTCATCTTCCACTCCGTCTTCATCGGTCTCACCCTTGCCGTCGCGGGCTCCGAATTCACCACTCTCTACATTGTGCTTGTGTTCCACCAGACCTTTGAGGGCTTGGGTCTGGGCTCTCGTCTGGCGACCGTGCCGTGGCCGAAGAGCAAGCGCTGGACCCCCTATTTGCTGGCTGCTGGCTATGGTATCAGCACTCCGATAGCAATTGCGATTGGTCTCGGCGTGCGCGAGAGCTACCCACCTGAGGGCCGCACCACTCTGATTGTCAACGGTGTCTTTGACAGTATCTCGGCCGGCATCCTCATCTACACTGGACTAATCGAGCTGATGGCCCACGAGTTCATGTTCAGCCCAAGCATGGCCCGGGCGCCAATCAAGAAGGTCCTGAGTGCCATGTTGTTGATGTACCTTGGCGCCGCGCTGATGGCCTTGCTTGGAAAGTGGGCTTAGAGGGGGCGTTTTTTGGGGGGGTCATTTATCTGGCATTAGTATGGGAGGAAAGAGGGCATGGGAAACTGGCGTCTCTGATAGACATTGGGGGGATCTCACAATTAAAAAGAAAAGGGCTTATGGGGATATCTTTGGGACTTTTAATGGGCTGGCATTCATGGCATTCATGGCATCTTGGCGGATGTAGCATACAGGGCATTCATGTCATCTTGGCGGATGTAGCATACAGGGCATTCATGTCATCTTGGCGGATGTAGCATACAGGGCATTCATGTCATCTTGGCGGATGTAGCATACAGGGCATTCATGGCATTATTATTTTTCGGAATATAGCATTTGAGCGCTTTCATACTCTTGTACCATCTCCACCACCACACTCGAGTACTCGAGTCCTGGAGTCCTGAACGCATTAGTAGTAGTAGTAGTAGTAGTAGTAGTAGTAGCAGAAAGATACAATCTTCTCTGTCTGTCTCTGTGGATGTGCCGAGAAGACCATTTTTCTGTCTGTCTTTCTTTCTTTCTTTCTTTGTGCACGCACATAATTACCCACAGCGCATCCACAGCGCATCATCCATCAGCGCGTCTGCTAAGAATAACCACATGTCCAAAAAAAAAACGAGAATTTCTGCTGCTCACATGTGGCCGCCACAGTGGGGGGGCCATGTGGTCCGGTTACCGCGCTACGTACTATCCCATCCATATGGATTATCAAAACTACCTACAGTAGCACTAGGTAGTTCTCGTTCTAGTTCTACTTCTAGCTAGATGGATGCATGGATGGATGCATGGATGCATGGATTGAATGGATTGAATGAATCAGTGTAGCAACACGACACTCGGATCCCTCACTTCTATCTTTGCACAGTTAGCTAGCTAGCTAAATACAACAAGACCGGAGACTGTCCGCAGACAGGCATACACCATCCACATTCCAAGAACCCATCCCTTCTCCTCAGAGCGGCGACTTGGCAGCACAATGCACACACCTATACATCTCTCCATCAACAGCAATCTTATGCGTATCCACAGACACGCGCGGCGGCGCTGCGACTGCTGCTGCTGCTGCTGCCTCGACAGGAACGGCAGGATACTGCTGCCTCGAGACATGTCCCGCCCTCGACTCATGCGCAGCAGCAGCAGCAGCGAGAAAACGCCTTTGCATACTATACTGCCGCCACACAGGCAGCCCAACAGCAGTCCCATCATCAATCGACCGCCCTCCCAGCACAGTCGCGCATAAAGGCAGCGGACACGTAGCAGGACAGCAAAACAGTACGAATACAACTAGACACACAAACAAAAACACACCATCAGCACGCAGTCCAAAAAACACGAAAAGAAAAGCAAAGCAGCACAACTCACACATCAACGGCCCCGCCTCACCAACCCAGAGATAATACTCCGTCCTCGCGCCATAATGCCGGAGATAGAACTGCAGAAACGCCCCGTTCGACTGCGTAAACACGACCCCATGCCGTCCCAGTCGACACAGCGTCTGCACACCAAGCAGCACCGTCGCAGCAGCGCAGAAGCGCAGCGCCGCTCTCATACGCTCGCGCGGGATAACGCCGTGTTGCTCTGACGGCGCGCAGAGACGCGTGGACCAGGTGTAGCGCGCCAGAGCGAGCGTGATGGCAGTCAGCACGAGCAGCGAGGCGAGGAGACCGGCTGCTAGCATCGTGTACCCGCTTGCCAGCACGTCAGCCGCGTGGTCAGCGGATTTGGGGCCTTGGAAGGCGGTGCCCCAGAGGATGGCGCCGATGGCTTGGAAGGCGAGGGCGAGGGTGGCGGTGTGGCTGAGGGCGGTCTTGCATTGCGCGGGCGTGAAGATGGGGGAGGTGCGGGCGGGGAGTTGTCTGGTGTCGGATGTGATTGTTGTGAGCCAGGGGAGGAGTGCGGCGGTGGTGAGGGTTGTGGAGAGACTGTTTGCGGGGGTAATTAGGGATTTGTGGCTCTTGCTGGTTTGGAGTTCCTCGGTTTGGGACGTACAGCATCATTAGATAGGAGCCTGCGGCGTGCATGGGGTGGTATGTGCCTGTGTATAGATACATGATGCGCAGTGCCCAGCCTGAGCAGTGACCTGTGCGCCTGTCAGACACCAGATAGTCTGTATACTCAGTCGCACGGGTGGCAGTGATGAATACATACTTAGCCCCGCGGCCCAGAGCTCTGCGGGAAACACGCTCTTGAGACGTACGACGCGGATCGTGCTGAAGGCGAGTAGCAAGGAGGCAAGGATGAGGCCGACGATGGCACTAGGGCCCGAGGCCTTGAAGGTTAGGCCGTCTTCGTTGGGGTTGACTGTGGATTGTTAGCTCGGGGACTGTAGAATGACCTTTGGGGGTCTTACATTGTCTCGGAGGAGACGCGTGGGAGATCATGCTTGGAGGCTGGGGATGGATAATGAGTGGGAAGGGGGTAAATATGTGAAACGACTGATGGGGTTTAGCGAGAGGCGGTGTAGAAATATGGTGTTATGTGTGTTTGTGGATGCTGGGACTATGGTCAGATGGGACGTTGGGTGATACGTTTGGGCTTTGGGTATATAGTGACGGCAGAGTGGAAGAGGGGAAATGGCATTAAGCCTGGAAGTGCAGGGGCGGTGATTGTCGAAGATGCAATTGCAGCGTAGCCAAGATGGAAGAAGGTAGCGTTGGCGCAAGTTGCGGTCTGGAAAGTGGCTTCCTGTCTTGATATCAATTCACATCCTGATCACTGCCGTAGTGTTCAATCACTATGTGACATGTGACTGTGACGTGGGAGAAGATGCAAGTATCGTTTTCACAGTCTCGAGAGCTGGATCATAACTTGTGATTCGTCCCCTGCTTCCATCGAGCACCACCATCTACCGCAATATCCTCGCCATTCCTAAAATCCTAATCAGTACAATCGTCACAGTGCATCTTATCCCCTGCACACTTACACATAGCTCCCAGCTCGCGAGCAGAGAAAGACCATCACTCCCCCAATATCATCCGGGACACCCAGTCGCAGTCGTGGGTTCTCCCGTTCAAGTGCCTCCTGACCCCCAAGTTCCTGGATCAGACCGTTTGCAAGCCTGGTGGGAAAAAAGCCTGGCGCAACAGCATTGCTAGTGATGTTCCGCGGCCCCAGCTCCACCGCGAAGTTTCTCGCTAGATGATGTGCTGCGGCCTTGGAGGCTGAGTACATGATCGTCCCGTGGTCGCCGGTATGCGTGACGTTGGTGCCGGCTACGGAGCTTACGATGACGATCCTCGAGGGGTCGGATCTCGACCCGGATTTCTCGAGTAATGGTACGGCGCTGTTGCGGGTAAGTGGATGGTAATGGTGAGGCGGGAGGTCGGTATCTCAGCTCACAGACGGACGAGATTGAAGACTCCACGGACGTTCAGATCGAGGATCTTCTGTGACGACCAATCTGGCGTCGGCTCAAAGGGTCCACCCCAGGTAGTACCTGCGTTTGCCACGAGAATATCCAATCTGTCGACAATCTCTCCGATCTGCTTAAGGAGACTCTCAATGCCATCCAGAGTAGCGACGTTGGCTGATATGCCAACAGCCGAACCCTGAACTCCAGGCAGTTCATTGAGCCGCTTCACGGCCTGGTCCAAGCCCTGGGGTCCCTCTGCTTTCCTGGCTGCCAGGATGACCTTGCTGGCTCCCGCTTTGAGGAAGGCTGTTGCAGCGTGGAGTCCCAGACCTCGAGAGCCTGAAACAGAGTGGTTAGCCAGATGTCTATAAAGTAGGATGTTGGATCAGTCATGCCACCGGTTACTAATGCTACCTTTCCGTCGAGACGGAACAACTTGCTCATGTCGCTGAGGTCTGACATTATGGTCTGGCGCCGAGCGTCAATATAGAGAGACGTTTGTGATCAAGTAGAGCTACGGATGACAGACAGTGACTACAATCCATACATGACCACCACTTACGAATGCCCGGTATGAGGGAGAGAGACTAAGGGGGGTCGGCAGGGGACCCAAGCCGACTTCCGTCTTCCTTCTGTGGGGTTTTCGGCAATAGTAGCGCCGTAGACAACTGTGGGGTGCTTCCGAGGACCTTAGCCGTGCCGTTCAAGCTGCCAAACTGTCATGTTAGCGTTCGGCGTTATCCCTCCCAGCGTTAGCCGTAATCCCGTCTCGGGAATAACTTCATCCTGCTCTCTCTTCACTCTCCACTCTCTCCACCTCTGCCTCTCCACGATCCAAGATCATCATTCTACTGTTGGTTAGTCTCGGCGTCGAGCGTCATGTCAGCTTCCATGATTGAGGCTTTATTAAGCCCTATCCTTCCCTCAATGTGTCTATCTTGCTCCTACTCCTCCAATTCTTGCTCGTCTCGGAGGCTTCATCTACCTTGACCTCCCGACCTACAGTCTGACCACTGTCCGTCACCATGGTGTACCGTTCGCCTTACCCTGACCTAGACCTGCCTCAATGCAATCTCCTGACGTATCTATTCCCGGAGCACAAGATAACAGACACGCCCCTATGGATCAGTGCAGAGGATCCAAGCAGATCGCTTTCCTCGCGACAGATGCTAGCATGGATCAAGAGGTTGGGGATAGGCCTTGACAAGCTGGGTGTACGAGAAGGCGAAGTGGTCTTGATATTCACGCCAAACCATATATTCGTACCATGCGCCTACCTTGGCATCGTAGGCTCAAAGCGGATCTTCAGCGGTGGCAATCCTTCGTATACAGTAGCAGGTCAGGAGATACGATATACACAGCTCTGAAACTGTTCGCACTAACTGGAGCACAGAAATGACACATCAAATAGCTGACACCGACGCGAGAGTGATTCTCGTACACCCCGATCTGATAGACACTGCGCTCCCAGCCGCCACGGCGGCCGCTCAGCGGACGGGCAAGTCTGTCCCCCAGCTATTCCTCTTCTCCGACGAATACGTCCCACCTATCCGCGGCATCTACGACTGGCAAACCTTCATAGGAACACCAGCGGAAGCCGATCGTGCACAGATAAAGCCATTGACTCCGACGGAGGCTGTGAATACCGTTGCGACCGTCAACTATTCCTCAGGCACCACAGGTTTGCCCAAGGGGGTGTGTGTAAGTCATGCAAACCTGATCGCAAACTTGGAACAGAACTTTTACACCCGTTTTGTTGGCCGCGGGTATACATGGGACGATTTCCCGCCGGAGAGATGGGTAGGTTGCAGCCAGTTCGAACGTCCGGTCCAGAAGACTGATCTGTGCAAAAGCTTGCTTTTCTACCGCTATATCATGCGTACGGCCAGCTGTTTACCAATATGGGCGTCCAGCGACTGCAGATACCCTGTTACATTATGAAGGTCTTCAACTTTGAGAGATACCTCCAACACATCCAGAACTACCGAATCACGAACCTCCAGGTTGCTCCGCCGATTCTTGTCATGTTGCAAAAGCGACCGGAAACGGCAAACTATGACATCTCGAGCGTGACGGATATCTTGACGGGAGCTGCGCCACTGCCTACGGAGTTGGCTCGTGAGGTGAGCGAGAGGTTCAACGTGCAGATTAATTCTGGCTGGGGCATGACTGAGGTAACTTGTGGAGCTATCCTAGTTCCTGGTGGGACTGTGGATTTGTAAGTGGGTTAGAGCTTGTTATTCGGTCATCTTTTTAACAGTCGACAGTACCGGGTCAATTGGCCATATTATTCCAAACACCGAGATTTCGATGCGTGACGATAATGGTAACGAAGTCCCGCATGGCCACAGAGGCGAACTCTACGTGCGCGGGCCGCAGGTGTGCATGCGGTACTGGAAGAACGAGGAGGCCACCAGGGAGACCCTTCTCGAAGGCGGCTGGCTGAAAACGGGCGATATTGCAATCATGCGAAACGGAAAATTCTGGATTGTGGATCGCAAAAAGGTGCGATTTATCTCTCCGGGAGCCCCAGTCCCAGAATTTAGCACGCACCAGCTAACGAAAGGAATTTGTAGGAAATGATCAAAGTGAATGCGCTCCAGGTTGCGCCTGCGGAGCTGGAAGCAGTATTACTTGAGCATGAAGCCATCATCGATTCGGCAGTGACAGGGATACAATTGTTTGTTATGCACCACGGGTTTCTTTGGCGACTGATGCTGACGATCGGGTAGACATGGCCAAGAATGGCCACGGGCGTACGTGACTTTGGCGCCAGAGGCGACTGGCAAAGTTTCAGAGGAGGATATCCACAAGTGGTTCATTAAACGAGTAGCGAAGCACAAGCGACTGGCTGGGGGTATCATGTTTGTGGACGAGATACCGAAGCTCGCCAGTGGTAAGATCAAGCGGCAGATCATGCGCGAATGGGCAAAGCGAGATATACCAGAGATGGAGCGGAAGGTAAAGGCGAGGCTATGAAGGCATACGAGAAATCTGCTTATGTACAGTACGCTTCCTGTTCAGTCATATAACCTGATGATCGGCGTTCCAGGGGCGTGCAGCGATCGGTGAAAAGAGTCGATTGCACACCCAGAAATGAAACGAGATGGCGTTCCTATGTTCCATATACTTTTCTTCGCCAATACAGGTCCAGGGCCAGTCATATGCACATTGGCTTGGCCCCCCGTAATGCTGTGTAATCTCCAGCAACTGCGACATCTGCGGACATCGCTCCGAGGTGCCTATCGGATCTCGATGTAAATTGCCGAAGGCTTGACTTCGCCTGAAGTGGAGGCAAGGACGGGGAACATATCCACTTTCACACGGCTGTATTGGTTGATCCGGGTCATCAGCCACCAATTCCCCGATGAGCATGGTAGACACGGCGAGTCAGCCGGAATCATATGGGGCCAATCATGATTCATCACACTTTCATTGCCTGCACTTTTCACTATCTTATCAGGTTTATGGACTGATGTTGCAGATTCGTTCGATTGTGCCGAATCTCCACAGCGCCGGGCCTTGCAGATATTGGAGCAATATCCTAGAATGATCATACCACATCCTCGATATTCAGGGACAAGAGGGACTGATACAACACAGCCTCCGTCAGAAGGCAGAGCATCGCTGGGCTATCAACTGCACTGCACCGTTTCACGCTCTCTGTGGACACTCTCTCCCGCGGAGCCCTTCAGAAAATGCAAGGTTCCTAATCCCAACCTCTCTGGAAACTTCGCCGCACGAATGCCCACTCGAGCTTTCATCGGCCCACTCAATAATACTACACGATCCACCACAGACAGCCTTTCGAGGACCCCGCAAAGTCCAGGACTCGCACTTTTGAACCAAAAGGAATCGACCCGGCCGTTGACTGCCAGTCAGTCCACTATCAAATCCACAGTGGTGGATCGCAGGCGCATAGGATTTCGGAGTTAGGGCTACTCCCGACACGCCCTGATTCATCTGCAAGACATCCGCACTCTTGCATTATCGGCTTGCCCTCGTCATGTTTCCAACAACCCGTCCAACTCCCAGTCCCAGCGTCGTGACACCATGGTGAAGGGCGAACAGCGACCGAGTCTGACGTTGGCGAAGGCTGGTAGTCGTCGGCCAAAGACGCCTGCCTCGCGACCGGCCAGGAAGACGGATGATGACGGCAGTGAGTCGCCCAAATTCGACCGGCCAAAGTCTCGCCATCGGGCTTCTGTGGCTTGCGTTACTTGTCGAGACCGTCGAATACGTGTGAGTTTACTGCTCGATCGAGGGTTGTTGTCCACATCTGATGATACGCGCAGTGTGTTGTTCCGTCCGATGATACCAGATGTGTCCAGTGCAGCAAGACCGGCGTGCAATGCATCATAAAGAATGACGACGAGAGACGAAGGTGCGGACTACGCTCATGATATCACTCCGCCAGATGACTGATGACTGCTCCTTGTAGGCCAATCTCACGAGCATACATGTCCTCCCTGCTCGACAGGATATCAATGCTAGAACAGATGCTTGTTGACCAAGGGATCGTACCACCCCCTGCGAACCACCCACCACAAACACGACACCACGGACCCGATGAGCTGCCCTCAGTCACATTCTCTCCTCACATGCCGGACTCAGGCTCCGAGAACACTGGCGACGTTGAGAAGACGGAGAGCTTTATGCGGACAGACCAGTTCGGCTCGGCCACGCAGTACATGGACATGGAACACAAGGCTATGGCACCAGCAAGCCGGGACAATACAACCATGAGACACACAGCTCCCGGCTTCCCACAAGCACAGCCGATCCCCCCACGCGACGGCATGGTCAAGAAACTCCTCTCGACGCAAGGCCACCTCAGCTTCGACCAGCTCAACGGCCGGCTCCGATACTTCGGACCGACGACAAACTGCCACGTCCACTCCGGGAGCGAGGTCGCGTCGCGCGAGCTCAAGGGCTTCCAGGAGCACGAGAAGCGCGCCGCACACATCATCAGCCTGCTTCCCACCGCCACCCACGCGTACCTGATGGAGCTGTTCTGGCAGCACTACAACTCCGTCATGCACGTCGTGCACCAGGAGGCGTTTACGGACGACTACAAGCATGGCGGGCGCAGCTTCTACTCGCCCTATCTGCATGTCTGTGTGTTGGCTATGGGGTACAGGTTTGCGGATAAGGCGCGGCCGGATATGCAGAGGCTTGTGTTTGCGCGGCGGCAGAGTACGCTGCATAGTGCGGCGAAGGATATGCTTGATAGCGAGCTGGAGCAGCCGGGGGGTGTCACGTCGGTTGTGGCGCTCTTGTTGCTTGGGGACTTGGAGTGTGGTGGTATGTTTGAGGCATTCTCTCCGCGACCGTGCTTGTATATGGGTTGACATTTCTAGTTGGTCGTGACAACCTTGGTTGGATGTATAGCGGTAGGTGACATGAGGCTTTTTCTTGGTCGTTGCTGAATTGGAATAGGAATGGCGATACGGCTTGCATTTGACATCGGGTATGTTTCTGATGCGATACTTATTGTAATGTCAACGACTGACAGCCAGAGCAGTCTCCATCTCGATTCTCGAGCTTCAGGATTCGCAGAAAGAGAAGTCGATATCCGGCAGATGACATTATGGGCCTGCGTCATCTACGACAAGTAAGTGATCTGTCTGACCGGACAATGAGATAGTGTAGCTGACGTCTCCTAGGTACTGGGCAATGTTCCTCGGACGGCCTACCAGCATGAAGAGCGCAGATCTAGAAATCTATTACCTGGCCAAACAGTTCGAGAGACTAGGAACATGCAAGCCCGCTGGACCAGGCAAATCTCTCGAGACACTAATCTACGAGGTATATCCCATGTCCTCCCAAAACCCACCCCTGCTGACTTCCTAGGCACTCCTGGACCTCATGGAACTCGCCGGCCGCATCTCCGACCGCTCACACCTCCACAAGGAATCTCAAACCTCACTCGACCGCGACGCCTACTCCAAGATGGTCAAGCTCGACCACGAGCTCAACAAGTGGTACACCCGCCTCCCCGAGCCCCTGAAATGGAACGCAGAAAACGTCGCCCGAGCCCCCTTCTCCTTCTTCCTCCTCCACCAACAGTATCATTCCTCACTCATCCTCCTGCACCGCCCCTTTTCACAATATGAAGACGACGTCCAGAAGAAGAGCGGCGGCCCGATATCACGCGTCGCCGCGCTCTCGCGCAGCGTGTGCACGAAGCATGCCGTCTGCGTCTCGAAGATCTTCTGGCAGCATCGCCAGCGCTTTAATACGAAGCAAGTGTGTATCTCTGCCCTGCAGCATGCCGTATGTATCCCCTCTCTCTTCATTCTCCCTCTCACACACACCCCCTATATCCCACCCATCCTAACACATACACCCCCAGGGCACAGCCGCAACCGCCCTCATCGCCGCCCTAGCATTCATGAAAGACTCCACCGAGCGCGGCAACAACATGCAATACCTCGAATGCATCGCCGCCGCCCTCCAGGACATGGCCGACACATACCAGCCCGCCGAGCGCATGTCCGTCGTCCTCCAGGCCGTCGTCGCCGAGCTACGTGGCCCGCCCCCTGATCCGCCGCCGCCGCCTCCACAAGACCTCGTCTTCTCCCGCCCCGTCCGTCGTGATACCACCACCACCACCACCACCACCACATCCACATCCAATACACCCAATACCAATCCAACGACAACCCCAACAATAAACCCCCCAACCCACACTCCCCCCCTCACCCACGACACCTTCGCCACCGCCTTCGCACACCAAACACAACAAACACAACAACACCCCGACCCACACATCCACCCCCAAACAATGACTCCCACACCCCCGGAAGACCACGACATCATCCACCACCACCACCACAACCACCCAACATACCCAATCCCCAACCCCAACACCCCCTGGAAACCCTCCCTGGCCCTCCCCATCCCCCCCGATTCCTCACCACCACCCTCCTCCTCCGCCCCCGCCCCCCGTCCCGCACTGACCCAAGTCCTCCGTCTGAATCCGTTCGCGCATGCGCATGCGGGGTTTGCGCTTTCGTCGCCGCTTGTGAATGTACAAGCAAACCCCACCGCAACCGCAACCGCAAACATGCAAACATGGATGGGCGCGCCCGCACCCTCACCCGCACCCAATGCATCAGCATCCGCATCCGCATCAGCAGCAGCAGCAGCATCTACCCCTCTTGATATCGATCCGCATGAACTAGCCCGGCTTGCATCTGTGCATTTTCCTGAGATGAGCATGAGTGGGGCGGGAGACGGGGGCCTGGAGGGGAAGGGTGGTAACGGAGCGGTTGGGGGTGTGGGTGTGGGTGTGGGTGGGGGTGTGGGGCCGTACGATTATATGAATCTTGATGGGAGTGATTGGAGGGAGTGGTGAGGGGTTATGATGGGGGAGGAGGGGGATTAGGGTGGAAAGGGGATGGGGATTTGGGGATGGGGATTTAGAGATTTTGTTTGAGGGGTTGAGGGTTGGTGTATATAGCTACGATACGATACGATACGATACCATTAGATGATTATATGATGATGCATGAGACACATGGATGGTAGATGAGATGGCCTTGACGTCTTACTTACTTGCTTGCTTCTATAGTTTGCACGCCGAGATATCCGCAACATGCACATGCACATGCCCTACACACCTCTCTCCCAAAATGCTCTCATACCAGACAGATCAATGCCCGACACACTACCCTGCCGCAGCAAACAAGATCATCGGTATACCCATCACATCAATGCGCTTTCCCTGCATCCTCCTGAAGACGCACCATCATCATCATCATCAACATCGCCATCCCATGCATGTACCCAAAGAAACGGAGCAAACGCCGCTGCAATGAACGATGAATTGCGCGCTGATGGTCGGAATCCCGGAACAAGAATGGGTCCCCCTTTCTCCCCTTCCCCGCCTTCTACAAAACGCCTGTGCATGCATAGGACGTGGTGCCCCCCCCGTTTTGAAGTCCATCACGACTATCCCTCGTTCCTTGATGGTCGGTGGAACGGAAAACGGCTGTTTTTACATCAAACCTTGCAGGCCTTGGTTGGCATATGCCATCGGCTTGATGGGCGGATGCGGGACGGCGTCGAATTTGTGGAATTGGAGCTTGAGGTTTGATTCGATGTTGATGTATGCGCCCTTGTTCTCGGTCGAGTCGCAGTATCTGGGCGCGGAAAAGACTGTTTGGATTATCAGCCTTGACCTGGGTGTAACATGTCATGAGACAAAGATGAGGGGAGGTCACTTACCTGTGATACACCTGCCGTCGTGCTCGACCTCGTAGCCTTCCATGCGCACCTCGTGGCTGCGAATAATGGCCTCGAGCCCGTTCCTCTCGCAGAACCGCTTCGTGACGTCTGGGCCGAACTGCAGGCCGACGCCGCGCTTGCTGGGTCCGCGACCGGGCGCCGGCTGCGGATCTGTCCAGAGCATTTCCATCATCAGTCCGCTCTGGCCTGGCTGGCGCTGCTTGTGGCGGTTCAGCTTGCGGACGTCGTCCAGACTGATGTTGTCGTCCGAGAAAAGCCCGCCGTGGAGGACGAAGAACTTGTCGCCGACGAGCGTGGCCAGGGGCAGTGCGGAGAAGGATTCGCTGAAGAGCTTGAAGATGCGCTCGGTGTATTTGTGGCGGCACTCGCCTTCGAAGCCGTACATGCGGTTCATGTCGTCCGTCTCGTGGTTGCCGCGGTTCAGGAAGAACGAGGTGGGGAAGAGCCACTTGTAGGCGTAGAGGAGGAGGCAGATCTCGGTGGACCAGGAGCCGCGGTCCACAAAGTCGCCGTTGAAGAGGTAGCCGTGGGTTGCGGTGGGGAATCCATTGAGTTTGAAGATGTTCAGAAGATCAAAGTATTGGCCTTGGAGGATGTTAGTGGGTACTAGGGACAAAAGGGACTGAAGCTTACCGTGTGTGTCACCGCATACTGTCAGTTTGTGACCCTCTTTGACGTGTGTCTCGACCATGGTCGGCTCGTTATATACCAATTCTTTCACGGCGAGGATGATTTGATAGACGTATTTCTTGTGAATCTTCTTCCCGTCCTTGAACCGCTGTATCATGTCGTCGATGAATTCTTGCGTCATCTCTTTCTCTAGCTTGACGCCATCATAGTCCTTCTCCACGATGATATTGTCAATGTCCAGTCCTTCTGCGGCAGACGGCGCATCCTCAACCTCGATAGCCTTGAGGAATGCATCTCGCTTTACAACCTTTTGACACTCAGTGTGTTGTAGTTTTGCGTTGGCATCATTCGGGCTCTTCTTCACGACGATCTTCCAATCTCGCAGCGCTTCTTGATGTTTCAGTATCGCTGTGTTTGCCACTGCTCTTCGGTAGTATGCCTACGTCACTTTAGAGATGCGGCGCCACTAGAAGTGGGTTCTTCGTACCTTGACGTTCGATGAATCGAGCTCGATCGCCTTGTCTGCATCTGCTATCGCATATCCGTAGGCTTCTGTCTTGATGTATGCCTGTGCACGAAGTCAGTGCTCCTGGTCGCGTGTCGTCCATTCCAGCAGGGTAATGCACACCTGGGCTCTGTTCGTATAGAAGGATGGTTCTTCTGCATACTTCTCGATAGCTTTCGAGTAGAAGTCAATAGCGGTTGGCCAGTCATGTTCCTTGAAAGCCTTGTTGCCCTGGTCTTTCAGCGCAATGGCTTCTGTCTTTGACATGGTCCTGGTGAGGAAGTGGGGGCGGTTCTAGAGATGATGTATTGGCCGTTGCCTGTGGAACCTCTCGAATAGTATGCGAGAAGAAGAGAGCGAGGGAGGCGATGGTCTGTTGAGGTCGAGCGAGCTGGCAAGACAAACCTTGTGAACGTTATGCTGGCGCCGAATAATTCGTATCTTCCCTGGAATTTGTTCCGCCTGTGCGGTAGAACCGCGGGGATGACGATGGATTCATTCCTTAGACGCGACGCGATCTGCATCCATCTTACTACTGGACCATCACGCAATATGGAATGAATCGAATGCGAGCATCAAATTCTATGGGCATACACAGCTGACATTCATAGCTTGGATCTATCTTTCAGTGCCTCTTCATCTGCGATGGTGATAATGGCACGACCCCATGGCTTGCGAGCCTCCATATCCTTCAATGCTCGTGGCACGCTCTCGAGACCAGCGTATTCGACATTGTAGATCACAGGTTTTATCTTACCTTCGTTAGCCAGCTTCATGAAACTATTCCAAGTCTTCTCAATCTGCTGTGGCGTTCTCCGACCTTCCTCGCCAAATCTCTGCAATATGCTTAGCCTCAGTTTCTCTCAATCGCCTAACACCAAGACAAACTTACGTATCCCACGACCGATACACCCTTCAAGAGAATGCGATTCATCTGGAGCTCTTCCATCTTTCCTCCCCTGGCAGCGAATCCAACGATTATCACCTTGCCACCGTATCTCAGGCATCGTATGCTACTCTGGACTGCGCCGATAGAATCATACACGTGATGCACGCCTTCACCATCAGGAGTAAAGCTCTTCACCTTGTCCTCCCATTTCGGTTCGTGGTAGCTCACGACATGTGTGGCGCCTAATCGCTTAACAACTTCCCCTTTCTCCTCACTTCCCACCACGGCAATGACTTTGGCACCATATGCTGCGGCAATCTGTACTGCCATGACACCTAGACCCCCAGAGGCACCAAGGACCAGGACGATCTGCCCTGGCTGTATCTGGGCGATATCGACAAGTGCCCCCTGAGAGATTGCGCCACTGGCTCCAACCGCACACGCTTCGGCATTCGTCCACTGCTGCGGCGCCTCACGGACTTGGCCTTCAGGCACAGATATGTATTCTCCGAACGCACCTGTCCCAGCACCAAACACTCTGGTTCCAACGGAGAATTTGGACTCCTTGGGTGCTGCAGCGACATTCCCCGCGAATTCCATCCCCAGAATAAAGGGTGGCTTCATGTGACGTCGATTGTTCTGATGCAGCCCTTGCGCATACAACAGATCGACGTGCGTAACTGCAGCGTGCGTAACTCGTACCAGTATGTTGCCTGCTGATGGCTCTGGTTTTGGAGCCTCACCGGGTTCAAGATGGTCGAACCCCTACGGACGTAGTAGCACGAGTCAGCATGGGGGTCGTGGTATTTCCTTCGAGACTGTCCAGTCACCTTTTTGAATTCCTTGATGGTGAAAGCCCGCATATTCCAGAATGTATCAAGGTCTATGCTTGAATAGTAGACGTATCATAAAGAGCTGTCCACAGGTGTTGTTCTGTGGCAGTCTAGGTGAATTCGATGTTAATGGTCGGGAGATCGACCGCGGGGCAAAAGCCGAGGCTGTGGCCGGATCTACAGTAACTTGGACCATGGATGTTTTTTTTTTGGTTTTAACAGCAAAACAGGGATAAGCAAGCAAGTTTGTATACATCCGTCATGTCAATGTACTGGCAAGCCACGGCTGAGACCCTGAGAAAAAAGTACGAGTAGAGTGTATAACGTCCATGCAGCAGCATCCTTACCCCCCCGTAATCAAATTCACAGTGCTACACACCTGAGCTACTGCAGGTTGTCAGGAATGCTGTGAAACACATGAATACGAAGGTACAACCTCGTTGCAGTTTGTGTAAGATACTGCATCAACATGCCGGCCCGGACGATCGATCCGTCGAAATATATCAGTGCAGATCCATGTTTTCTTCAGAGCTTGGCTCTGAATTCGAATATGTCTGGCTCCTCTTGCCTCGATATCTGCAACATCTGTATTTACCGCACTCCCCTTGAAGAACATGCAACTAGCCCAGCCAGAAGAGAAATGCTGGACATGGCCGAGGTAAGGCCTTTGCAGCCAGCCCTCGTAAGATTTGAAATCCTGGGAAGAGTTGATGACGAGCTACTGCAGGCTGGTCACCGAGTTCACCGAGAAAGTGATCCTGGGTTTCTGACATGATGCCCATGCGCAAGGACCTTGTGAAGTAGACAACTATGGGCCTGAGCAGATTCTGACAGGGTACTTGCCAGCACTCGAAGTAGACTTCTGCTCCAAATGCAGTATAAAAGGCTACTATTTCTGTCCTCTACCAGCCTCACAACAAACCCCTTGGACAAACAAAACATCTACAGCATACCTTTTGACAAGTCTCTCAGACTGTCATAAATCTCAAGCCAATACATTCCATCCCCTCCTTACCTCAAAGCATTCAAGATGTGCAACTATATCCACTGCATATACCATATGTGCAACCACGAGGGCTTCGCCGTCGCTACACACTGCGACTCCGCCCGCAACGACGACGACAATGCCTGCTGGTCAGCCTGGCGCATCGTCCAGGTCATCGAGGAGCACGATCAGCCCTGCTATGCCTGCCAGGGCAAGTCCTGGCCAGCCGGCCTCCGGCCGGACCGCAGAGCGGGCCAAAGCCAGCGGATCAGCAGCGCCGTCGAGGAGATGTGGGCGCAAAGGGCACGCGCGCATTTCGAGGCAATGGCGAGAGCATATCAAAGGATGCAAGCAGATATGATGGCGCAGCAGGCGGCTGGAGGGGGAAGTCCGGCGGGTGGGCAGAGAGCGGAAGGCGCCCCTGGTGGGAATCCGCTCCAGCAGTATGCGAAAGACGGGCAGTATGAGATGGTGGCGGAGTGGGCTCCGAGGGATGAGCAGCAGCAACCTGCCGAGGGGGCAAATATGAGGGGTGGTCGAAAGGGTCTGTCTTGGAGGGACAAGAGGCCGATATTGATCGGGATACAGCTCGCGAAGCAGCAGACTTCACGACCGAAGACGCGGTGGGAGGAGAAGTATGGATAGGCGATGACACTGCATGCCAGGAGCAATGAGCAAGGCATAGATCGATGACTGTGTATTTAGCAACTCTTGATATCAAGCATTATGCTGCGTATGCCTCATCCAGACCACCTTCTACATGTCCCCTTGCCTCATAAGTTCGAAGCCCCCTGCACAACGCCCATGACATTGTACCGCTTACTGAAGAACGTAACCCACTCCTCCAGTACCGTCTTCTCCTTGTCGTCCAGATCCTGCCATTGCGGCACCGCCTCCTCGGCTTTCAGACTCGACTTCGCGAGCGCACGTGAGGCGTCTTTGCCGGCGAAGACTGATTCGGTGAGTTCATGCACAACAGCCTGAGCCATCAAGAGATGGAGATCGGTTTACCATGATATTGCCCTCCCGGTCCGTAGGCATCTTTGTTAGATACGTCGTAGACTTTGCCCTGTTGTAGCTCGGTTAGAATCTGCATATTCATGCATTCTGTGCATTCATTGCCGCTCGGCATTGTGTTCATCACATTCCACTCGACATTGAACACAGAGAAAGAGAATACATTATTAGATATCTGAGGAATACACACCTTTATCGCAACATATGTCGGATAACCCTCATGCGTACCATCGCACTTGGCCAGATAATCTTGCGTGATGGGGTCGCTCTTTGGAGGGTCGAGTGTGACGGGCACCTTGGGAGCGAAGTTCTTGGGTTCTTGGACGTGGCCTTTTGAATCTGACATGGTGATTGCTGTGTATGTGACAATATGTCTATCTTTGGGTTGAAAGCGATGTGTGATGTCGTTAGTGCAGTTGAGGGGTGAGGTGTTGAGTGGCTAGAGCACGGACCGTGCGTTTGCGGGGTGGTAGTGCGTAGGGATGAATGAGCGAATAGGAGGAGTGGGATACATAATACGCGTTGATGTCAACAGTGGAAGACGTCTAATCTGGTGCTGTGAACATAGAACATGGGTACAATGTTGGTCTCTTTTACAAGGATAGAGTGAGTAGACTGTGTGAATTGCGTCCGTTACAGTTCACGCCAACTAATGGTCCCATTGTTGACCATTTCGGTCTCTGTCTATATGTGCCAAGGATTGAGAATTACAGTTAGACCCTGAAACAGACGCTACTACAGTAGTGATACAGTATCACCTTTGCGGCTTTCACACTGTAGACAGGGTCTTGACAGGGTTATACACCATCAACGCTATCAGGGATCGAACAATTTCAGCTGCTGCAAGCACCGTAGTCTCGCCAGGGTTGTCGTATATCGGTGCAACTTCGACTGTACACGGTTCAGTCAGTCCGGAAGGTACATATCAGGATTCTGAAAAAGCTCACCAACGTCTGCACCAATAATATTCAGTTCTGCGAGCCCATCGAGAATGCTGAGCAGTTCTCTTGTCGTCCAACCTCCGACTTCAGATGTACCAGTAGCTAAGCGCAGCAGGTAAGCAAAGATATCATCGCACGGGTATGCTACCTACCCGGGGCAAATGCTGGGTCAAGTACGTCGATGTCAACACTGATATAAACATTCGTCGATCCAACTCGCGCTTTGAGCGTTTCGATGACCCCCTGAATACCGATCCTGTCAATATCTCGAGCTGTGACAATTGCAAAACCGCATCGTCGATCGTTCTTCAGATCGCCTTTGGGGCTGGACATGGGTGCTCGGAGACCTGCATGGGCAGATGTGTTCCGAATCAAACCTTCCTCATGGGCGATGTGCAAGAATGTGCCGTGGTTGACGCCACTACAAGGATTCTCGTCAGAGAGACTGCTTGAAGCTGGATTGGTGGTTACCTACGCATAGTGAGATATTCCACCCCCTGTTTGAGTGTTAGAACAGTTACACATGACGATTCTCGAGACTAACCTAGAACATCAGGGTCCCAAGTGTCTATCATGTTATTGTAAGCCAGCCTGACTGTTAAAGATACACGGATTCACATACCAAGATGACTGTCAAAGTGGATCACGCTGACTGGACCCCAATGATTGTGCGCAGAGCGCAAGGCTGATAGAGTAGTCGTATGATCTCCTCCTAACGTTATAATTCGAGCTGTCGTGTACTGACTAGAATTTGTTTCACGACCTGAGACTATCTGGGCAAGTTTCAGCCAGCCTAGCAAGTTGGTCGAGATCTCGTACTGACCTTGTGCGCTGCATCGAGCTGTTTCAGTGCGACAGTGTTATCCTGGGTATAGAATCAGCCTCACTGCTCCTTTGAGGGTTTGGTAAGACTTACGAGATATGTCAAAGGGGCGTCGCCGCAGTCCACAATCCTTGCCCAGGACTGGAAAACGTTATCTCCTTTTTGCTTGTCAGTGTCACTTTCAGTAATGCAGGACGCGGTCTGATGATTGGTCGGGGAAGCGGTAACCAGCGTTATATCCTGCTGGTAGCCGTCATGATGGCACGTAGCTTTCCGTGAAGGGCATAGACTTGGTTTGTAGACATTCACAGACCACTGGGGCTATATACTGCGTATGATAGGAGGTACAGGATGTCGTTGACGCCTGTCAAGGAACTTGGTTGTACAGGATGCAGCAAACAACATACCTGTGTACACATCCCATGCGGATCCCGGGTCAATGCGAGTCGAGCCTTGCCGTATCCCTCTAGGTCCGAAGCGTGCACCGGGCCTAGACGTCACTCCCTGACATCAATTAGATTAGTCTGATGTACTATAGCGGCAGAGAAGGTGAACGTTCACATAGAAATATGGATCGTCTCACTCACAGTATCAAAGGGTGCTCCAATGATGGCAATGTCATATTTTTCCACCTCAACTCCCTTCCCAGCGAGACAATGCACATACGGCAAATTGGCAAAAGTAGAGAGCCCAACGAACTTAGCAGTTGTCACATCAGCGGACAATCCTGGTGTATCGACGTGAATGGGATTTTGGCTGTCATACGCGTAGACTGGGGCGAATGTGATGTCGCGTGCGATTGCGAAGCCAGCTAGAGAAAGAAGTGAAACCAGCATGATTTACTATGAAGATAAGAGATCATGAAGGGGTGATTGTTTTCCACGACGTCGAGGATGATGCATTCGTTGAGCACATGTATGTGGCATGACAGGCAGAAGACGGCACATTCAATCGGACATAAGCCGGAGGGCCTAGATAGCGATTCTTTGGTAAATTGAGCCTGCTTGTGTACAGAGATAAGATTACTTAGCTCCCTATGAAGCCGTAAGATCCCTGAAAATGGAGCCTGAGGCCAGCAAGACCGAAGTTAAAAGTGGGTATTAAAAGGTATATTGACTTTTGTTTATCCCATTACGGTCACAGCCCGGGCGTATTATCAGAACTCGACCCAGCGTAGAGAATCTGACTCCTCAGATTATAATTACACCTTCTGTATAATATGTTTACGCCACCTTCTGACGATAAGGGAGCGTGAGAGCCTTACCAGATACGGACAAGCGCCTCCGGCTGCAATTGGACCCAACCAATGACCCCGGCCGAGGCGTCCGAAAGTGGATATACTGCACTTTTAGGCAATAGGGTAATCTACCAAGCATGAAATGCTTTCATATGGCGGACACTGACTAGTTCATGATGTGTTAGTTACGCAAGGAGCCTCTGGGGTTTTTACTCTACTAACATCTTCATGTAAGCGAACTAATATCTCTACTGTGTGCATATATTCATTCTTGTCAAGTCTTGATCGCGTCGGCTAGACATATATCCTTGGACGGAGATGTCGATGAGCTTTTGACGAAAAAGCATACATGACTTTACTTCTTGGCCGTGTTGCACATTCTCAACCTGATGCACTTGTCACATTCGCAGGCACAGATCCGTCCGCTTAAGGTGCACATGGTTTATAAGGAGATTTCTATTGGTAATTCTGAGCTAAGAGTCCCGTGATTGGAAGACAGTAATGCAAGGCCAGCTGAGGTCTTCGCGATGTTTGAATATGACAGTTGTTAGTGTAAGATTGCTGACAGTCAAGGACTCCGCTCTAGTCCGTTGCCTGGTACAGGTAGATAAATTCTGTATTCAAACTTCGCAAAGTTCATGTAACTTCTCTGCTGGTCCTCCAACAATTTCTATCTTTAGCCCTGGATGAGCCGCACATCCATGTCTCGAAGGTGCAAGTGAATTCTTCTTGATGCGCTCGCAGAATGCTTTCTCTAGCCGCGAATGCGCACAAGGCGTTATCACGATGATCTTTTCGCATGCACATGCGTAGACTTGGATAAGGGCTGTGCACATCGTCTCTAGGGGCGACGAGCTCTTATGATATTAATGTTGGTGCAGTTCAGATTACCGATGGTCCCCTGAGTGATGACGATGCTCGTCTTCTTTCTTGGCGGAATCCTTGTGGTGAAGTTTACCGAGCCCCTTGTCGTAGGCTCTCTTGGAGCCCAGGGATTGATTCCTGTCAAGGCCTCTGTCGGAGCCCTAGAACCGGTCCTCGTCAAGGCCAGTGTCTGATCTCTAGGTTCGGTCCTTGTCAAAGCCAGTGTCTGATTCCTAGGTTCGGTCCTTGTTAAAACTAGCGACGGATTCTGAGGCAAGTTCCTTGTCAAGGCCTGTGACGGAGCTCCGGATACGGTACTTGGTGGAGGCTTTGTCGTGTGCTTTGGTACGGTGCTTGTTGGATGGTTCGTCGTGTACTTTGGTGCGGTTCTTGTCAAGGCGTTTGTCGTGTAATTTGGTACAATCCTTGATGGAGCGTATGTCGGAGCCTTGGATCCGATTCCTGTCGGAACGCGAGTCGTCGTCTTCTTCGAAGGGGAAGGTTGCTCGAAATATTGGTCCGAGAAAGGCATGATTTACTTTGGTCAGGAAGTTAGCATAAAGGAGGAGTGTGATGATATATGTACGGCAACCTAGTGGTTCCTTTTTATATTGATGAAGCAGGTGAATTCACAGGTCAGTCCAGAGATCACGATCAATGACTGTGACGTGGTGGAGAGTGAAGCAGCCTCCATGGCGCAAGAGGGAATACGATACGTATGCAATGTGGTCGAACGGTGCATTCTCTAATTTGACCATCATGTGTCTCGACCACCAGGTGTCCATGGAAGGCTCGTTTGGGGCAGTGGTATACCACTTGACAATAGGTTCGCTTGGTGTGGTAGATGTCTACCTTCAATCAGTGTCCATATCGTTCTGTTGCTTCTCTTCTTGGACAGTCCTCTTCACCCCGTCTAAGAAAGCTTCTACAGCCTCTCCACCACCAAGAGGCATTGCTCCCCGAAACCCTCCATTCTCAACCTTGATCTTTAATGCCTCGCCAACAGTTGGTAGGCCACCGTCCCTTAAGGCCATCGTCAGGCTCCCAAGACTTTGATGCAGCTGCGGACTTCTTGCCACTCGCCTAAGGATATCTCGTTTCTGATCGGAGCTTAGCGCTGAAATGGCGGCTTGCGCGGTATCAGAAGCGGGATCTACTTCAGCAATATCATCAATATCTTGAGCTAAGAGTAGAATCATTGGAGGAAGATTGGAACATAGCGAGTCGAGTAAGGTATCATCAGCGGATTCGATTACTGGTAGCGTGACTGAAGAAGCAAGGAGGTCGGGAAGTGTTGTAAATGGCTTATCTGCTTGCTGTCGGCTACCACCAGAGCTCATGCCGGTTCCTTTAAGCGAGTTCAGGAAGTTCTGCACGACTGTTGATGCGTCTGTCGAGGAGTGACCCGCCGCACTACATCCGATTAGTCCATTATCCCGAGCCACGACAGGACGCACACTAGGTAACACTCCAGGAAGCAAGCCATACAATAGCCGGGGCAGCTGGCTTGTTCTTTTGATTATGCGTACAGAATCATGAGTTTGCATAGCCTTTCTTCTTTCTTCTTTGTTCGTTGTTCGTGTTACCGCTGAGCGCCGAGTGTTACAGCATAGACTTGCTTCCTGAACGCCTCCCAGTGTCGCGACAAATGACTTGCAACGATGCAGGCAAACCTACGCTCGGCCACCATCAGCCCCACCCTCACGAGATCCCTCTCCTTCCTCTCTGATATCGCCACCAGTAGCATCCGCACCTGCTCCGCCACTGCTACTGCCATGGCGCTGGCGGTCCGGTGCATCCGCGTCTTCCATCGTCTCGTCATCGTCAACCGACCTGCCGCTATAGCGGAATTCGTTGTTCACATTTCGTAGCTCATCTGCGACGTCGACTTCCTCTCCATTAAGAAGCATGTCTACAATATGACCAATCTTGCCGTCTCTCGGGCTGAAGTAGCACGGCAGTCCGTCAGGGTGCTGGCTCTTGGATTGCATCCAGAATAGCTGTCGCTGAGAGCTCGAATTGAATTTGAGAACATAGATACGACCATTTGTAGGAGGTCGCTGTGTATAGGTGAAGCCACTTATTGCGGGCCCAGTATATGGTATGAAAGAACCGTCGCCAGGAATCATGAGCAGGTCGAGTTCAGGTTCGGAGGCGGGTGCGGAGCGTGGACGCCAGCAGAAATGGACGAGTTCTGAGTACATTAGCTAATGCACCATCATGAACAGCTATGGGTGTGGTGTACCATCGTCGCCAACGTAAAGGTAAATGTAGCCTGGTGTTGGGGAGCATTTGACATTTGGTGGATTGCTATCCTATGGGCAAGTTAGCGGAGAGGTGCAAGTTATAGCTGCAGAATACTTACGTCGAGCTCACACTTGCCAGCCTTGAATGTGATAAGTGGTGACACAGACATGACGGGAATATTGTGCTGTATATGTATGTCGACGGTGCCTTACGAGCAGTGAGAATGAACTGAGCTTGTTCCTTGGCTTGGGTGGATCCGAGGAACTCCCAGGTCGCCGCGGCCGCTGAATATAGTCTAGCGCCGCCACGTCCGAATATCTGCCGCCGCACACTTGGAATTTGAATTCGCTAATCGTGAACAACCGAAAGAGACAGCGACCACACGAATACTAACTCCTCCAGCACACCAAATCACCTCTTCTTTTCTTTGAGGTCCACGGAGCGCGCAATTACAATGTCGGCCACCGCAGACGCTACCATCGCCAAATTCCAGGCCCAGGCGACGGAGAAGGCCAGCAGGTACTACCCGGCGGAGGACGAGAAGACACCCCGAAAGGTACGAAGCTTTCCATGAACGAGCAGAGCAGACTGCAAGAATCCACCGGTGTCACCAAGAGATGGGGCGCATATCGATTTACCGCACACGTAGCTGCGCAAGCTTGACTGTGGCTTCTGATTGAAACAACATGCTAATGAGTATCTTTGTGCAGGTCCGCAAGTCTATCCGTCCAACCCAGTACCGCAAGTCCCTTCAACCCGGTGCCATTCTCATCCTCCTCGCTGGCCGCTTCCGTGGCAAGCGCGTCGTTCTCCTCAAGACCCTTGACCAAGGTGTTCTTCTCGTTACCGGTCCTTTCAAAGTAAACGGTGTTCCTCTCCGAAGAGTGAACGCCCGATATGTCATCGCCACCAGCACCAAGGTGGACGTGAGTGGTGTGGACAGCAGCATTGTTGAGAAGGTTTCGGGCGAGGGTTATTTCACCAAGGACAAGGTTTCCAAGAAGCCTGGCGAGGAGGCTTTCTTCAAGCAGGGTGAGAAGCCAGAGGTAAGTCATGAAAGTGGAGGCATCAAATTGGGAGGGTTTCTGACCGTAATAATAGAAGAAGACGATAGACAGCAGCCGTGCGGCCGACCAAAAATCCGTGGACAAGTCCATCTTATCAGCAGTAAAGAAGGACCGGGACCTGGTCGCCTACCTGAGCTCAAGCTTCAGTCTACGCAAGGGCCAGAAGCCACACGAGATGGTCTTCTAGATGCGCGAGCGTGGGTTGTACGGGGGAAGAATGGGACTCGGAGTCAATGGTTGAAAGAAAGTGCATGGCAAATCGGCCTTCTAGTGCTGCGGCCGTCTCAAGCAGCCGTTTCTTGACTGGCATACTTTGGGTCTTTAGGGGTTATTACGATACTGTATCAAGCAGCGAAAATCCAACAACCATTTAAAATCCAACCGATGTGCGAGGGCGGCTCTCTCAGCATTTGATATGTGACAGAGCTTGCGAACGTATGCGGTACAGCACATATTTTCCTGATCAATTCACGCGCGACGATTGCTTTAGCGACCGGTCTCAGATTCTCCACTTCGGTTGTAATGACATTAACGAACAATATATCGCATTGCAGACGGGTATCTAACGCTTTAAAAAGATTGTGTAACTGTCACATGTAAGTCATCAGCTCGCTGATGCACCACTATCTCTTCGCTCTACCCCTTCTTTTCATCTTCTCCCCCGCCTCATCCAAGAAGACCCCTCCTTTCTCTACCCCATTGCTCGCCTTCCCCTTGACGTCTCTCTTTTCTGCTTCGGCTTTCAAATCATCGACAACATCTTTACCCAAGCCCGTTCCGTGCGCCCAATCCAGCACACCCCATGGTGCGAAATTTCCTTGGCCGCTACTAAGCATATGCGCATCACGGCGTCGCGCCATACCCGTCATCAGGATGTGGCTCGGCAAGACGGTATAGCCGGACCAGGTAAAGAGGTCCTCCAACGAGACAAGTCCCAGGAACAGGAAGTAGGTGAGTAGATGGAAGCGGAAGAGGGCAGCAGGGATAAAGGTCGGTAGCCAATGCCCGATGAGGTATGGCAGCGGATGATCGTACGTCGCAGCAATGGAGAACGGAAGCGGGAGCGAATGGTGCCATGAAGCGTGGTATTTAGCGACCGGGGTACGCGAGCGGTGCAAAACGTAGAAGTGGATATAATATTGGAGGATCTGATATAGGACTTGTTAGTTCAAAACTATTTGGATTAAACTAGTGGATGGAATAAAGAAACTCACGTTGCGGATCACGAATGCCTTGGCTACGTCCATCCACATATCCCAGGGATACGGCAGTTGAATATTAATCCTGACGACGCTGCGGACGTGGAGTACTCTGGTGGCTAGTAACTCGATACCTGCTTGTGCGGCCACGCCCAGCAGCACATTCGCCAGCGAGACACCGACTACCTTTGCGACCTTCTTGCGCCCGAGTCTACGCGGCAGTGCATCGTCGCCATGCGCCTTTATGCTTGTCGATATACTGGGCACCAGGCAATCGAACGCCAGAAATGCCAACGCAGGTATGACATAGAATATGAGCCGGATGAACAGCGTCCCCACGACTTCAACGTTGTAGGCCGGGTGCGACATGACGAAGGTCGCCCATGTCATGTAGAAGAAGGCGAGGTTGAGCTGTGTGGTCCATGATGTCCATAATGGAAGAAGGAAGAAGGAGAAGATCGGGAGCGAGATCAGAGCGTCTAGCATGATAAGTGAGAAGTATGCGTGCATGCCAAAAGGAAGGTAGTGCAAGAGGAGAGCTTTGAGAGAGCGCGTCAGGTCAGGCAGGAAGTGAATGGTGTTGAATGCAGGATGACGTAGCGGAGTGTAAATTCCATGTAAAGGAAGCACCGTAGACTTCTGACAACTGTCAAACAAGGGTGCAGGCAGGAGTTCATGTGTGTTTGGTGGCTCGTGCACAAGGTTATGTGGTACGTGCACGGATGCAAGTGAGGAATATGTATATGTATCATCCCATCCAACTAACGGTACTTTGCCTTTGTTGGAAGGTCGAGACTCGATCAGTAATAATTTATTGTATAGCGTCGACAATTGATGGTGTTTCGCTGCCCAACTGTAGACAACATGCCAACCAACCCTGGCACATGAGGTTCTCACTGCTAAGGGCAGTAGTCGATGTGATACTATAGTAGTAGTCCATAGGCATGCGAAATATAGCCGTGAACTACTATGGCGTACCACTTTTATACATATGTCTTAGCCTGCCCCCGAGTCTAGCAGAACCTGAGCAGCTCCTAATACCGTTGCCTTTTAGCCGGCCATTAAATTAGATGAGCACCGCAGTGCAGTGGATCATAGGACCGCCAATTGGAAAATGAGGATGCATCTTGACATTTCTTGACAGCGGCACGCCACAGCGCTGGTGCAGATTAAGCTCATGTTGTCAAATTAGGGCCCCAGAAAGCATCTTATGGAACAGTTCTCGAAAAATAAACAACTCGGAACAGCGGAACGGTAGATGGGAAAAGCATGCATGGTACATCCTGCGCGTAACCTCGAGATGTGAGGATGTATTTCGCCCGGGCTCTGTATGTAGCACTAGATGAAGATGAGATGATGTACCACCATGAGTGTGCATACATAGATATTGATCATCATCTTGCCTCCAAATCAATGGCAGTGAAGCGATGAGTCGTGGTCGGGCATAGATCATGCCTGACAGTCTAGTATGGTACAAGTCCCTGCTCTTATGGCCTCTTCTATCGGACTCCAGCTTTTACTAACGCCCCTGTCAACAAGTGGGGAGCGCTCGAGAATGCACTATTACACTGCCATAGCGTGGTTTGTGTATTATACGAGAACGACGGCGACACTTGCTCTACGGTCCTGGAGGTTTTTGGTGGAACGGCCGGTCGTAGCTGAGGCATCACACAAGACATGATACAAGGGACCAGACGACTCAAAGTAGTCGTGGTATTATAGAGAAGCCTGACGTGGAAGACGGGGCAGTGGAAGTGAAGGCAGCGCCAACGACGCAACAACGCGGAAGAATGCAGTGGGCCGCGGCCGGCGTGGGAGCAGCCGAGCCCCTGAAGAGCAGACCAGGCACGTGCGCAAGTTCGCCGTTTGCAGCATGCACAGTGCCAAGTGGAGGCACGTTGGGCTGAAGCAGCCTATGATTTCTCTTTAGCCTCGCCGACCCTCTGTCCTCTTATGTCTTTATGTCTTATGCAGCAAAATCCATCTGGCCCACTCCCCAAACCTACTTTCTCTCTTTGTTCATTCGCTTCCAATTCGATATACCTCCTTGTCGGCTTCCCTCTTGGTTCCTCGCGTCTTACATGCATATTCTCCTGGCTACTTGAACCTTCTTTTGGTTTGCACCAGTTTTTTCCCTATCATCCCTGCGCGTCCTGCGCTGTGATTCGTGGTGCTGCGCTCTCGCCATCGTCAAGGACATGCATTCCCTTCTCACCAGTCAATAGAAGCGTTCCTGCGGTTACACACATCAGAGAACCTGGTCGATACAGTCGCCGATACCCCCCCTACTCTCAAGTCTTATAAACGGACTATCATACCATGGATCCTCAGCAGCTCCCGGGCTCGTCGGTTCCGGACTCGTATGCCTCGACTGCTCCAGGACGTACACGCCGCCGCAGAACGTCCTCCCTTCCTCCAGCGCCAAATCACCCAGAGGAGTCTCGTGGGCCAGCTCATCAACCGGCCAAGGGTCACCAGTCGACGTCTCCGGAGGTCATCGCATCACTAATAGACTCCTTGTCCGCTATCTCCATTCCGGCGCACAACCATTTCGAGAACATTCCTCCGATCGATGGTACCCGCTCAACACCTGTCAGTCCGCATGCGCAGCGCGTCAACTTCCTAGATCTGCCTGAACAGCTCAGCGAGAAAGAGTTTCTTCATCCTCACGACGCCGCCGAGCCTCCGATCGTACGAACCTCAAAACCTCCGTCTGGCTTATCACCGCTCACAGCACCGAAGACTCCGAGGTCTCCAAGATCGCCAGGACCGTCGTGGAAACGAGATTCAGGGTCTTACAAGGAATGTTTGCGCACCACACAATCCACTACATCATTGCATTCAGCATACTCGGCGTATGATCGGGATGACGCGGTCAGCATTGGTAATATTAGCATTGAGGCAGGCGCGCGACCATCGGAACCATCGATCAAAAGTAGGACGTCTAGTGAAAGCACAAGGCGTAGTGGTAGAGGCAAAAGCTTGCTTTACATGAGTTCTCGCGAGCGGTTGAAGAGAGATTCAAGATCTTTCAGCGTGCCGTCGGAGGTTGACGCCAGTGTCACTGCTGCCGCTATCGAATTCGTTACGCAGGCACACTTGCACTCGGAAAAAAATATCGAGTTTCTTCCTGGTAACGTTATACAGGAGGAATCAACCCACGCAGCGCCGCTACCAGGTACAAAAAAGAAGAAGAGAAAGCCACCTCCGATGACATTGGTGGCTGCGTCAAGTGCTATCATTACGCCGGATGGACCGCTAACGCCAGGAGGCGCTGTTCCACAGAGGCAGTCGTCACTGAGACATAGTAGCAGTTCACCAAGAAGGGAGCGCCGGCGAGATCGTCCAGCTGAGGCCAGAACACTTGCAGTGCCTGAAGAAGAGGAGACCAAACCCACCCCGTCGCCCAAGGGAAAAGAGAAGGCCACCAACGAGGATATAAGCGCGTTGCGCAGGATAGAAGAGTTGAAGCAAAAGGCATGGTTCCGGGAGAAATCGAGTGAGAATGGGGCCATGACCGGAGAAGCTAGGTTATCAAGAGGAGGTGCGGAGGAGCTGTCAACTTCGGACTTGTCGCCAATATCTCCCACCTCTACGGTAGCCAGTGCATGGGAGAAACGACACTCCGACTCAGATACCAAAGCGCGCAAAATTCTAGGCATCTATTCAACAGAGCGACAGGATACTCTTGCGCCCCCTGGAGTGAAGGAGACAATTGTGCGAGCACCCCTTTATCGCGATGCTGGAAACGATATGCATGCTCCCTTGACCCCGATGACACCCATGGGGCCCTTACCGATCAACTACAACCACGTCTTACAGTCCCTCGACCAGATACCGCATTCGCCGCCAAGCAGCAAGGATTCCACAAGTAAGCAGAATCAAAACAACAACTTGACACCGCAACGAACAACAAGTACGGCTATAGATGTTCGTAGAGCGGAGTCTAAGAATAAGGGCGGTGTTTCACCGCTCTCTTCGCCGGATGAAGCATACTTTGAAGGAGACAGGGGGGCCGAACGGCAAAGGCAGACAAGGTCGAGTGAGTACGACACATCGGAACCGTACAAATCACCATTTGGATCGCGTACGGCAAGCATATCGTCGACCGGACGCAAGGGAAAGCGATGGTCTCATCCGGATATGCCACGACAAGAGCAGAAGCGGACGGGGAAGAAGGGAGCCTCTCCAGCTGTGCAGTCTCCGCAGCGGCCAATTCGAGAGGATAGACCTGCTAGTGTAGACTCGATGGAACAAACCATCGAGGACTTTGTTAATGCTCCGCGATTGAGTCAGCAAGTACGGCATCCTACCAACGGTCGAGTAATTTCGTTTTCTGAAGTAGGCGACCCGAAGGGCTTTGCCGTGTTCTGCTGTGTTGGTATGGGCTTGACTCGATATGTGATGAGTTTCTATGATGAATTGGCAAAGACATTAAAGCTGCGCTTGATCACGCCTGATCGACCTGGAATTGGTGGAAGCGAGGCAGACGAGAATGTCACGCCGTTGACCTGGACAGGTATGAAGGGTAAATTGTGTATGGAACTGGACTTTGCTAACTGTCTAATCCAGACGATATATACACGATCTGCCAGGCCTTGCGGATACCCAAGTTTTCTGTTCTTGCACACTCGGCAGGCGCAGTGTATGCGCTCGCAACAGCCTTGCGTATGCCACAGCACATCAGGGGCAAAGTGCACCTTCTTGCACCCTGGATCCCGCCTTCGCAAATGGCACCGATTGGGGTCCACCAAAATGCAGCGCCTGGTGGTCAGCTTCCGCGCGCGCAACGATTTCTTAGAACACTACCACCGTCGATCTTGAAGATTGCAAATGCATCCTTTCTTAGCACGACGAGTGCCAGTATCACGAGAAGCATGCCCAAGTCGCCGGCGGGGAAGACGAAGAGAAAGAGCACCGGTTCCAGTGCGCCTCAGGCGCCACCCAGAGGATCGATGGCACAGACGCGACAAGAGTCGATGGCTCGCATGGATCTGATCGCGCCAAATTCGAGCGCGCTCAACCTGACACCGAGTAGCCCGAGTGCAGACAAGTTTGAGGCCACGGTGGAAGTGCAGAAGGCCAAGGATGAAGCAGCACAGCAACGGCGGGAAGCGTTGGATGAGAGGCTGACATTTGCCATCTGGGAGAGAGCGACTACGAATGCGAACCCGGCGACAGACTTGATTGTCTGTCTGGAGACGCGATATCCGATTGGGTTCCGGTATGAGGATATAACACGAGGGGTTGTGATACACCACGGAAGCAAAGACAGTCGCGTACCAGTGGAAAATGTGCGTTGGCTTGGTCGGATTATGCGGCGGTGCGAAGTACGAATCCTGGAGGGAGAATCACATGGGCTGATGGCCAATCCCATTGTGATGGGCAATCTGCTGATGGAGATGTCGAAGGAATGGGAAGACTGGACGGCAGCGGTCGAGCACAGTTCCAGAGCAGCCAAGAGAGCTTCATGAGACGAGATATCCTAAACTTGATCGATCTCTCAAGCTCCCATGTACCAATATCTTGGGTGTTGCATGAGGAAGTTGGATACCACACACGACCTTTTCCGGAGCGCGCGCGTTCTTCGACGGCAGAAGCAGTGTTTGAGCGATATATTTCAGTCTACTCGGACGTGGTTATATTAGTATTTGGATACCCTTGCGAGCATGTCTGGTTGAAAGTAGTCCCTGGGGGAAACAACAGGTTGGGGTGGGGGATGTAATAATCACTCCATAGGGGCGTGGCATGGCGAGTCACATACATAGATAATATCATGTTGGCATAGACGAGCGAGACTGGCGTTGATGTCTTTGAGACGATATTATATACTTGTAATTAGTGATGATAATAGATGAGTTGGCTAGTGAAGCGATTATACAGTGCAGGGGAGGCTAATATTAACGTTAGCTACACAGTATAGTGCTGTATGAGGCACTTGAGGCTAAAAGTGCGCCACTTAGCGGGGTCCCGGGGGGCGTTTTGGCGCTGAGAGCCCGGATCGACCAGCTATAACGGGCCGGTAGTTGGGGGCATTGGGGGGCATTTGGGGGTATTTTGGGGGGTATTGTGGCAGGGGGATCCCGCCCGTGAGTCGTGCCCGTTGCCTGGCGACAACTGCTCGAGTCTTGGCCTGCGCACAGAGTCAACACAATCGACGTCGAAACAGAAGTAGTCGATGATTTATTGTCCTCTCCTTCCTCTAATCCGATTAAAGAATTCCTCCGCGACTGATAGAGCCCCAAAAAAATAGTCCATCGATTGACAAAGCATAGAGTTCCGGTGGTGTCATTCATCAATCAATTGCAGCTTCCACCAGCCTCCTCAATTAACTTCTTTGTTCGCACTAAGCATAGTGAGCCGCCCTCCCCTCGGTGGCCGGAAAAGAGGCTGGGAGTGTGGTTGGGAGGACCAGCGAAAGACAAGCAAAGAATCCAAACCCCCGCCCACTTCTGCACAATTCTGCAACTGACTGCTAAGTTACACACTTTTCACTGCTATTGCAAATCTATACTGACCTATCTTCTTCTTCTTATTCTGATTGCGACGTCAATTGTTGCTGCTTTTTCGCACGACGTTTGACCCGAGAAAGAGTATAGAGAGAGAGAGAGCTATAGTAATTAGAGCTCCCACCACCCTCACAGAATCCATAAACCCCGCGTCCTCTCCGATATTCGACTTCCCAGCCAGCTACAGACGCCTTTTCTATTCTCCCAGCAGCTGCGACTTGCCTCACAATATCCTTCCGACCTACCTCCTCTCGCCTCTTCTCAACCTCCTACCATCTTTCGTTCCTCAGCCATCCCCATCTTCGAGCTGCTTCGTTGCTCGAGGATCGCCAGGATGCTCCTCCCCACCGCCGCCCTTCTTCTGACTGCTTCACGTCTTGTCGCAGCAAACCCAGTCTACGCACTCGTGCACAGGAGCGTCGTGCTCGTCGAGAGAGCAGGATGTGCCAACCCGTGCGGCTGGGAAGGATGGCTCTGCTGCGCCGAGAGCCAGCAGTGTCAGGTCGTCAACAACCAAGCAACCTGCGCAAGCGGTGCTCAAGTCACACAGGCTGATAATGGCTACTGGCAGTACTGGACATCAACATATGTCGAGACTGATCTGGTCACCAAGACTCAAGTCTACAGCTCCTACGTTGGTGCTGCATCCCAACCCTCGCCGACGTCAGGTTGCACATACGCAAAGTGTGGCAACAGCTGCTGTGGTCAGGGTCAGTACTGTAATGATCCCAGTACAGGCCAGTGTATGAACAACGACGGTGGCGCCATAACTCAGAGTCCGTTTCCTCCTCTCCGACCTACAAGCTCCGGTCTCACTGTGATTACAGCTACCGTTTCGCCCACCATCACCGTTCCGTTTGAGAGCACCGTCCCGACTGGCACAAACGTGAGCGTGAGCGGCAGTGGAGGTGGTGGTCTCAGCGGTGGTGCTATTGCTGGTATCGTCATTGGCGTGCTGGCTGGCACCATTCTGCTGCTGCTCATCTGCCTCTTCTGCTGCGCTCGAGCCATCTTCGATTCTGTTCTCGCCATCTTTGGCATCGGCGGCAAGAGGCACGTCCGTGAGGAGACAAATATCGAGAGTCACCACTCGCATGCCGGCGGTGCAGCTGGTGGCCGAAGATGGCACGGTCAAGGTCCCACGAGGCCAACAAAGGAGACCAAATCTAAGTTGGGTGGTGTTGGCGGTGCCGCTGCTATTCTTGGTGGATTAGCACTCGCCCTTGGGCTGAAGAGGAAGCATGACCGGAAATACGACGACAAGAGTGACTACACTTCGGAGTACACCTACAGCGATTACACGACAAGCGAAAGTAAGTAGACTTGATCCCATCCTTGCTCTTCTCCTACTGACCAGAATCGCAGGCAGCGCAAGCTCTTCCGACCGACACACGCGAGACACGAGACATACACGGCGCTGAATATGTCAGAATAACCCCCTTTGTCTCATGCATTTTGCTTCAGCTGCGAGCATTCGGGTGAGCGTTGTGTAATGTGCTTGCACCACTTTTCTGCATTCGAGGTTTCTTCCTTTGTCTCCGGACCTCTGGCGTTTTCTCCGGCACCTACCTCGGTAGAGGGCATTGTGTCAATATTATTGGGTCATGAAAATATGGGTTGCTGAATATCAATCAGTATGTTATGCCGTGGGGATGAGATGTATATTTCAAGGGACGCGCTCGTCAGTAAGGAGCAGGGGTAGATGAATCCGTGATGAGCTGGAACGGCGTTAGTATATTTACGTTGCGAGACCAAGCGGGGTCCGCACTCACATGAACAAGACGCTTTCGAGGGATTTCCAATTATCTGCCTCCGACTGTGACTGTGACGGCTGTAATGTGTTGAGTGATTTCGTCATGTCTTTGGCTGCCCTGACGGACTTGGCACTGACATCCACCTGCATAGGTACCTTACTGTACTACCTCAGGTCCCGCGGCCGCGCTAGCCCGCCCGCTGACTAACCCCAATCTCAACTTCGGGCAAACTCCCGACCTCACATCACGACGACATTCTCGCCCTCACCACCACCTCCTCGACCTCACCACCCCAACAGCCCGAGAGTCCACCTCTCGCTCAACCCTAACACGACCACGAGACCACCACCATCAAGACCATCACCAAAAATGTCCCTCCAAACCCTCTCCCGCAGCGCCCTGCGCACCACCACCACCACCACCACCACAACCAGCACCACGACAAGCACCACAACCCCCCGCCTAACAGCCCTCTCCCGCCCCTTCAAGCCCACCCACACACACCTCACACGCCTGACATCCATCACCGCCGCCGCCCCATTCAGCACAACCAAGAAGCTCCCGGGTGGCCACGAAAGCCACTACGACCCGCCCAGCGGCTGGCTCTTTGGCGTCCCGCCGGGGCAGAAGTACGAGAAGGAAGGGTGGGAGAATGTTTGGTTTTATGGGTTTTTTGGCAGCTTTTTGGTTGCGGGGGTGGCGTTTGCGTTTAAGCCTGATACTAGGTGAGTTTCCTTTTTTTGAGTTTTTTTCTTTGTTTTTTTAGGGGCTGGGAGAGGGAGGGGGAGGGGAGGGGTGAGATGAAAAACGGGGGATTAAAAAGTGATGTGTGCTGATTTTTGGGATAGTATTCAGACTTGGGCGTTGGAGGAGGCGCGGAGACGGCTTGAGGCGGAGGGGATTTTGGAGGATCCGGAGAGGAAGGCGTAGGTTTGATGGATGGAGAGTGACTGGGGTGTGAGGACGTGGAGGTCATGAGAATTAGAGGTTTTGCTGTAGAAGGGAGTGAAGGGGAAGTAGAGTGCAGAGGAGGAAGGGTGAGGGATTGAGACGCCAAGTGCGCACCACCGATGTGGAAACCTGAGATTGAGGAGCGAGAAAGAAAGAAAAAAAACACGAAACGGTGTATATATCTTCCCTATTTTTTTTTGGTTTTAAACGGCTGTCAGTGACTACTGGATGGCTGGCTGGCTGGGTAGAGTTAGTGCATGGTTTGGTATGGTATGGTATGGTATGAGGTACTGCGTCTATGCACCTTGATTTCTCTTTGATCGGTTGTGTGTTGTCTGTGTCGTGTTCGTGTGGTCAGTATGGATTGTTGTTGTAGTGCATGGGTTTCTAAGGACTCTTGTGAATTTGGGGTGGGTCGTCTGGGCCTTTGTTGGTTGTTGGTCTTGTTCGTTGCCTTGTTCATGGTGATGCTGTGTTGCGTTGCGTTGAGCTGTTTCTTTGTGCCTCGTCGTGTCCGTGTATCGTCGTGTCCGCCGTGTTCGCGGTAGATACATACATACGTGATATTCAATCTCGAGAAGTAGAGATTCTTCGCGCTATTATCTATCCCATACGTCCTTCTCTGTTCGTGTATGGATGGGTTCTTAGTCTTGTCTTGCTACTCTGCTCGGCTGCTGTGTACTGTTGACATGTACTGTTGACATGTACTGTTGACATGTACTGTTGACATGTACTGTTGACATGTACTGTTGACATGTATTACTATATACGAAGGGGGGAGAGGAAGAAGAAGAAGGAACGAAATCTTGTTTTTTCGTTGTGTGTTGTGTGTGTATATACTAGTTTTGGTTCTTTGGGTGTTGTTAAAGAGGGATATGATGTTGAATCTTGGGTTTTGGATCTTAGGTTCTAGATCTTAGGTTTTAGATCTTAGGTTCTAGATCTTAGGTTTTAGATCTGAGGTTTAGATCTTGGGTTTGTGATCTTTGATTTTGGGTTCTTACGATGTATGGATTTTGTAATTCGAGCATTGCGAGTACGTACACTCCCCCACCCCCCCTAAATCCAGCCATACAGCCGTCCATACACTGTTCTTGCCACTCCCTCCTCCTTGTTTCTCGCGATTCGTCTTCTTTTTGATAGCCTTACAGGTTGATTGAGTATACTACACACACGTACAAGCTCCTATTCGCACCCCTCATCCCCAACTTCATCTCCATCCCAACTCCCAATATCTCCCCAATCCCCCCCGCGCACCCCGCCCGTGCCGTACGCATACCCCTTCCCTCCACATTCGCCTTGTTGCGCATCATGCGTGCTACTGCCTGTAGTTGCCGTTGTTGGCGTCGGTGAGGGCGTATCTTCGGTATGTTCTGCTTTGGGGGATGTAACAGAAGGGGTAGTGGGAGAATGAGACGTAGACGGCGTAGAAAGAGTGTCAACAGGACTGTTATACCCGCCTCGACCTGCTGATTTAGGCATTCCGTCTTGCCCATGCTGTTCCAGACGCTCTCCCATCCCTCCCCCAGTCCCCCTCGCTTGTGGCACCCTCGTTTGTGGCGCCCTCGAAACTGGGCAGGGGCTCGAGATGCTTGAGACACTTGAGAGTCTTGAGATGCCTGTTTCGTCGGAGGCTGGGGAGGGGTTAAAAGGGGAGCAGAGGGGGTTTGGTGGATGCTGGGGTTGGGGTGTATGTGGATGTGGATGTGGATGATCTGGGGCCCGGGCGCGGCGGGTTATGTAGATGTGGATTGGATTGGAGGTTTGGATTGGGGTGTGAGGGGGCTTGGTTGTTGATGATGAGGTTGATGAGGTTGTTGATGTTAATGAGCTAGCGTCGTGGTGTGTGGGAGTGTGTGGGAGTGAGACGTGCTGAGGATGGACAGGGCGGGACTTGTGAGAGCTCATATCAGGGACATTGCGGCTGGTATTGTATGATGGTGGAGGAGGCCAGTATGGCATATCTGTGGGCATATTGGTGTATGGTTGGTTGTGTCCGGTGTGATTCTGCGGTGCATGGTTCGGACCAGAGGCGGTGTTTTGGGGTCCTCCGGGTTGACGGCCAGCATGTTGGGGATGGCTTTGTGGGGGCGTGGTTATGGTGTATACTGTTCTTTTGTAGCGTTGACTGGGAGCAGTTTTGTTTCTTCCGCCGGCGTAGTTGGTGCCACATGAAGGCTTTGGCTGGGCGTATGCTTGCTCCGGAATGTTGCTTCGCGCTCCAGGAGCATTTCCGGTCGGATATGTGGCCTGTGTGGGAGGCACATGTCCCGTGTGTCGTTGTGGTAGATGTGGATGGTGACTCTGAACAGGGGCAGTGTGTCTTTCGGAATCATGAGGCCTCTGAGACCGTAATGCTGGTTCGTCAAACGGCCACACAGGGGCGTAGTAGCCCTCGGGAGGGATATTTTCCTTGTTGTCGAAATCTGGACTGTGAGTGAGGCCATGCGAAGAAGATGTCGAATTATGTTGCGACCGTCGTCCAACTTGTGTTTTCATCTGCCCCGTCGCCTTGATACTCGGTAGACCGTCCTGTGTAGAGACAAAAGAAGCTTCTTCATCTGACCCATCCTGAGCATCAAGGCTCGACGGATCTCGGAGGACGTTGTCCAGGGACACATCAAGCCCATCCCCATGCTCTTCCTCATATCTTCTTTCCGTAAGACGCCGCCATCTATGTCGCTCGTCACTGTTCCCCTGTCCTCCCCCGGCATTTCCACTCCCTTCTCCCAAGACATATCGCTTACTGAACCCCTTGTAAGTAACCCTTCTCTCATAAGACCGCGTACAATCGCTCCAGACACGCTCATGATCGTCGTCTTTCAGACGGCGCTGATTCGCGACGATCTTGAGAGCCTTCATACGTCCTACAAGGCAGAGATCGTACTCGAATGTCTCGATACCTGTGCGGTGGAGGGTCGAGATTCGGAGGCACATAGTGGTCGAGATGACGGTGGGAGGCATTGGGGATGGAGGTGGAAGGGATGGATGGAATTTGGTGAGGTTTTGTATGTGATGGTACAGTGTAAATGCTTCGCATCCAAGGTGTGAGTGATGTGGAGTGTTGTTTGGTTTGGAAGGTTGAAAGGGGGTGTTCATGGACTTTGTCACGCGATGCAGTGTCACATGGTGATACCAATAGCACCTAGTAGAGAGTCTTTGTCGTTGGGTCCGCGCTCGAAGATGCATTATGCACCTAGATCAACGTGAAATCTACTATTCTGAGCGGACGAAAAGTCAGTATGTGTTCAATCTCAACCTGATATGTGTGATTCGAGACCCCCCGGAGTCGCGACTAATGCCGATTGCAAGTCACATCCGAAGGAAGAAATACAGCAAAACTGCTTTAGGCTATCCCGGATGAGTGCGAATCCACGACTGATAGGTGAGCCAATAGTAACAAGTCCAAATCGCGGTAGTATTATGTGCAGACGCCCGTAACCTACACTATGATATGTAGGGTCCTATCGACCAAATCCCGACTCCTTTTCACCGCGCAACAACTCCACCATCGCCTCGTAGTGCCTTCCATCCCCCTTCACCATCTCCACAACCCGCACCCACAGGACTGGCGCCCTGGGGTCTTCCGTGACGCCTGGCTCCGAGAACCGATATGTGCTCAGCGCGCCCTGCTCCGATGTCACCGGAAGCCCCGAGGCTTCTTCAGCCAGCACCTGCGCATACAAGAAGCGGAAGTCCGGATACCCTTCTGCGCGGCAAAACTTCTTCAGCCCCTTCTCGAGCTGCGTTATGGTGTAATCCTTTGTGCCCTTGGGCCCCGGCTTCTCTCGGCTCCTTCGATCATCAGCCGACGACAAGTCCTCTCGAGTTCCCCTGTCCACCGACATCCAGTCGGTGGCGCCACAGATTCTGATAACGTCGTTTTTGTCATCGTCCGTCAACTCCATGTGAGGAAGGAGTTTTTTGTAGTACACCTTCCTGCGCTCCTTCATGGCCGGCACATCTAGTATGTGAGGGTCCAGAGCGGCGACCAACGAGCCCGCAAGCGCCCAGGCACCACACGTCCGTCTGTTGCCAAGATCATCCGTACTTGGCGTGTCGCGTGGCCGAAGACGCAACGTTGTGATGTCAGATCTCACATACTTGCGGACGTCCTCGGGAACCTTGTTCCACAGTTTTGCCAGAACTGGGTTTTCGGCCACTGGGAGTTGAAGATATGGTACATCCTCAGGGGCTTGACTCCCAAGTGTGGTCTTTGAAGACGCCTGCAAGGGGGCGATGCTGGGGGCAGTCTTCTGTATCGGCTTCAGGGGCGCCACCCCACGAATGCTGCTTTGCGGGCGGACTGCTTCCTCGCCAGGTGGCAATCCAGAGATTGTCTTCTCCAAGACGGGCGGACGAGGCATCTCCCTGCTGGGACTGCTTTTAGCAGTCTTCTCCTGCTCAGCCAATTCCTTCTTGGCTTTCTGGGCTGCCAGGTAGCCCTCCCTCTCGTGGGACCAGTTGTATTTCTTCCAGTCCGACGTAGCAGTCCTCCGATGCGTTTGGCGGTACTTGTTCAACAAGGTCTGCGCATTGAAATGGACTTGGCTGCCTCGGATATGGCCGGTTAGTAGTCGCGAGCTGACGGGTGCTCCGGGTTCTGGATCTCCCATCCGCATCAACATTTGTCTGTCGGCGTATGCAGCCGCCCATGATAAAGGGTATTGGGGGCCCTCTGGAAACTCCGGCTGTATATACCTAGGTGGTACTGGTGGCGGCGCTTCGTCTGATATGTCTTCGTTGTAGTTGTCGGACAAGCCATTGTAGAGTATGCTCATCAATTTCAACATAATCCAAAGGACAAGTAGGGCAATCGGAGCTTTGATAAAGTAGTTGTGAGTTTCTCCAGATGGAGCGGTAGTATGGGTAATATCAGGGGGAAGGAGGACATCTGGAAGGTCGGCGTATGTCTTCGACCCGAAGTGGTTTCCGAGAGGCGGGACATTCGGGCGCGGAAGATCGATGGTCGGTGCTATGAGGGGTGAGAGTTTGGTAGAGGGAGGTGAATGTGCAGTGACTGGGTTGCGAACGACGGCTTCATAGACACTTGTCTCAATATCTCTCCCCCAGTCGCTGTCATCCTCATGGGCCCAGGTGGTTGTGATTGAGTGACCCTGAAGTTCAAAGGCAGAAGTCACCTTCGTGGGAGGATATATGGGGGTCTGTCGTGAATGATGTTGATGTGGCGTTTGTGTTGGCAGCGAGGACTCCTGATCAGCTGTAGTCTTTGGCGACGCTGCTTTCGACCGGAATGCACTCTTCTCTTGTGCAAGCTCCGCTGCCACTATACTTGACTCATCGTGGTTTGTGAGCTGTGCTCCCTGATCCGTCGCTGGCATTGCTGCCGCGGTGATCTTCCCCTTGTTCGTGTTCCTCTTCCACCAGGAACGATTTGCATCAGCGATTTCCTCGGCGACCGCAAGTTCCAGCCTTGCAATTCGCTTTTCGGTGTCTCTCTTGTCGACGAATGCGTTTCGTGTCTGATGTGAGTATATGGTCAGTTGCCTCCGAGACTCATATGTTCTGCTCTGATCGCCCAGTTTTGAGATGTCCTGGACGACAACTTCGTATTCCATTTCTCGCGACAACAAGGCATGGTAATACTCGTTCTTCTCGATCAGTGATTCGCGGAACACTCTGAGCTGGGCAACAGCCAGCGACTCTTCCTCCATGGTCGACATAGTTGCATGTGGAAGTACGACAATGTGTGAAATATCTGCCAAAGGCTGGAGGGAACATGCACGTGGAGGAAAGAAGAAGAGCGCAAGGCAAATAAAACAAGGCTACTGGCCCTGGAGGGTAGCATATGATTTGTCATGCGTAGAATTTTGAAACAGCTGTGAAAGTGAAGTGAAGCTATTATGTGTCGATTGACATTGTTTGTGTTGGACAAAGAGTCGTCAATGAGTTGCGCGCACAGGCGGATCATTCACCACTGCGTGCATGAAAGGAACACAATAGGACTGCGTCATGCCTCTGGGCCAATTTTCAATACGTCGTCAATTCACAATAAGCCTGACAACTTCGTCCCTATGCAATTGTATCCCTTGTGCCGGCACGTCTATTGTTGAGACGATACGCCCATGTTGCTCAAGAACGGAATGTGTTCAAGTTATGCAATTGAGAGATATTTAGACCCCTTTCATAGGTTGTAAAATGGGATTGCTGAGGTCTCATGAATGACCCTGTAGTGGTCAGTGGTTGTCAATCGTACATAGATGTGAATGCGATCTCTACATACTCGGCCAAGATCCCTGCCGCATTACTCATCCGAATGCTCTCCAAAGGAGCTAGTAGCTGGAATGCAAGCTCTAGTCCAGCTATCTGCTATACTGCACAAGGAACACGCCTACAACCAGTCCCAGTATTACTATTGCGAGTTCTGCGAAGTTCTCTGGCAGCACCCGCGCCACGGGCGGACGGACTTTGGTACTGGACATTTGCCGTATCTCAGTTTCCAGACGTTCGGCCATCTTTGACTTTGAGAACTCGGCCTCCACTCGGGCCTTACCCATCTTTCCCATGCCATTTAATTTGGCAATATCACTTTTGTCGTCGCTCAGAGCGGTGCGCATTACTGAAGTCCAGTCATCTGCACGCCTCACGTCTCGAAGCCACCCTGTCACACCATCGATAACAGTCTCGGTCGGTCCTCCTTCATTTGCGGCAAGTACGGGAGTCTCTGCCAACATAGCCTCCAGTGGAACGATGCCGAAGTGCTCATTTCGAGGGGTGTAGACAAGTAGACGTGCATGCTTGAGGAGTGCCGTCTTGAAGGCACTCGGAACGGAATGGAGAAAGAGCACATCGATCTCTGCGGGAATTGATAATGCGCTTATGACTGTCTTGGCCGTCGAAGTCTTCAAATTGAGAGAGGTCGCCAGCTTGTCCAGGGATGCATGTGTTGTCTTGTTCTCGGCATTACGCGGGTCATAACCTCCAGCTATGATTAGTCTAGAGTTGAGCCTCTCAGTCTGATCGAGACCTGCGAAAGCACGAATCGCAAGACCGACATCTTTTTTCGCCTCGAACCTATTGATGCTCAACAATGTCTTTATGCCACCCCATAGCTGATCACCGTGATCGATTGGGGTTTCCCCGTGATGTACATCATTCTGCTCGGTGTCCACGCAAGGGTACACCACTCCGGGTTGTCGCTGCTTGAGTCTGGGGAAGACCTGTGCAAAAACACTCTTCGTAAAGTTGCTATTGACCACTATGGTGTCGCTGCATCCTGTGCTCCAGCTTTCTAGCCAGTCAAACGGCAGCCTGTACAACGCTTTTAACGTTCCCCCTCTTTGTGCCAACAGCTTATCTGGAAAATGACAGTAGAAGATCACTCGAACATGCCGCTGAACGAGACGTAGGAGGGGCACACCCGCACTCAATTGGTCGATGAAGAAGGAATCGGGTTTGAGGTCGTTCAACTCAGAGGATAGTAGCGAAATTTGCAGGATCAGGTGAAGTTGCCTGAGGATTGCGCATAGGATCCAGAAGCGGCCGAGAATAGTCTGTGGGACAATGGAATTCCCCCGTACTCGAACGTCGAGAGTACCTTTGATCACAAATGGTCTCAGCTACCTTCTCGGAGCATGAGTGGGTATGCTAGAATGCCGCGGGCTATCTCTTACCGTCTCGCGCCTCTTCGAAACAATGCGAACGATCGCAATGCGAGGTGAATATAGTGACTTTGTGTCCTAGATTTTGCAGGCCCACAGCAGCGTCGACTATCAGACGCTCAGCCCCTCCGATGCCAAGGTCGGGGTGGAAGAAGACGATGTTCTGGCGCATCGATTTCATACTGTCGAAGGGAATCAATGATCCATTGCACTTCTGTGAGATGCCGACGGCCACCAAGACGGTGGAGGATATATCAAAGCAACGTTGCAGGTGGACAAAGCGCGACGTTGACGCGGAAGGCTTGGCATTTGGTCCACCACGTGCCAGGTATCCGCGTGGACTAATTACTACAACAGCAACAGCACTAGCAACAGCAACAGCAAGTGGACAGTGTAACTCATAATTCTTTCGTCAGATATTCACTAGACTGTCCATGTGTGAAGACAAACGACTGCCGTGGAATCATACATGTCGACGGCGCAAAGGCCTACAAGCCAACCATCACCGCTGCAACTGTCGAAGATGAATCGATGATAGACTTGTCGCAAACCTGCCTGTCATTTTGCAGCATTAGCATCGACCGTCAACATGGGCCAAGGCTACTCAGTCACCACTCTGTCTGCTGGGTCAGCCGGTATCGATGCCCAGGAGCTGGCCGATCTGACATACGAGAGGTCTCTTGGGAATGCTCGGTTCATGAAGACTATTCGTGCTCGGCATAGAGATGGTTTGGTCGTCGCAAAGGTCGTTATGAAAGCGTATACAAGTATGGAACTGAGCAAATACGTGAAGATACTATTGTGTATAGTCGTCCATGAGCCTCTCGGTAACGTTTCCTGACCAAACCTAGATGAGCGCAAACTCCTCGCAGAAGTTCCAAATGCTTTGGGTTATCATCGGATTCTAGAGACAGGCACAAACGGTTATCTGGTGCGACAGTACATCCATAGCTCACTTTACGATCGTATGAGGTAAGTCGTGATTTTGATATTCATCCAATATGCTCATGTTAACAGTACGCGTCCCTTCCTGGAAGATATTGAGAAGAAATGGATTGCTTTCCAGCTGCTTTGCGCCGTCAGAGACTGCCATGCGCGTAACATCTACCACGGCGACATCAAAACCGAGAACATCCTTGTGACCTCGTGGGGATGGCTATATTTGTCCGACTTTTCGTCCTCCTTCAAGCCCACTTACCTACCAGAAGACAACCCAGCCGACTTCTCCTTCTATTTCGACATTTCTGGTCGCAGAACGTGCTATCTAGCCCCGGAGAGATTCTTGTCATCAGGGACGCAACCAGATGACTCAGGCCGTATCAACTGGGCGATGGATATATTCAGCGTTGGATGTGTCATCGCCGAGCTGTTCCTCGAGACCCCTATCTTCTCGCTAAGCCAGATCTTCAAATATCGCCAAGGAGAGTATGATCCAGATCACGTGCATCTAAACAAGATTACCGACAAAGACATTCGTGAATTGGTCCGTCACATGATTCAAGTCGAGCCAGAAGCACGATATGCTGCCGATGAGTATCTCAATTTCTGGCGAAAAAAGGCATTCCCTGACTACTTCTACAATTTTCTGCATCAATATATGTATGCCATTACAGATCCAACATCGGGCAGAAAAGCAGTCAGTTCTGGACATGAAAATTTTGGCGAATCTGACGACCGTATTGAGAAGATCTACAATGACTTCGACAAGATCTCGTACTTCCTGGGGTCAGACAACGGACCAGAGCAGTCAAAACCTGTGAATGCAGCACCTAGAGCAACCGGGTCTTTGTTTCCCCTACATATCGCCATCCCCAATTACAAACGTCAGATCAAGGTCGCCCATCCAGCAGTCGATGATGGTACATTGATCTTTCTAACCCTCATTGTATCTTCTATTCGTAGCACTGCACGCGCCAGTGCCCGAGTTCAAGCTTGTGAACTATTACTTGCCTTTGGCGAGCGAACTACAGACGAGGCAAAGTTGGACCGTATTGTACCGTACATTATGTCGCTTTTGGTGGATCCCTCCGATCTGGTAAAGGTCGCAGCTTTACGAACTTTGACACAACTGGTATGATCACACCGCGCCCCCCTGCCAAGTCCTTACTGATATGATGCAGCTTACCACGGTCAATGTTGTGTCTCCGATCAACGCATCCATATTTCCAGAGTACATAATGCCTCGCCTTCAACCATTTGTACCGGGTCATAAGTCAAAGCCCAGCGCTCTGATTAGAATGACATATGCGACATGTCTTGCACCTTTGGCAACAACGGCAGCCCGATTTCTGGATATGATGCAGGCTCTAAGAGCAGACGGGACGTTGCCAACAAGCGACCCGGAAGCAGAGAGCGACACCATCAGCGATTCCGTCTATCAAAACCTCTTTGATGTGGCACGAATGGATCTAGTGAATCAATTCGAAACCCAGACTACAGCTTTGTTAGCAGATACTGACTCAGCTGTCCGGAGAGCATTTCTCGGCTCAGTGTCAACGTTATGTGTTTTCTTTGGAAGTACAAAGGCCAGCGACGTCATTCTGAGTCACTTGAATACATATCTCAACGACAAGGACTGGATGTTGAAGTGTGCATTCTTCGAAACCATAGTCGGCGTTGCCACGTATGTTGGAGGCGCGAGTCTGGAAGAATTCATACTTCCTCTCATGGTACAAGCGTTGACTGATCCGGAAGAATTCGTTGTGGAGCGGGCCCTTAGATCGCTATCGTCTATGGCCGAGCTGGGGTTGTTCCAAAAGTCCAAGACGTGGGAACTGGTCGATGTTGTTGCGCGGTTCACCATGCATCCAAACCCCTGGATACGCGAAGCAGCAGCGCAGTTTGTCTCTGCTGCCACCACCTATCTCTCAGTCGCAGACAGCCACTGCATAGTAGTTCCACTGATAAAGCCTTATCTCAAAGTTCTTCCTTCTGATCTCTCCGAATCACGGCTACTCGACGCGTTGAAAAAGCCACTACCAAGGCTTGTACTTGAGATGGCCTCGAATTGGGCCCTGACTGCAGACAAAGGTCTCTTCTGGGCTCATGCGAGGCAACAGAAGACATTCGTTTTTGGATCTGCGGATGAAACTATACCCACGGTATCTGCGAAAGATCTTGGGCCACAGGCTTTGAGCCGCATGCAAAAGAACGAGGAAGATGAGCAATGGCTCACACGCCTGCGAAATGCAGCCATGTCAGTTGAAGACGAGGTCAAACTTCTCGCTTTGCGGGAGTACATATGGCGCGTGTCTCATCGGAGAGCGAAGCCAGAATTCGAAGACGAACCTACACAGTTCAATCGCGTCATAAATCTCATTGACGATCTCAAGATCAACCTTCAAACAGTTTTCTTTGATGAAATTAACAAGGCTTTCGAAGAAGGCAATAGCGCGAAACAACACGACGATAAGGGTCCGCGGACGATCACAGATGCTTTGCTGGATGCATCCACCAATGCAGAAGACCCGCTGGCGCATAGGAGAGCCTCACATATCAACAGTCGTGCAGAAAGACTTGCGCGAGAGGATCGCAAGCGGCGTGCCTCAGACACATCCATGCAAGCGACCTCACCAATCCCTACAGACGAGCCTTCCACCGACGAAGGTAGTCGACGCGAGTCTGTGCAAATGCGCAAGTCCCGTAGCCAGGCCTCACCAATTGAACAGTCTCCAGTAGGCTCTGTAGGTACCATCAAACTTGGTGAGAACGGTCTTGGGATTTGGTACAAGGGCAGTGCCATCAGTCTCCTGAGTCGAGGGGACTTGGGGAGCAAAGCCTATGCCGAAACATCGACAACATCAGCCAATGCATTCGGCAAAGTCGATGGAGGTTCGTCGCGGGACGCATCAACAAGACGTCGAGCTGCCTCTCCGCCTCTCGCGATCGCCCAGGAACGCAACAAGATCGACCCGAAAACGATCAGATACCAGTCAGCGCATTCATATACCGGGCATGACCCAAGTATACTGAAGCTGCTCGACACGCTCTTCTTGGAGAACTACCCGGTAGACTACACAGAATTCGGCCCTACCGTCGCCAACTTCAGCATGCGGCAACCCATCCGTCGCGACACAGGTCAAACCAGCAACACCCCTTGGCGTCCCGAAGGCGTGCTCGTTGCCATGCTAGGCGAGCACACCGCAGCAGTGACCCGCCTCGCCGTATCGCCAGACCACGTCTTCCTCGTCACCGGCTCCGCGGACGGGTCCGTCAAGATCTGGGACACGGAACGCCTCGAACGCAACCTCACCCACCGGTCCCGCCTCACCTACACGCTCTCCCCCGGCGCCGCCGTCACAAGCCTCTGCTTCCTCGAAAACACCCACTGCCTCGCCGTCTCCGGCTCCGACGGCAGCATCACCATCCTCAAGATCCCCGTCACCAAGATCAAAGACACCACCCGCTACGGCAAGATCCTCGTCCTGCGCGAATACCAACTCGACACCCCCAACGAACACACCACCTGGTCCGAACACTACAAACTCGACGCCCACTCCATCCTCATCCTCGCCACCTCCGCCTCCCGCATCCTCGCCCTCGAACTCCGCACCATGGCCCTCCTCTACGAGCTCAGAAACCCGCTCCACCACGGCTCCCTCTCCGCCTTCGTCCTCGACCGCAGACGCCTCTGGCTCCTCGCCGGCACCTCCCACGGCGTCCTCGTCCTCTGGGACCTGCGCTTCAAACTCCGCCTCCGCGCCTGGGGTCTCCGTGCCGCCCTCCCCATCAACCGCATCTGCCTCTACCCCTCCCCTCCCTCCTCCTCTCCCTCTTCCCGCTCCTCAAAGGCCGCCCGCCGCATCATCATCGCCGGCGGCTCCGGCCCCACAGACATCTCCGTCTGGGACCTCGACAAACGCACCTGCTCCCTCGTCTTCCGCGCCGCCGCTCACCCCCATCCATCCCCGAGCCCTGGCTCCACCCCCGCCATCTCCACCCCCACCACTTCCAAATCCACCGCCCTCCGCGCCCCAGAACTCATCGACATCGACGACGAACGCCCCGGCGGCATGCTAGGCCGCTTCGCCGGCTCCGTCGAGCCCGCGCCTTCAAGCACCAGCAGTAACAACAACAGCACCAGCAGCACCAGCAGCGGTGTACGCGCAATCGCCGTCGGCGCACATGTCCCTGCTGACAGCAGCAGTGGTAGTAGTAGTAGCAGTGAGCCCAAGGGCTTCTTCGTCATCAGCGCAGGCCCAGACTGGAAAGTCCGCTTCTGGGACGGCACACGTGTGGATCCTGGCGCTGGCGTGGCGGGGAGTGGGAATACCAGTTCTGTCATCAGCGGCCTGGAATACGAAGAGGGGAAGCCCGCGTATGAAGTGCGGAGGGCAGAGGGGAGTATAGGAGGGACGGTCGGGGTCGGGGAGACGGTTGTTGTGGTGGAGAAGGCTGGGGGTCGTGCTGGTGGTAGTGGTATTAGTAGTGAGGAGAGGAAGGGGAAGAAGACGGGCACGGGAACGGGAACAGGGACGGGCAAGACGGGCAAGACGGGCGTGGTGAGTGTGCAGCAGCAGCATTTGTTGCAGAGCCATTTGGATGAGATTATGGATGTGGCGCTGGTGGAGTGGCCGTATGGGATGGTGGTGTCGTGTGATCGGGCTGGGTTTACGTATGTTTGGCAGTAGGGCCTGTTGGTGGTGGTGGTGGTGGTGGTGGTGGTGGTGGTGGTGGTAGCCTTACAAGAGGAGGTAGTTGGTAGTGAAGAGTAGATAGTGAATAGTAGATACTAAGTAGTGAGTAGTGAGTAGTAAATAGGATTGATAGAACCTAAGTGGTCAGCCCTTTGGGGGTTCGGTCGCACAGCATGCGAATCGTCAGATCGGTTTTGATTCTACATGGTAGGTAGGGTTAGTAAGATTCGCTCCAAAAGTGAAACATATTTTCTATTTTCTTGGCCTCACTCAAAGGAGAAACTTTCAGTAAATGTAATTCAATTATTGAATCAGGTATCTTGGTATCATTTCTATGCTACTCACACGCAGCCCCCGTCATGTACAATGCGTCGACGTCGTCCTTTGTCGCAACCCCCCCAAAAAAAGCTTTCCCCGGCAGATAACGCCTGCCGCCCAATGCTCCGACTTTAAACCCTACCATCCTTCCATAAGATTGTGCAGGGCCTGCCGCCTCCAAGATGACAGATATTCAAAACCTCCCCAAACAGTGTATCTATAAATGCAGCAGACAGAACCGAAATGGCGTTCATCGACGCGAGAAGACATTAAACAGTACCAGTACCAGACACCATGCCAGTGCCTTCACGCGTCGATATAACTTAATGATACAGAGAAGATGAAGAAGAAAGATAAAACACAACACGCTCAGGAAGTCGTACCATAATTTGAAAAGATATATAGACAAATGGAAAAGTATTTCTGTTTAAAAAAAATCGTAGCACGAAAGAGATCTAGACAGCCAATGAAAGTCTACAACGAACTCTGAGCCGAGCTGAATGAAAAAAAAAGAAAAAAGAAAACGTAGCAATGAAACTGATGAACATGTACCTGCAGGCTCCCAATATGACCAGTCATTACAGTATTGATCTTTTCCGTAGCCTGCCAAGCTATCGTACTCGTTCAGGCCGATAAAAACGCCGTCGTATGCGAACATGCCAGGAATCTCCAACCGTATCGCTATGAGTAAGAGATCAAAAAAATTGTTGAGACTGAGATGAATTCAAAAGTGGGTTTGGTGCCACGTAATGGCTTTGGTAGGGATGGTGCGGCATGGTGAAATCGGCGTGTGATAAGATTGGATTGAGAATGCCCGGCTGAGGACGGCGACGTGTTTGATTTGGAGCGGAAGACATCGAGGTCGAAGGCTGAAGTGTCAACACTGGACCTGTGCTCGACGATGGATATGATATTGGCATGGTGAGATGTGGTGATGGCTGTGTGTGATGAGTTGGAGGTGTCTGCCGAGGGGGCTGGGCTTGGGATGGCGACGTCTCCGCGTTCCAACCCCACTTCTCCTTGAGCTCTTTGTACACGAATCCAACGTTCCAGCCGGTTTCCTTACGAATCTTGGTGAAAATCTGCAGGACCTCCTCCTGCTCTTGACGAGTCGTAAGGCACTCGGCGGCAATGGCAAGAGAGCGAAGAGCGACGCTGGCGACACCCCTGGGCTATGTTAGGAATGACTGCGAGGATGACTTTGTACTGAAAACGAATGAAAGGGTCTGTCACCAACCTGTCCTTGACGTGAGCAACTATGCCGCAGACTTGTTGTGAATGCCGATTTTGTAATTCGTGCATCTCGTTGGATTCAACCGGCATCAGTGGGTTGATCTGGGCCATCAACACCATGGCTGTATGGTAGAACAATCGAGCAACGATTGTGGCGCGCTTGATCAGCCAGACTTCGGGAAAGGCCGATTGGGATATCGTCTGCCCAGGATGGAGATAAGCCATTGGATGCATGGTTCTTGGAATGTTGTCGTTCCAAGCATCACACCAATCCTTTAGCTTCCTCCATTCACTGTACCTGCTCTGCAAACGCATCTGTTCGTTATGCGGAGAGGAGTCCTGGTATCTGGGGATCGAGGAGCGAAAGTTACAGATCTTGGCAACAATATACACAATACGATGTGTCCAGATCTCCTCGCGACCAGGTTCGGTCTCCCGGTGGAAGTCCATATCGACACCCCAGTCATCTGGATCCCATGCGACCTGCCAATTAAAGTGCAAACAACTGAGCAGCTCCATGCCAACGTTCAGCCAGAAGCACGCAGCGCCAACACCAGTTGACTTTGCGTTCCATCCGCACTCTTTGATCAAAGCACGGGCACCGGCAATGTGGTTCATACGCTGGAGAGCCTTCTCGCACATGATCTCATAGACGTTCAGGATGACGGCTGTGGTGGCACAGATGATGGTGTTGCGGTTTGGATTTTGGAGCGAATTAAGTAGATATCTCGTTGCGGTATCGTAGAAATGCAGCGCTTTGTCTTCACTGTACTTTGCGTTGACAAGTGTCAGATGTCGTGCACCACATGCAAGGAACGCATTGAGTAACATCGGCTCATGTAATGAGTGAAAAGGCAACAGCCGCGAGAACTACGGGCACTTGTTAGCTGGAGTGATCATGCAACTGGGTAGCAGTGAGGGCGTACATGTTTTTGCGGATCCATGCTGTCCATCCACAGGCCCACTTCTTCGACAAAGACTTGCATATACAGAACTTCGTCTTGCGACGTGAGGTAGTCTCTAGTTTCATCAGCTGGGGCAACTGTTCGATCGGCGACGCTGTAGGCAGACTGTGGTAGGTTTGTAAGGGGGGTATGTGAGTAAGTCGATTCCGTGTTTGAGGGCGCAGGGTGATGCTGAGGGTGCCTCGGCTGTTCCCAACTTAACTGCTGAGACTGATCTTCCTGATAAGGCTCAGGAAGGATGCCTTGGATTGGTGGTAAAGGTTGATGTGCGACTGTGGGAGCGGGTAGTGTATTGTTCGTGGAAAAGTCGAATGGAGCATCATGAGTGAGGGCAGTGACAGGCTCTGTCTCTGGCAAGCTATACTTGCTGAGCCCGCCTTTATACTCAGACGCGATGTCCCGGGACTCGTCAAGGAATTGGACAGTCCAGTCCTGCGCTTGTGGAATGATTGGAATCGCCTCGCATTTCGTGTCGATAAAGTTCAGGCGTACACCGCGCTTGCAAGTTCGATTCGACTTTGTGCAGTTTTGACAATTAGGCAATCCTTCGTCACACTTCAGATGTCGTTCTCTGCACGTCAGACAGCCTGTCCGTACACGCTTCGGTTTCTTAGAAGCCTGCGCATCGCCGCCCGGAGCAGAAGCTGCGCCTCCACGGTCGTTGTCTGCCATCGCACCCGACTGACGACGATTATGTGAAACCGAGCTCTTTTTTACGCCGGCAGATGACGTTTTCCGGTTTTTGTGGCCTCCTCCCCGAACCGGAACCGGGTTTGGCGCAGCTGGAAGAGCAAAGCTCGAGACTGTGCTCGCGCTGCGCCCTCGAGGCAATTGATTTGTGTGGTCGCTCGCGTATGTCAGATCTGGAGTCGTCACAGCGGATATATTTGTGGGTGGGTTGTAATAGTTTGTGGTGTAAAAGTACTCCACGGTGGGTTGATAATAACCCTGAATGTCAATTGACGTAGCCACGATGACGACTGCGGAGGTGTTTTGGCGATAGTAGCAGGAAGTGAAGAGTGTTGTGGGGGCGCGAACCTGATGGAGGATATATCTTCAGATGGCCGCATTCGTGGAGAATCCTGGTAATTATCTCGCAGGGGTTCGTATACGGGAGAAAGTCTATACAAAACGGAGGATCGAATAGCCGGATGTAGTAGGGTCGCGGGGGTGGTACGGTGCAGGGTGAATGATGACGCCTGGGCGCAGAGGATCGGAACGACGGAGGGCGGGAATGGAGAGAAAAGATTGAGCGAAGGCAACAAAGCCGTAACCTGAAGCTCTTGAAGAGCTTACAGGAAGAGGGACGAGCAGGCCTCTCTCGTTTGGTAGAAAGAAAGAAGAAGAAGACGAAGACGAAGAATGGAACGAAGATAATTACAGCACCACCGAGGCGGAACCAGCTCAGCGCGCGTTCACGTAAGTAATTTAATCGATTTTAGCTCTGCTTCACTTTCTTTTCCCACCTGCAGCACTGGGACTGAGCAGGCACGAGCAATGAGCTAGGCCGGATGCGGAATGACGGCGGCGGGGAAAGCTGAGGCGAGAGCGCGTGGTGTGGAGTGCGGAGGAGTTTAAGGCGATCGGCCAAGACACACTTACAACACACACACAACCACAACCTTCTGCAACTCTTTTCTGTCCCGACGACAGCTCGCTGATGGCAGCACAATCTTCCTGTTGTAGATCGTGGACTTGCGCAGTCTGCTATCTTGTCTCAGGAGTCCTAGCAGTCCGAGTGAAGGCGGTGGGTGGAGAGGGGGCGGACGGAGACGCAGGGAGGGTTAGGATTCTGGAGCAGTCGTTTGTATGCAGCTTAACGTTAGGGCAAGCTGCTGTTGCTGCTGGACTCGGTCTGGGCCAACGCAGCTTTAACACTGTCGATTTGTCGAGAGTTCTAGGCTGCTTCCAGCGAAAGACGGATGCTTCGACTTCCTAAATTACCTCGACCTTTCCTTCTCCCTTTCCAGCTTATGGCCAAGGAGCACTCTTTGAGCCTCGACAGGCGCACACACAAAAGCAGAGGGCAAGTATAGGCACTGCGAGGTGCGAGGATGATGACCCGGCAGGGCTGTTGTGACACGGAGCTGCGTTCGTTCTGCAAGGAGTCGTATTGTTTGTGAGGGAACGATGCAACAGCTATGACGGTCGCGAGATTGAACAGCTGTGTTTGCTGCGTGGCCAATGAGTGATTGGCGATGAATTGCGTATGTATTCAGATTGGCCCGCACCGCAGATTGGACAGGCGGAGAATCGATCAGGTACACGCTGTGTCGGTTGGACGGTATGTGCCTTGAGCTAGTCCCTTAAGCTTGTTCTCGATGGGTTCTCGAACGTCTAGGAGCAATTCGCGCTGATCCTATACGGAAGATGGTCGGATATTTGATAGAGGGTCTTCTGGCGAATTAGTCAATTGATGTTGGTGCAGATGTTGATGTAGTGCGGGAACAATGAGAGGGGAAAGGTATCATGGACAGAGAAGCATCCTAATATTAAAGCCGTATGGAAGAGTAGCAGTAGGTTCCCGATATACACAGCCCACCGTGTCCAGTCCCAAACGAGAGTATCAAGCGTGAGCAGAGGGGGGGCTGTTGCAGCGTCTTGCATGCAGCGTACTAAAGTAGGGTTTTTTTTGTGCGTGCCGAGGATGCTTCCAATTATTGCTCACAAGTAGTAGGTTTGTGTATGTGTGTATGTGTGTGTGATAGTAATAGATGGCATGCTGAAGTGTATGCGCATCACGGAAGAAAAGCTGCGAGCCGCCAGCGCGGCACCGAACAGTGGAATGGTGATCGCAGGGTAACCCCCCCCCCCCCCCCCCCCCCCCCCCCCCCTCCCCCTCCCCCTCCTTCACCATCCCTCCGCCCACTCAGCATCAGTCTTTTGTCTGCCGTGGTGCTGGCGTGCAGCTGCGTCTGCGTCTGCGTCTGCATCGTCTGCATCTGACTAAACCCACACTCTATTACAAGACTACTACAAGCACCTCGATCGGTGCAAGATGGTAGTAGTGGTGGTGGTGCTGGTGGTGGTGGGTGTGAAGGATGGATTGCAGCATACTAAGCTCCCCCCCCTCCACCCCCCGGACACTGCAATTCCCAAAATAACTCACCATGGATAGATAGCTGGCTGGCATCATTGTTTTTGGGCGAAGCTGTCAGATTGGCCAGCCTTGTCCCTTGTCTACTCCAGAGGACCGGGAAACATGCCATCATGCTCTCCTCTACTGCTGCTCATCGAAGGCTCTTCATTGTTCTTTGCCGTTGCTATTGGTGCCTGCACGTCTTGCCTACTCCTACTTCCCTGCACACATACCTGACTGCTCACTCACATCCACATCACATCACTCCATCACCTAAGCCTCCATCACTGCAGCTCCAAACCACTCCGAAACAATGCCGCAGCGCTTATAGAGAGAGACTGGTGGGGCAGACGGCCGTCTCAGTCTGACCTGAATCAACACATGTGCACGCTGAAATAGATATTCGATATACAGGGGCTATCCATACGTGACAGCGTGACAGCAGCCTCAACTCTGTCGTGTGACTCGGGACTGGCATCTCATGATCCGCTACGCTGGCTGGGCTCAAATGTACGCACCAAGCGACTGGCCGTGTCTGGCTTGGGGATCACACATACTGTAGAAAATGAGTTGTCAGGAGTAGGAGACTCACCACTTACCAACGGATGGTACTTCTTCCGCATGTATTGGATAATTGATGGACTTGACGTAATCATCAGGAGTGGATATTCAATCAGGATGTGACCAGGGTAGACGATGGGTCGACGAGCTTCAAGCATTGCCATATCGGAGGATGATTATGATTATTACCATGGCAGATTGGGATGCAAGGATACATCGTGAATGGAAGGGGAGAGATGGCAATGATGATGATGATGGAGTTGACAGAGTGATGTTTTGGATGTTGGATACATTCACTGCAAGCAAGGACTATTATCCAGGGATGCTAGATGTGCCGGACTGGCGTCTCTTCACCAGCCCCTCAGCCAGCCTAACTGCCGGGGCATGACTCCCCCCGATCACCCACTAATTCGCGGGCTGTTGATGGCCGTTTGCGGGCTGCTGTTCGCTGTTTGCTGGTCGAATTCCTACCCGTTTGGACTGCCCGCCGCCGCCCAGATGGATCGCTCCGGGCTGCCTGTAGAGGTTCTCTCATAGACAACAAACAACCTGAAACTACCGCCTGTCCTACCACTCCGACTCTTCATCTCCATCTGCATCTCCATCATCCAACATCGTCACATTCACTTTATAGACGCCATGTCAAACATCTCCCTTTAGCTTTATCCGCGCAACTCCGCGCGTCCATTCCTTGATCGCAGCGCTCTTCATGACGATGCCCTCTGCTGCATACTGGGGTCCTGTCCTGTCCGTCCACATCCACACATACATACATGGCTTCCAAAGATACCATCACGCATGCGCGCGAACAACAATCATCTAGTCAGCCACCGCTCCAGCCTACCTACGTTCTGCGAGGACATGCCGCGCAGATTCAGACTGTCCAGTTCTTGCGCGACAATAGCCGCCTGCTGACCGGTGATGGTGATGGCTGGATGGTGTTGTGGGGGGTTGCCCAGAGGAGGGCTGTGGCAGTGTGGCCTGCTCACCACGCTTCTATTCTTGGATCGAACGTGTGGGGAGCCAATCGAATAATCACGTACCGCTCCCTTTTCCGTCCTTTTTTCCCTTTTGCACCTAATTACTCTCTACTACTCTCTTGTCCTAATCCACTTCTGTTCTTTTCTGCCCTACGACTGACATGCTGTGTTGTTCGGCTGTCGAGCTGCACTGCGCCTTCGCACGGGCCATGCCTTATGCCCTTTTCTTAGCATCTTCCTTGCCTATACCGAATTCGCTATCTTTCTGCTTTCAAAATAGCATCTTTCCTTCTTCTCCTCCACTCCTCCTCAACTGTGCCGCAGAGTAACGCTGACTTGTTTCAGGCATGGTCGTGACTCGAGCCTCAGGGTCTGGCTGCTGCGCGATAACGATGAGCCGCGCCTATCCAACGTCCTACCAATTGACGGTGCCTCCTCCAATCAGCTGAAGCCTTGGCTTCAACATTCACTGGCTGTAAACACTCTAAACTTTTGCTCCTTTGCCATGTGCCGGGAGACTATTGTTTCAGATCAGCATTCTCCAGATCGACAGGCAATCGACGAAGATCCGGTTCTGATTGCCGTCCCGGGTGTTAACGATAAGGAAGTCAACGTCTTTCAACTCCCGACTGAACGTTGTCTATGCATCGTGCCCGTCATACCAAAAACAGACACTGGTATGTTGTATCCTTACGTTACATGCTGGTCTTGTTCCAATTACGTCTTTCTGTAGGCATGTCTATGGCATTGTCGCTCGTGAATACCTCTACTTCGGTCTTGTTGCTGGCCGGCTACGAGAGCGGCCATGTCGTTGTGCACAATTTGACACGAAACGGCATGCACTACCTCTCGACGCCAGTCTACATCTCAAAACCACACAGTCAGCCAGTCCTATCCATCGACCACTCTCTGACGCACAAAACATTCTTCACCTCGGCAGCAGATCCATACCTCTCCTCCCATCCGCTCCCAGATCACCCGACATTCATCCCAACAACACACGAGTCAACACCATCCTCCACGGCAGAGAACGCACCCGCCTCCCTGCCGTCCCTCTCTCCCCCCTTGAAAGCCATCAACACAGGCCACTCTGGCGCCCAATCTCTCTCCGTCCGTTCCGACTCCCGCATCCTAGCTACTGCCGGATGGGACGCCCGCGTGCGCATATACAGCGCAAAGACCCTCAAGGAGCTCGCCGTGCTCAAATGGCACATGCAGGGCTGCTACGCCGTTGCTTTTGCGCCCATCCTCGGTACCAACCCTCGTCCCAGTCATGTCGCCCGTTCGGACCCAGCCGATCAAACTCTCCACAACCATGAATCCGGTTGCGAAAACGTGGCCTCCCTGCACACCACTTCCAGTACTTCTGAACAACCCCGCAATGACATATGTGATGCGGATCGCGGGCCCTCTGCTGCCGCTGCCGCCGACGATGTTGTGATGCAGAAAGTCGTGCATCCGTCAGGTCGCGGCCTGCTGCAAGGGACCTCCAAAACCCAGCAAGCAAGGGAGGAAAAGGCCAGGTTGACGCACTGGGTCGCTGCCGGCTCAAAGGATGGCAACGTCAGTCTGTGGGAAGTCTATTGACCGTCTTACCTAGATATTACGACTGCTTTGCTCGTGCGTTCGCTCCTGCTACCAACGTTTGTTGTTATTATCATAACAACATATCGAGCGGGAGAGATCTTCCGTCAACAAAATGCAAAGAATGTAGAAACAAAACAATTGATGCAGAGCTCTTCATCTTCTTCATCGCTACATATATCGCTGTGGTACAGTATGCATGCCATGTCGGATTCAGCATAGCGTGCAACATTCTTCACCACCTCCTCACCCTAAGTGAGCAGCACATGTCTGTCGGACACATTTACTCCGTAGACATGGTATAGCATGCTATATGATAATATATCCAGACTTTGAACACAAATCTGAAACATCCTAATCACTCAGTCATCCTTCTATCTATCTATCACTCAAGCATGAAATAATGTCTGCTTGCGAAAACCTTTGGACGTAAATAAATATATATATTACATCATAATAGTTGTGTAGAAGTAAGACATAACGGACTAACCATTTCCCGAGCGTTACGCAGTCACCAAGTCCGGTACGTACCCACGCGTCTGTGCGCGCCCCAATCATCCCACACACACACCCACACGGGAAAACAAAAATGCCCAAAATAAAAGAATTGATACGACACCTGCAGGACTCGAACCTGCGACCCCGAAGGGATAAGATTTCTAGTCTTACGCTTTAACCGCTCAGCCAAAGTGCCAATTGGATGCTGGTTAATGGTTTTGAGGGGATTATATTACACAAAACATGTAGGATTTTTAAACATGATAGACCTTCTAACCGACTGGACTTTCTTATTTCGCTATTACGGCGGTTTGTTTGTTAGGGTGTGATGTGATGTGGGACGATGTGGTTATGGTATGGTATGATGTGATGTTGTATGATGTGGTGTTTATTTCCTCCGGTCTCCGCGCGACTTTACCCGTCTAGCTAGCTGGCTGGCTGGCTTTTGCATCTAATTATTGGTAGGTAGGTAATTAAGGTAAGGCAAGGCAAGGTATTTTCTTCATTTAATTCAATTGGTGAATACGAGAATTGTGGCATACGAGGTCGTGGTCGAGTTAGGTGACCGTGGTGGTGGTGGTACAGCCCCTTCCCGGCCCCTACCCTCCCGGCCCCCCCTCTAACCCCGCGCCCACGTACGTCCTCATTATAGCACTCGGTGTGAACTGAACGGGCAGGCGGGGAGGCTGTGCTATGCGGTGCGATGCAACGCAGTGCCAGTGCCAGTGCAACGCAACGCAAGTCAACGCAACGCAACGCAACGCAAGTCTCTCGGGGATTGTGCACATACGATATAGATATAGATATAGATATAGATACAGATATACTAGGGCAGTTTTGTTTTTTCGTTCTCTGTTTGTGAGTGGTGCTTTATTGGATATTTTAGTCCCTATTGGGGGTTTGGAATGCGGGCAGGGTTTTTTTGCTCTTTTGTGGTTCGTGGGATTTAATTGATTGGGAGATGGGATTGGGGAGCTTGAGAGGGGATAGCTTGTGTTGTGTTGTGCTGTGCTGTCTTGCCTTGCGTCGTTTGATGGTGTTGGTTTTGTAGGGTTTGTAGGGTTGTGTGTATGGTTGTGCCTTGCATGCATGTTGTGTATTTTGATGTGTGGATGGGTGTATGTATATGGATTTGTGTATGTTACGTAGGTGGTTATATTTAAACATCGTTCAGCTAATGGGATTGGTGATAGTGATGGTGATGGAGATGGAACTATGAACTGAAACGAAAACGGAAATGTAAAACCCGATGAGATGGGTAGTGTCCCGTCCACCTGTCCGTGTCGCAGAGCTTTGTACGTGCTGGATGGACTTCTCCCGTCCCTACCTGCTCTCGTCCTTCAAACAGCCGACGAATCAGATACAACACATACGTCCATGATCCTATAGGGGCGTATAATAGTGCGACACGATCCAGGGTGCTGTTTATAGCTCCCCTACACATCTAACTGCCCTACCTAGATCGGCGGGCCTAGACTAATCCGAGAGCAAGAAAGAGAGAGAGGCTAATTGGAGCGGTGATGCATGCAAATGAGGAAAGTGAGCGAGTGAGCGGGCGGGTGAGTGAGTAACGGCCAGCGCCGTAGGGCTGTAGGGCTGCGACATGCATTGCATGGGTTCCCGGATCGGGTAGTTGCGATTGTGTATGTATTGTAGATAGGTAGGTATATACCTATGCAGCGTGCCGTGGCGACTGCGTCTTGCATCTTGCGTCGGGGGCCGGGATACTGCACGTCTAAATGTGAAGGCACATGCGTGGGATGCATAAGAGATGTACTGTAATAGGCCGGTAGTTGAGCTGATCTGGATGCATAGCTGGGCTGTAGGGCTGCGGGCATGCGGACGATCGTGCAGGTTGTAGGTGGTAGGTGATGGAGGTTCGTTACGGTATGCATTGCTGTGCTGTCAGGATCGATCATCGCTGTGTGGATTTTGGGGGTCGCATTGCTGCTTTGGGTGATGTGTTGTTTCGGGTTTGCGTGCTTGTAGGGTTGTTCGTTCTGTGCTTTGTTTCGCTGGTGTTTGGGAGTACACTTTGGGGGCGGGTAGGGCTGAGACTTGCGGATTTGGTTGCCTTTGATCCTTCGGACTTTGTGGATCGAGAAGAGCGGCATCGCAGGAGACTGGTTCGTATCGGTGGTATGAACGCCGATGTGTTGCATTATCTTGTGATGTATCTGCGTTTCGTGGAGGTCATTGTTTTGATGAGATTGAATCAACACTACCTTTCCGAACACCGAACACGGCCCAAAGTAGTCTATACAGACATCTGCTACGCCTCTTCTGCCATGCTGCCGACCCCTGAGTCTCGCCATATATGGTACACATCTTCAATCATCTGCCCATACCACGCTCATATGCCTCAAACTCCACTTCTATGCGACATATAGCACACCTCTCCTATCCAAAAAACGCCCCCTGTGCATCCACGCCGTACTATGCTTCAACATCGCTCAAAGATGCAGCGCTCTTATCCCTCAAAACCGCCTGAACTTCGTGGGGATGTTCTCCACCACAATGCCCTCCCTCTCTCTCTTCTGCCACGCTTCCTCCATTGCCTCCCTCTCCTCGTGCTTCCTGAAATGCTCGATATCCTCCGGATGCGTCAAGTCCTCCTCCTTCACATTGTCCCCGCCATGAAACTTCTCAAAGTGGTGAATCTCATACTCATACTCGTCGTCGCCGTGATGCCCTGGCCCCGTGCCGAAGTCGGGCAGCACTTTGCCCAGCTCGTTCGTCGCCTCGAGCCACTCGTCCAACGTGATGAAGCCTGACAGATCGTGATCGAACATTTGCATAATAGTCGTCACGATATCGCTCTTCTTGCTCTCGGGCACGCTATCCGTCGTTTCGTCGTACAGGCCGTAGATGCGCCGGATATCGTCTGGGCCCCAGCGGCCCGTGCTGTCGAAGTCGTGGAGTTTGAAGAAGGTTGTTGGGTCGAAGTTGTTGATGTGATGCTCCTCTGTTAGGCGACTCATTAGTGCCTATCTCGTGCAGTCGGCAGTGCACGAAGTCTGGGTGCTGCGTACCTGCCATGTGCCTAGTCGCCCAGTCGCCCTCAACTTCACCCATTGGTGCTTGCGCATGGCCATGATCGCCATGACCAAGTGCGCTGGGCGCAAAGCAGCTCAGTAGGACTGAAGAGGTTGTGAGGTATGCGGAAGACTTCATTTTTGAGGTTGAATGAGTGAGAGGTTGCGATCCTGAATGACGATTCCAGGGGTAATTAAGCTCAAAGACCGATCCCCATCGGCTCGGTATCCACCGTGGCGCGTGCGGCTAGCCACTAAGCCGGGGCCTCTTAGCGTACCGGGCAGTTCAACCACTCAACAATCCGTATATCCATAGTTGCATGGGAAAGCTTGGCGCCCGATGTTCGCCGTGTCACCAACACGCACGATTTAGTATAATCGACATTTTTATCTATTACTACTATACTACGCTTATATAGTATCTATAACTATATAGTATAGTATTAAAGAGGTAGTATAACTAATATATAGTACTATAGACCCCTAATACCTCCCCTATATCTATCTAGAGCGCCTTTAAATATAGGGGTATATACCTAGCTAGACGTAAGAATATCTCTATATAACTACTTTTTTTTTATAGTTTTAGAGGTATTATAGATAATATAAAGTAATATAAAGGCTATAGAGATATAATAAGGATTATATAGAACTAATATTTAGTAATATTTAGTACTATATAAGTATTATATGGCGGTAATAGATAAAAATATCGATTATACTAAATCGTGTGTGTTGGTGACACGGCGAACATCGGGCGCCAAGCTTTCCCATGCAACTATGGATATACGGATCCTTGAACGACCACTGTCAAACCTCCATCTTTTAACATCCAAGAATTAACAAAAGTCGTTATGTCCTCCAACAACTCCTCCACGGGCAATACCAGCAGCTCCTCCAAGAGCAATGCCAACAGCTCTTCCACGAACTCTGGTAGCAGCCAGAGTGATTCCCGATTCGTAAAGGATAACTGGGGCAGTTACCCCAACTTCATGGCATCCTATGGCCTCAAGTTTCGTAAGTTTTCAAATAGTACAGCGGCTCGGTACTGACAAACCCCCAGATGATCAAGGCGATTATTCTGAGAGTCAAGCTATCTTGAAAGGCTTGCGCGACTGCGATGCTCAGCAGAATCAGGGTGGAAAATAGAGACGTGAATGAAGTGGAACGTTGGTACGTACTCTATACATGGACTCTCTGAAAACCATCATCTCATGTGCAGTATTCTAGACCAACAACGTACATACAAGAGGCCTTGAGCCATGATGTCTCTGAAGTTGTCCATAGAGCTTTCTATATAACAATTGCCAGACCATATTTCTCCTGACGTATTCTCCTTGAATAATGTATACTTGCTCCAATCCGCCCATTCGTAGAGAGTTTTTACTCCTTACGAAAACGTATTGTGCGTCTCATGAACTATGTGTCCCTCAACTCGCCCATCCAAATGACTGAACCAACTCTGTGTAAATCATTGTGATTGGTCCAATATACTTCAATAAAGCGGTAAATTGTTTCCTCCTACATACGCGACGCATCACGAAATTCAACGTTATAATATACGTGACTCTTTGATACGTGCTCCTGCTAACGTATTATCGTGCAATGTGTCAGCTCTTCTAAATCTGCCTCTTATACCTGTCAGACCAGTCCTATTTGCTGGATATCGCCCATAAGAAAAGGAGAACCTTGAATCTGTGTAGGAAAATCATCTATAAAATAAGAATAACGGAGAGACTGTGTAAAACGCCCATCTGAGTCATATCTATCCATAGTATCATCGGCGAATGTGAACTGGTACTGTCTAAACGACTGGACATCGCCCCAGACATTGCTAATCACACGAAACGTAGATTTGAGATCTTTGTCCGTCGAACGTAGAACCTTGGCTACACCACTTCCAGCTATAAGCCACACCTGGTCTCCAGGCTGAACATCGCTGGTGGTGGTAATCGCCAGATCAGCTTTCGTTCTACAGAGCTGTAAAGATGCTGATGCGGGCTCAGCAAGTCGCCGCCCCGGGCATGCTCGAATTCGATCGATCCGACGTTGAACGACTCTGAAGTCTGACGTGCTCGCAGCAGCGTCATATTTCGGCTCATCTGTCCCTTTAGACCCTTCCAGCGCACGGCGGATTGGATCCAAAGGACGCGGTAACTTGAGGTCATAACTACCAAGAAACTCGCTGGTACAATTTAATGGATTGCGATCATCAGGTAGTCGACCAGATATATGGAGCTGAGTGGACTCTATAACATCGATAAAGTATCCAGAGATCAACAGTGTCGACCCGTCTACGCGACCCCTAGGTGCTCGGGCTAAAGCAGCATAAGGATCAGGGGAAACTGATCTGAATATAGCCTTTGTTCGTTCCATGACGTATCCCAGAAAGGAAATAGTGTCGGAGCGCCGTCGAAATGCTACATACTTATACGAGTAAGCCTTCAGAAAGTGGCCGTTCACTGTGAGGGTCACACGGTCTGGCGTGAAACCTCGAACAGTCCAGTCGGGCGCCCAAGAAGGCAAGTCATCTCTAAATTGTGATCGGAGCATGGTTTCAGTCGCCAATCCCAATAAGTCTCTTTCGTGGCCAATTCGCCAGACCTCTTTTGATACCTGCAGTATACATTCTGGAAGCGAGGCAGCATAGTCCGGGGCGAAATTGTATCTCGAATCGGCCAAGCCGATGAAAGCGAACATTTGATCTCGAGGATCTGATGTAAGGAAAAGCATTGAGCCAACTAAGAGGCTCACAATATCAATGCTATTCTTCCACCGGCTCTTAGTAAAAAACATGTATGTGTAGCTCTCATTCTCAACGTCCCACCGAGAGTATGCTTCATATAGGCAGCAGGCAGCACAGTGGTGTTGTTTTAATGCATGTGACACTTCTTCCTCGAATCCAGGAGTATCAAAAAGTGACAAGGGTATCAGAGGCTGGCCATGTTGTTGTTGACAGTAGCTTTTCAAGCGAAAGCTGCTGCTAAGCTCGTCCATAGCCGCCGAAACCTTTTGAAGATCTTTCCAAGAAATTGAGAAACCGAGGTACATGAAACATGCCCGCCGGGATGTAATGAACTCTTGATAGACCCAACCTCGTCGCCACCACGGTGCTTTGAATAGTTCCGAGAAGTAGAGAAAGCCTAGAGATTGCAGTTGCACCAATGGTAGCATATAATGCCCAGAGAACAAGTCATCACTGTCCATTTCACGCTTCAGCAGAGCTCGCTCAAACAGCTTGGCTTTTCGAGCATTGGTCATGTGGTGGAAATGTTCGAATTTATCGTACGGTCTTGGGGCGAAGAGAGGCGTCGATAAGCATATTAGAACCTCGTAAGAATGTTCGTATGTTTTCCGCATGAAGCTAACTTGATGAGATCGCTCCGCAATGTCAACTTGATTGATACAGATCTGGTCGATCCATATCCGCAGTCGAGCATGTCTCTTGCCGAATTTGTGTTGTTTCCAATGGAGGAGAACCTGTTCCAAAGCATGGCCCAGGTTTGCGAAAGCATTAAAGGGTATGCCGTTCACTAGCATAGGATGAACTGAATTCGGACTTCCCGCGCAGTATGATAGCGTAACATACTTATGCCGTAGCTTTCGCAAAGGTTTAGCTGGTAGTAGGCGGCAATCAAGGAGGCCATTTCTCGACTTTGGCGACAACTCTATCAGTCTGATCGCTTGGTGAGTTGGATCAATGGTATCATATCTGTGTGTAGAATAGAAAACCTTGTTATCTGGCGTATAGAAACTTCCGCCTTTAGCCATGAAGCGATCGCAAAGTCTAGGGTAATAACATGGAATACTTGAAAAGTTCAGGCTAGAGTTAGTCTGAAGTATCTTTTTTATGTTCTGCTGTCCCGGGATAGGTACTTCGTATGCATCTATGCGACGATAAAACAGTGTTTGCCCCTCAGGCGGCTAAGGCTGTGTAGTGACTGCTCGGCGCTTAGACGAGGCTAGACCTGTATCCATCCATCTCTGTTGTACATGGATCCATCCAATTCGTCCTAAAAAGGGTTCTAAAGGCGAAAAATGTGCCGCTAGACAATGTACGGATTAGTATCACACATCAAATCAAAAATTGGGTACTCGTCCAAAAGTCTTGAAGTGTGTAGAGTACATGAGAAAAGTATGACTGACGATGTATCCGCACTTACACGCCTATGAAAGAACTTATCGTTAGATCATATGCAGAACGCAAAATGGTACTGGTGCAGATGCAAGAGTACTGTCTCTGTATCCAACGCAATCTGATCTGTACGAGATACCAAACACAGGCCTAGGCAAGGCGATCCATCCACATCAGAGTTAACCGCATTCATATAAGCTCAATCACTTAAAATATCGCGAGATTGTCAAATCATATATATGATCGTGCCATCATAACCAAGTCTTCAGACAAAAAGGGACAGCTCATGCTTTGGAAGGGTATATTGTCTATGCTAGAGTAGAAAACTCATTTTATTTCCCATCCATAATCGTAACGTAACTTGTGACCATTTTAAAAACGCTAAACTTGAGATAATAAGATGTTACAGCGCTTAGCTACCTTCGTTTTTCTTCTCATCCAAACAGATACACATGGCTACCATAAGTGACATATCGACCCCAGGATACACAATCAGCTCATAGACTTGCTGGCCAAGAAACAAATCACGCTTCTTAAAATGAATTCGGTTAATCTGCGCAAGAGGTAAATTCTGGTTGTTCGCATCTGTGATCTGGGCTGTATCGAAGAAGTTGCACTTCAATTTGAGTTCTACTGCGCGGCCGTCAAGGCTAGTGAAGCGAGCTGTGAATTTGGAACCAAACACTGTCACGGGAAATTAGTACGGTTCAGATGACCGTAACGTTTTTACGTACTTGCGAAACTACTCTTAGCCTCAAGTATTTCCTTGCCAGCTGGATCCTCGAGATAAAACGTGGTATGGATAGTCAAATGCCTCTTGCGGATGGTGAACAAGTGCTTGTTGTTGCTATCGTATAGTTCCTTGCGGCCGCTCAGGGAGAAGTACTTCCCAGCAACTTTGAAAGCCATTTTACCATCAACGGTGTAGATTTCGAAATTATCACTGGATAGGGACATTACCCTCTCCTTGATCATGAGGCTCGTAGGCTGCACTGCCATACATTGCTGGAATATGCCAGTTCCTCTAGTTGTGTTTTGTCTTGGCTGAAATATTGGAGCTACCCCATGCGCTGGTACATAAGGCTGCTGCATATTTTGAGCGTATCCATCCTGAGGAATGTGGTTATGTTGGGGAGCGTAGCCTTGCGGTGAAGCATGTCCTGGCTCAGAAACACCTGCGTGCTGAGAAGGATAGTGTTGTGCTGGAGCTGCGGCCGCCATAGTTTAGACAATATTTGTAAGCTGTACTGATCCATTTCAAACGTAGTAGTGTAGGAACAGCAGCAAGCTGGAATTGAAATATAGAATACCAGATGTTCGATGTATGATGATGTCAGACCCTAATTCAAGCCACGCAGCAATCGCGGCTCATCACAGGGTAAATACCTTCTCATGCTTCATAGATGGAACGAAGCTGGGGCAATACTCGTGCGTGATGAGTATAGTGAGATCTCTAGGATAAGGGGCTTAAGTATTAAAGCATCGTGGTGTTCAGTCGTCCTGCGAATCATAGGGTGTCGCATCGAAGACTCGTAGCTACTTAGCCATAAGCTAGGTCCGGATGTGGAATAGAATTCAACTCATTCCCGAGGTCCATACCAGAGATATATTGGTACTACGTAGTAGAGGATAGATCTTTTGATTTACTTCTAGCCTTATGAAGCTATCGTTGTATCGTATAGCTGGCATCCCAAGCCAGCCTTGCGCTTATTTTAAACGTGTTTTAGTAGTCACTTGGGAACACCTGCACTTCATATGTCAAACACCACAGTTCCATTCTATGACTACAGACTACAAAGAACCATCTTTCCCCAAGCTCTCTATTCAAGAACCTGACTCTCAGAAACGCAAGAATCCTCCAATCCAATTTTAGCGATGCCATAATTGATCCCCCAATCTGCCAGTAATCGCAAATTGCTGTCCTGGCTATCTCCAATCTCATGTGGCCCCCCTAGAGACCACCTCCCCATTCGCAAGCCCCAATCAACAATCCTCGTCCTTGGATTGCGCACAATCAACTGCAGGTGAAGGCTTTGGCGGGGCCTCCTTGCACTGCTCAATTGTGGACGCCTCGAGACACATCTCCTCACACTGCTTGTAGCAAGTATACGGGTCTGGCGTGTCGTAACACATTGGTACCGTGCATTCTATCGTGCAGTTGAGGTACACGTATGCAGGCTGACAGCTGATCGGGCCCGGAATGCTGGCGCTACCGGTGGTTGAGCCGAGTCTAGACACGATGACCGGTGTGCTGCGCGGCGATGCGCGAATGACTGCGCAAAGTGCTGCGCCGGCGAGGATACGGAGGAGGGTGAGTTGAGTAAGCATGCTTGAGATGCTGGACGGGAGAGCTGCCAAAAGTTTGACGTGTTGGTAGATTCTGGTCGCTTGCAAGGTGGAGAGACTTTTTTGACAGTCTTAGGAGAGTAGATATGTGTTTTGTGTGTTGGGTACAAGTGTTTGTTGGGCTTAGAGGAGCGGACAGTAGACTCTTTATATAGTTATCATCCATAAATTCTATCATGAAGATCGAGTTGGCGGCCCGCTGTGGCCCGATATTCCATTATACTAACTTTCTTTCAGTGGTGTACTAGCAAGTGTACCAGTTAGAACTTGGTGATTTACCTTGGAGATAGTTGGGAAGATGCGACCGCAGCTTTCCGCTTGCTTCCGATCGATTCGCGTTATTCCGACAAAGTAAAACCGACATCACACTTCATTGGCTGTTGTTCAAATACCGCGTGGTCAAGGCACATCGCATAGAAATGCCTGTGAGAAGAAGATTGTTTTGCGAAATTATCATTGTGCTAAAAGAACTAGGTGCTATCCGCGGCTTCAAGATTGGAGCATCAAGTGTGACTTTGACTGGAAGGACCGGCTGGGCGATACTGTACGCCGCCAGTAGTTTTCGAATTTGTGCTATGTTGAGCCTGGCGATCAGATTGTAATGATTTTTCGAACGGGTTATAGGCACGGTATCGATTATGTGCCGCCCCTGACACATCATGCCTTTCTGTCTTTAGGTTTCGCGGCGCAGACGAAGATTTCGGGTCTTTTTGGTTGCCAGTAGTGGTTTGCTGGTGAGGCGAGTGCGTGCGGGTATTTGTTTGCATATGGCTTTCCAACTGGCCTGACTCTGATGTTACTATGGGTCGATGAGACGTGTTTCCATGTCCTCCTTGACGAGACGTATGTGTCGGCGTATGTGTCGATGGATACTTTGGGAAACTTTGTGATCGAACATTGGTTTCTCCACTCACCTCTCCAAGAGAGTCCGAGGTCACAAAAGGATTCAGCGAGCCCCTTGGATTCCAACTTGGATGTACTTCCATACTATGAGTGGTCGGTAGATCGAACTCAGTAGTTGAGTTTTGTCGACCAGAAGCATAACATCGTATACCATCGGGGTCCCGTGGAGTGATCGGACTGTTGGAGCTGGACGCGTTTCTCGATAGTGTAGAGGGTGTGGCAGACGAGTCCTGCACCAGCTTTGCGGTTTTACAAGATATTTGCGCCGCAAGTTTCGTGTCGTTCACGACCGAGAGGATATCCTCGATATCGATGCGTGCCACCAGGCTTGCATCGTTTAAGTGGATGTACAGGTTCTGCAGCTTGTCGATCCCTTTGTTTACCTTTCGGCGGCCTGCTCGTATAAGCTCAATCCGCAACGCCCTGCGTGTGTTAGTGTAATTGATGTGGAGTATCAATTGGTTGCTTACATGATTTCGGAAGAAGAAAAAGACCCCTGTGGGACTTCAACTCCGTCGATAGTTTGCTGTAGGAGTAGAATTGCGACAAAGAGGGTCAAAGTGTCTTTGATAACCATGATATGAGTCTTGAGATAGACCACAGACTCTTTTTCTCTCCACCAATTCCAGTGCCCGTATCCACGCTGTCCAATAGTCGAGTTGGGATCGAGCAGAGGATCTGCCACCTTTAGTAGTTGACCTAGTTTACTCAGTGACTTTCCGGTCTGATCACTGAGTCTTTGAGCAACATTGGCTTGTCTGTTTCGGTCATCGGATACGGTTGAAGTCCGATTGAGATATGCAATGACCTTTTCGAAGTCGATCATGAGATTTGAAAGACAGAAGAGCTCATCGGCAAGATCACCAATTTCTCGCCTAGCAATCTTGACCTCCAACGAAAGACGTCGTACCTTCTTGGCAATCTTGATCATGTAGTTCGCTAGTTGAATACCTCCTGCTATCGCTCCAAGTACCTCGAGTCCACTCATCTTGGAAGATGGTCTTTTGTAAAATCAAGAAGCTGGTAGCCATAGTCTGATCATAGCAGATCGTTGTATTTAAGACACAAGGACTGACTCCACCTTCTTCACCGGTCGTCTTTGCTTCGCAAGGCATACTTGGTGCTTGACACCTAGAGCCAATAGTAGATGGCTATGAGTATTTGCTTCGCAAGGCATACTTGGTGCTTGACACCTAGAGCCAATAGTAGATGGCTATGAGTATTTGCTTCGCAAGGCATACTTGGTGCTTCACACTTAAAGCCAATAGTGAAGGGCTGTGAGGATTTGATGGTGTACCAGCGTAGGGGCTCAATGGTTCTGAGCGGGATCAAATGCAGTATGTACATGCAATTGAGCGGGGTATTCATGCAGCTTCAGATTTTCGTGAAGCTTCCATGTTCAGTGCAGGTCAGCAAGCGTATTTAACACCATCCCATGGTATGGAGTGTCTCCCGAGGAGCATGTTGAGTCACCAGGCAATACGCATAGCAATGACCAGGAAGACGAAAGTGAGAGATACAGTCTGTCCACATAGGTTTAATCCATAGTCGCTCGTCCGAAACCATTTCATTGGTATTTTACTTGGCAATGCAGGAGCCCGGCATCCTATCAACCGGCGGCGCCCCTTCTGTATTACAATGAATACAAGACCAAGCTTCATCTCATACACAATGAGGTAATGACCAGGACAAGATTGATTGTCAGATTTCCTAGTGACAAGCTTCTTGCCCACCGTGACGATTAACTTACATTCCAAGGACAAGTAGTGCAATGCGCCGGCTCTATGAAGCGGAACATGTCTAGGTGTAGGCACCCCTGCAGTGGTCTAGATCCCGGTGGATGCTGTTAGAGCGGTGAGATATAGGTGGAACCAAGTACGTTGAACTGGCGTGCAAAGCGAGACGGGTCCATAGCGTCGGGATCTTTGTGGAGGCTGTGAGAACTCTCGTCGCTCAGCCACTGCAAAACATCCCCTGTCTTGTTCAAATCTTACATCTTGGCCTTGATAATTGGAAGACACCTCTTGATGCTGTGGGATTGTATGACTGACTGCTATTGCTAACCATCAGGAAATCGATTAGAAGTCTGATGAGGCCGAGGCCTGGGACGAGGTCTAAAATTGATCTGGTCTTGAAAATGATCATAAAGTAGTCTCGAAGTTTTGAGAAGAACGACTCGTCCTAATGTAGCATTCATACGTCCTAGTGGGGCGGATGTGATACTAAGCCACAGAACGCTGCGAACACCACGGTGGTCATTCGCCCGCCATTGGAGAGAATACATACTGTTACCACAAGCTTTCAGGATCAGTAAACAATCTCCAGGGAGCGATAAGCAAAGGCAGACGTTAGCTTTCGAGGAAGTGAGTTTTCATTCTCATTCAATGCTGACCAGCCGTGATTCGTCGATGAACGAGTGGTTCGCGGCACGTACGCGTTTGGTCGTCGGTGAACTATGGAATGCTGCAGCGGCATAATGGCCGATCTATAAGACACAGTTGCGAGAGATGCAAAAGTGTTGATAGACCCGTCCTGACCCACATAAGCATCCAAGAGCAAGGTATGGATATTATTTAGGTGGACGATCAGACTCCTCGCCCATATTACATGCAATTGAACGTATTAGGATGCTGGATGCGTCACCAGACTAGTAGGTTTCCATCCCGAGCGTGCATCCTACGGCTGGATGATTGATGAAGACACTAACATCACACACCAGCCAGCGTAAATGTCAGAATCATTGATATTACTTTCATTCATGTAATTTGGATCCTGCCGATGCGATTCAAGTGCCCCATGCAACTTCGAGCACACGCAGGTACATATGAGATAGAGGAGGCAGGTATCACTAGAGTAAGGTCGCTCCTAGTGGTGCTGAGGTGTCTAGGTAGTTCATCGCCTTTTCACCAAGCTCTTTCTAAGGCTGGCTAGTCTGCGACGCCCGCCAGTTACTTTCTGATAAAACCAGACTCGTCTCACTCAGGCTTGATCTCCTCTTTCCAAGAAGCTCGGGTCCATATCGACCTTCCTTTCAAACTTCTTCCACCAGTCTTGAAAGCTCTTCAGCGGCACAACTTCCATCCCCCCCGGACCAACATTCCCCGAAAAGCTAGCAAGGAAGTTATATGCGTTCGCGATGATCCGCTGGGCCAGTACTTTTGTTGATACAGGGATATTCGCAGTTGGCCGAGCTAGCACTAGATCTGTTGATGTACTCGGATTTCCCATATTCCCGCTCTTGAGATTTACTATTGACCGTTGTATTTGCGCTACCGGTTCGAGTGATATACCAAGTGTCACGTTCCCTTCTGTGGGGATGAAAGGAGCCGTAGCATCGTCGGTCATGGCGTCATCAGCGCCTCCATTCCCCATGGCGACGCCATCTATGCCAATTGCTTTTGGATTGACTTTGAAAATTGCGCTGGGCTTGTCATTTGCGATTGCGCCGAGGAACTTGAATTCAGATTGGTTTGGTAGCTGCAAGTACACAGCAGCGCCAGAGTCAGGAGGTAATTGCTGTCCTGGGAGAAGGAAGACGACGAGGTGGCTAAAGGTGGGTGCGGCAGGGATGGTGAAAGCGATTTGCGTTGGTGTGATCTGTTGTAAATCCGTGATAACGGGACGGGAGGATATTATGACGCCAAACATGGTGAGTGATAGGAAAGGAACCACGAGCGTAGTTGTGGGCGCATACGAGACATGGAGACGGTACCGTGAAGGAACGACAGAGGGTTGAAGACAAGAAAGGACATTCCAATGGTGTTTGTTCTCAGAGCTTCCAGACGATGGTGGAAGTTCGGAGTTGTTCTCAGTCTTACGTTGTCTAGTATCAGGGCTACGCGTTAAGGCCCCGGTGACGGCATCTGATTTTGCGAGCAAGTGGGGTCCCAAATTCGACAGCAGGACAGCGGGACAGCGGGACGCGTCCACTGCGTCAGTCCCACGAGTAGGCTGCAACGTCACTGTCAATACCGCTGCCGCTGCTCCTGTCGCACAGCAAACAATTCAACTCCAAAACCAAATCATTCCTTTGCTTTCTGCTCCATCAAGCTTTCTCTTCTACATCTTCCAAGCCCGGAAGACCATCTTTTCTCCAGCAATCATGTCGAGATCAAATCTTGACCTAGTCAATGAGTGCGACGGCTTTCCCTACCATCAAGTCGACGCAATTGCATATGCTCAGCACGTCGCTACCTACTACCACTTCCAAGTCGAAGGCTTTGAATGCACGATAGGCTACCTTCTTCCGTCTGTTGCTGAGGTGCTCCGGGGGCTTCCGAACTGGGAACTGGACGATGACGAACGGACCATAACCCTAATTGGATGCAACAATGCACCAGAGAGAACTGTGGCTATGACTGCCACCGCCATGGCTATGAAGGCTACTGGACACTTCAAGGTGTTGGAGAAATGGAGGAACGAGCAGTACGGCGTCTACGGACCTCGACAGCAGCTCTTATTCGACCTCGAGAGGTCCGCAACCCCATTGTTCGGACTTGTCACATACGGGGTACACATGAACGCATATGTCAAGTCAAAAGCCGGTGAGCTGAAGATTTGGATTCCACGCAGAGCAAAGACGAAGCAGACATATGGTGGCATGCTAGACAATGCTGTCGCCGGCGGAATATCGAGTGGAGAGAAACCCTACGAATGTCTTGTTCGAGAGTCGAGTGAGGAGGCATCACTGCAAGAGGATATAGTCAGGAAGAACGTAAAGGCAGCTGGCACCGTAACATATTTCTACATCCGCGATGAGCGCGCCGGAGGCGAGACCAATCTTCTGCAACCCGAATGCCAATACGTCTATGACCTCGAACTCCCCGAGGACGTCATCCCAAAGCCCAACGACGACGAAGTAGAGCAGTTCTATTTGTGGACCGTCGGCGAAGTTCGAAAAGCGCTGGCTCGAGGAGAGTTCAAGCCAAACTGCGCCATGGTTATGCTGGACTTTTTCATCCGCCATGGTATCATAACGCCAGAGAATGAAGATGATTACATCGAGATCGTATCGAGACTGCACCGTCGACTGGAGTTTCCGACTCTTTAAGGGTATATCTTACGTAGATCTTCACCAAGAAAGTGCCAATCTTCGTTATAGCTGGGGTATAACTCCCGAATCCTTCTTGAAGAGCACATAGACTTCCTGTACTCGCAATGGCGTAAGCTTCTTATAAGGTCCGATGATTTGGATCAAGAGACCACCCGCGGATAGTAGACATTCACTATGCAACCATTAGCATAATTATATCCCATAGAGTAGCCTCTTAAGACGCACAGATTATCTCCCTTAGACTCCTCAAAACGGTACACGGTCCCTGTGACGACGTAGTGGTACGGCGAAGCCAAGTTCACCTCGTTCTCATCAAATGGCCTGAAGCCCTTGTCCATCTTTGTGCCATCCAAGTTCAGGGTCGTTGCAACAGCTACTGTGATCTGATCACCAACAGCACACGGAAAGCCTTCTTTCCACACATCGAATGATATGGTTATGGAGCCCGCAGTATCATCGCCCGATCCCGTTGCTTCTGGTATCGATCGTGCAGCCCAGCGGGTAACTCTGTCGTAGACTTTGGTGGTGGTCTTGCTTGTGTCGAGGTTGTGTCCGACGATCACAAAGGTCTCTTCGAAGATTTTGGGGTCCGCCATTTTGATGCGTTCGATCTGTAGGAAGATTTACCCAGAGTGAGACCTGTCTGCAACTGTCGAGACTGGATGCTCCCCGGCGCGATGTCTAGAGCTGCATGGCTGTATAATTTCTCGTAGGGCTGAAGCCGGCCGCCGTCTTCCGAGGATTCCCCAGCGCCACACTTTTCAAGGACCTTTGACGACGGCTTCACAACCTTCAGGTTCTCCTCACGGAATCACTCTCATTTGATATCAACCACACACGGAATCTAGCTATTAGGCTCATAAGCTCGGCCGATTTGGGGAAAGTACTCGTGTGGTGTAAGGGGAATACATTGGAAGAGCTTGGCCGTTGGGAATCAGTGCTTCATTCATCAATATATCACCGTCATCTTCCCTTTACTGTTAACGTATCGTGAAGTCTACAGAGAAGTCTTTGCATGAGATTATCAACTTGACACACCATGTCCGCAATTCCGGGCTTGTCTCTTCCGGGCCTGTCTCTTCCGGGCTTGGGACTTTCAAGCACGCCGATATCCGCTACACAACAACCTCCAGGCACATCAACAGCACCCTCGCGATATGAAGAGCTGCCAGCCCAATCCGAATACCGCTTCGAAGTAGGCTTTAATCAAACATTACGCATCAAACTCACCAGCGGTACAGCTGAGCTCTTCGGAACGGAACTTCCAGTGTCTACGAAAGACTACTATGTCTTTACTGGCACAAAAGCCGCGATATATACGTGGCACGGATGCCGACTAGAGCTCCAAGGCGATACAGAGGTCGAGTATGTGTCCGAGGAAACACAGATGCTGGCGTATGCGAATGTCCACTTCGGCCTCGAGAATGAGCGTGAGAAGATCGCCAATACAGGCAGCCATAACATTACATCTGATACCGATCTCGGTCCACGTGTCCTCATCGTTGGCCCTTCGAACGCAGGAAAGACAAGTCTTGTCAAGACTCTCACTGCTTACGCTGTCAAATCTGGCCGCCAGCCCATGGTCGTCAACCTTGACACTCACCAAGGCATGCTCAGCGTTCCAGGTTCGATTTCCACCGCAGTATTCACTAGTATCCTTGACGTCGAAGAGGGTTGGGGGAGCTCTCCCATCTCTGGCCCAAGCCCAGTGCCCGTCAAGATGCCCTTAGTATACCACCTTGGTCTCGCCTCGCCCGACGACGCTGGCACAATATTCAGGCCGCTCATCACACGCATGGCCCTCGCTGTGACAAGCCGCCTTACTGAAGACGCCTCTGCTCGCGTCGCAGGCTGCATAATAGACACACCTGGCAGTATCGCTGCAGGCAAAGCTGGACATTACGACGCCATCGCCCACATTATCTCCGAATTCAGCGTGAATGTTGTTCTCGTTCTGGGCTCAGAACGCCTCTACTCCGACCTAAACCGTCGCTACGCCAAAGCCTCTGAAGACCCCGTCTCGATCATCAAACTTGACAAATCCGGCGGCTGCGTCGACCGCGACGAGGCGTTCATGAAGACCCTCCGCGCAACCCAGATCCGCGCATATTTCTTCGGCCACAACAGCCTCAACACGCTCTCTCCACACACGCATTGGGTCGAATTCGGCGCGCTGCACATCTACCGTATCATAACCTCAGACAACACGCAACGAAATACGTCCTTCTTGCCCGGCGATGACGACGATTTCCCCTCTCTCGGCGGCAATGCTGCTGACAAGATTTACGAGAAAGTGGCGCCGAGTATGATGATGCAGAACTGTCTGCTTGCAGTGACGAGCGCGCAGCCGAACGACTCACACGAGAACATCCGTAATTCGAGTGTGTTGGGATACCTGTATGTTGCCGACGTAGAGGAGGCGAAAAAGAGAGTGAGGTTGTTGGCACCGATTAGTGGGCGCTTGCCCGGGAATGCGCTGGTCTTTGGGAATTGGCCAGAGGATGTGGCAGATCTCGTCGGATGATTTCCATCAGTACACAAGTTCGGGGGAACAAAACTTGGCATATGTAAACCCACAGAGATCTCAGAGAATGTCCGACAAACGACATCCATCAATCATGATGGGAATGAATTCGGAAGCCCATCGATATACCAACATAAGTTCCAGCCATGTAAAAGCTCGACATCTCCTCTCATGCCCAAACCTCTGGCATCTCCGGCTTCTACATCGCCAGGCAGCCACGAACCTCCACATATGACAACATATCCTCCAGAATCGTCCCAGCACGATTCAAGAGGACGCCTGGGCCGAGACGATAGTTTAATAAACGCTCATGTCAGACTTCTCGTTATTCTCCAACAAGCTGCCAATACGTCCCACGATGCCCAAGCTGTCCATCGGCTTGCAGATCTAGCCATAAATGAGAGATTGAGTTCCATCTTCAGCACGTAGCTTCGCTGAAACAATCGTGAACCTGGTCTACGAAAACTTTCTTATGGTGTTAATATTGTATTGATTTCTCTATTTTACACTGGAACTTCGAATTGACGCTCAAGATCACCTAGAACCTTGACAGTATTCCTCATGCCAAAAAGTGAGTTCTCATCTGGCCCAGATCCAGGCTTGAATGACGCGTGGGCAAAATCGATCAGCTTCGTGGAGACGAGCTTTGGTATTTCCAGTTCATCGTCTTCCTCGTCCTCATCTTCGTCCTCACCTGTCTCATCTGCAAGGAGTCTTTTCTCCATGATTTCGGAGATAGCTCTTGCTGCTTGGTCGTATGCTTCTGGGTCACCTTCGTAGACGAATAATATGCTAGCTGAAAACATCCTGCTTTCTTGCGTTTCGAAAATCTTAATAATGTCTTCCACGTCTTTTCTAAGCTGTTTTGTAACGGCCAAGGCTCGTGCGCTATCCATGCCTGCGCTTGGAACAAGGAGGTATTCTTCGAAAGCCCTCGTTACATTTTCAGCCGAAAATTGTCTGCCGTAGAGCTTGTTGTACACCTTATAGTTTGTGGCGGAGTCAACTTCCATGAGTCCTTCGTCATTCGGCCCCATAGCAGCTTCTTCGGTACCTTGCCATACCCTCATACCAGCAACGCGAAAGCCCAGTGAGCCAGTCGTAGTCTCGCCGGCGACCTTGTCCAGCCGAGCTTTCTTCTCGGGCCGGGCATCATCCTCATACAGCTGCCTACCCAGCTTGATATCAAGTACATTCGGCTTCTTAAATCCCGCGGTTGTGTTCTCCAGCACAATGCTCACATCTGTGGACAGTTTCTTGCCATGCATAGGACCGACATCATTCGCTGACAACGACGCTGCCGTGCCATCCTCGACAGGCATGACAGTCGGTGTAGTATCTAACCCACCGGTGGTCTCCGGTACAGCTTCTGCTGGGCCATTCAGGGCCAATGTGCCATAGAATGTTGGGAGGAAAGGAAGCAGCTCTGGACGAGACGCACGCACAGCTTCGTAGAATGCTACCTCGGCAGGTGTACAAGGCTTGATAATGAGTTCGCCACTTGGGTCTGAGAGAACGCCCTCGCTGTGGTTTCGGTCAGTATCAAGCATGCCAATTGGTAATGAGACTCACTGCCCAGCGGCAGCATTGCCGAATAAGGTGAGAATACTTGGATCGAGTTTATGGCTTGGAGTCTTAGGCATTGCGAGGATTTAGTCGAAGTGAAATTGGTAATTGGTGGATGCAATACGAATTTCTGTAGGTAGTTGAGTAAGAAGGACGAAGTACCAGGATCGCTGGCTATAAGGCGCGTTAGGACTGAGGTAGTGAGACAGATGAGTGGCGGTGTCGATGCAGGAAGAAAAATGTGGCTTTGGAAGCTGAAGCTCTCATTCCAGCTCATCCATATTTCCCTTTCTTGGGCTATAAATATAAAACGTACCCCGCCCTAAGCCCTAAGCCCCACCCCCACTTCACCGCACCACACTTTGTTATTGGAAAGTCTTTGTAGATATGCTGCGGTTATCATTTCGACCATCAGGTTCCTGTTCCTTATAGACACTTATGCGTAAATAGTGCATTATCATCTCAACTATAAGATCGCTGAGCTTCCATGATTGTCTGGCCGAAGCGAATTTCCCTCTCCAGATGTCGAAGTGAAATGAAGCAGTAAAGGGCGCGTTGTTGTGTTGACCCAAAATACCACGCTATGGGTAGGAGCATTCGCCATGGCGGCAAGTAATAGAATGATAATAAGTTGAGTTGTGTCGGGTAAGAACTAGACGATTCACTCCAGACTTTGTACCACCGAACAAAGACACACGTTATATCTACGTCTTTGCGCCCGCCATGCTCTGTCCCTTTCATCTCGACATTCGATCTCTTCTATAAAAGCTTCTTTTGCTTCACACAACATCTTCTTAAGATCCAGCCGTCCTCAACATGGCGCCTGGAATGGTCTCAAATTCTGACCTTCCACAGGTGTTGCCTGAGACGGACCTATCGTCTGATCAAGTGAAGTCTCCGGTTATATGCGCTCAAGAAATCCAGGATCATCCTCGCGGGGATGAGATTCGGCGTCAGGTAAGAGCACCGGATCCTTACGAGGGCTTAAATCTAAGAATAGACGTCTAGGTCGAATATTACTTCTCCGATGCTAATCTGGTCACCGATGAATACTTGCTCGAGGCATGTAACGGAATAGAAAACAAGCCCGTCTCCATTAAGAAAATATGCAGATTCAGTAAAATGCGGTCCTTCAAGCCATACACCCAAGTCGTAGCAGCCCTTAGACTGAGCCCCTTTCTGAATGTTTCCGAGGACGGCAAGGGCATCAGCCGGAAACTACCGCTCCGGCCATACCAGCTCGCAGGTGGTGATGAAGATGGCGATTCAGATCTCGAACTCGAAAACAAGGAGGGTGAGGCAGAAGTGGTTGTGCAGAGCCCGGCCCCGCAACCCAAGAAGTTTGAACCTGTGAAGTCCACAAACCCAAACATAACGAAAAACCTGGTACGATACCCTTTCAAAGTCCCAGCTTGAATCTAACCTGATATATAGGCCAAACCCACAGGCTTCGAAGAGTACCATGCGGAGGGGCCTATCACCCCAGCTGAGTATAAGGACGATCAGGCACTATTCGATCCAGAGTGTTCGTTCTCGGAGCGGATTGAGTCAGCTATACAACGATTCAAGGTTAAGAAAAAACTGCATCAGGAACATGCACGTATCTTCACGGCGTTCATGAAGTACGGAGGAGTTGAGATTCGTGCACAGTTTTCCGGACTCGATCAGAAAGAACTGAAGGAGAAAGACATTTACGAACTAACACGATTAATGGCCACCCACTTTGTGAGCAGTGACAAGGACGATGACGAGCTCTGGGTAGTAGACTTTGTTGGTGTAGTGAGCGGCTTTCTGTAAGTGTTCGCCGTTATAGGCGCCCCTGGAAATTTCTAACGATATCAGTTCTTCGCAATTTCCACTTTTTCACCAGGACTATTCTCGCGAGCGAGTCAAAATCGCAACGCAAACTATTCGTACTTTCTACAACTATATTTTGCATCACAATGTCTGCCCTGAATACAACGATCAGATATTCGCTGCACGCAAAATCTGCGAGTCTGCCGATGAAGAGTTACTCAAAGTACAAACTGTGGGTTATGCATTTCCTGGTGCTTTCAATGTGGCTTGCTCGGTGCTTTTCGGCGGTTACTATAATGGCAAATACATCGGCAACCAGCCATGGGCTCTGGACGGCGACCAGACAGCAAACCCACATCTATTCGAATACGTTCGATGGACTCCAGGCCAGGGTTTCAGTCAAAAAGAAGCACAGATCGTGATGCAGACTGCTGTCGCTGCTGTAGGAACTTATGACCAGTCATATCGACTCACCCAAGAAGATCTCCAAAATTTCGACATGCGTGAAGTGGAAGATCTTGGACTTGAAGTTGTCAGCATCGTACTTGCGACACCAGAAGTCTTGGCTTTGTATGCGGAACTCAATAAGGAGTATCAACACAAGCTGGACATGCGACCACTTGGAAAGATGGTCTGCAAGCCCTGGTCCATACCCGACTTCACCCCGCACGATATCAGTGCTGCAGCCGCGAAGAAGCGTGTTCTTGACCTAGATCGTACATTCGAATTTTGGATTGAGGATGAGATTTTGGAGGACTGCTTCGTGGGTATGAAGCTAGATGGCACTATCTGGAAGCTCGCGCTGGGAGACGGCATCTGGATTCTGGATAATGTCAGGGAGGTCTACTGTAGTTTCTTCAAATGGCTGCCCAACGAGTTGATCATGGGTGACCGTAGGATCCTGCGAGAACCTCAATGGTATCCACATGGTCGAGGTGGTAAGGCAACACCTAGTGAGTCGGGAGAGACTCAGAACGCAAAGGAGATCCAAGGCGGCGAAGAAGCAAATGATTGTTCTGATGTGGAAGAGGACAAGGACAAGAGGGCTAATGAAGAGGGGCTCTGATGTTGCTACGCTGTATAACCTTGCTGAGCTGGAGTCCTTCCTTTTCTCCAATGATGCTTTCGTGATTTAGTATTGAACCAGCCCAGCGTTCGTCGCTTTATCAGGTGCTATGAAGCCTTCGAATTTACCTTAATTTTTTCAAACGATCTTAAGTCGCCCTCTCAAGTGGCATTTTTCGCTCTTTGTCGGAGAAATGTCTACAGTTCAACGCATCCATACTGGCCCTGATGAGTATCCTGAGTTCTCGAGTCAAGCTCGTTGTATTAGCATCATGGGTTACGATTAATTCACTCTACATTCGGCCGAATCGCAGTTCTACAACTTCTACTCTGCCGGCAGTTGCACCACCAACGTCACACCGATGTCGTTCACAGCCCGTGTCTCACGATGACACTTATCGACCGCTGACCGTCGTAGTATCGCTTATTCAGATATTGCATGCATCCCCGCAGTCCAAGGTAGTGGAACCTGGCCCACGAGCCGAGATCCATTCTCTTGTATCCGTCCAAGGGTGAATGAATTTTGAAGAGCGACTCTTGGCACGCGTCGCGCGGATACCCCGGACTTTCCGATCCATCCTCATAGGCTCATTCGTTCGGCGGCATTATTCGGCATATCAGGATGCAAAGCCAATGTATGTATGTGCTAAGTAAGGTGCCACCGCTACGTCCTTGCAGCGTCAACGACTCAACGAGTGGAGCATCATTGGAGTCCATCGGACGGTCAGAATGGTCCTGATAGGATGCTGAAGCTCCAAGCGAACGGCAATATACCCGTTTATACTATTCAGACATCATGAGCGGGACATATATACGTACCCAAGCTCCGCCTACCATCGTAGCCCGTCGGGTCTCCGATCAGCGCGGCCGGTCAAGATGAAGTTCGCCATTGCTGCATCACTACTGCTCCTGGGCTCAGCACATAGTTTGTCCGTACGCCACCATGACTCTATCCCAACAGCACGCATCAAAAATGGTACTCTGGTGGGAATACATTCTATCGAGTACAACCAGGATTTCTTTCTCGGTGTTCCATATGCCCAGCCGCCCATCGGCAATCTCAGATTCGATAACCCAAGGAGTCTGAATGAGACCTGGGACGGTGCGAAGAGCGTGGACGAATATGCGAAAAGCTGTGTCGGGTATGGCAGTGATCAATGGGGCTACGAAGTGAGCGAGGATTGTTTGTACCTAAACATTGTTAGGCCAAGTGGGTATGAAGGACGGGCACTACCGGTTGCATTCTGGATCCACGGAGGTGGCTTCTATCAAGGCGGCGCTGGCGACAGACGCTATAATCTCTCCTTTATCGTCGAGAATTCTGTCAAGATCGGACAGCCTATCATGGCCGTTTCAACAAATTACCGGCTTAGTGGCTGGGGCTTTCTGAATTCGAATGAGCTCATGGGTCGTGGTCTGTTGAACATAGGGCTCAAGGATCAGAGGCTGGCAATGCACTGGGTACAGGAGAACATTGCATCTTTTGGAGGTGATCCGGCAAAGGTTACGATCTGGGGCGAGAGTGCAGGCGCAGCGAGTGTTGGGTTTCATGTGAGTTTTCCGTGGAGGTGATATGGAGTGTCGATTGGCACTGACGGACGGTCCAGTTGACTGCATTTGGCGGCCGTGATGATGAGTTATTCCGCGCTGCCATCATGCAATCCGGTAATCCGATATCCTACAGATCTATAAGTAGTACCGACTTCTACCAGCCACAGTTTGATTTAGTCTCTGCCGCCGCTGGTTGTAGTGATTCCCTCGACCAGCTCGAGTGTCTCCGTGCCGTCCCTTTCGAGCAGATGAATACCGTGTTGAACAATTCGGCACTAGATTGGGATCCTGCTGTCGATGGAGACTTCATACGGCGATACGGCAGTATCCAGCTCGAGCAAGGCGAATTCGTCAAAGTCCCCATCATCTCCGGTGCAAACTCCGACGAAGGTGCAAGTTTCGCACCTCAGGGCATCAACACGACAGAAGACCTGAGGGCAAGCCTGAGCGGTACGTCGTCTAATTCCCCGCTGATACTCTATCCTAACATTCTCAGCATACCCTCCTTCCCTCGTCGACGCCCTCCTTACTGCATACCCCGATGACCTTTCAACGAACGTCATTGCCAACCTCGGGCCTACCACCCGTCCCCCTGCCTACCCCTACGGCCTGCAATTCCGCCGCGCTGCCTCACTCTACGGCGACTTGGTCTTCATCGCCGCCCGCCGTCGCACATGCAGTACATGGGCCGCACACGGCCTTACCGCATACTGCTACCGTTTCAACGCCATCCCAGGTGGCATCCCCGCAGAAGAGGGAGTGCCGCATTTCAGCGAGGTCGCGTTTGTGTTCAACAATATCGCCGGCCTGGGCTATGCAGAGAACGGTACGGGTAGTAGCAAACCTTTTGAGGGGCGGAGCGAGGCGTATACTGCTTTGAGTGGGGTCATGAGCAGGTCGTGGGCGAGCTTCGTGGCTACGGGGAGTGTGAATGGATGGGCTGGTAGGGAGGGACTGGAGGAGTGGCCGGCGTATGAGGTGGATGATGCTAGGGATTTCGTGTGGGACGCGAATGTGACGAGTTACAGTGAGAGTGACACGTATAGGCAGGAGGGCATGGCGCTTATCAGTGGTAGTGCCGCAGGGGTGTTTAAGACATGAGGAATGTATGATGAGTTTATGAATGAACGAGGTTCTGATTATGATTTGTGCGTGTGAGAATACTCATGATCGCACGCACCCCTGATCAGGAATCTCCTTCCTCCGCAGCTATATCACCCCCAACATCCTATTACCTGCATGGACGTGACCCTCCAGTTTTCCAGACCAATTCACAACGCTCCCCTCCCCTCTTACCCACCATACGTGAAACGCTTCACCGCATCCCCTAGAACGTCACGTAACGACAGCATACCGTCTATAACCCCATCAACCTAACATACCCGGCACACCCTTCACACCCGGCATTCGCAGCACAATCTTCTCTCCTCCCCTCTCACTCCCTATTTATACGCTCTACACTCTGCATGTAGACATGAAAAAGCCATACCTATGCGGCTGTCTTGTCTTGCCCTTGACACTGATGGACGCTTATTGCATGGGCGTGCGTGCGTGCGTGCGTTTGTTCATGCACTATAAAGACATGAGAAACGGTTGGCGACTGATATCATGGAATATCCATGTGGGTTTCATGTTGGTTGGTCAGGGGGGGGATGATGGGTATTATTGGATAGGGGTGATGGTGGGTGGTATTGGGTAGTGATGATGATGATGATGATAGGAAACATCGAATCTCGGCCCAAAGCAAAGAAATGGTAAGACTTTAGACTGCCGCCAAGGGGACTTACCCGGCTCTAACCCCTCCGCACATATATAACAGCCTCGCCTCTCTCTCTCTTTCCCTTTTGCATTTCCTTACTCTCATCTTCTCGAGACAATGCACACACCTGTACACTGATCATGTGGTCAGCAAGCCTACGCCATGATAGATTATGTGCGTGTTCTGCTCTGGGCGCTTTCCGTTTCGTCAGAAGAGAAAGCGTGGCGATGTCCATCATCATCGCTATACGAGGATGCGAAAGAGCGCGCAGCTCAAGTTCGTAGCAGTCACGATGCTTCTTGTCCGGAGCACAGTCATAGGAGGGATTACACGTGTTCCGCAAAGTGTACCTGTTAAAGACGATACCTCGGAACAGACGTACCCGTCCGTCTTGCATATGGATATATTAGACTTCTCCCTCTTGCTCTCTCACTCGTCTCTCTCCTTGCAAGAGCATGGTATGTGGCCCAAGGCCATGCGTCTCGTCTTTGTTATGCAAATACACTACTAGCTGCGGGAGTTAACCATTGCGTTAATGAGCTGCTATCTAGTGGGGCATCAGCCAAAGACGCCCAAATGCTGTGCGGTCCTTAAGAGAGTCAGAACAATGGCTGGACAGGGCTACGATGATCCGCATCGTCATCGGGAATTGATGGTGAATATCTCGCTTTGGAAAAGAAAAGGGTAATGGGACAAAATCGGATTGCTCGTTTAGTTACCTGAGGACAATCCACCTGCTCTCACTATCTGCTGTGCTGAGCCCCTGAATCCTATATATCAAATTCGCACTTGGCAGTCTTACGCTCAAGCAGACCTAACAAGGTCGTCACTCAGGTCACACAGCTGCAATCGACTTGATGCCGGGCAGCGTATGGACTGAACGGTGATGTGTATCATCAACGGCCACTCACCATGCTACCCCCAACACCCCATCCCCCCAAGCGTTTTCGTCGCAGAGAACAAAAGCCAAACCATAAACCACATATTCGAAGACGGCAAGACAGCGGAGAACACATGAGGCTCTTCATATAGTCCGCGCTGTTGCTGCTCACGAATATGTAGTAGAGCGGATAGTAGAAAAGAGAAGATGAGAATGGTAGTAGAGGGGCGGAGGTATATATAGCATAGCACTTAGGTAAGGAAAGGAGAAAGAAAAGAAGGAAGTGCCGGGTAGGTTCAGGCACACAAAGACCGTGATAGCTGAGCGCATGGGCACGCCGTAAGGTAAAACGTGCATTCATTCACAGAGCACTCATGGTCACACACACAAACACACTCACTCAAAACACAATTCACAAAACCGGTCTCTCCACGAGCCGCACTTTCTCAGATCTGACCACCCCCTCCCTCTCCCTCTCCCCCAAAGTCCAGCCTACTAGCCTAGCCTAAAGCCGAAAATATACACGCCTTCCATCCCCATCGGACGAGCGTCCTAAACATCCCTGATATCTGCCAATAGAAAAACAGAACAAGAACCCCTTGGTAAAGTAGCAAAAAGGCGATGTGAAAAAGGGGTATATGTATATATACATACAAAGCCCCCAACTTTCTCTGAACCCCGGCCCCCCAAAAACTCCGTGTTGTTTTGATTGCAAAACAGGCTTTCGCGCGGAACTCCCTTGTCCGTCCGTACCTGCTTACCACCATTCCGTTCCCGGCAAGAATAAAGCGCCGTGGATGAAGCGTGATCTTGCGCCATCCATAATGTAGTAAACGCCCGGTATGAAGAGAGAAAGAAAAATATGACATCGTCGTAGCGCATTATCTGTTTTTTTCAGGGTAGCCCTATAGCACAACCTTGACCTTCCCACTCTTCAATTCGCTTTTAGTGCGCATCCACTCGGCCAGAAACTTCAGTCCAAACCGCACGGCCTGAACCGGTGTCGTCTCAAGACCGGCATGAATCCAGTATGGTCCGGTTCGCCCAAGATCACCAGGCTTTAGATCTTCCCACTCCAAGGGATCCATCACCCTCTCACGCCCGGCCCACGTCTCGGGGAACTGCTCCATGAGCTTCTGCATCGGCAATGCGCGCGACGCGTCAAGTGCTATGCGGCTCTGTTTCTTTACGTGGGTCGAGAGTTCTTTGTACATTGCAAGGATGCCTTTTGGTGAGTCAGGAGCAGGCGCGGCAGGGTCGGTGAGGAGGGCATCGGTGCGCTGTGACAGAACGAGGACGATTCGGGAGATGACCACGACGATGAGGTGCAGACGGAGAGCGTCGAGGTCGGGGAAGTAGCGAGTAGCGTATGCGAAGCGCTCACACATCGGAAGAAGGTCGCGCCAGGCGTTTGACAGACCGGTGCGTTGAAGGCGACCGCCATAGTCACCTGCTGCGAAGGCTGCAATGTATGCTCTGGAAATAAGTCAGTATGAGATGAGTTGTGAAAGGAGGGATGCGGATTACAAGATACACTCGAGACTTCGCACGGCGCACCACTGCTTGTCTTCTTCGGAAGGGTTTGGTTTCTGGGCTAAGGCTTCGTATTCTCGCTTCAGCGACTTGCCAAAGGTACCGAACTCGACAGAACGAGCTCTCCAAGCGTCAATATCCGGCTGCTTGCGCTGCGGTGCGGAAGACGGGGCGCCTCTACCTCCGGATCCTTTGACTGACAGGTATACACTTGCAGGAGTCAGATTGTCGACCCCTTGGTCTGATGTGGTACGTGCTAGGTTCACAGGTCTGTGCTCCTTCTTCGGCGTCAGATACTGCTTAGGTCTCTGTATAGTCGACGAGACTGATGTTCCAGGCGGTGACATTGATGCCTGTGCTGGAGTTTGCGGAGGTTTGAGGTCGACGCTGCTGTTGTTCTTGTGGCGCTTGATTGGGAGTGATGTGGTATCATCAGACCTAGGACGCTTCTCTGCAACTGGGCGAGTGGTAGATGTTGCTGAGGTGGAACTCTTTGGTTCCTTCAATGGAGCATGGGGCTCTCTGGGCTTAGACACCTTGTCTATTGACGGCTTGAGCGGTGGATTCTTGGACTTCGATGTCGATGTGGAAGGGGGAGGATCTCGTGAGCGATCCCGCTTCACATCCGACTTCTTCGGTGTCCCACCCGAAGGCAACTTCAGTATCCGATCAATCATTTGTCGCTGCTTTCGACCATATCTGAGCTTCACCACTAGCCTCTCTGGGAGTTTTACCGGCGCAGCAGCTGCTGTTGGGTCAAAGGCCGGTTGTAGCGATCTATGATCAGTCTCGGGTTGTGAACTGTCCGGTTTCGGGGCAGTCACGACAGTATGTGGAACTGTCTTGGAGGCTATTCGGGATTTAGATTCAGAAGAGCTTGACGCATCTGATATGCCTCGAAGTCTTTGGTGAACCCCATCCTTGTCTAGCTCTTGCTGGATTTGGGGAGGCAATGTGGGTGATAGTAATGGAGGCAGGTCGTATTTGTTGAGAATTGGAGACAGAAGAGGTGGCAAGTCGTGAGGAGTTGAGGTAGAAGGAACTTCCATATGGACGGAGGGCTTCTTGACATCAGGGCCGGGTGAGGTTTTAGATCGCTTCATGGAACGAACTTCGTCAGCAGGCTTGTGCGCATCTGTCGACTGATTCTCATCCTCTTCAAAAGCTCGCTTGCCATTGCGTGGTGGATCGGATTTAGGTGACGGTTCTCGCTTTGTCTGTTTATGATTGACGACCTTGTCGGAAGCCCTTGACGACTCGTGGACTCCATTAGCTTGAGGAGAGTCTGTCTTGAACGACTGAGCTGGCTCATCGTCGGATCCTGTACGCTTCGCTTCAACCTTCGGCTGACTCGCCGAGTTCTTGCTCTGGCTCTGACTCTTGCTGATTCCGTTCGACTTTCCCAAGTAGGATCCCAGGGACACCCTCTTGTTGGAAGAACCCCCCAGGTAATTTTTGTTGGCTGGTGCAGCGTTCCGTCCGGCTTTTGCTTTCCTGTCACGGTCCTCATCCACTGCGGTCCGGCATACGAAACAATTGTCACCTTGCTCGCGGTATATGAATGTCGCATACTGCATATTTTCTTCATGGCTCTCGAACATAGTCCCAAGTCCGCTCATCCAAGCTTCCGCCTCTTGTCTCGAATGATGGTGATATCGCGGCTCGTCTTGCGGGACTGTGAGAAAGTAGGGCGTGTCGGGTATAACTTTACGGATGCGCGCGTACGCCTCATCAAGCTTCCGCAGCTCTTCGGCATCCTCGTCGGACAGTGAGCTCGGTTTATCGCCTTTCGGCCCAGCAACGCCCTTGGGTTTGCTGTTGACGGACATGATGAATGTGAGAGGTGGCAGTACTGAAGACAAGACGAATGCGCGATAGATACGTTGGTTGTGTGAAAGTAAGGTAAGGTGTAAGACGTCCGGACGTCTCTGTGTACGATTGAAGAGTCGAAGGGATATCTGCGAGCATGGGAGCGGAGATCTGATTATCGCGACCCGAACTCGGTGAAGGGGTGAACAAGCTATTGTGCGTCAGTAATTGTCGCTATTCACGAGTTTCAGGATGAATAGCACGGGACATACACGGAGTGTACAATAGGTAATATGAATATAAGGAGCCCGGCTTCGTGAATGCGTTGGTATTGTGCCGTCCAAGCAATTACCTGTAGCTCATCATGAAGCGCGAATCTGAGAGGTTGCGCGCTCCGGCCGTGCAAGTATGACGAGGTTTGTATGAATAGGTAAGAGACAAGTGAACAAGGAGTGAGCGGCCGCGGAGGTTTTCGAGTCTTGTTCCGACTACAAGTGACCAAAGTGAGCAACGGGCTTTGTTCGAGCGACCGCGAGATTATAGAGTGGAGGGAGAGAGAGATACCACTGACACACTGTCGAGCTAAATCACGATGAGCCACCACCGCCACAATCCGGATGGGCAAGTTTCGGTGTCTACGTTTGTTTGTCCGGCCCTACACACAAAAATTCGCATGAATATCACTTTTCTTCTCTCCTGCTCGACGGCGGCGGGCTTTTTAGAGTCTATACAGTGAAATAATCCTGTTGATCATCGGACATTGCCTTGTCCCTCAGGCCAACAGGAACGTGCCCTGCCCTGCCCGAACGATCCATGGATGATTTAAATCGCGGCCACTAACCGTTTCCGATTCAGCCTTGCTGCCCTTGCTGGCGTTGTCTAAAATAATACAAAGCAATGCGGGCGACTTGTTATACTTGACAAAGAACAAAGACTATTTTGTTCGAGGGCCTATACAAGTCGAGATGGTGTGGATTCTCCAAGTCAGATGGCAAGCACAGTGAGTAGGTATCCAAGAGAAATCATATAATATAATACACTCAACTGCCATTCGATCACGTCCAAAAAAGGACACTAGTCGCCGCCAATCATATCAGCCTTGCCGTGCCCGTGAATAGAATAACGCGCTAGACCGTTTTCGGATAAAGCCAAGCAGGCTTCAAAACAATGCGTTGTTTAACTTGTTTTCCTTTATCATTGTTGTTCAAAATGTCACCTAGCAACAGAAACGCAGGTATATACTCTTGCGATTCTCTTCCTCTCATTCACCTCCCTCATTTACCGCCGATGCAGGGTCGTGCCACGCGCTGATTGAGGTCGCCGCTTACTTTGCAGCCGCATTGGCAAGGGTTATCCACTGCAGCGAGTGTCAGACCGTGTCTACTCCACTACGGACTGCCCCGATCAAGCTGAAGCTATAGACTCATGATCTCGCATCGTGCCGGCCAGAACTGGCTGTAACATACGAGCGCAACGGTAACGTGCATCGACGCGCTGTCGCGACGGCCAGCTGAGATGTGACTTTCATCTAATTAGCTAATGGTCAAGCACGCTGCTGAATGTTGAAACACGAGGATGCGTGGATCAATGGACTCAGCTCTTGACGTTGGTGTGGAGTGGTAATTGCGCAATGCCTGAAGAGCTAGGATAGCATGTGCGAAAAGTGAAATTTCTACCTCGACCATGTGCCTATCGTCGTACGATGGGCGTCGGCATACACGAAGACTATGCATACTGACAAAGGCTGTGGCACGTCGCCGACCTCAGAAGCAGTGTCTGAAGCTAGCATTGTGATTGGAACTGAAGATGCGAATGGTAAGTGTCCACTAAACAGGAAGATTTCTGGAAATGGGCAGAAGGTGGAAATGTATATATGTATAGGCTCTTCTGCCTCATTGTACAGACAGAACAGCAAACTATACAACACATTCCAAGTCTACATTGCCTAGCATCTGAACACCTTACCACAACAGCTATCCTAACTAGCATTACCACTCTTCCTCACGATGTCTGTCTATCAATTCTACATTCCACCAAAGGAGATATCCTTCCGTCTCAAGAACTACCTCTCCAAGAAAGTCCTCTACTCCAAAAAGGGTGACTTTGGCCACTACGACGGCGGCATCAACGACGACCAGTACTGGCAACTCATTCCCGGCACCGGCGAGTACGAGGGCTACTACATGGTCAAGAGCAAGAACACCAGCGAATGCCTCTTCTCCCGCACCAAAAAGACGCCCAACGTCGACACGACCAGCGGCAACGGCAAATGGCGCGACAACTGGTTCAAGCTCGAGCCCGGCACCGGCGACCGCGCAAACTACTTCCGCCTCAGGAACTTGGACAGCAACACCGTCGTCTTCTCGCGCACGGAGAAGAAGCCGTACGTCGGCAACTTTGGCGCCGACGGCGACAAGTTCGACGACCAGTACTGGAGCTTCGAGTTCGAGGACATGGAGTTTGTCAGCATCGACTACCGGATCGATCAGCAGAAGGCCCTGTCCAGCAAGCCCGTGTCCATCGCGCACAAGACGCTGGTCAACGAGAACGGCGAGAAGGACCTGACGATGGTGGTCGTGCTCGCGAAGAACATGACCATGACGTCGATCCACGAGTACACGAACGGCATCAGCGTCAAAGGCACGTATTCGTTCTCATCGCTGGCATCCATCATCGGCACTTCTCTCGAGATCGGGGCGTCAAAGGAGTGGAAGGTGGGCGAGCACACCACCACGACTACGGTGTTCGAGGACCGTCCCGAGCTAACTGCTGCACCTGGCTATGTGACCACGGGGGAGATCGTCTCGACGCAGAAGGAACTCGAGATTCCCTACACCATGGTGCTGAAGTCCAAATCGACCGGTTACGAAGTGAAGTCTTCTGGTACGTACAAGGGCGTCACTTACTGGGACACCAAAACCACCATGTATACGAAACTGCTGTCTGAAGACAGGAGCTTGGACGAGGGAGAGGGAGAGGGCGAGGCTCAGGTCATTGGCCGTCCTACTGTCACTGCATTTACTTCAGGTGATGCTGATGCTGACGACCAGGAGGAGCGAAGTCTGGAAGACGGAGCTGAGACGCAGAACGGGGATTGTGCGCAAGCCGAGGAAAACCCCGAAGCAAACGGGTATGCTCAGGATGAAGCAACTTCAGAAGAGAACTCGTATGCTCAAGACGAAGAGGTCCCAGAGACCAATGGATCCTCCCAGGGAGAAGAAACTGCTGAAAACGACTATGCTCAAGAGGAAACTGCCGACAACTCGTATGCTCAAGACGAAGAAGTCGCCGAGACCAATGAATACGCACAGGGAGAAGAGACTATCGAGAACGACTATGCTGAAGGAGAGACTGCCGAGAACAGCTACGCCCAAGAAGAAGAGGCACCACAGGAATCCTATGCCCAAGAAGATCAGACCAACGAGTACACAGAAGACGTAGAAGAATCCCAAGAATACCAAACCAACAACTACACCCAGGCCGAGGAAACGCCCGAAAGTAACGAGTACCCATCAGAAGAGTCAGCTCCTCAAGACGAGGAATACGTGCAGGACGAACCAGCTCCCGGAAATGAAGAGCCCGCCCAAGAAGAATCCGTCTACGCGCAGAACGACGAATATGCACCACCAGAAGAACAAGGTGCATCTTACGATGAGACTGCACAGGACACACAGGACGGACAGTACGCACAGGATGGACGGGAGGGCGGCTGGGATGCGCCACGATACCGGTACTAGGCATTTCGAAGCGGACTGGTCTCACGACACCCATCATTGACGTCATTCTTTAGTTATATCGCTCTGTTTGGCATTTCGTGTTAGATCTCCTTTCTCGCTTATATATACGCACCACATTCAGTAATAGAATCATAATTCGTCGTCATCCGTATCATCCTCGTCCATGCTACGCACAACCTGTGCTTTCCCTGTGCTTGCTTTACTAGCCGCAGATGGTTTCATAAATGGCAGCTCGCGCGGTGGCGGCAAGTCTTTGAGAGAAGTAGCCTTCTTACCAGCCTCCTCTGCTGGTGCTTTAGGCTCTTTGCCTGTTGCTTTAGTAGTCGAAGCGTCGACCACGCCAGGATCGCCCAAGGCCTTGCCTCTCGTTTCTCTCGTACCCCGCCCCGGTTGCGTGCGAGTTGGTTTATCAACAGGCTCCGGTTGGCTGTGCACTGGTGCATCGGTACCCCCGGCGTCTTCGTCTTCGTCCTCGGTCTCGGTATCGGAAGGCTCAGGCGTCATCTGCGCTGGTTTGACGTCTTCATCTTCGCTTTCGGGCGCGGTCTGCATGTCGTCGTCGGATGTAGGGTCCGGCTCGGTGGATTTGGCGGGAGCTTTGCGCTTGGAAGCACGCGAGGGAGCTGGTTTGCGTGGTTTCGTCGTTTCGCGGATCAATTGCACTTCCGAGGCTGGTACGTGTTAGTACGGAGATGTTGCCAGGGGGAATATAAAGTGGGATGCACGAACGTGACGCACCAATCTGGGGGTCGACTTTTGCGGTCGCGAGGAGACGCTGCTGGTCTCTGATCTTCGCTTTCTTCTCGTTTAGTAGCATTGCGTATTTCGCGGCCATGGCGTCTTCTTGTTCTCTGCTTGCGGTGACGAGTTCTTCGAGTTGCTTTTGGAGCTTGGCGATGGCGTCTGACTGGTCATTTATGCGGCCTTGGAGTTTGAGCATCTGTGACTGGGCTGCTGCGCCTGCCTGTGAGGCGATGCCGGTCCATTCGAAGAGATCGAGCGCAATATCGTCGTTGTGTTTTAGGACAATGGATCCGAGACGTATCTTTTGAGACGTCAGCATGGTCATGGAGGCAGAAAGCAAGTGTTGAGCGTACAGTGATGTTTCCAGTCAGCTTGCGAATGACGATTTCGAGACTGGATTCGGTGGAGACAGTCGCGACGACTTCGATTCCTGCTATGGCATCGCGCTCGTTGGGGTCTGTCTGACGTTCGAGAAGGATGTGCGAGAGGATCAGTCTCCACTCTGCGGCAGGAAGTTTATTCTTGGACGTTTGCAAGCTGTCGATATTGCCGTCCTTGACTGCGCGACCTGTCAGCGAACTTACAGGCTACGGGAAAATGCGTCTTACGGGCCAGCTCGTACGGAGCTTCGTTCTCGGTGCCAGACAAGTAGAGATCAAAATCATGTGACCCATTGCTCTTGGCGTTGACGATGACAAAGTTGCTGTCGTCGTCAACTATGGGAATGCGGAGTATATGCTGTGAAGTCATTCCTGGGGCTGAAGTTAAGATATGATCATGTAGACTGGTGAGTCAAAACGCGTGCGAGGAGATGGGCCCGTCGAGTGAATTTCTGTATCTCTACAAACAAAAGAAGTTGTTATTCCTGTGGCTTAGGTGGTGTTGAGGTTTGGATCTTATGTGCCAGCCAAGCTACCTAGGTACTCTACCAACTAGCATCCACCACCCAGGCAGTCGCGTTTATCACCACTACCTACGATATGTCGCGTCAGAACTTAGCCCAACCTCTGGAGATAGACTCTAGCCATGAAGAATTCTCTCAGGGTATGTTGTTCGTTCGCTGGCGGTGTTGGTGTCTACAATAACGCGTTTAAGTTCGCGCATGCACGCGTAAGGTTTGGCAGCGCGCAACAGAGAAAAAGAATCCACCAGAGTCAAAGTCAGGGACTCAGGGTCTTTCAGGGAGTCCCTTGGTGGGGTAATAATCGATAAAGTACACTTATTGTACTTAATTAACGCTTAATTAACCTGCCGTACTATACCTGTCCGGGTGTGTTAGTTATCAATTTGGTTAGTCATGACACGCGACGTATGGTACAACGCGCAAAAAAGTCATTGCGCGGCTCACGGAGACGCACGGCCCGCCCTCCCTCTTCTTGACATTTCGCTGCTGCTGAGCGGCTTTTCCTCCCTTTTCCTCCTCTTCAGCGACGACGACGACGACGACGACGACGACGACGGTCAAGTGTTGGTTGCCTCTTTACTGCGGCCGTTGGTTCCTTGCATCCCAACAAGGCTACCTGTCCTTTTGACCAACTGAGCTTATTATTATCATTTATTGTCGCACCAACGCGGAACAGGGACAGGCAATATCGCTGTGGTCTGTGGTCTGTGGTGTGTGCTTCGTGCCGACGCTTGGGCCCCGGCCACCCACGAAGCCACTTCTCCCCAACCACCCACCTCCGCTTGCTCGCGTCCTACCTTGGCCCTCCACGCAACCCTCTACCGCTGTTCTACTCTACTCACTTTTCTCCTCATCGCTTACACTCCATATATCTGCGTGCTCAATGAGCGCGTCTACTAACCCGGGCAGCTTTGCTCAACGCATAGCTTCCATGCCCTCCAACAACAACAACAACAACAACAACAACAGCAGCAATAATGTCGAAAGCTGGGACGACGATCTGGACTTCCAGGGCGACCTCTTCACCCATTCCGTGTCTACCGTGCAAACCTCCTTCTCCTCGCGTGTATCCACTCGATCCGAATCACTAGCTGGCGATGAAGACTGGCAGGTTCTTCTCACTCCGAACGATGACTTGTCAACGCAGAGAGCGATCGATTCTGCCAAAGAAGCTGGCATCCCAATACCGAAAACCGTGCCTCCATCTGCGCTTCTTGGTGGTTCAATCAAACGACTCGGCAAAAAGTCATCTAGGCCAAAAGTGCAGATTGGTGAAGACTGGGGCGATGATCTGGACCTGCCGGAGCAAATGGGTGGTTTGAAATTGAGGACACCACAGTTACCAAAAACACCTGCCGAGGATCAAGACGACTTTGATGACTGGGGCGAGGGAAGTCTGGGTATCAGACACGCAGGAACTCGGCGCGGAGATGGTGGGCATCGCAGTTCCTCGATCTCTGCGATAAGTCCAAGTCTAGGCAGTTGCATGACTGTGGAGAGCGAAGACGACGATTTCACCGGGCTGGTCCTTCCTACTGAGCCTGTAGACTTCAATGCCCGCCTCAGGAAACTCAAAGAGAAGGACCAGGAAGATGCTCAACCTACGTCACACCCACTACAACCACAAGAACAGCAATTGCCCCAGACTCCTCCTCAGCCTCTACTCCCCGATCAAAGAAGTGAGAAGAAGTCCGAAAACGTAGTCGAAGACTTTCTGGACGGACTTGATATTGGCGATGACCTGGATACAAAGAAGCACACTCTCAATCGCAACGTGAAGATAAATTCTAGTCGAGCCCAGACTCCACTTCCGCGACCAGCCACCACCTTGACTTTCACGGACAAGCCATCTTCGTCGCGCATTCCTCGACTGCTGTCGAGTGGGAAGCCCAACAAGCTGGATCCAGTCTACGAGAGCGGAGCGCCTCAAGCGCCAAAGCATCGTGCAGCGCCCACGACTAGGCACGATCAACTACTACGCCTGAAGCGTTCTGCGCCAGCTCTACGCAGCCATACTCCCTCCACTCAACATGCGCGAAATCCATTACCATTTATACCGGGTGGTGCCTCCCGAGCACAATCTCACCATGCCGCATCCAAAGCGTCGAATCATTATCGACGAGACTCAGACCCTGCTCGCGCTCATTCCCCAAGTATGCGCTCGTACTCGCGTTTGTCAGGCCACGGTAATGTCCCAGACACACCCAGCCGAACAACGACCAGTCGTTCTGGCATGCGCAAGGACATCGCGCCTGCTGCTCTGGCCCGTGAGGCAGCTTCAAAACGTCTGTTCACCAAGCCAGCCAAGAGACGCGCTTTTGGAGATGGCTCAGAGCTCGATGCGTTCGACGATTTGCCAACTTCGGCGACAAAGGAACACAAGTTTGTCAAGACACCGGCGAACCGGACGCCTGTGCAAAAAACTCTGCGGCACACCACTAGTTCCGCTCGTCTACCTATGCCCGACCGGAACCAGACACCCGCGCCACCAGCCACCCCTCGAAGCCCTACGAGACCTCTCGAAAACAGCACTCCCAGGTTCGCCCGGGACACTGCTGCTAGTCGCATCGCTCGAGAACAAAGGCTTGCAGGAACCCGCTCAAGAGCCGAAGGTCAGACACCGGCTACGCATACTACACATACGAACTGGAAAGCCCATGTTGCTGCTCATAGCCCACATAACAGTCCGGTGCAGAAAAGGAAGGGAACCGGTCAGAAGCCTCATCTGATCAAGCCGATGTCTACACCTATAGTGAAAAGTGAGTTTCCCTGCCCTCGAGAGCGCTGTCTTGGCTAACATATTACAGACGAGAAGGGCATGGTGTATAACCCAATTCTACATCGCTGGGAAGGGAATGACACCGCCTTGAACACGTTCAATCTGGCCAATCAGTCTAACACATCTCTTGCTTCGGCCGCGCCTATCCCGACAGGACAGGCCTCTAATCCTTTCCTGCAACAGCTGATCTCGGCTCCTCATGGTACCTTGCACCCTGGCGTTATTTTCCCGCCGCGACAAAGCTCTCCGACATCTCACTCGCCCCCTCGACCGGCTCTGATCAGTCAAATGAGTACAGCCCGGAATCAAGTCCAGGTTGAGCGCGGGATGGTGTTTGATCCACTTCGCATGAAGTGGCTGAAGATATCATCTCACCGCCAGTCTGATGCGTCCAACCCTGATGCGTCTCCTTCAGTCGAGGATGAAGAGGATCCTTTCGCTGGTCTGGAAGACCTGAAGGACGAGACAACACAGCCACACTCAACGAAGAACTCATTAGGCCCGGGGGAGCTACAACCCGCCATTGAAGATACTGCATTCGTCAGCGAAGAGTTTGACCTCGGTCCGGAATTCATTCGACGGCAGACTGATGAGGAGAAGATCTGGCGGAAGCGTACAGAGGGCTGGGTTGGCAGCCAAAGAGAGAGTCTGGGAGATGGATGGCGATGGTCAGTAAGAGACCTAGCGAGGCTGGCAGCTGAGGCAGCCATCAACCAAGCAGAAGCGAGTTCGAGCACAACAACCGGGCCATACGGCACGATCAAGGGCCTGAGGAGAATGGAGAGCTTCCGGAAGAGCGAGTGGTAGTGCAGGCGCGCTTTGTACGACGACCCGGCGCACGAAACTATTTAACGACTTTACGACGCAACCTAACGACACGATACGACACGCATTTAGGCCCAACTTACGACTGTGTACAATCTCACCCGCATAACATATCATCAGCGTAGTACCTCTTCTACTGTGTACAGACCCTTGGCGTAGCCAGCCGATGACTTGGAAAAAGGCTTAATCTGGCGTCTTTCTGGGCATGACGTTGGTGCATGATGAATGATGACTAATTACCTGGGTTTTCTGGCTCAGGCGTTTTTCTTTTGGGCTGGGGGCCATCTTGGAGCCCGGCTTGATCGTTACGAATGTTATGATGTTATGATGAGACTCACTGGGTTTTAAATGATAGATGGCTTGCTACGCTGGCACGGAGTTTGTTTTGAATATATTGCTTTTTTTTATGCATGCCATGCATGCGTGCCTGCTTCTGAATGGTGTTTATGCTGCGCGGGCGATGTGACTGACGTGTGTGCCGCGGGGGTTGATCCGATGTGACGTGACGGATGTAGCCCGGCGTCCCTGATGAAGCCATTGCTCTCTGTCCGACTGTAGTGGTAAAGTATAAGCACGGATCTTAGGCGTAAGATCAAAGAATGAGAAGAGAGGAAAGGGATAGAAGAGTACGTAACGTCAGCAAGTAAAACGGCCAAAAGGAATGCATGCATGCATGTGGATGTGCATACATATCCATACATATCCCATATCTACGCTCTTCCCATCCTACTCCCACCACTCACATGTCTTCTAATTTCAAAGAACGACGTGGTATACAGCGATCCCCCAAACCCACTCTCAAATCTAGACTACCCCCTCAAGAACCCCCTCAAACCCCTCCACACACGCAAACCTCCCCCTCACACCCTCGCCCAGCACCGCATTCCCCGGCCGGACAAGCACGATGACATACAAGCCCGCTGCCTGCGCGGCGTCTGCCTCGGCGGGGTTATCGGTGAAGAAGGTGACCTTGTCCGCCGCCGCCGCCGCCGCCGCGGTAGTGGTGGTGGTGGTTGTGTTGCTGGTAGTAGTGCCGAGACTGTGCAGGATGCGCGTGTAGCTGGCGGGATCTGTCTTTGGGCCCGCGTTCTGTGTGTCGTAGAAGTGGGGGTGGAAGTAGGGTGTTATGTCTTTGGATTTGTTGTTGTTCTTGTTGTCCTGGGGTTGGGATGGGGATTCGGAGTGGGACGGGGGAAAGGAGGTGCTGTCGATATGGGCGAAGAGGAGTTTCTGCGCCTGGACGCTGCCGGAGGAGTAGATTGCGAGGGTGGTGGTGCGGGGGCGGACGCGGGCGCGCAGGGCGTGGAAGAAGGGGATTACGTCCGGGTAGAGGGGGGCGGTGAGGGCGGTTGTGGTGTAGCCTTTTGTCCAGATGTGGCCTTTTTGACGGGGTGTTGTGTTGGTATGTTTGTAGTTGAACGGGGAGAATGGAGAGGGGGACATGTACGTACCTTGTAGTTCTTTCAGGACGGGGTCTTTGATGTCTCTGGCGACGAGGTCGAGGAAGTGTGCTTGGAGGGCCTCGGGGGTGTGGGCGACGTTGGAGGGGAGTTTGGGGAGGAGGGTTTGGATTGTGGGGTCGGTCCAGTGGGTGGTTAGGTATTGTGGGAGGGCTTTGGTGAAGTATGGGTACTGGGAGGGGGGTTTGTTAGCTGGGTTTGATGGGGTGTGGGTTTGTATAAAAGTAAGGGGTTAGGACGGTTGAGGTTGAGAGAAGTATTGTGGATTATGATGGTGTGTGTATATGATAAGGTATAGAGTAAACGAAGAGATACACGTCAGGGTGACTGGCTATGATATGCAAAAGCGTACATCCAGGCTCTTTGATCGTGGTGTCCAAATCGACATGTAGATAGAAATGTAAACACCAGCCAGCCCCTGAATACATAATAGACAAGAGGAACTCGCAGAATAACAGTATCAGAACAGTGCAAGCAAGACCTCACTTACCAGCACATCCTTGACAAAAGCAATCGAGCAGATGGTCCCCTCTGTATAATTATCAGCATTAGCTCATCACATTCAGACTCTCAGCTCGTTTCATCCCCTCTCTCAAGAATGGACCAACTACACGAAACGACAAGTCACGTCACACAAGCAGCGCTCGCTCGCCATTCCAGCCGACATGTATGTTTAAACGCACCACGGCCCTTGCATGGCGCATACAGTCCGGATCCTCGCCATGAGCACATTGAGCGTCAAGAGCGGCGTCTTGCGCGGCTAAAGAAGAAGAAAGACATGTCGACGTGTGGCGCGGCGCATACGAGTGATGGAATATGTGCCGCGCAGTCGCAGCGTGCGAAACCCCTCTATCCGTTCGTTCGCTCATCCATCCATCCATCCACGCACACACACATACGTTCGTTCGCACTCTCACAAACGTCCCGACAGAACATTCCGCACCACAGCGTCTCCGCTATGCTGTGTATGCTTGTGTAGCGTGCAAGTTCGAGTGCCAAAACCCATGCAATGCCGTCGTACTACTACTACTCGTCATGTACGGGGTAAACGTGTATGCAAGGCACGACCTCACACGGCATTGCAGAGCGCAGAAAACCCTCCGTAGTCACGCGCCGTCGGATCCTCCCCCCTCCCATCCACCCTCTAAAAGTCCCGAGCCACAAAAGGAACTCCGCTGCAGATGCGCGGGATCGAGATGTGCGGGGTGAGAGACGATGGTATGTATGTATGTAGCGGGTTGCCGAGATCCGGAGAGTGTATGTGTTACGAAATGAGATGGGGATGGGGATACAGGTGATTACTAGCTAATCCTTGAGGGGTGGTTGCTTACCAATGTCAAACAAGAACGTCTCGCAGCGCGCGAGGCGAGCAGTGTCGAGTTGCATTTTTATTTTCTTCTTCTCGGCAGTCGTGTGGTGGTATTCTCTTCGCGTTCAGAAGCCCTTGCCAAATTTCAAGTCCAGGAGGGAGGGAGAGGGGGGGGCCAAAATGTCCAAGCTCTTCTTCCCTCTCGTGCGTGCTGCAAACCAACTAACTGATTGTAGTCTGGTAAGTTGTCTTCTGTTTCGTTTTGCGCAGGTTGGAAGAGATTTGATATCCCGGAAGGCGGTGTAAAAGCGAAAATTTGATGTTGCGCGATTAGGGAAATCGAGATTGGCTGCGTGGCGAGGAGCGGGCCGTGATTGGTGTGGGGCTAGCGTGGTGGGGTCCTCATTGTGTTGATGGATTGGAGATGGAGATTGGGGAGGGTGAGGGTGAGGGTGAGGATAGGGAGATGAGCGGAAGAGGTGGTGACAGGGTCAGTCAGTCAGTAGGTAGAATCACAAGATGTATGAGACTGACTCTGAAGAAACACGGTGAAAAGTGAGGAATCGTGAGGATCGAGACGTTGTTGATGGTGATTCGGCATGTTGACAAGACGGTGAACAAACAAACACCACGAGCCTAAGCTTCAACAACAACGATCGATCTGATCGTGACCACAAAGACACCATTGACAGAACCTGCCGGGACATCCTCGCTGCGGCGGGATCAGAATGTAAAACAGACTCCAAAAAAGTCTCTGCCAACGAGCAACGCCGTCAACATTTCCTCTCACGGCACTTTGGCTCACAAATCCCCACTCCACCAGCCGCCCGTCAGAACAGCAAGCAGTCAAACCAAACCAAACCAAAAAACCCATGCGACACACTATCGTCTTCCCCGAGAAACACGCTAATTATCGAGCAAGAAAGAAACCTGCCGTGGTGATCCACAAAACGCGTCTTCCAGCACCCGTGGACACATCACAATGTTTACCAGCGCGAAAATTTTCTGTTTACTCACCGCCTCTCCTGGTTAGCAGCAGGGCGGGAGCATCAAAACGAGACCTGCAGGAAAAGCGTGCACAGCGCAAACAGCGGGTGCGAGTGAGGTTATTGGGTGGAGCGCATCATGCAGGAGTGTTTTCCTCCGCCTTCGTGCATTGCATTGCAAGCGTGAGGCACCGCACGAGGGGGTTCAGAAGCCTTTCCTGTCCTGTCGCTTGGGGGGCTTTAATATAATCATTTTAAGTTGGCTCTAACTAATGCACACAAGGGGAGGGGAGGGGGAGAAGAGGGCGAGTCGCGAGTGCTCGCGCGAGGCCAGATGAAGACTGGCACGCCTGCAGGACTCCAGGGGAGAGAAAGACGTCTCTAGCCAGCCGGCTTCAAGACCCGGATTGCAGTACCAGTACTGTCTGCCACGAAGCCTCGCGATGGCGTCGTCTTCACCGACTTTGGTTTGGCCTTGTTTTTCTGCCAAACGTCTGGCCAGTCCGCGGTAGACACACGATGGGGGCGGCCGTCGATGTTGGCGCTGAATCGGGTCTTGTTGCGCGACGAGCTTGGCGTGGCGTTTTGGATCGATGGAGACGATTCCGCTTGCTTGCTTGCTTGCTTGCTTGCTTGCATACGGCCAGCAATTACACGGAGAGAGAGGCCCACAAATGCGCCTTTATCCGCTGCTGTCGTGTGTCCATCTATGCCAGCGCCAGGAAGCCTCGCCATGGTGTTGTTGGAGTTGCACATGAGGCGTTGGAAGCAACTTCTTGTCCACCACATCCGTACATTGAATCGAAGCCTGCGTTCTGAAGATCGTGCATCACATCTGGTACCGAACTGGGAGCCGTAGTTAGTTGTAGAATGGAAGGTTTATTTCCTTGAGCACTCAGCAGTACCCTGGAAACCAGAATCCTTCTGAGCCACAGTATACTTGAGTTTGGCTCAGTCATAATTATCAGCTCAATCTACCTTTAAACCCTCTGGATATACCGAAGCGCTAGTCCTCGATAAGAGACCTTCTCTGGCCCGCTCTCAACCTCAGGACACGGTAGAAAGACTAGAAGCGAAGATCGACTAATTAGCTGACGATATGAGGGGGCCTTCAAGAGCTAAGATATGGTTCCTGCCAAGAACCGAGCGAACTGTAGATTCTCACGGCGCAACAGTGGCTAGTTATAGTAGTATCTCACGGCAGCGATGTCAAATACTTCTTTCCAGCATTGTCAGGTCGAGGTGGCTTGACCTCTCTATTAATTACCTTATCCGCCGACCCAGACATCGAGCGTGCCAAGACAGACATTATGTAAGGTCCCGACCTTCCGACCTGACACCAAAAGTTCCACCTCAGGGTCCCGACATTAAATCCCGACCTCCCGACATATAATACTGCTTTTTTCCAACCTCAGTCCACCTGCTAGATCAATAGGTCGAACCTCGTGCAAACCTTACCCTAGATCAATACCAAGCACAAGTTAATTCGCCCGGTTCTATTAAACCTAGTAGATCTCCACGATTTGAAATATCCAGCCGGGTGTGTGATACGAATAATATCATGGGTTTGCACTACTACTACTGCAGCACCAACAACGCGGAGTCTAGTCCGAACCCGCCAAGCTTCCCCCGCCCGTCCCTTTTCCCGTCCGCAACATCCCGGCACAACAACAACAACAACAACAACAACAACAACAACAACAACAACAACAACAACAACAACAACAACAACAACAACAACAACAACAACAACAACAAC